TAATTAGGATCCACCCTGTAAGAGGTGTTCTGCCCAGTTTGAATGTCTCACTGCCCTCGGTCGCAAGGGCCAAATCACCAAGTCCTGTGCCAGGTGCTATGAGATGAAGGTGAAGTGTGACCGACCGGTACCTAACAAGCTTCCACAAATGGCCGAGCCAGTGTGGTCATCATGTCCTCGGTCAAAGGCCCCACTCGCCTCCACATCCAGACCGCAGCCCAGGGCAACAAGGGCGGCCTCCTGTGCATGTCTACCACCACCTGTGGTAGAATCTGAGGACACCATGGATGATGAGGGTGAGTCACCTGTTTTTTTTGTTAAGGTAAACAATATTGACCTCGATTTTAGATGTCGCTGTTTGAGGCTGATGAAGACGTCGCCATGTCTCATGCGGCCGATACCAAGCAGAAGACTGATGTCTGCTGCGGTGACGCCAAGTGAGACCAGTCAATCGGCCGGCAGCCATGGCGTCGGCAAAAGACTTTCCTGCTGACCATTGGCAGGAGGTCACTGACGACACTCCCATCCTACCACCACCACCACCACCACCTGCTCCTGCGGCCAAACCCACCACCTCGTTGGCCGAACCGACTATCCATGATTGTGTGGTCTCTCTGGCAGCTAGAGTTGCTGCCATGGAAATGGCCGACCACAACACCCTCGCTAGGGTGGATGCGATGGAGCACGACTTCGACTCCCGCATCTCCTCTATGCGGGCCGAGTTTTCCGATGTCCAACTGAGCTTCAATGCCACGGTGGATGTGGTAAATGGTCTTGCCAACATGGTGGAGAAAATGAGGCAGGAACGCTCGGTCCTGAACACATCCTTCCCACCACCAGTGATTGGCTCGACCGGTGCTTCCACGGCCACAGACATGGGCATCAGATACTTGACTGGTGTGTTCGGCCCTTCGGTTGCTCCCAATGCTGATTCTGTCGCCATTGGTCAACCCTCAGCATCTCACCCATTCGGTCACCCTGATGTGCAAGGCAGGACATTCACCAGTGGGCAACCATCATCTGAGTCGGTGCAGGCCGGTCCTTCATCTGCTCCCCCCATCCAATGTGATTTGAGTGTTTCATGCCCTGCTTCTACTACTTCCTCCCTCCCTTGATGCAAATATACCCTTATGTAGCACACATCAGTTAGTTAGATACTGTTGTCTACATGAATTGAATGAAATTGATTTGGCCTGGATTGAATGTGATTGATTGTGTGATTCCAAGTAGCAATTGCGCTTTGGTAATAGATTGTATTTGACCGACCATATATTTGACCGACCGTGTCTCTTACATTGCATATGACCGAGCTATTGACCGACTATCCTGTCTATCGTCATGTTGTAAGCTAGTACATGATGCATCATATTTGACCCGACATGTTTTGACCGACCAACCAACTGAACGACCAACCCCCTCATCTATCATGAGGCTAGTATATTCTGTAAGCTATTCCATTACCACCGACCATGTCTCTCGTACATCACATATGACCAAGCTATTGACCGAGCTATTGACCGAGCTATTGACGACCGAGCTATTGACCGAGCTATTGACCGATCACCCTGTCTATCTTCACAGAGGTATATGTTGTAAGCTAGTCCATGATACATCATATTTGACCTGACATGTTTTGACCGACCGACCGACTGACCACCTCATCTATCATGGGGCCAGTATATTCTGTAAGCCATTCCATTACCACCGACCACGTCTCTCATACATCACATACATATGACCAAGCTATTGACCGACCACCTCATACTTGACCGACGTAGTCTTGACAAGTATATTTTACACAAGTGACTCAGGGGACAGACCCAATATTCACATATTTGACCGACTGATTGACCGACTTCCCGAGTCTATCATGGGCAAGTATATTTGTAAGACCGATCCATTGACAGAGCAGTGTCCATGACACATCTATATGCTTTGGGTGTCAGCCCATTTGTATATATCGGTACCACTGCCCACTCGGCCGACCTGTTCATATCGGGCACATATTTCATACACTACCTACCACACAATACCTACCAAATGCAATGGGAAAGTGTATACTTATCTACTATACCTGTCATATATGTACCATATTCCCGGGTACAGATCCGATCCAGATCCGATGGACAAATCCGTTGTCCGGTCCACAGATCCGATCTAATCCTTATTTCATGTCCTGTTTATATAACTCTAACTATCGTTCATCTCCTTTCAGCATTCCTGTACACCGGTATACCGGTTATCCTTTACTTCCGTTATGCTTACTGATCCGCTTTAGCTTATACTTCATTCCCGGTTATGATTCATTATCCATCCGACTTACCGATATGCTGTACACATACTTTGCTTATACTTCATACATAGCCTCACGTCCTTGCTTATTGATCATTCCGTTAGTTATCCATAGTATATAAACCCTTGTACATGCGCTGTAGTAGATCAGTTCGAATATCATCTTAGATTGCACTCATTCTGTCAGGACTCTAAGTCCCTCCGTTATCTGTCCGGACTCGAAGTACGATACTCTTGTCTACTCCGAGACTTAGGATTGATTCCTATAGTCTATATATCCGTCTCTGTCTTCGGACAGTCTTCACCTGTTAGTTTCTAGTTCGGATCCGATCCGGATTAGCCGTTACTCTATATGTTCGATATCCGGAAGCCTTAACGGATCCGTTACAATACTTATCCGTCTCACTAGACGTGATACTCTAGCACTCTGAAATAAGGGGCAAGACTCGGGAAAGGGGCACAGCGCACGAGCTGAGGCCAAAGCCCTTCGGATCCGATACTACTTGAGTATGGTCTTAACAATACCACACTATGGGCCCACTGTTGGTATCACATACACACTGACATAGGGGTGTTGGCCCATCTGTATATATCAGTACCACTGCCCACTCGGCCGACCTGTTCATATCGGGCATATATTTCATACACTACCTATTACACAAAACCTACCAAATGCAATAGAAAAGTGTACACTTATGTCGAGGATTTTACAGTCACGTGATGCGTCCACGTGACCTTCGGGTTCCGCCGGATTCCCTTTCGCAGAGCTTTCTCGTCGGTGTCTTCGTACGCTGCCATCACTCACTTTTGTCGGTGTGTTTCATTCTGTTCTGCGTCGCTTTGCAATCAAATCGAATTCAAGTCCCAACCCAGCGCGTGAATCTACGAACATCTGCGTCGCTTTGCAATCAAATCGAATTTGAGTCCCACCCAGCGTGTGATCTACGACAGCAAACAAGCAAACAAATCTACGAGGAAGGACAGCAATGGATATGACTTGAAAAAGAGACTAGTGTGTGGAATGTCCGTTGTCCGTGAGTCTTGATGATTGTGCTACAAATGCATGTGCATGTGTGTGGGATGGGGCGATTACTACTAGGAAGACTGAGTTAATGTGGTGCGTTTTGAGGGCATGATGCAGTGTGATTCTCAGCGTGAGGTGGATGCTCTGACTTCTGGCCGGCCATTCTTACTCGCTCGTCCAGTGATTTCCCCGCGTCCCTCATGTTTATGCTGGATTGCGTCGAAAAGTGGCTTGGCACCACGGTTTGCTTCAGGGTACTCCTCCAGAAACACTCTATCATCCCCATGCAGCCTGTTCAAAGGAGCAATGTGATTGGAACCACAACCGGTCAAGCATCACTCTCAGAGCCACAGCAGCAGCATGGGAAGGAGACGCACTGGTAGAACTCTGTGGCGATCACCTTGCAGATGTTCCGCTTCACGCCAGTTATCGTGCACATGGGACCAGTATACCACTCCTCCGGCCAATCCTTGAGGGCCTTACCTCCAATAGAAGCTGCAGGGTCTTCCCACTGCTTCACAGCAGCACGCCATGCCTCTAGCCCACGTGGAAGATCCGGAATTCCAATGCCAGGAATGGGAGCGTTTTTTTTTGTTGCTGTGGTGTGCTGGTGGGTGCTGTGCTGATGTGCCTGGCGTATCTGTATGGCGGCAGATGACAGGGGTGCAGGAGACAGTTGCGAGTTCACGGCCAACACATTGTGTGTTGCCGATGATGTTGTATAACTCCCCGAGAGGGGCTCGTGCGATGCTTCATGAGATGGTGTCTGCTGTAGGGGCTGTGCAGGTGGTGGAGACAGCAATGGAGATGGCAGGGAAGGGATGGGAGTCGAGATCGAGAGCTGAGGAAATTGTGATGGCGGAGGTGATGGCGAGGAGGATGAGGATACCGGTGGGGTAAGGGTCAGTTTGTCCAGGACCTCCTCGACTTTGCCAGACAGCCGGGTCAGCTCGCGATCAAATGACATCTTCAGTTCCCGTGTTTCCGCCGCCGTCACAGGTGCAGTTATGATATGGTTGCCATTGAAAATCTTGTCGCCCTCCCGAGGAATGGGGCACAATGCATCCCTGTGGTTCTTTTCGTACCGAGTGAGCTCATCCAGAAGGTACCGTATTAGTGTATCGACCTGCCGAAGATGTTGGTCAAACCAACTTTGCGCTGCACAATGAGCCACTCACGCTTTCACCTTCAGGCCCATGCACCCCACCACCAAATGGTAGCGAGAGCCGACGCTGATGCAGTAGTCGACTTCCCTTTCTTTACTGCTGCGGCAGATATTTTCTTCGTAGCTCCCCGACCCATAATAAAAATACAATTAGTGAAGTGCGATGAATAATGAAATGTCACAAATGAGAGTGCAATACAACAGACGTGCAGATGCTGTGTCATGTACCTCATGTGAATTATAGGAGTCCGAACATATAGTAAGGGGCCTACCATCATCCTGCACCTTTCAAAGCATCAAAAACAGTACTGGTTCGTACTCATCATTGATTGCATGGCCAGCATCGAGGAATATTAACCATTGCCAAAGCACAGCACTACAGCCACAATGCTCCAGCTGACATTCTTCAAAGACAGTACTAGAGAACAGCCTAGCAGCCGTTCTACAACGATATCACAGTTCATGTCAGTATTCAGGAACATGAAGGTCATTGTACTACCTTCTAAGGCACCATCAGTCTCGCCTTTTCGCTGCCAGCCTTTGCGATTGAGCAGGCTCACTAAGTCGTAAGGGATGTTGTATGGTGGGAGTCCCTGGCAGTTCCAAACCACGTCTTTACATCTGATTTTTGTAAGCTCAAAATTCCTGTGAGGGATTGGGTGGCCAATATAATCAGTCTTTGCACTTTTGTACTGACAGACGCACTGTGTCCAAATCATAAAGCCTGTGGTTGTGAACGCACGGATCACAAGGTGCTTCTGGGCTGAAATCACCTCATCCATATCAAGGGGCAACCCACTTTGAACTTGGGAGTAGATGAGACTGATCAGCTCATCCGGGCACTGCTTGTAGGACCATGCCATAATCTTCCGCATATCCTCGATCGTCATGGCAGATGCATGGTTCCTACAGCCACCTTCTGCTCCCTCGTTATTCTTCAGAACTTCCATCATGTCTTGCACCGCTGCGGACTGTGCCGGGTTTCCAGGAAACTATGCCAGTTGCTGGGTTGAAGTGGTAGGGCTCTCGGTAGGTCTCCCCTTGGCTGTATGGTTGTCGGATTGTGTCACCATGTTGAACACTGAAGCGTGAAACCACTCACGCATTCTTCCACAGATCATTGAAAGCCGAGAACATGCCCCATGTTGTGCTGAGACTACGCCCCTCCGTCAATCCCTTCTGGACCAGGAAGAGCTCGAGTGCAGGTGCAGAGTATTGGTTGGGGATGTCGTCGAATGCATGGCTATAGGCATCAATATCAACGAGTTCGCCATCAGCCTGTGTGTGAGTGCCATCCACTGTCTGAGAAGTCTTCTTCTGCTCGAACACGTCTGCAAGGAACCGGCGTCCCCGCACCAGATGACCATCATACTGTGAGCGGGTACCTTTTGCCTTTAGCCGAGGAGCATGCTGTTGCTGAGATCTTAAGCAGGACAGAGGAGGACGATGTCGAGGATGACAGTGTCAAAGAAGACAGTGTCAAAGAAGATAGCGTCAAAGAGGAGGAGGAATAGTTATATTGCCAAGGAACTAAACTAAAGACTCATCCCTTTTGTTTAACGCTGAGTGTCCATAGCCCAGCTTCCGTATTCGCATGCATCCTGTGTTATTGATCATTGTCGAAACTGATAAGCATGAACTCTGTAATCACGAACCTTGCATCAGGCGGTCTTTCGTGACCTTCGGACCAAGCGTAACAGCAGCTCAGAAGCCAGAAGGAAGTTTGACATCTGTTCCTCTGGTATGCGTGTCGTCCAGATATATCACACACTGGCCAAGCTGCTGGGTTGATGCATTCGAGGGAGTAGTGACATTTACTTGAGTCAGCTGCGACAAATTTACTCGTGAGTACAGTGTAATTGAAGACATAAAGAGCACACACGATCTGAACCAGAGCCAACTGTCTTAGTAGCCCTGCTTGTTTGAACGATATTGTCTATTGTGTAGAGGTACCACTAGGGACGGATGTGAATACAATGACACTCGGGCGCGAACAAACTCCTTACCTTGTCGATCTTGGTCAAGTCATGCAGCTGGTCAACACTGTAATTCTTGTTGTACATCGCATAAGCGATGGCAAAGAGTCACATATCCATGGGTTTTGCGTTGGAGAAAGATGAGATGATATGAGTCAGGTCGCTTGCGGGGTGCACCTTCGTGTCGGTCAATTGCGGGATCCTCCATATAGTTCAAGAAAGCCGTGCGTCGCTTGACGTATAATGTTTGGTGTTTTAACAGGCTTCTCCTATGCTGTGCTATGTGTTCAAGGTCCACAAAGAAAGGCCAATAGCGGGGTGTATCGATTCTAATGGACAAAAGTTTGTTGAAATCCGGTATCAGCGTAGGCGATATCAGCTGCGTTGCACCCTTTTCAGCACCTTCTTTCGTGGTGATTTTGACTGGGAGATAGACTGCTTCTCTGGTATTAACATCCCGTTGAAGGATCTTCAACTCAGCTGAGGGTGCAGCTGATATAATTGTTGAAGGGAGGAAAATATGAGTGCGATATGTTCGTCCCTTAGGGGAAGCGGAGAAAGCAAATATCCACTGGTCAACTCTAGGGGGAATGCGCAAAGCGCGTGATAAGGCGAAAGCGCGGGAACAAAGGTGCTATAGGCGCGCGAAGCGCGGGATAGTCGCACGTCCAAAAGCGGAACTGGGTGAAAGCGGTATGCGAGCGATAGTGAGATGTTAAGACGTGTACTGAGACGCTGATAAGACAACTGATGCGGATATGGCCACTAGAGCTAACTGCTACTAGGGCTTGCGATGATTTATTCAAAACATAATAAAAACTCGGAGATGGTGACTGTCTATGATGATGGTGGTCCGTGGTAATGTGTGTTGTGTAAAGTAAAAAATGTGTAATGAAAAATGTGTACCAAGTGAAAATAAACATGGTACGATGTTGAAATAAATGATAAATGGAGAAATGCATACCTGGGAACTTGGTTGGACATGGGAAAACACAGTGGGAAGTCAGGCGCCCTATAGCGCTTAGGCGCGGGAAAATTCGCCTAAAGCGCGTGCAAGTCGCGCAAGTGTCGCCTATGTCGCGGAAGTGTCGCCTATGTCGCGTGCTATCGCGCGAACGTCGCGTTTATCGCGCAAGTGTCGCGTTGCATGCATATTACTGTAGACTCGACCTATGTTGCAATATATGCCATTGTGAGGCTACTCAGGATCGAGTCTCTACACCGTGCCATAAGGCATCTAGGTTCAACTGCAAGAACCCAGAGGTGGCGAAGAGCCTGAAGATAGCTCTTGTTATCTGGTGATACATGGTGGAAACGAGGGAAAAAGGCGACAATCATGCAAGCAATTGTGGCATTCGAAGTTCTGAGGGTATACCAACCAGCCCCGACGAATAACAAGCCAAGCGACAGGTGAGTTGCGACATGGACACCATATCAAAATGCTTGGTGATACATGCCATATGCATATCTCAGGCATCGTAAGTAGGTGATTTCCCCTGTACCAGCCATGACCATACAAAGCACAATGGAAATGAGGTTCAAGCCTTCACGAACAGCAGAGCGCTTGATCTTGTGATCAAAGGCAGGGCCTGGAAAACATCAGATATTCAGTATGGCGTCTTATGAGTTCCGTGAGGAAAAATTACCACTAGCTGCCACAAATCTACTGAACATATTGAAATAATTCGAGAGCATAATATATGTCATCACGCCGTGGCAGATCAAATGGGAGACCAGAGTAGGGGGACAAAGAACTGCAGCGTGATGCAGAGCAGTCAAGCTGGCTGATGGCGAAAATGTCAACAACTGGGTGAGGTGGAACCGATGTACTCGCCTTTATCAGCACAGGTAGCCTTCAAATGTGCAACCAATAGCCATGACCTCCCCAACACTCTTCATTGAGGACCCAACTTTGCGGTTGACCTGCAATGAAAACTTTGCGAGATCCCACTTAGGTATCTTAGTGACAATGTAATCGAGAGAAGGCTCGAAGTAAGCTGTAGTCGTCTTAGTCACCGCGTTGGGCAGTTCTGGAAGGGTATGCCCAAGGGCAATTTTAGCAGCAGTGTAGGCAAGTGGATAACCAGTAGCTTTAGACGTCAGGGCACTTGAGCGACTTGAACTGAAAGAAGTCATGTTAGGTATAGAAAAATATGAAAAGAACAATAAACGTACCGAGCATTAACCTCAATGACACAGTATTCCTTGGAATTGGGGTTAAGTGCATACTGAATGTTACACTCGCCAACAACACCGATGTAGAGACTCCATTGCGAGTAGCCTCACAAAGGCCGTATTTCCACTTCGTCCCCACTAACGCGCGCTATATACGACAAGGCAACTTAAACACGCTAAACGCTTCCGCCTAATCCGCGCATCCGCGCATCTGGCGCCTATAGCGCGCCTCTATAGCGCCTTTCGCATTACTACGGCGCCTTTGCACGCGCTTTCGCGCTTTACCTTCGCGTTCGCTTTTCCAAGTTGCCTGTCCTCCGCACGTCCTGTACTGTCCCTCTATGATCCGCTGGTGCGTCTCCCTTTATCTTTTCAACTGACTTTAGCTATATACCTCGTCTGTTTACACATATTTCCTTATTCTACAACACAACAACTCTTTTTCGCTTCGCTTCCGCTTCGGCTCAGCGCCTGGGAACATTTACCTTAGACATGGGGACTCTGATAGATTTTTCACTTACTTAGTTACTCACTACATCCCATCATCCTGCATCAGTGTATACTGTGAATCAATTTCTATTCATTTGCAACACAACCACTGCGCGACTCTCTATTCCTTTGCAACAAGCTCTCTTGAGAAAATCTTGAGAGACCTTCGCGCTACTTCCGCCTCTTCACTGCCCCCTATAGCGCGCCTATAGCGCGCTTGTTCCACCTCGCGGTTCCGCCTACGTCGCGCTTTCGCCTTTCATCGCGTTAACACGCGTTTCGCGTTTACAAGGCGTCTCGCACCCGCGCTTTGCGCAGATTCCCTTGCTGACTCGTTCAGCGCATCCCCTCGCATTTACTCAAGGAAAAGACTCAGTAAAGATCCTCTTGGGCCGACTTCTACTCGCGTTCGAGGACTACTGCAGGTGACTTATCTTATATTTTTCAGTATAGACCCACTCACGATTCCTCATCTTCACCGAGATGCCTGATGACATTGATAGCAGTGCTGCGAAGCATGTGGTATTCGTCGTCCGGAAGAGTTTGAGATGGTGCAACACCAATCGAATTGCCAGTGTGTACTGAGAGGATTGAAATTCTCCATATTGCAGCAAATGATCATGTTCTAAGAGCATACGCACTCAACTTCAGAATGCACAACAAAGCAGAAATGAACCTACATCAGGGCGGCATTGACATTATATGCAGCTATGGACTGTGCGCTGCAGCGCAGCCGACAATGTTTCAAGGTGCGAAGCGACCAAGGCAAGGAGACCCTGTAAGGACGTATCGGGGGACATGTATAATTGACGAAAGAGATCATGTACTTAGCCATGTTGCTGAAGTAGTAGCGAGCGTCGGAATCCTTCCTGAATCATGTAAAACTGAACTTGGCGCTAGGCCTGAGGTCTGGCTTGGTGAGGGTGGAGCCTTTGCCAGAGAAGGCACACAAGACCGCGATAGAACTGAGTTGTATGGGGTGGTGTCGAGGGCCGTTGGCGTTGAACAAACCGTCCGGCTAGATCTAGTGCTAGTGCGGGACAAAGAGCAATGTGATTGTGACAAACGGTCACACTGCCTCGTTAGGGCAGCCCCTGGTCTGAGTGTGAGGTGCGTTGCAACATTTAACGAAAGGATAAGAACTACACACCTCTAGGAACATTAAGAGTAGCAGAAACAGTAGTGAGAATGTAAGGCTACAGTTAAAGCAAAATTTTGAGGGAAGGGAACCAGAAATGCAATTTTTTGCCGCACTGCGCGCCGCATTTTACAAGAAAAGAACGGAAAAGTCGGGGTAAAGTGCCCGCTGTGGGTATCACAACCTGGCAGGCACATATAAGAAAAGTGCTCAGCCAGTATAAGTGAGTCTCAGCTCTGCCTAGCTGCTATACTCGCAGAATGCAAGAACGTTCAACCCTAAAGGGGAAGCAAGGAAAGCAAGGATCCACGGAATGATGCTAAACAACCCTGGTGAATGGCGGTGAAAGCGCGAGAAAGCGCGCGCGGGAAAGCGAAGTGCGAAAATGCGCGAAGCGCGGGAAGGTAGTGCAAGTGGTGCACAAGTGTAGAAGACGGATACTGATGGTGCCACTAGCTATAGACTGATGCTAGGGCCTCAAAACAATGATGGACACATGCATTGCATGGAACTAACTGGTGATAGATACTGAGTGGTAGGAAGCTGGTGGTAAAGTTCGGTGTAAAACGAACATGAGAGTATGTAAGTTCTACCTAAGCGCTCTCCCAGGGCTCGGAGCTGAATAGGGAGTGCTCTAAGTATGTAAGTGAGGTAAAGTGATGTAAAGTAAGGGTCCATAACGAAATAGGAAGTGTAATATGCTAAATATGGTCAGATAACGAAAAGGGACATACTGAGGGACTGGTTGGACGATGGATGGATACTCCTGGATGATGCGCGACGCAGTGCGCTTAAGTGCGAGAAAGCGCGCAAGGCGCGCATGCAGGAATACTGCGTGTTGTGCAGGAAAGTGTCGCGCCTATGGCGCGTTTCGCGGGAAAGCTGCATAGTGATATGCAGAGTCAACTGAAGACTTGGTGGAAGTCATATGGATGATGGTGCGAGTTGTGCCATGAAGGCCAGTTGTTAGAATTCGTAAAATGAGCCCATATGAGCCCACAGAAATGTGAGTCTCTACACCTGTACTATACTCAATGTTGCCTGCACTGCCCCGCAGGACTACAAACTTTACATTCAACACATGTCATGCACACACTTTACATTGGACACATCTCTGCTCCTGCTTGCACGTACTACAATGCACGCACATTACAATCTTGGCGCATTTCGTGTATCAGCTTGCATTCAACATATTTCATATACGAGCTTTTACATTCAACACATGTCGTGCACATTCTTTACATTTGAGAGATTTCTGCTACTGCTTGCACGCATGCTACAATATTCTGCATCGACTCACAAGACTTGTAACAACTGTACAATCTTCACGCATTTCGTGTACCAGCTTTACATTTGTCACATTTCATGTACGAGCTTTACATTTAACACAATTCATGTACGAACTTTACATTTCACAAATCTCTGTTAGTACTTGCATACGTGATACAAGCCCTTGCATACCTTCTACAATTCTGTCGGGGTTTGTAAGCCATACAAGGCGGTAACCGGCCTTACACGCCAGTGACACTTTTGTTGATGGTCTCCTCTTAACGTTCATGTTCTGTTTTTTCACGGCTCTTTGCTCAGTAGTGACTATGGGGACCTCTGCTTCATTTCACGGCGTTGTTGGACCACAAACTTCGACGACACCATTGACGTCCTCTTCCCAGCAATTTTCGAAGACACTGAAAGCTGTCCTGATCGCGCATTCCTTTCCCCTCTCAACGTCTATGTTGATGGATTTTCAGTGACAAAATTCTAGACAACTTGCCAGGCGAATTTTGTAAGTATCGCAAGTGATATCAATCACACATTTCACTGACGAAGCCATGTAGGATCTTATTTTAGTTCAGACAGCCTGAAAGAAGCTGAGTAGACTTGATTGAACGTACTAGAATACGCACTCAACTATCTTGCAATGTTAACCCATCCTGGAGTATGTAACCTCTCGGTAGAAATTGGTCATAAACGCGCGTGTGCACGTTGTCGTGCTGCATCGTCGCTTCCTCAACCAATCTCTAACTTCTCAATACATTTGAAAGCCACTGCATCCCCCGCATTCCACACAAACCGTTCGCCATGGACAGTGAACCAAAGACAGTTTCCTCTGCGACCTGCATATGCAGCTACATTAAATGGATGTCAAGGTTTGACGCTAACGCAAACCGTGCTCGACCTCTGGACCGATCCCTTCGCTCATGGTCGATTGTGCACGGTGTTGTCGAACGTGAGAACGCGAAGAGACACTGGCACTATCTATTTGCAGAGACGACGCTGATATAGTATTTCCTGAGTTGCTACTGTAAACACAATATCATATTGTCGTAGAGCCGACTGAAGGGGAGTCCTTGTGTCTGATAACTTCGATCAACGGAGTCCCGCACACTCGCAACTTGAGGAGCCAAGAGGAATCAGGTAAAGCCCAACTTGGGCAATGACGCATGGCTTTAATCTTCGAATATTCTGTGACCGTTGGGCACCGAGATAGTTACTAGTCCAACACCCGTTGTGCTCACTGCCTTCGGCACAGGAAGCAAAAGGAGCGACGCTTAATATCCCTTACCAGTGCGTGGTGCCAGTGAAACCCTCAACGGCAGTTGAACACCATTCTCAACTTCACCTTCTACTGTTGGAACCATCAACAAGCAAGCTTCCCGCCGAATAAGTTCGGTTTTATCGGTTGGAGCGAACTCAAAATTTCCAACTATCTCCGTAAGAAAGGCTTGAATTTCGATCACCCTGAGTGAACATTCATATTAGATTCACTCCACCGTTGCCACACAAGCCGTTGACACTCACGCGAAGCGCCATCCGATACACGACCTCACTCCTCCGAGGAATGTCATTCTAGAAAAAAATTGGGCTTCATACGTGTTGTAAGATAGAGACAAAAGCTTACAGATTGGAGTACACTCCTATTGACGTCACCTTCTTCTCTTTGGCTGTGCCATTAAGCCATCTATCCGGATTGAACACGTGCGCGTCCTCGCCCCAGAGCTCCTTGTTTCTAACCGATACGAGCGCACCGTCAGAAGAAAGTATGTTGGCGTTATGTGAATCCTCATACCGATTGTACGCTGCAATTGATGCAACAATTCGGGTACCCTTCGGAACTGGTAGCTCACGGATGACGTGCCCAGATCGTGTGGTGATTGGCTGTGACAACGGAAGGACGTCATCTTGGCTGGCGCATCGGTTTGCATGATATGAGACAGGACAAAATCTCAAAACTTCCTACAATAACAAGCGCAATATTACCACAGCCCAAATATTGTTAGCACGTTACGCACTTTCATCACAGCAGTAGTATATGGCATAGCGTCAAAATCAGCGATTGTGAAGTTGACATCCCCGCGTGCGTGCACAGCCGCTTCCGTTTCCCATATCTCTTCCCGGAGACGGGATTGGATCTTAGGGTGCCTGGCTAGCTCGAGAAGCGCCCAACTGATAGTGTTCGAGGTCGTCTCATGACCTGCGTGGAGGATAGTACTGTGTAATTGTAACAATCTGTGATCGGAAAGTTGTGCAATCACAACAAACGGAACGGACCCACCGCATCTGAGCAAACAACTCTTCCTCCGTTAACTTCGCCTTTGCATCTGTATCCATATTGGCTTTGACTGTGCTATAATTAGATGGCCTAGATCTGAATGAGGCTGTTGAGAACGACGACCCACCAAGTAAGCTAAAGACATCTCGACTGCCTTTGCCCCCCAATATCATCTCTGCCTTGTCTTTCACCAACTGCTTTGCAACAGATGTCGCCAAGTAACCTGTCTCACGCATGCGCACGATACGTGGGTTTTGGCCCTTCTCTACGAAGTATTCGAGAATTCGACGTGGGATATACTTTGAAATCCCCTGAAAGAGTACCTGCCCATCCGACGGGGATCCAAATGTGTCAAACCTATTGCAACGAAGTCACATTCAACTCAGATCGGTTAAGGGAAAGCCACATGCTTGGCAAAAATCAAGACTGACATTCCATTCCTGTATGAGCGCGCAAGGGCGCTTTCATTATTGTCAATGGAGCTGAAGCGGACATCAAAAGCAGCTGAAAAGGAGATGAGAAAAAGGTGCTTGTGTAACCTAGATAGCATATACCTTCGCCGATAGCATCCAAGGTTGCGCGGGACAGCCAGGCAGGAATATTTAACACCACTGACCCCTCCTCAGAGTTATTGATGATTTCCGTCCATTTGTTGCTCATCTGTGAGAATTTACGTTATTGACGGGAGTTGAGAGTATTCAGTGACTTCGATGCCCACAGACTCGGCGCAGTTCTTGAATAATAATAAGAAGGCTTTGGACTCCGGTCCACCGAATCCAGGGAGCATTATTCTCCTGTGTCGTTTGTGATCGTCACCTTCGAAAGTTAACTACAGATTCCACGTTTTGATTTGGTGGCTAAAGACCTACCCTCCGCCCAGATAATCCCCTTTCCGTTGATCAGCTGGGAGAGGACTCGGCGATCAGGCGGTTTGGGAAACTGATAGCCTGACTTTGCAAATATGTATTGCAGGGCGGCCGGGTCCGAAATCATCAATTGGTCTTCCTATGAGTCGGCGGAGGATCAGAAAATGTATACCGCAAGCGTGGATTTCATTGCATACGCCAAAAGAGGCCTTGAACCGAACGATATTCCCATACTGAGCTTGCCACTTGAAGTCAGCATCCGCTGCCTGACCTTGGTAGAGTTCTTTCAGATTCCCTGGTGGTCATATCAGCAGCGGAGGGATCCGGCAATAGATCATAGACATACCCATGATAAACGATGCAGACTCTGGGCCAGGAACGTCTGCCAAAGAGATATGAGAGTATCGACGGTACACCCCATAGACGATCGCTAGAGCTGCAAAACCAGCAGTGATAAAGACAGAATCCATGATTACAAGAGATACGGTTTCAAAAAGCATGTGAAGGCAGCTTTATCAATGTCTCGTATGGATCAGATGACACTTAAAGCATGATGCACATCTCTCAACAGCCGCGCATGCATCGGAGGGAACAGGCGAAGAAATTGCCTATTCCTGATGTCTTTACAAGTTGATGATTGCGTGAACTGGGCGCCGATGATAAGACTTGGGCTGCAAGGAGAAATTTTGGTTCTATATGAAATGTTGGGTATGTCATAGGGCTTTACACCAAAGGTTCATCATTCTGTAGGCGGCAGGTCAGCTCCAGCTCTTGGGAACTGCTTACACAGTGGGCTAAGACATCCGAATCCCCTGCCTGTCGGCGTAGTTTTGATGATTCCCGCGTTCTGATTGCAGCTACAATGATTCGACAACCATCTTCTCATCATGATAGAACGGCACAAAGATGACATAGTACTCACTCGTGTCTCTGCGAAACTAGGTCACGAGCGGTCCTCCGGGAACGCTTCGCCGAGATTAGATGATGGCTGACGGTCGTCTACTGACACTTCTCGGAGTAGGTTGTCAGGATACATGACGAATCATCAATCATTCGGCCCATCATATGATGGCCTGGTTATCACTGGGGTATGACGGTCGTATTTTTTGGGACTTGATTGTAGCCGGATCCTGTAGTAAGACCATATAGAAGGAATATAGCCGTTCCTTCTGTATATGATGAATTTGAATTGAGTGTGCAGGACGATGGTCTAAATGTGGCCTCCAAGGACTCAGGCTCTTACATGCACGTGGCAATGCGGACCTAAGCCTAAGGCCTAAACGTTGAACATGACCAGTGACACAGCGAGGGTTTCGACATTTTACTACTAGTGAAATCACATTCGAAATGCAATCTAGAGTGTTGCAGGTTAGGTCTAGATCTACTTTTGATTGAAATTTTGCAAGAGGTAAAATGTCCAAACCTCCAATGTGTGACCACACATTACTTGATTCTTTCATTGGCATTTTTCGTCCCTAAGACGACGTTTTAATCAGCCTATTGTACATGCACAACATGCATGATCCGATATCTAAAGCTAGCATTGTATGTCCAGAAGATATATACAGCTACTTTGATATGTTTTATTATTTGTTATCGCCTCAATTTCTGCGGTTGTGATATCTCGCACATGTGTCGCATGACCTTCATGTTTTACTTATGGTCATTCGGTGTGCCAGTTGCACCTTGAGCTTCAGCGCTCCGCTCAAGCTCAAGTTGCAACTGGCATATAATCATTCATGCGTTTATTAGGAATGGCGGGAAGTGCATGGATCAATATCAATTTGAATATGACTCACGTGCGTGCGCTTCTTCAAAACCTTCAAGCTTCAAGCTTCAAGCCCAGTGAAAATCGACAAGTTAGAGGTAGATATGTAACGATAGACATAGAAAAAAAATCAGGACATCAATTCTATCGACCCATTTTGAGGTATATCCCAAAATTGTGACTTTTCGAGACGCAAAAAGATAGAGATCGAGACGAGTTTTTAACATTTAGATAGGATTCTCGATGGCATTAGATCTTTAGATAGACATTTACATGCACATTATCACTCGATTTGGCTTGAAAAACATATCGATATAGAACTAATGCGAACAAATGAGGCTATCTATGGGTATCGCTTGGGTTAGGGTGGTATCGCCATCATTCGGTGTAGTATCGCTGCTTGCTGCGCCTCACCCGCCCACCATCCCGCCATCCACTACTCCTTGTCCGCGCCCGCATCATCGCCAGTAGTACTGACTCCACTGGCAGCTGATTTGAGCTATAGAACAGGGCCATTAGTGTAGTACGATGAAATAGAATATAGTGGGTAGCACTCACCTGAACAGCTGCCTTGCACTTGTATATCTACAATAGTAAACGGTATTAGATAGATATCAATATAACAAAAGAAGACGCACCTCTTTGTCGGCTTTAGATAGCCCATTCCAGTAAGATGCGAAAACGGTCGCTGGTTCCTTTTGATGACCGTTTGATTGCCAGTCGAGAGCACACAGGTTTCTGTTTGATATGGATCACAGAATCAGTTTAGATTGGTCTGGTAATAATAGAATATCTTACCGCGCAGTGATCTTTGGGCTCACCACCCGCATTGGCTTGGTGCTCAGCTGGTGCTTCTTGATGCTATTAGGCTTCGAGTCGCCGACCACGATCGCGGTCTTCATTTGTTCAGTATGAGTCGTCCCAACGAGTTCCACTTTCACAGCTAGTGAAACTGCATCGGTGTTTGATTGGACCTCTGGCACGGAGACTGGTGTGTTCTCGTTGGAGGGCGGTATCATAGCAGAGTGGGATTCAGAAGGCGGAGAACCGATAGAAGTCGGAGGAAGTTGCTGTGGAATAGGTCTGGGCCGAGGTTTGAGAACAAGATTAGAACTAACCGGTTCACGCTGGTGACCATTTGCTTGCCAATCGAGCGCACACAGATTACTACGAAAACAGATCAGAAAATACTAGTACGTGATATCAACTAAGACGTACCAAGGCATTACTTTCGTGCCAATACGCATTGGTTTTACACTTGGCTGATGAGTCTTCTTAGCAGGCGCAGGAACTACAAGCAGCTCTTTCTTGACCGAGAGCGATATACGAAAAATATGGCACTTACCTCATTCTCTTGATCACAAGATTCAATGCAGGGAATCTCAGAACTTATTGAGGCTGCTGAAGGTGAGTCTGGGAGGCTGGAATGAACACTCGTAGTACTGCCAGTTCGCTATTTTTTCAGTGCTGGTATTGGTTGAACTTCGACATCAGGAGATACAGCTCGTTTCAGGGGATTAGAGGGGGAGGTGGCCAATATATCTGGGATCTCGATGGAGGACTCGTGAGTTTCAGGTGTCGTGTCAATGTCATCAGGAGCGCACCAGCAATAAGTCCAGTAGACGGGATTGTCGTGAATGACAATCCACGAAACAAGTCCAGCTCACTACTAGGAGGTGAGCTGCAAAAAGAAAATATCGCCCCACGCCGACAATCTGAATTCTTCGAGCTTAGCTCTGGCTTTGCTTTCGTTGAGCTCGACACCGCCGTTAAGTTAAGTTCTTCCTCCAACCAGGCAAAATAACGGGTTAGGGCAGTCCCATTGTGAATGTAACAGCGCCTGAACTAGGGAGGATGAGTGCCGCACTCGTTCAATCAGGGGAGGTAAGGGATGAGAAGGATGAGAGAGCGAAGGGCTGCTGTAGATTAGTTTGGTGATTCGAAAACGAATAGATTTCGTGTGCGCGATGCTACCGTGACTGGTTAATGAAGCGTGGAAGACGAGATTGGTTTGAGTGAAGTAGAGAGATTAATCAGTGTGATAGAAAGACCAGTGACCAAGGAAACATAAGGGAGAGGCACAAAGAACTAGCAAGGACCGAGTTCCTCTCCTCAAGGACAACACTGGCAGTCACATTAAGCGAAATAACTAGTGCTGCCGTGGTCCGGTTCGGTCAGGTTCACAGAGGGATGAGCGAGAACCAAGAACCGGACCTAGGTCCGGTTCTACCAGACTTGACGAACCCCGAACTGGACCTTTACGAACGGTTCAGAATGGTCAGGTCCGGTTATTTTCACGTTCGAACGTGAACCGAACCCAAAATTTTTTACAGTGAGCAAAAAAAAAACGTAGATATTTTACAGCGCGCAAAAAAACGTAGATAGAACTTGTACTCGTAGCTACACATCCAACACAGCTGCTTCTGCCTCAACCTTTGCGGAAACATGGCCATTCTTGTATGCTGCCTTCAATAGCTGCAGGCGAGCTGAATGTGGATGCTGCGAGTCCATTGCGTCGAACAGTAGAAGTGATCCCTCCGCTCGAAAAAGCCTGTTCGGAGGGGACGGAGCTTCCTTGAATAGGCAAGTAGTCTCGTGCAATGCGTGCTAGAGTAGGATACTGCAATGAGTGAAGCTAAGGAACAATTTAAGTAGCAAATAAACAGGTCATGATGAGATTACTTACTCCCCACCAGGCAACAATGTTGTCAGCTTCCTCTAGCGGCGAAGACAGATACATCATGAGTTCTTGATGAGGATTATGAGCATGTTGGTCTGCGGCTTGACGGGTTTTGATGGCCTCGCGCATCCACGCGTCACCATACCGATTTTCATGCAAGGGTCTTGTTGGCGGAGCGGGTTCTTTGGCAGGTGCCCGAGTTGGCGGTTTATAATACTTGTCAAACTATAAACATAAGTTCAGGAAGGATAATGAGCAGTCAGAACTAATACTACTTACCACAGCCTTGAGGTGAGCCCTCCTGTTCGCAACGTCTCGAGTGTCCCATCGATCTTCAACATAGGCAAGTTTGTAGTTGGGGTCAAGGACTATGAATATAATTAGATGTGCACGCAACATAGAAAATAATATTAACGCTTACCGAGACAAATGAAATATACATCGGAGTCATTCGTTTTCTTGTAGTACTTGTCGACATTCTTGAGTCCTTGCTTGATTGCATCTGCAATCGGCGCGTACTGGTCATCGTTTGCCATCTCTTGCCACCAGTCCGCAAGGCATTCCAATGTTGGGATCGTTTGCGATGCAGTTGGGTGTTTCGCAGACGAGAATGACTGCTGGGCAGTAGCTGGTTCCTTCAGGACTTGATGAACGAGTGCGAGGTGTTTCCAATCGTTCCGATCGAGCTTGAAATCATTGTAAGACTTGTTGCGAAGATTCAGTACTTCTTTACTTTTGTCGGCGAGGTTCGTGAAGCGGTTCACAGCCTGTTCAATTATAAATATCAAACTGATGAACACTGATTAAAAAAAAAAGACTTACCCAACGTAAGAGTAGCATGCGATCAAGACACTTGTATAGAGAAGCCCAACGAGTCCTAATCCACTGCAATAACTCGAGCGCAGGGACGTTCTCTTCTTTGCAGGCCTTCTTGAAGAAGACATCAGCTTGAGGCGATTTTCGAATCTAACAATACCAGTCAGTAAGAGTATAGAATAGTAATGTAGTACTTACCTGCTCAATGAGCGCAAGGGCTTTACCAAGCGAATCACCAGTGTCGAACACATCATCCTTCTCGCAATCATCATTTACTTCCATGGCTGCGAGCTCCTTATTCAAAATGTCGAGCTCATTGTCGTTCCCCGTATCGAGTGCCTGACAGATCTTCTTCATAAGCGCAGCTTGAGGAGTGAGTGCAACGGCATCTACAAAGTGTCGTGCAGCAAGGTTCAGTATGTGCTCCTGGCATCTGATGCGGTGCATGGCAGGTATCCACTGGACACCCTCTGGATCAATTTCATGAGCGACCTCCTTCATTGCGGTATCGTTGTTGCTCGCGTTGTCAGAGGTCATCCACCCAAGCTATATGAATCATTAGCCTTGCTGCAGGATAGTAGGCCATACCTTACCTTTTCTCAGAGGTTGTATGTGTCAATCGAGTCGATAAGCATACGAGCGATGTTTTGCCCGCTGTGATTGCCCTCGATATGTGCAAAACTAAGCTGCTCGTGACGTAACTCCCATTGCTGGGGTTTATCATCTGGATTCCAAATATAGTGACTGGTGATGGAGAAAAACGGGTCGCCGATGATCGAAGTCCAGGAGTCGAATGTCATAGAGACTTTGCTATCAACTTTAGCAAGACGCTCACATATGACATTGACTATGGCTTCTGCGCGTGCCTTGATGGTCTCAGTGAGCTTCGTGCGGTGAGGGATGTCATGTTCAGTAAGGCCAGAGCGAACATAGCGAAGTAGGTTTCGGAATGCTGGTTTGTCGACCAGCTGTAGTGCCTCGTCTTCGGTCACAATGAACTCCATTATGTACTCTAGGAGACCGGCCTTGGTGAATGTAGGTGCTTTGGTGACGAGTATACTATCAAGGGTAGATTGCCTCGAACTGTCCATTATTTAGCACCGTGTTATACAAAAGGTTAGTTAAAACTCACAGCGCCTGACCCTCGTCAGCTGGAATAGCGCGAGGGTGCATTGCAATTCCTGCAGCTTGACAACGAGCCTTGTAGAGTTGAAAGTGGTTTTTTTTGCTGATAGATATGTGTTAGTGTGAAACGTCAAGAGATGAAAGGACATGAACGTACCGACTAACGTGAGTGCGGAGTGTAGAGATTCCTCCTCGAAATATGTGCCTGCTCTCAGGTTCACCAGCGTCCCTATCAAATATCAGTAGGAAACAATGCACACAGCACTAACTACGTACTTGCAAGGGTTGCATACCCAGTGCGTTTCATGGTGAGTGAAGGTGGTGCGAATGTCAGCAGTACGTTCGCTCTTTGCCACTTGCGCGACCATGGGTTCAGCGCCGTCCTCAGTTTCAGCATCGTCCTCCAGTTCAGATTCATCTTCGGCTTCAGGCTGGTCAGCGCCAGGCTCCAAAGGATCAGTATCGTTGCCAGTGTTGTCATCGTCAAGGCTATCATCATCAAATAAAGATGGTATAACTTTCTTGCAGGCCGGTTGAATTTCGTTAGCGCTGGATAAAGCATGTTTTTGGCTCGTCGAGGAATAAATGTTCTCGGTATCCCGCAGGCGAGCAGATGGCTTGGACGTGCAAACAGATCGTTGAGAACCAGCTATAACTGGCACTGATTTGCAACCTGTGAGAGTAGGTGCAGAGGAAGGAGTAGGCGCAGAGGAGAGGCAGAGGAGGAGTAGGCGCAGAGGAAGGAGTAGGCGCAGAGGAAGGAGTAGGCGCAGAGGAAGGAGTAGGTGCAGAGGAAGGAGTAGGCGCAGAGGAAGGAGTACATAGTGGGACAGTATCATCAGGATCATGATAAAAGACGATATCCTTAGCATCCTTAAGAGATCCATCAGTATTGAGGGCGCATGCGTCAGATTCAGACATGATGATGAGTGAACTCACCTGGTGCTTGCTCCTTTTAACTGCTAACAAAGTGAACAACCGCTCTCCAAAGCCATATACATCGGAGGGTCGCGAAAACAACCCATTTGAGAGCCGGGGGTGCGGGATGCGAGCCTCCGGAAAGAATTCAAAGTCATCGCAAATCCTGAGGATCCCAATGACCATGGGGGCAGAAGTTGAAGCTGAGTCGAAGTCGAAGTGACCATTACTAGTAGTGTGTGCCTCACCGATAACATGAGGATGCTGCGGTTCGGGGTTCGGAATGGTTCGGGAAGGTCCGAACCTATGTCCGAACCGTTCAGGTGATGGTGGACCGCGAACCTCTTTCAGGTCCGGTCCGTCCAAATTTTGGAACCATGGACCGAACCAAGGACGAACCTGACCATTGGTCAGGTTCGAACCATGGTTCAGGACCGGACCACGGCAGCACTAGAAATAACTGCTCGCCGCCCTGGGCTTGCGGTTGTCGTGTTGTGCTAGCAACACAAGGGAATGGTCGTATTGAGCTGGACTCGGTGTCGCGGCAGGGGCGAATGACATGGTGGGTGGATGAGAAGATGCGAAGTGGTTCAACTGTACTAGGACTCCAATAAACATAATGCAAATACGGTTATGGACTTGTGCAAAATACACACATGCATTGAATGCATGCAGGTGCAAAATTTGTCACAAAGTTGCAAACTACGCAATCGAGGTCTGACATGTTTGCATTTTTTCACCTTTGGAAAGATTCTTTGCGTTTGCACGAAATTAGAGTTTTGCCTTCTCGAATTTCTTAGATTTGTATCCGTCTCATTTTGTACTTAGACGTCTATCGGCACGTATCTACCTCATTCTTGTCGATTTTCACTGGGCTTCAAGGGTTACACGGATTTCAACTGCTCCGCTGCCCACTTGTATTACATAAGTAATAATAGATGAACGCTTCGCCGCAGTACCCACAACACTTTGAATCATCCTCCCCCTGCGCATGGGATGGGCTTAATCAGACTCGTATAGAATGGATCTATTTTTCTGTCTGCATCATGACTTATTTCAGCGGTTTGCGTTTGCATTATAAAATACGCTGCATTCTACATTTTGCCTTGGTTTGCTTAGTGACTACTAAGTAGTACGTCTCGGCTATAAAAGTCAAGGACAACGAGTTGCCGGTTCTGTTGGCATCCTAGGACACTTTGGGACTCGCAACTTTCGCTGACCTGACTGACCTTGACAATCCACTTCTTTAGCACAGGCTCTCCCCATATCCTAACCCCAGTCTTCTCCTACCATTCATTCCACCCACCGCTCAGTCCATCTTCGATCCTTCTTGACATTATATGCGTCGTTGCACCTTCATGCCCAGTCACCTGGGAATACCAGCCTATCAGACTTGAAGGTGGGTCACTCCAGAGTCCATATCACCGTCGTATCCATTTCGTGATCCTCACGCCAAATCTACAGTCATCAGCGCAAAAAATCTCAAAGTCCTTCCCGAACATATCCCACAGGCATTCACATATCCATCAGAGTCTTATTATCTGATGAATCTGTAGTGTGGGGTGATACTGTGGCCCTGATGGACTTTTGGATGTGATTCGAAGACTGATATTCTGTTTGTAGATCATTGCAGCCACCTGAATCATCAGTGAAGATTAGGGCATTCTTCGAGCTCGATCAAATGCTATGCAATAGGGAAGATGTTGAAAAAGTTCAATGAGCTGCTCGATCGTGGAGATGATCCGTCCGGTAACTTATTTGCTCCTCTTTCATGCAAATCTACTAACTTGTCATAGATATATTATTAAGCCTTGTGCAACGCTCCAATCTCCCCAAATCATCATCAAGTTCTGAAGAGCAGGAATGATCTGGCCGGCTCATCCTCGTCGTCAGACTGCAAGTATCCTATCACACTGTAAAATCCAGATAATTGCATAGCAGCAATGAGATGAATCGCCTCATCTGGACTTGATTCATCACGACAAGCCGACAAAAATGCAGACTCTGGACTTTGCAAGCGAGATTGGATAATGTCCCTGATCATCAAAGGACTGTCACGCATTGCAAAGGAAGATTTGAATGGCTGTTCGATTTGGCATGCCATGTGAAGCTACTGGGTTTGGCCTGATGCATCGAATGCTTGCTGGGCATTGCTGTCCACAAGCGATGTAATGGTAAGATGGACTTAATACGCTGAGCGACATATCGAATCACATGCGAGGGTGCACTGGTGAACGTTCATCGTGAACTACCTTTTCTCCTGAATTAGTCAGGATCGTCCTATGTGCTTTGGGAGCTAGCCTAGAACCAAGCTCCGAGCCCACGAGGCTCACGGACCCTCTAGTAACAGCCTCGTTCAGTCAACGTGTTGCATGCACCCTTCAAGTGATCAAGTCCTTCCTGACCTGCTCATTTGACTGTACCGTCTTCGTTTTCACCAGGTAGTTATTCGAAATCAACACCAAGATCATGGCACACCCTGTCCTATGGAAAGGGACAACGTTCTTCTATCCTATTGGCAATACATCTGCAGTTTGCCTCACACAGGATCTTTGCCCATCTGAAAAAGCAGATGTGCTGCTTCTTGGATGCGGCGACCCGAGGCATATCCTTTACACCGTATATACAAACAGCACGGGCTTGCAAGGTACAAGCACGTAAATATCCTGATCGAGTGGCACGCTAATGCTCCGTACTCAGCATCACGAAAACTGGATTTTACTTGCTGCGACATTGAGAGTGCAGTCATCGGTGAGCCCAGATTTAACACTCAACGTGTCTTGTTAAGCTAATGCATCAAACAGCTCGTAATGTTATCTTATTCAGTCTCCTTGCCGATGAAGACGCTGTGCAGAAAGTGCCGCAAATTTGGAACATCTTTTTCCACTTTTATCTCGACAAAGCTTCCCATGACCTGCTCATATTGCAGTGCAGGAAGTTGGTCGAGCTATCCAGCGATCTGGATAGTTGGCACAATGGTCCTTACGGACATTTCCTTCGTATGTGCACTAGAGATACTCTCGCTGAGCTGCGGCGCCTTTGGCAGCTCTACGTCAAGACGACGACTTTCTCTCCTAGCAAGGCAAAAGGATTTAAATCCACATATGCTGCTGGTATCAGGGCTTCCAAGGCGAAATTCGGTCTCGTGTGTACATCGAGCCGCGCAGCTGGCCCCCTGTCGATGTATGCGCTCAAGATGGCGGGTGATCACTACAACATTTACTGGGAGACAGGCATATGCTCTGCCGTCCCTAAGAGACCTGCGGAGGTGTCACATCCAAATCCAACCTTAGCATACTCCTTGGCTGGTGACAAATTTGCAGTCCACTATGGAACAGATCCTCTCTCTTGCTTTCATTTGGCTGAAGCGCTTGCGCCGGCTGTCGGAAACACTCACCATCCAGAACAAGTTACTCTAACGGACGTGGTAAATGTCTGCAAGACGCAGTTTTCCCGGTGGTGCACTTCAGTTTCCAAGGTCTTACGCAGCCAAGGTCCACCTTCAAGCCCGCTCATCGTGCGTTGCTTTGTGGGCGACGCTCTGAGCTTGTGTCAAGCCTTTGGTTACTACAATTCCACGAGATCAGCATCTACATCGTTCCCTGTTGCTCCTTGGAAGCACGCGTGCATCGCGTTTGATCCTGACGCTTACGGAACTGGTACGCAGTCACCCGCGCCGACTATGTTTAACATCATTGATACTTCCAATCTCCTTGATCACATCGGCATGTTGAACATCCTCACTGTTACTTCTCCTATTCTTCAGCGAACTCCATCTGCTACGTTGTACACGGAAGGTCTCTACGATGGTAGTCCAAAAGACACGTTTCCACAGCAACTCTGTGGAGACATTGCGACCATTGGGCTACTCCTCGGCCTCGTTCCCGTATCCTTCATTTCGCAGTTCACGAACCGGTCAGGTATGCATGAGGACCTCATGCAAATCGTGAAAGAGCATGCGACTCAGAACCACGAGCGCCTCGCTTGGAAGCTGCTCAGCGGGGCTGACAAAGATGTGACTGATCTTGACAGCCCCATTGACATCGCACCTGAGCAGCTTGCAGGCGCCCTCTTCAATGTTTACCTCGACATGTTTTATTATCAGAACATGGCACGAAGTATGACCATGATGAAGCGGACTTCGTCGTCAGTCATATTCTCTGACATACATTACCATCGTCGTTCGTTCGCGGAGATTTTGGGTGTCGTCCAAAGGAGGGTGATCACAGACCCGTGGGCCCCGACCATGAGCATGCTTCATGACAAGATTTCGGGTGACAGGACCCTTGGGATGGGGAGAAACTTTTATCTAGATCTCTGCTGCCAGCTGCACATTCTCGGCCTTTTCACCGCGGATTTTCTATCTCTACCGAAGGTACAGGAGGTGCATCGCCTTTCGAGGTCTATTGTCCTTCAAAATTGGAAAACGCTTCCGCAAACTGTCTGTGTTGTCCTCATCGTGCCTCGGGATCGCCTCGAACCACTCTTACCTGCTCTCGACCAGGCTGGAAGAGTTGTGTTGCAGTGTGAAGTGAAGGGGGCAGCAACCTTGCAAACATTCTCTTGCATCAACACCGTTTTTGGAACCATCAAGATCAGTGGCAAGGGCGATGTCAAAACTGCAGCAATTGAGGAAGACGCCACTGGACGATATGGAACTTCCCCTCTCGTGGTGTGGTTCTGGGTGCCTTCCGCTGTGCTGATGAATGGGTCTCATCACACGGTCACATTGTCTGTTCTCTCCAACCCAGCAACTTGCTTCTCACTCGTCAGGACTCGGAAGCTGGGACCTGACCTTGCCTTATTCAGTGCGGACATGGGAGATGAACAATTCATGCACATCCTGCGACAGCGTCCTGATGCTGCCCCAGAGAGTCTTGAAAAGAATGTGCAGATTGGCGGTCGTCTCATGAAGACGTCTGGCGCATGCACATTTGTCACGTTGGACAAAGAATGCAAGAAACCTCTGACATTCACCACTCGTGTGGATATCGTTGAACCAGAAATGAAAGCTTCTCTGGCCAGTGGCGCTTCGCCTACTGTGAACCAAGTTTCTATGCATTCAATCGCCATCGTTCTTGGAGACAAGTCCTTGCAATTGCCTTTCCCACTTCCCGTCGATGCCAAGAATGTCAAGCTTCGCATTGCACGAAAGTCATTGTATATTGAAGTTTGTTTTATCTTTTTCTCTATCTCTCCAAATCCTCATTTTTGACGGTGCAGGTCATCTTGCCCCTGAAACTTGCTCTTGGAGGGACCGATCTAATGGACATGTTCCCTGTCATTCCGCAAGGAGGCGATCTCGCTCTCTGGAGCGTGCACCGCGTCAACCTCGACCAATGTGTGCCTTTCAGCATTGCCAACAAAAAAGCTCTCAGTTGGATCGACCTTCAAATTGTCCTCATGTTTTCTGAGCGTGAAACACGCATTCCCAGGGGTTTGACGACAGGGTCCACTTTACTGGATGTCAAACGTAAACTTCAATTAATCTTTCGGTACGCAAGCGGTATCGCGGATGGCAAACCCCCTCTATGCTACGGCTTGCTGGAAGAACATGCACTGCTTGTTATAATCTACATAACGGATCTCCGCTTGGACCTCGGCTCGCATGCCATGGTCGCTGATGCCTGGGTGATGCCGTCTTCTGCCTCGTCTAAGCAGGCCGAGGCTTTCAGGAAGGTTTCTAGAGATGTTTTGTCTAGTAGCAATATGAAGCAGTTCGTGATAGGTGTTGAAGAGAGGAAGGCATGGATGCACCTCCTCGTGGCCGCAACGGAGCGGTGCCGTACCTGGGAGCACAAGACCAACTGCGAGTATCGCGTCCAAGGAGCTATCCCTCTCACTTTTGAGCCAGATGAGAGTCCTATTTGCTCTTGCGGCGCAGGGGTGGGAGCAGAGGCGTTTGTGAAGAAATATCCAACACTTCACCCGCTTGGGCCGCATGTAACGAGGGCAGCGATCAGTCCGGTGTTCGCGCTGTCCTACATGGAAAGGGTCGGTAATCTGGAAGATACCACTGCTACGGAGACCCCATCAACGCCTGCGTCAGCAGCAGCGGTGCGTCATATGTGCGCCGCTTGTGGAAAGGAAGGGGGTGGTCCTGGATTGTTGATTTGCAGCCGGTGCAAGGTTGTGCGGTATTGCTCACAGGGTTGTCAACGCGAGGACTGGAAGGCGCACAAGAAGAGTTGTGTAGCACCATCTTCCTAGATCGTTCATCACGAGTAGATATGATGTCAATTGTTTTATTCTGAATTCATGGACGATTGATGTGTTGCTGCTATGATAGTCTTGTTAGGCCATCGCGTCATGCCAGTGTAGGCCTAGTAGTCCCCCGGCCCCCAGGTAACATATAGGCAGATCAAATAGAAAATATCTTTATCTTGGTAAATAACAGTTACAAATATCGTTGCAGGCTGCGGCAGCTTTTACACTTCAACGTTTCAACCTTGCTTTAACCAGTAGCAATGTAATTGCAGGCTGAGATAGCCACTTCTGTGCGTTTTAACCTCGATCTCGTGCTACGTGTGTGCAGGTTATACATCATTTGTTCATGTTGATCGGCGGTGTTTTATACATGGAATCGTGCGCGAGGGTACACTACCCTTTTTATCAATCAATCAGGATCGTCCTTTGTACCTTGCGAGCTAACCTAGAAGTTAACGTTCAGAACCAAGCTCCGAGTCCATGAGGCTTTCGAACCTTCTAGTAACAGGGCCTGGTTCAGTTAACATGTTGCGGCCTGTGCCCTCAAGTGATCAAGTTCTTCCTGACCTGCTCGTTTGATTGTACCATCTTCGTTTCCACCAGCTAGCTGCTCGAAATCAACACCCAGATCATGGCCCACCCTGCCATATGGAGAGGAAAACAGTTTTTCTACCCTATTGGCAATACATCTGCAGTTTGCCTCACACAGGATCTTTGCCCATCTGAAAAAGCAGATGTGCTGCTTCTTGGATGTGGCGATCTGAGGCATATCCTTTACACTGTATATACAGACAGCACGGGCTCGCAAGGTAACAGTACATGAATATTTTGATAGAACGGCACGCTAATGTTCCGTACCCAGCATCACGAAAACTGGACTTCACTTGCTGTGACCTTGAGAGTGCAGTCATTGGCGAGCTCAGATTTAACATTCGATGTGTTATGTTAAGCTAATGTATCAAACAGCTCGTAATGCTATCTTATTCACGCTCCTTGCCGACGAAGACGCTGTGCAGAAAGTGCCGCAAATTTGGAACATCTTTTTCCACTTTTATCTCGACAAAGCTTCCCGTGACCTGCTCATATCACAGTGCAGGAAGTTGGTCGAGCTATCCAGTGATATGGATAGCTGGAACAACGGTCCTTATGGACATTTCCTTCGCATGTGCACTAGAGATACTCTCGCCGAGCTGCGGCGCCTTTGGCAGCTCTACGTCAAGACGACGACCTGCTCTCCTAGCGAAGCAAAAGCATTTGAATCCGCATATGCCGCTGATGTCAAAGCTTCCAAGGCGAAATTCAAATTCGTGTGCACATCAAGCCGCGCAGCTGGGCCTCTATCGATGTATGCGCTCAAGATGGCGGGTGATCACTACAACATTTACTGGGAGACAGGCATATGCTCTGCCGTCCCTAAGAGACCATCGGAGGTGTCACATCCAAATCCAACCTTAGCATACTCCATGGTCGGCGACAAATTTGGGGTTCACTATGGAACAGATCCTCTCTCTTGCTTTCATTTGGCTGAAGCGCTTGCGCCAGCTCCCGGAAACTCTTGCCATCCAGAGAAAGTTGCTCTGAAAGACATAATAAATGTCTGCAAGACGCAGTTTTCCCAGTGGTGCACTTCTGTTTCCAAGGTCTTGGGCAGTCAAGGTTCATCTTCCCCGAGCCCGCTCATCATACGCTGCTTTGTGGGAGACGCTCTGAGCTTGTGTCAAGCTCTTGGCTACTCCCACACCACGAAATCGACATCCACGCCATTCCCTGTCGCGCCTTGGAAGAGCGCATGTATCACCTTTGATCCTGAAGCTTACGGAACCGATACAAAGTCACTTGCGCCAACCACGTTCAACATCATTGATACGTCCAACCTTCTTGATCACGTCGGCGTGTTGAACATCCTCGTTGTTACTTGTCCTATTCTTCAGCGAGCTCCAACTGCTACGTTGTACACGGAAGGTCTCTCTTGTCTCTCCGGGAGCAGCCCAGAAGACACGCTGCCACAACAACTCTGCGGAGATGTTGCCGCTATTGGGCTGCTCCTCGGCCTCATTCCCGTGTCCTTTGTTTCGCAGTTCACGAACCGCTCAAATATGCACGAGCTCCTGATGCAATCCGCGAAAGAGGACGTAACTCAGAATTACGAGCGCCTCGCTTGGAAGCTGCTCGGCCGGACTGAGAAATTCGCCACTGATCTTGACTGCCCCATCGAAATCGCTCCAGAGCAGCTTGCAGGCGTCCTCTTCAATCTTTACCTCGACATATTTTTTTATCAGAACATGACACGAAAGATGACCATGGTCAAACAGTCTCCATTGTCAATCAGAATCTATGGGGACATACATTACCACCGTCGTGCGTACGCGGAGATTCTGAGTGTCGTCAAGAGGAGGGTGATCACAGAGTGGGCCCCAACCATGAACATACTTCATGACAAGATACTGGGTGACAGGACCCTTCTGACTGGGATGAACCATTATCAAGATCTCTGCTGCCAGCTACACCTTCTTGGCGTTTTCACTGTGGAATGGATGTCTCTACAAAAGGTACAGGAGGTGTGTCGCCTTGAGAGGCCTCTTGTCTTTCGCGATTGGAAGACACTCCAGCAAACCGTCTGTGTCGTCCTCATCATTCCTCGGGCTCGACTCCAGCCGCTCTTGCCAGCTCTTGACGAGGCTGGAACACCTGTGTTGCAGTGTGACGTCAGGGGAGCAGTAACCTCGAATACGTTTTCATGCATCAACACAGTTTTTGGAACTGTCAAGATCAGCGGCAAGGGCGATAGAAAAACTGCAGCCATTGAGGAGGACGCCACTAGACGGTATGGAACTTCCCCTCTCGTGGTGTGGTTCTGGGTGCCATCCGTTGTGATTGCAAACGAGCATCGGATGTCGGTCGTTCTGACTGTTCTATCCACCCCGGCGACTTTTTCACTCACCATGAAGCTAGGATTTGACCTTTCCTTATTCCGTGCGGACATGGGAGATGAGCAACTTGTGCACATCCTGCGACAGCGTCCTAATTTTGTCCCAGAGAGTCCTGAGGAGAAGAGTATTCAGATCAGCGATCGTCCTATGAAGACGCCTGGCGCCACATTTGTGACGTTAGATAAAGAATGCAAGAAACCTCTGTCATTTACCACACGGGTGGATATCGTCGAACCGGAGATGAAAGCTTCCTTGACCAGCGGTGCTACTCCCACTGTGAACCAGGCTTCCATGCATTCAATCGCCATCGTTCTTGGAGACAAGTCTTTGCAATTCCCTTTCCCGCTTCCTATCGATGCCAAGAAAGCCAAGCTACGCATTGCACGAAAGTCGCTATACATCGAAGTACGTTTCCTCTATCTCTGTCTCTCCAAATACTCATGTCGGACTCGACGCAGGTTACCTTGCCCCTAAAACTTGCTCTTGGAGAAACCGACCCGGACATGTTCCCTGTTATCCCGCACGGAGGTGATCTTGCCCTGTGGAACATGCACCGCGTCAACCTCGACCAATGCGTGCCCTTCAGCATCACCAATAAGAAGGCTCTCGACTGGGTCAACCCTCACGTCTCCCTCATGCTGTCTGAGCGTGAAAGACGCATTCCCGAGAGTTTGACAACAGGGTCCACGCTGCTGGATATCAAGCATACACTTCATGTAATCTTTGGGCACGCAAGTGGTACCACGGATGGCAAACCCCCTCTATGCTACGCCCTGCAGGAAGAACATAAGGTCTTCGTTATGTTACACATCACAGACCTCCGGTTGGACCTCGGCTCGCACGCTATAGTCGCTGACGCTTGGGTGATGCCGTCTTCTCCCGAGCCTGCGAAGATCGAGGCTTTCGGCAAGGTTTCTAAACATGTGATGTCTGGCACCAATATGAAGCAATTGGGGATAGCTGCTGAGGAGAGGAAAGCATGGATGCACCTCCTTGTGGCCGCAACGGAGCGGTGCCGTACCTGGGAACACAAGACCAACTGCGAATATCGCGTTAAAGGCGCTATCCCTCTAACTTTTGAGCCAGATCGAAATCCTATTTGCTCTTGCGGCGCTGGGGTGGGGACAGAAGTGTTTGTGAAGAAATATCCAATGCTTCGCCCACTTGCACCGTATGTGACGAGGGCAGCGATCAGTCCGCTGTTCGCGCTGTCGTACATGGAAAGGGTCGGTAGGCCGAAAGATGCCGATGCCACGAAGACTCCACCGACGCCTGTGTCAGCAGCAACGGTGCATCATGTGTGCGCGACTTGTGGAAAGGAAGGAAGTGGTTCTGGATCGTTGTTGATTTGCAGTCGGTGCAGGGTTGTGCGGTATTGTTCAGCGAACTGTCAGCGCGAGGACTGGAAAGGGCACAAGAAGCACTGCGTAGTCCCATCTTCCTGAGGAGATTGTTCATCACGAATTGATGTTATGTAGATTGTTTTGCTGTATTCACGCTGTGTAATGCTCTGTAGAATATGAATTGGGCCGTGATCAACATGTCGATTAAAATTAGAAATCGACCGTTGTAAATCAGTAAATCAACTATATTGTTTGATCATAATATTGTACCGCAAGTTCTTGACGACTCCCGTTCATTTCCCCTGCAACTGAGGCCCACCAAGATAAGGCCTGTCCATTCCGTTGTCTAGATCAAGAGGGCTGTTTGAAGGGGCTGGTGAATGAGATGAGGCACCATGGGAGATGAGGCCGCTGAAACCATGACTGGCCGACTCCAAGACGATTCGCGACGTTGAGTTTCAGGAAGAGACAACCTGCAAAGAACCCGTCAGCCGCAAAGCACGAACGAGTGAGGGAGTAAACCGAATTACAATATAGGATAGCAAGAACAGGCGTTTGATCGTCCAGAGCGTAACCTGGAAATAATGTAATACAAACGAGTCACTCAGTGGGTGTGTTGAGTGCAAAATACAATACAACGCTCGGGTATCTGTGACGTTACTCCTCCGTCTCTAACAAAGTAGCAAGTCCCGCCGATGATGAATGTGATGACGAATGCTGCTTCTTCTTTGTCGAGCTATGAGACCGATAGCTCGGAGGGGGTCCGGATACTCTGGGCTCCGGCTGGATGTGCACGTCTACGATCTCATAGCGTACTAGATGTGACATGATCGTCGACCACGCACCATGGTTGATATCCACAGAGCTCTGCTTCCCATTCACCAGCACATTCAACGAGAAGGATATCCGGCTTTTGTCAATCCCAGTGAGATCGCTCTCGAATGCTGATCTGGCAAATGTAACTGCTTGCTGCGATGATTGTATCAAGTTTAGTGGATGATGATCAGACTAGGGCTGAAAGACTCACGTCGAAGCTCTCCGCAGTGGGGACATACATCATTCGATTATTCAAACGATAGGTGATAATATCTGCAGGGGGTGGGGACTGGCGTCTTGCAAAGGTTCGCATGGCGACTAATCAGTGCACGGAAGAATGGCCATTGCACAATGGGAGGTTGTACTTTTATAATGACTTCATCCCCACAGCATCCCGGAAACTGCAACTTTAGACTTCCGGATTCATTAAACTTATCGACCGCTCTGAGCCGATACGGATGATGTCAGTGGTGTTATTCAATTGCGCGGGTAAATTCATTAAAAAGGTGCCCGGACGTGAGCCGTGGGGCTGGAGCGCGGACTGGAATGAAGGCTGTAGGGCACCACCAGAAGTGAGTCACACGGAAGGTACCTTATCGAGTACTGAGGATCTTGCGTGGTAATCTGATTGATGAGAGGAGCCAACACAAACACGGGCTGACACGGGACTTGAACCGAGTCGGAGGACAACTGAGAGACCGAGCGAAATGTGGATGCAACCATTTCATGTTACCTCACTGGTAGGTATAGCTAGAAAATACTTGGGACACGCCAGTGTCAGTACCGTGGCAGTAGTTTAACCGAAGGTAAGCGGCGTGACTTGTGACTGCGTGTGACATTGTTGAGGGTGTTCTGCCAGGTGTTTTGGCATCATTCTACTCCATCAAGGTATTTTGCTTGTAAATTCACGTTTCTTCTGCTAAGCAGATTCTGATAGCTGCTCCGGATTCACGCGACAGCCAACAAGTCCTAATTTTCTTACTGCTCCACTTTAACGTTCTCTGACAAAATGGGAGGCGCTGGTACGTCCTCATCATTGACTGAAGTCTCCTAGCTGATGCTTGCTGCAGGCTGGTTGTTCTTGTTCTCTGTGCTAATGGCAGCTGGTCTACTCTTCACAATGGTTTTCTTCGTCAGTCTTCCTTCCCATCCTTATACCCACCACCCACCCACTCACTCACTTTCACTCCCTAGATCATTATGTTCTCAGACCTTGAATGCGATTATATCAACCCCATAGATCTCTGCAACAAACTCAACCAAGTACCTCTCTCCATCCCTGCCTATAATACACTCACTGACAAACCCCCAGTTCGTCCTACCAGAAAACATCGCACACGCATTCCTAACAATCCTCTTTCTCCTCTCGGGTCAATGGTTCGCATTCCTCCTCAACCTCCCTCTTGTCTTGTACAACGTCAACAAGTACGTGTAAACCTTATTCTTGGGCGCTTTTTGTGGAGCCGGAGCTGACGCGTCGCACAGGATACGCAACAAGAACCACATGTACGATGCCACAGAGATATTTAGAACTCTTAGTGGTCATAAGAAAGAGAGCTTTATGAAACTAGGCTTTTACCTTCTTTCATTCTTCTACTATCTTTACCGGTGCGTGGTTCTTTCACAAGTGTCCCACGGTAACTCACGAGACTCTAGGATGATCGTTGCGCTTATCTCTGAGAGTGAATAATTGCGGGTGGTAGCTTGATGACGAATACCTTTCCGGACGGTCGGGTAAATCCCGTACACGTAACGTACAAGGCGGTCACTGTTGTTTGGTTGGCTATCACGATCTATTTTCTTCTTATTATGTCCAGTTCACGCTATCTCATGCTCTTGCCAAGCACAACATACTTGGCCGTGCTTTGACTCTTGACCTCGTCGCGTGAAATATTGATTGAGATGAGATGAGATGAGATGTGTAATCAGCACAAGGGAAAATACATATGCTAAGATAATTCGCAACCTAAGATGAAGCTAATGCATGTCAAGTTGGGCTAGACTCTTTCATCCATATTAATATACCAGTACCCAAGAAAACCCGTCCCATAACTTGGGGCTCAATGGTCAATATCCATCCCTACTCCTCGTTCTCCGCCATCACCTCTCCTTCCACGACCCCGTCCACGACCCCTACTCCCACGATGCCACTTCTGCCCATCCGGACGAGGATTCGAGTGCGAGTGCTGGATATATTGTTTCGGGTCCGCACCCGGCGGCGCAACCAACACACTTGCTCTCGGATCCGAAGCAATGATTGAATCCGACCGCATTTTTCTGCACCAACGCACACAAGATAAAAGATGAAAACCCCAAACCAAGTCGATACCACTCACGATGAATTCGCCTCATCCCCACCCTCCATAAGCACATCCACGCTATCATCCACAACATCCACACCCGCAAGCCTCCCTGACAACCCCACTGCTTTCGTCCCCACGATGCTCACTTGCAAGATTTTACCGTCTGCAGGCTGTCCGTTGAACTTGTTCACAGCTGCGTCTGCATGCGCGGGTAGTTTGAACGTAATGCGGACAATGACGTTCTCCGAAGCTTTAGGAGATGCTGTTTCAGAAGAGACTATCGTCCCACATCGTTTGAAAATAGCCTATCAAACCAACCAAAAAAAGAGTAACCATCAATCTCAGTCCAAACACAAAACAGAACCACGCACCTCAACATCAGCAGCAGTCGTACCCCTCACAAGTCCCCTAATCTCCACCACATTCCCCAACGGCACCGCACTCGCGCCTTTGATGCTCAAGCCCTGTCCTAGTTTGTTGTCCCCTGCTGCATCCCTAAGCGCGCGCTGTGCGAGGCGCGAATCGGGTTTGCGAGGTTGGGCGGCGCTTAGGGTGAGTCTTGATGATAGGCTTGGTTTTTCTGGGTCTTCATAGAGGTCGTGGCTCCATTGAGCGTCTGGGTCGCCTTTGGGGGTGCGGTTTGGGCGGGTCTGTGTGACACAATGATTGGAGTGGTGTGATGTGGAGTACAGTAGAGTGATAATCGAAAGGAGAATGCGCGTGTGCGAGAGAGGAGGTTATTCTTTTGATGTGTAGGTTAAGAAAGATGTACGCACGTATGGGGATGAGCGACTGCCTGATTTTGTACGGACAGGGCCTATGGAGGGTGCTCCGGCTCCGTTGTCTATTGGGACGTTTAGGCGTTCTAGGAGGGACATCTCAGCGTTGTCGTACTGGGTGTCTTTGAATGGCTTAGAGGAGAAACGGGTATGTAAGTACTGAAGTCTGAGACCAAGACTTCTGGGTCGCGGTGTAAACTAAAGTACCGTTTCGCTCAACATAAGCTGTGTGTTGTTGTTTGCTGTGTGGCACTGCGCCTTGATCAAACTTCTGGTATGATACTTGTGATGACGTTTCACGTTGGATCAGTACAGGCTGTATAGTTGATATGGAATGCATGTGCTCTGCTGTAGCATATCGTGGAAGGTTCTGGTAATCGGAATGGTAACCGTAATCTGCGTATTGACAAGACGCCACTATCGTCCCCTTGAGAATTTATACTTAAACGTGTGGCAGTGACACACTGGAAGCGACTCGGAATATTTGGGTCGACCGTCCCTTTCAGGTTAAAATACACTACCCAGAGTGAAAGAAAACCAAAGAGAGGGCACAGGCAGGAGATACACTCCAGAATGACCGGAATATCCATGCTTGGTTTTCGTATGCTGAGGGGACAAAGAAAAGTAAGTTTACTGTACATCGACCAAATGCAAGTTACGCACCACAACTATCATCTCGAGACGTCACATATAGTAGTCCTATCCTGCATCAGAACACAACATTGCAGACGATAGGCTACCGTCTCGACGAATAGATTCGACGGGCGGTAATATTTTGTGCCTAAACCCTGGGACCGTATCTCCGCAGCGAGTGCGAGATTGCACGTTTGGGGTGGAACGAGTGCAAAGTTGAAGCGAGCTTGGGGATGTAAGGATTTCGACGTGTAGACTTGAATTATAAACCTCGCTGTCTCTGTTTCGCCCAAGACTCAGATGTAATTAGATCTGACTCGTCGTGCATCGTCTCACCAACGAATCCACCGAGAACCCTCGCCGGCACCCGTCCAGTAGCTCTGCGTCCAGTCAATATGCCAACAGAGAGACCCGACCTATGCATGAATCGTTCCTTTCCAATTTCGAAAGGTACTTCCCGAACAAGGTTTAGTACCTGCAGAAAGGCGATCCTCTGGCAGAGTTTCGTATCAATATATTGAAGCCGTGAGCCGTGAGCCATAATGAGCAAAGTATGTGCCAGATAATGGAGGCCCGACAAACTTTTCGACGTTTTTCTATATCCCATGAGGACTCGGAAGACTCAGGCTGGGGATATCTATGACGGACTGACACGTCGCGAATCAAGATACTCTACGGATGCATCCGCTCTGGAAGCTTGATAAAAGAGCTAGCAACCCGGGGTGAAACATTTGTCCTTCCAGAAGCTCCCGGGAAACTGGCTGATGATATGTTATCCTAGTACATCATATCACTTGGCATAGCGTCGGTGTTAAGTTTTGGCAATGTCATTGGAGAGGGTGAGACGCCCTGCGATGTTTTTCGTTGCCCACGAATGAGCTGTTACAATCTGAGGGAGACCTCCATTTACGTTTCACAGTTTGAAGCTTTCCTGAGTCCTGTATACTAAGCGAGCGTTCACATCGGTGGACTCGTTCGTGTGCGTGTAAGTTCCGCTCGAAGCCTCGACGAGTAGTTTGACCATTTAGGCTGTTCCTTGGTAGAATGGTTTGTGTGTAGAAATCGCCTTAGGGAGATCAAAAAGAACGCATGGATAACTTGAATTGGATGAGCCAATTTTTATTCAAAGCGCTGGGATAGATATTCAGGCAAGGTGTCTGACAAGGTTGCACGCGTAAGTTTGACAACGACGAATTACACTTTCGTGGCGTCAAGTCACGTGTGTAACCTTGTAGTAGGTGTTTTCCAGATGTGTTCAAGAGTAGGTACATGATGCGCGAAATGCTCATGGTGAGTAATGTTAATGAGGGTTCGGGTTGTTTCGTTTGAACCAGCCATTCACGGTACCATAACGGTACTTTGATGTCAACAAACGGAAATTAATCCTGAAATTGGGACCCCGTGTACTCATACAGTACCCGGCTCACCCTTATCACAAGCCAATGGTCGTTACATAACTTATCGTACGAACGCATCTCTTTTGAAGACCTCAGCGTTGTTCTCAACACTCGCTGAGGTATGTCTCAATTATTTCGTACTTAGTTTTGCACTCATGTACATAGCCTTGGGAAACTCCCTAGTAGATGCATTTGGAAACTATATTTGTGTTGAACATAGGCCTTTCGTTTTCAATACGAACAAACAACCATGAAAGGCAATTCACTTTGTTGGCAACTTCAAGTCGCGTCGTGTTGCTCGCGTGTAGTCCGGCAACAGCTCAGGAGAAACGCATCGTTCCATCTTGATTATCGCCGGTCACAGAGACGACAGAGGGTTATTGTTATCCAATTCACTAATTCCATTATTCATCTCCAGGATGTTTCGCTATCAACCTGTTGTCCATCGCCACGTCAAAAACGGACTCGAAAGAGAATGCATGGGAATGTGAAATCAGCTACCCGTTTATCGCAGGCTGACCTATATAATCCGCCGAGAAACCTAGAGAGAGATGACAGAGAGATGATGACAGAGACCTTTCTCCACTAATATTGTTTGTAGCTGCCAGCAGGGGAGGGAGGACAATTTTAAACCCGGCGCAAACCTTTTGGAGTTCGGTGGTTCTCAAATCACAGATTTTTGCTCTATTCTTCGACGGTTCGAACTTGCCCGGAGGACAGCGCTACATTGGCCTTCGGCGTCGCTTCATACTACCGAGCACCCAAGACCAGTCTGCGACCCTGTGCCCTGCTGGCAACTGCGCATCGTCACGGTATTTGTAGGAGAACAACGTTTTTTCGGTCAGCTGACGATATGTGGCCTATTACAACCTACATAGAGTCCTGATTGTGCGGTAGATCCGAGGCTTAGCCAGTAGCTTGATCTGAGCATTCGGTACGAAACATCTACCATAATTAAATACATAGAGCCCACAACCGCTGATCACGAGGCTCCTTGACCCCTTCACAAACCATCTTCCAGCCTTTTCCAACAAACCGTCATTCATCTTGCTCAGTATTTGGTATTCCAGTCTTATTCCGTATGACTTCTCAACGGTCAGAAGAATCCTTGCAGGGCGAAAAGGAAGGCATCGAAGAGGCCAACGCAATTGAACCTTCTCCGACATTCACATCTTCAGCTCGATACTGGTGAGGGGCATACCAACTTTCGTCAAAAATGGTGGCAGTTGTGGTAAGTGAAGTTATTTTGCAAGCAATGTCCTTCATCGAGCCGCGATCAGGTTACCTAAAGACCCGCCACCTCCAGCTCCTCCGTCTCTGGAGGATGCAGTGGTGCGCGAACATTCTATGCTAATTCCTAAAGGATTCTCCTAACAGTGATTTGCAGCTGACACCTTTGGCCAATGCTTCCATTTTCTCTCAGCTCACATACACCTGGGTAACCGATATAATCGTCTGTTTGAACCCAGAACCCAGTGTATACTGTTCTGACGCATATATTTAGGTTCTTGGATATCAACGCACGTTACAAGCGTCTGATCTATACAAACTGGACACATCCCGAGAGTCAGCCATCCTTGCCCCTAAACTTGAAGCTGCATGGCAGCGGCGTGTTAGGGCAGCAGCCGACTGGAATGCACGTCTTGAAAGCGGAGAACTCAGGCCATCTCTCTTCAAGCGCACCGGCTGGGCCTTGAGTGCAATTTCCAGGAAACAAGGCACGACTTGGTCTGAGCGACGTGCAGCGTTTCAGAAATATTGGCAAGAATCCGCAGGGCGGAAAGAGGCCAGTCTTACTTGGGCTTTGAACGATGTCTTTCTTAGTATGTTCTGGATCGGAGGTGCATTAAAGGCATGTGTCTATCTCATAAATGGTCACTGTCAAAATAAATTTACTACACAATTCAGGTCTTTGGCGATACGGCACAACTCATGGGCCCAATAATCCTTCGGGTAAATAGCAATCTGTATTTGGTTATGGTAACCTCTGATGTTCGTTCTTCTCCTGCAGCATATCATCGTTTTTGCAGAGGAGCGTTCCGCCGCAATCATTGCCGGAGAACCTGTTCCAAATATCGGTCGTGGTATCGCCATGGCTGTTGGGCTCTTTGCGCTCACATTGTCGTCTAGCATCTGCAGCCACCAGGTCTGTAAAACTTTGCGATTTGAAAACACGCTTGGCTCAGCTTATGCATTTCAAGTTCTTTTGGCGTTCAATGGCAGTGGGCGTGCTGGCTAGAGCCGCACTGATAACGTGCATTTACGAGCGTGGAGTGAACCTCACAGGCAAAGCGCGTGTGAAACATGACAACGCCACGCTGGTCAACCATATTTCCACAGACGTGAGCAGGATTAATGCAGCTGCTCAGTGGTTTGTGAGTCACATACTTAAGCATACGCGCATTGACTAACCGTGGCCTCTCCCTCGCTACTAGCACATAGGTCAGTATATAGGACTAGTGGCATTCAGATTTCGAGATGACTTACTGTTCTCAAGCCTGGATCGCGCCTATTCAAATCATGGTTTGCTTAACCATTCTTTTAACCCAGGTTTGTTGTACAGTACGATGACTTCGGTTTGTTCTAACGGCGCATGAAAACTAGCTCGGGCTGTCTGCGCTCGCTGGTTTCTCGCTATTCGTCCTCATCATTCCACTTCAACAGCGGCTAATGGCACTGCAGTACCGTATTCGCTTAGGGTCGATGAAATGGACTGATCAACGAGCCAAGGTCCTGTTAGAGGTACTCGGTACGTAACCTTGAGGCTTCCGGGACGTGCAAGGATGTTGAAGAGATGCGCAGGGGCCATACGCGTTGTCAAGTACTTCTCATACGAGATCCCATTCCTTCAAAGTAAGCACGCTGAGTCGAGGAATCTCAACAGGATGCTCATGAACGTTGCTTATAGAAATATTCGAGCTTCGAAAGAATGAACTGCGTGGCATCCGATGGATTCTTCACTCGAATTCTGTGAAGTAAGTCCAGATGGTGATAGCATGGCAACGCCTGCTGATGCAATCCGCCTAGCTTGGCGCTCGCTTCTTCGCTCCCAATCCTTGCTGCTACACTAGCTTTTGTCACGTACACCTTTACAGCGCACAACTTCGACGCTGCCGTCATATTCAGTTCGCTGAGTTTGTTCCAGGTGAGATCATGTCCAGCAGCATACATAAACATGCACCTAATTGACAATTAAATAGCTTCTCCGGCAACCAATACTCTTCATGCCTCGTGCTCTATCGGGTATCCCTGATGCATCTAGCGCGATTCAGCGGCTCACGCACCTGTTCCACGCAGAGCTTATTTCTGGAGATACGCTTGTGATCGACAAGGACCAAGAACCCGCGCTTCTGGTGAAGAACGCGACGTTTGAGTGGGAGTCGTTCGCGAAGGATTCTGGTGATGATTTGAGCTCGAATGGCGTACCCGGCGACGGCAGTCCACCGAAGGGCAAGGACAGGAGCGTGAAGGAGGACATGGCGAAGGAAAAACCCGCTCCTGGAAAAGAAGCCTCTCTCTTTAAGGTAAAGAATGTGACCATGACCATCCAACGAGGCCAGCTCGTCGCTGTAGTTGGACCTGTCGGAAGCGGCAAGGTAATCTTTTCGAATGAAATTCTCGAAGTGACTACTGACCCATGAACAGTCCAGTTTATTGCAAGGTCTAATAGGAGAGATGAGGAAGGTCTCCGGACATGTCTCGTTTGGCGGGCGCATTGGTTATTGTCCACAGACCGCATGGATTCAGAATGCTACGTTGGTTAGCATGGCGTCTCTCTCGAAGAACGAATACATCTAACATTTTACCCCAGCGTGATAATATCACTTTTGGCCAACGATTCGAGGAAGACAGATACTGGCGCATTGTTAAGATCGCTTGTCTACTTCCTGATCTCCAACTGCTCCCAGATGGGGATTTGACTGAGGTACGGTGGATGATTCCAACTTGATAACACTGTTTATACACTATTTCAGATCGGAGAAAAGGGGATCAATCTCAGTGGTGGCCAAAAGCAGAGAGTGAGTCCGTATCTCTCCGTGACAGGACTCAATTTTGATCTTCCACACAGGTCAACCTTGCTCGTGCTCTGTACTTTGACCCTGAAGTTGCCATCCTTGATGACCCGCTCTCAGCAGGTGAGCAGTGTGGTTTATATTATGTCTATATGTCTATCATGCTGACGAATGCCTTCAGTGGATGCTCACGTCGGAAAATTCTTATTCCAAGATGCCATCGTTGGTGCCCTGCGAAATCGCGGCATTACCGTCATTCTGGTCACGCATGCGATCCACTTCCTCTCTCAAGTAGATTACATCTATACGCTGAACAACGGCGTCATTACGGAGAGCGGGACCTACGAAGAATTAATCTCCCGCGGTGGTGACTTTGCGCGTTTGGACCTGGAGTTCGGTGGTCATGTGTCGGAGGAGAATGATGAAGGCCAGGCCAAGGAAGTCACTCCGCATACAGGTATTACCATCGAGGATGTGAAGTTGAAGTCGGAACGAGCCAGAAAAAAGGCTACTGGCAGTGGTAAAATCGAAGGTCGCTTGATCGTCAAAGAGAGGCGTTCGACGGGATCTGTGCACTGGGGGGGTACGATCGAGCTCATCTGAAGGGTTTCCCTGGATTGAACCAGTTTCACAGTGTACTGGACCTATTTGGTTGCGGGACGCATTTCAATAATAGGTCCTCTACTTCTTTTCTTCGTCCTTGCGATGCAGGGAAGCCTAATCTTGAACTCGTACGTGCTAGTTTGGTGGGAGAACAAGTCAGTGTCCTTTTATCGACTTCTTGGTTTCCTTTCTAAAATCCTGGTGCAGTAAATTCGAGCGACCAAACTCGTTCTATCAGACGCTGTATGGCTGTCTAGGGGTTGCTCAAGCGATCTTCACATTCTTTCTGTAAGTCAGTTACCACCGCAGATGGCGGCACACTCACTCAACACAGCTGTGTCGGAATGGACATCATTTCCTTTTATGCGTCTCAAAACCTGCACCACAGGTCCGTTCGTAAAGTCTTTCATGCACCAATGTCCTTTTTCGACACATCAGTGAGTGATTGTGTATGAAAGCGCCCAAACAGATGCATATTATGTTCCTGTAGCCTATGGGCCGAATCTTGGGCATTTTTGGCAAAGATATTGACAGTCAGCATCTCACTAATTTGTACTATGTTATGCTTTGCTGAAACCTTTCGCTCAGGTGCTGACAATCAATTACCACGTGAGTCGTTTGTCACCGCATGGTGAGATGTTGCTTATGCATGATCCAGATTCAATGAGATTACGTACGTTGGCTGCACACTTTGCTTACGGGGACTGACTATGGAGATCTAGTTGTCTATATGCTGTCCAGCCTTGTGGGCTCTATCACCATCGTTTTCTATCCTTGAACCGTACTTTGGTCAGTAAATAGACATCATTTGCGAGGATATGGCCCATTCGTGTCTAGTTATTTTTGTGTTCCTCGCTGCTCTTGGTTATGGCTACTTCGCTGCGTTCTATCGAGCCGGTGCTCGCGAGGTTAAACGCCTGGGTTTGTTATTGTATTTCTGACCTAGAAAGTCACTGTTGATATTGGCCATCAGACTCTATGCTCCGCTCTCTTCTGTATGCCCACTTTTCGGAGACTTTGACAGGACTTCCTACCATCCGGAGCTACGGAGAGATGAAGCGGTTCATTGCCGCCAATAGATACTACGTTGACCTGGAGGACAGAGCTCTATACCTCGTGATTACGAACCAGAGGCAAGTAACCCTATACATATCTTGGCGGTCGCTGATTCATCAGCTTCCCTCAGATGGCTTGCAGTAAGGTTGGACTTCATGGGAGGCATATTAGTCTTCTTTGTAGGCGTCTATTTAATGACAAAACCGTGATCTCATGTTCAACCAATGCTAGGTTGCTCTTTTAGCGGTAATCGACGTCTCCGGGATAAACGCAGCTCAGATAGGGTTGGTACTGACATATACCAGTGAGTTCTCCAAATGTCGCCGCCAAAGTATACATGATGAACTTTTCAAAGCCTTGCTGGCACAAACGTGTACTCAGTTAACCAGACAATCAGCAGACGTCGAGGTCAGGCTTTCCTTATCTTATAGTCTAGACTATTCAATCGCTGTTTGCCTCAGAATAACATGAATGCAGTGGAACGATGTGAGCCGCTAATTTTATGATATCTCGCTTACACCTCGCAGTGGTACAGTACGTCGCAGGGGACACGGTACCTCAAGAGGCTCCGCATGAGATTGAAGAACGAAAGCCCCCAGCGCAATGGCCTGAACATGGTGCGGTCGAATTCAATGATGTTAAAATGGCATATCGGCCGGGCCTTCCCAACGTATTGAGGGGAATTTCGGTGAAGGTCAGGGGAGGCGAAAAGATAGGTGTTGTGGGAAGGTTAGCTGGTTTGTCGGATCTACACATATGTGCTAATACTGCGTCCCTTCAGGACTGGTGCTGGAAAATCTTCATTGATGCTCGCACTGTTTCGAATTGTTGAGTTGTCTAGCGGTTCAATCACTATCGATGGGTGCGTTGGTCATCCATCGTGCCGAATATTGGTTTTCACCCTTCTAGTGTCGATATATCTACAATTGGTCTTAAAGATCTTCGCTCCAAGATTTCTATTATCCCACAAGATGTTTGTAAATTTTCCATGCACTAGCTAACACTGCAAGGACTGATGTACGAACTCGATAGCCTCTTCTATTTAGCGGTCAGTGCCATAAATCTACATGCTCTTGTTTGAAGCGCTTAAAGACTACAAGGGACCATGCGCTCCAACCTAGATCCATTCTCCCAACACAGTGATGCGGAGCTGTGGGATGCACTACAACGATCTCGTCTACTTGATTCTAGCATCACTTCGACACAGCCATCTTCCATTGATGGCGTCAGAACCGAGCAAGCTTCCACTGGCCGCCACGGCCTTGACAGCACCATTGAAAGCGAGGGAGCGAACCTCAGTGTTGGGGAGAGATCTCTACTCAGTCTAGCTCGTGCGCTGGTGAAAGACTGCAAAGTCGTTGTGCTTGATGAAGCCACGTTAGTCATATGTTCTTCTTCCGGGAGCGTGACGTTGATTTTTTTCAGAGCATCTGTCGATCTCGATACTGATACCAAGATCCAGCACACAATCCAAACGGGATTCCAGGGTCGCACGCTACTTTGTATTGCTCGTACGTTCGTTCATGTTTGCTCTCGGTACAATATTGTAATGAGATGATGCTTCAGACCGACTTCGAACCATCATCTCATACGACCGGATTCTGGTCCTCGATGCTGGCCTTATTGCAGTGGGTTGTTATTTGAACGTCTTTCAGCGGTTATCAACTCACTCTCTCGAAGGAATTTGACACACCATCCAATCTCTTTAAAGTTGAGGGCGGACTTTTCCGCGGGATGTGTGAGAGGAGTAATATCTCATTGAAAGATATAGAGACGAGTAGAGGGTTTGAATAATGACGGAGTTTCATGTCGACTTCTTTTCATGTTGGTAAGGCTCCCATACAGTTATGTGTCCCGTAGATGATACATACAGACTTTACTATGCAGTACTCGCCTTGTAGTAGTTTTGAAGCTGAATTCGTTCTTCGCTCAGGCTCGAGAGGATATAACCTCTCTTATCTTCGGAACGAAAACGCAAGTGTCCACGAGCGTTGAGCACGAACACGAACACAGAATGCACATCACCCAACCATACTTCCTTTTTTATACATATTTCAGCAGTTTCTGCCTCTGCAACATGTGTATCTAAGACTAAGTGTGTGTATATTCGATTCAGGACTTGTCTTGTTGCGAAAATAAGCTTAATACATAGCTCCTTGCTCCTCACCAAGCTACGTGGGCTAGTAGCACACTGTAACAGTGCTGTATCATCATGACTCGAAATCGAATAGACAAAGCATGCCACAGGAGTCTCAATCCACCCGAGACTCGGCTCTCATGTGTTCCTCCCTTCGCGAATTAATACTCGTCATGACGAACGCAAACGGTTTCGGTTGACTGTCAGACAAAAGAAATCAGTACTGCCCAGATATCAGTGAAATAAAACTAACATAGCGAGACCAGTAGTATACTCCGGAATCACTGGGATATCATTGCCTTCCGAGTCTTTGGCTTTCGTGATCCGAACAGTGGACAAAATGGAAGCCATGGCAGCCCATAAAGAGAGCTCGGCGAAATGGCGTCCTGGACAGATACGCCTACAGGTTATCGGATTGAGCATGGATCAATGAACTCTTGGGAGTGACGATTACCTTCCATAGCCAAAGGCGAAGTGTCCCGCAAGAGGATCATCTTTCAACTTCCCCTCAGCAGTTAGATGTCTTTGAGGATCGAATCGAGATGCATCGGGATAGAGGTTTTCGTCTCGAGATATAGCCCTGGGTGTTTTTTAGGTTGCGAACAGAGACAGTGTTTAGGCAAAGTAAATACCATTCATTGACCAGGATCATTGACCCTGCGATGCCCTTCGAGTGAGTCGCGTGCAGCAATGAATAAAACACGGACCTTTCGAAATCGAGTATCCTTCGTAAACATCATCTTGAGACGCCACATGTGGCACCCCTTTCCTCAGTATAAGTAAATTGATCAAATAACCAGAACAAGGTGGTCGACCTAGCGGTAGGGTGGGCTGCCATCTGAGAACTTCTCGACAAATGGCTTCAATGTAGGGCAGTAATGGTTTGTGCTCAAAGCTTGGAACGTTATCTCTGCAGACGGAATTGATGTCAGCAAGTGCGCGGGATTGCACGTCTGGATAGAGTAGCATAGCCAGCACGAATGAGTGCAAAGATGATGCAGTCTGGGGAGTAAAACGTTGAGTGAATGTCAAGATACCGACTACATGACCTCACTGTCTCCGTTCCACCTAAGTTATATAAGGTATGAAATTATTTTTAATTGTAGATTTGATCGTGCGTTGACTCACCAGCAAATCCACTGACAGCCACACCTTTCATGAACTCTTCTTGTGCTGGAGAGGTATCACCCGCGTTCAGGAATTTGGCCAAGAGAGAGGGTGGTCGTCCGTCATCCGTCTATATTTGCGTCCAGTCAATACATCGGCAGAAAGATCCGAGGTACACACCATCTTCTCCTTTCCTATTTCGAAAGGTTCATCCAACATCTGACGAATAACCTTCCTACAATAAGGAGCCAAACGTCGATCTGACGCCCCTGGAAACCACGAAGGAAGATAATCCACTGTCATAACGCTAAATGATTGAATTGTGATGATCGATGTCCAACACGTACGGAAAGGAAAAGCCATCAGCAGTGCAGCTCTTTCAGGAGCCAGCACTCTCTTGACTATCTCAATAATCTCCCGAGAGCGGTGGATCAGAGGGTCGCCCTCTTCGCCAGACGGGGTTTCATATCCATATACCGCAGTGATGATGATTGAACCAGAATACCTAACATATGCGGCATAAGAGGATATAGAAAGCCAGATTGAGGAGCATCAACAAACATTTCGAGGTGCTTCTCGAGCTTATGGGGAGCGCTAATGAGATTGACGACGAGCTCATACGCCTTGCGACAGTATAAATCATGATACTCTGCAGACGCTTCCGCTCCGAAAGCTTGATGGAAAAGCTTGCGGTGAGTCCGGAGTGTCTCTCCATATGGCAGATATGCAGTATTAAAGGAGGCTCCAAATCTTTCCTGTCACTTCAGTAAATTGCAGGTATTTGTTCACTAGACATACTCTTCATTTGCTTGGAGGAAAGGGCGGCCAGAATACGTGGCAGAACGCTTGTCCAAAAGCTCCCGGGCAACTTCTATGGAGTTGATGATGATGATATGTTGTCCTAGTACACGAGAGTACACGATATCACCTGAGATGCCATCGGTGTTAAACTTTGGCATTAGCAAGGAGGGTCAGACGGTCTACCATGTTTTTTCTTTCCAGTCAGTATATGTAAGCCAAGGCTGAGTAACGTTTATGTCAAAAGCGTTGCCTACGAATGGAAGTAAACGGGGGCCCGGTGGAAGTGGCAGCGAACTCGAGTTCTTGCTCGTCGACCTCCATGCTAGGACGAGAGGAACGACCAAGACGGCGCCATACAAAGCGAGGTGAATGTCCGATGGCATGATCAGTGGTTACGCACTAGTTCACTATTTCGAAACTTGCAGTCACAATGTGTCGATTTATGATACAGCCTGAGTGCTTGGACAAGTTGTTCTTCTCGATGTTGGGCAACCTGAAATACAGAAGATGGAATGAGCCGAATTCTGAAGAGTCAGATTCAGAGGTTCTTTTAAGTTGCCCGAGTTTGATATTTCATCGCCTCCCATGTTGGTTGTACGTAAATCAATTGAATAAGTATGGCATTAGGACCCTGCAGTAGTGCGTGATCACGGACGAGTCAGGTCGTGGTCAGTGAGGTGAGAGTACCGTAACATTATCATAGGTTAGGTTTATATAAATCTGCCACCAGTCTATAATTAGTAAGTGCTAGTTCATGAAAGGACAAGATCAGTATCATTCCTTTCGCGATTCTGCATTTGAGGTGACTTCCCGTAGGCAAGAATATAATATAATTTCACGTATCAGGAAGTCTAATCCGAAAGTACCCTCAAGAAATTTTCACTATCGACCATGGTGCCTCCTTATTTTGAAATATCGACGTACGACGGACAACTCTCGTCCAGATGCACTTGCGAGTCGCGACCGAACCGGGACATGGCAACCACACCCTAGAATTACGCAGACCGTTCCACGCCGTCCATCACACGTCTCGCAGCCTGGACCTGATCCATCTGAGCCACTCACTCCGAGGACCATCCGTCGATTTACAAGGTCCTAGTTGCGCACGGCAAAGGTATTGTCGTCGTGGTTGACATCTGTCGATGCGTTCGAGTCGAGTCAGCTCGGTTCCCACCAGTACAGCAACGATGAGTGCAGATTCTTCGTCGTCAATTACTTACATCTCTTGCTGGTTGATATTGATACAAAATATCATCCATGATATTCCGTTGACCTACGGTTTGGTTTTTCGTATAGAATATCTGATTGCGTCAGACTCACATGGAAAATGTTTTTCAAAGTCCGGTATATGATAGTCCGCATTATTTTGCCTCCGGGAAGTTAAGTACCCAATAATTTTAAACTAGCGTCAACGATGTGGCGTTCAATGATGACGTCATCAATAGGAAGCTATTAGTAGTAGTACAAGCTTGGACGTCCTCAATATGTACCGATGGTCATGATGCATGAGGCCTGAATCTTGATGAAGTTCTAAATTCTCGCCTCGGCGACGAGTACGTCACTGAAAGTGCACACAACCCCATCTGTCGCAGTCCAGATTCCGAAGCCATGTTATTTCCAATCCGCCATTGAATTGTTCTCCCTATCGTGCATGACGTGTGCATTGACTCGGGCCCTTGTGACCCTTGTCGACCTCAGAACAAGCGCCTTACACAACCGTTAAGGGAGAAAGTAGGTGCTGGTCTGAGTTTCTGAAGTTACTACTCTTGAAAGGAGATACTGTGCGTGACATAGATATTGAAGCTAGGACTGTGGACAGCATGTGTATAGTGTGTCTATATTCGATCCAGGACTTGTCTTGTTGCAAAAATAAGTTTATTACATAGCTCCTTGCTCCTCACCGAGCTAGGCTAGTAGCACACTATAGTGGCGTTCAAGGCGGTTTCCTGAAAATTCGCTAAGCTCGGTAAGCTCCATGAAACGTCGGCTAAAGTATCTTGAGTTTCGCTGAAGTTCAGGGTTAGTCAAGTACGGCGAACACTGGCATGTCGTCGGAGTGTGAAATGTAATGCCTGCCCTACGACCACGACTTCGTCGGTCTGCACGCCTGCAGACCATCTCTCAGAATATCGACCTGTCGTCTCGCAAGGATAGCAAGAAACGAATGGAACCTGCCCGGTCCTGTTACTCGTGGAAGGGGGAGAAGGGGAAGGGGGAAGGGGAGGGGAGGGGGAGGGGGAGGGACCAATACCCAAGATCCATCGCCAGCCACCATTTCGTGGCATAATGTCCCTATGCGGACCAACAAGCTTGTTGATTACCTTGTCGAGCATCCACCAGATTGTGCCATTTTGTTTGCGACCGAGACTAGTAAGAAGTCCAACAACTATCAAGCTGACCTGGGCCACGCATCAGGCAAGGACAAGGGGGAGATCTATAGTGTTATCGCAAACCATGTCTTTCACAATGATGCTACATACGAGAGCTGGTATGCCACCAACCCTATCAAGTTCCGTGACTCTGTGGCCAATCGCATCGCATCATAAGTGCCTCTCTATCTATCTTGCTATGTGAAGTCGTGCTGAATGATGTGAAGTCTACGGAGCAAATTCCGTGATATTCGCTGCCAAATTTGAGTCTACAGGCGCAGGTATCGTGCCGATTGACTCGGAGACGTCTGATAACTTACATCGTGAGTGTCTCGCACATGTCTCATCAATACCACTAATAAAATTCATAGGTAAAATTGAGAAAGATTTTCCGTGGTACAACGACCTCTACAGGATATGGGGATCCAACCCCTCATTTTCTGCCAAAATGAGCTCATCGAAACCAGGTGCCAACCACGCCGGTGACCTATTCGCGCTAACCCTGTCCTGCAGGAGGTTCACAGAACCCTCCTTCAGGCGCCCATCCGCGACTCAACATATCCATCCCTAACTCTGCCACAGGCAGTTCTGGTTCACCGCAGTTCACAAACTATCCCCGCCCTCCTCCAAGTATTGGAGGGAGCTCAACCGACTCCCCAGTGCAAACGGCCTATGCATCTCTTCCCCAGAGTGCTCCACCTACTGGTCCTGCCGGCTCCCCCCTCCAACTCAACCACCTTCTCCCTCAATACGCTCAGGGAGCCAGCGGCGCTGGCGCGCTGGCTCCTCCCCGCAATGGAGCTTTTCCCAAGCAACCGTCCAGGCAGCACCGCTAGCTCCCCCCCTCCACCTCACCTGTATGCCCCTTCCTCCCACATTTAGCCGTGAGGATTATTCTCTGGCCCCTCCGGAATTCAACGACTACGAGCCACCTTCTGATGATGGCCCGCTTGCTGATGGTATGGAGGACCTTCATATGGACGACATGGACGACATCTGTCATGACGAGAACATGTATAATTTGGACAGCCCGCCCAAATCGAAAAAGGCGCGCGGAAAGAAGCGACAGTTGCCTTTGTCTCCCACTCCGTCGCCTCCCCAGTCTGTTGCACCCCTTCCCCGCACCTCCAACCATGACAGTCGCAGCTCATTCAAATCGCACGCCAACCAAGTCATCATGCACGAGAGTGCCTCTTCTGTGACCTCTTCGTCGAGGGCTTCGTCGGGACGGTCCAATCCGTCCTCCCCTCAGCAGGTGTCTCCGACTTCCCAAACCTCGTTCTCTGAGAGAGCGAGCAGTAGGGAGTCGGTGAAAAAGTGCATCTTCGAACAGAGGTCCAGGAACAGGTCGAGATGCTCAACAACGACTTGGAGAGCATGCACTCCGAGAAGCTTGCCTTGTACCAACTCAAGAACGAGCTGGCTGATGGTCAAGCTCAACGCAAATCGGCAGGACAAGGAGCACCATCTCCTACGCGAGGAGCGCGCCCACGAGCGCATGCGGACGCTGCGCTCATTCATCAACGGTTGCAGGAGAACAAGGCGCAGGAGATTCGTTTGCGGGAAGCGGATGCGAAGGTTCTCGAGTTAGAGAGGGAGGTGATGCTCTTGCGTATTGAATATGCCAAGCTCAACAAATGATCTATGTTTTCTCTTTGTTTTTTGCACTTCGTCATATGTTTTTTTTCTCGCCGCTGCATGTTATCATTTGTTTGATAATTCTACAACTACTTACTAGCATGTATGTAGTACATTTGTATGTCAAAGCTTATACTTGTTTCAACTTATCCTTGCCTATGCTGAGCATTTGAGTGAGGACTGTCAAACAGTTGATCCATCAACCTAGCCCTGTGTGCTTGACCAGGAGTGCCTGCATATGACCTATCACCCACCACTTCATTACCATCTGGTCCTTCATACTCTGGACGCAGAGTATGTTGCCCTTCTCTAATGGCCCATCTGGTTGTGGGTTTGTTGCGTTTTTCTTCAAATTTGATGATTCATGTTGTGAAGAATAAGGCAACACCTAACCCAATGCAGAGTAATCTGGAGGTCTTTCTGGGTCTGCATAGGGTGACGAAAGCTCCTTAAGAGACTGAAAACGCCCCTTCAAAGCAGCAAATGTGTGCTCAACTGCGGACACGGACCTGGATGAATTAAATCAATGAAAATCAGTAAAGAAATCTAAAAAATCAGCAGAAAAATTAGGAGATACCCTGGATAGGTAGATATTGAAGGTCTTCTGGTCCCTTGTCAACCTGCCATTCCGAGGCTTCTTGAAAGGTGGAATACACTACTTCTCAAGTGGATAAGCACTATCAGCCCAAATCCAATGGTCATCAGGAAGGAGTGTGTCATGCTCCTGGTAAACACGAGTAGATTTGAAGGCATAAGCATCGTGTGTACTTCCAGGGTGACCAAGTGAATAATCGGCAATGAGGAGATTATGGGGCATAATAACTGCCTGAATTTTTTATTAATTTCTAACCATTAGAATAAGAGAAAAAAAATACCTGACAGTTGAGGGAATAGTTAGACTTCCTGTCATAAAATGCCTCACCATAAAGACCAGGTTTCTCATACAAATTAATAGCTGAGCCATCAATTGCAAAGATAACCATTTCTCCACTCAGGGCAAGACTTGGCCTCGACATATTGCCGAGCACGCTCAGCATCCTCAGAGTCAGGAGCAGGGAAATGGATGAATGTGTCATGCTGATCAAGGAGGGCAATCATCACACGGTTACTGCAATTGATTACCTGATCCAACGCTGACACCTGCCCATTGGCCCACATCATCTGGTGAGATAGCATTGCCGTAATGGCCAGCACAGTTGAGAAATATAGCCAGTTGAATGGCAATGGGAAGTTGAAGGTTGTTTGACCGGTTAGTGAAAATGGGATGATCAGAGATTTGATCGAGGATATCATCAAAGATGTCGGGATTGACACGTAATTTCTTACGGAAGAGGTGGTGCCTAGAGCGCCCAAAATCGTGAAGGAGCTGAATCTGGGGGGCTCACATAGGGGGAGCATCTGGTTTATGAAGAACATGGGCCCTGGTGACCTCATCACGGAGGGCTGCAATGGTATCATGAAGGCGGTTATAATGGGTAGTGAAGCCATCAGATTCATCACTAGAAGAAGAATCTGACAGGTCAGAGAATTGTGGGGTAAGAGGAGATGGAGGAGTGACCATCAGATCAAGGCCGAGATCAGAATCAGAATCAGAATCAGAATCAGAATCAGAATCAGAGTCAGAGTCAGAGTCAGAGTCAGAGTCAGAGTCAGAGTCAGAGTCAGAATCGTAGAGATCATTAAGGGTAATGAGAGAATGTTCTAGCCTGGCCTTGGCTAAGGCTAGTTCAGCCTCATCCAGTTGCTCAAGCAGCTGATTGCGCATGGAGAGACAAGGCATCTTGGGGGATCAAGAGAAAGATAAGCTTATCACCTGCATCGATAGGGGACACCATTGCCGGAAATGGCAACATTTTCAAGCGGAATTTTAATTTTGGTTGGTGGCTCTTCTGCTAGATGACGAGCACAGCGACAATGCTCTACACGCCTGACATCCACGACCCACATGACCAACTTCACTGCCTGCATCTTCGTCTCGCACCCCCGCAGCGCACCCTCATCTGCATCTTTTCCTGCGCCCTTGTCTTTTTCCTGCGCCCTTGTCTCGCACCTACGTCTCATTGCACCCTTGTCTGTACCTTATGCCTGCACCTTGCGCCCTCGTATCGTGCCCTCGTCTGCACCTTTGTCTTGAATGACACCGGCAGCTCCGCGGACATTTGCGTCTGATGGAACTGGAGATGTTTGTTGGGTGCCTTCATCATCCAGGTCCATCCATATCTCCTCGCTGTCTTTGTCACGCACCTTCGTCCTGCACCCTTATTGCATCGAATAGCTTTTGTGTATGCTGCTGAGATTTGTGCATTGTTGTAGTTGTATTACCTACATATACATGTATCTGACTGTGGCTATTTGATCATGATGTTGACCGCATTTTTATCACTAAGTCTCGTTCTGAAGTCCGACTGTGATGCTGACCTGAGCCGCCCTTATGTCAGGATTTTCAGGCTATTTCTTTGAAGTCTTAACCGAAGTTTGCTGACGTTTCATGGAGCTTACCGAGCTTAGCGAATTTTCAGGAAACCGCCTTGAACGCCACTTATGTAACAGTGCTGTATCATCATAATTCGGAATCGAATAAACAAGGCATGCCATAAGAGCTTTAATCCACCCGAGACGCGGCTCTCATGTGTTCCTCCCTTCGCGAATTAATACTCGTGATGGCGCAAGCAAACGGTTTCGGTTCACTGTCAGACAAAAAAAATCAACACTACCCAGATATCAGTGAAACACAACTAACACAGCGAGACCAGAAGTATACTCCGGAATCACTGGGATATCATTGCCTTCCGAGTCTTTGGCTTTCGTGATCCGAACAGTGGACAAAATGGAAAGCCATGGCAGCCCATAGAGAAAGCTCCGCGAAATGGCGTCCTGGACAGATACGCCTACAGGTTATCAGATTGAGACATGGATCAATGAAGCTCTTGGGAGTGACGATTACCTTCCGTAGCCAAAGGCGAAGTGTCCCGCAAGAGGATCATCTTTCAACTTCCCCTCAGCAGTTAGATGTCTTTGAGGATCGAATCGAGATGCATCAGGATAGAGGCTTTCGTCTCGAGATATAGCCCTGGGTGTTTTTAGGTTACGAACGGAAATCTTAGGCAAAGTACATACCATTCATTGACCAGGACCATCGAGCCTGCGATGCACTTCGAGTGAGTCGTGTGCATCAATGAATAAAACACGGTCCGTACCTTTCGGAATTAAGTATCCTTCGTAAACATCATCTTGAGACGTCATATGTGGCAGCCCTTTCCTCAGCATAAGTAAATCGATCAAATAACCAAAACAAGGTGGTCGACCTAGCGGTACGATGGGCTGCCATCTGAGTACTTCTCGACAAATGGCTTCGATGTAGGGTAGGAATGGTTTGTGCTCAAAGCTTGGCACGTTATCTCCGCAGACGGCATTGATGTCAGCAACTAGCGCGAGATTGCACGTCTGGGTGGAGTAGCATAGCCAACACGAATGAGTGCAAAGTTGATGCAGTCTTGGGAGTATAACGTTCAGCGAATGTCAAGATATCGACTACATAACCTCACTGTCTCCGTTCCACCTAAGTTATGTAAGGTCTGAAATTACTTTTTACTCGTAGATTTGATCGTGCGTTGACTCACCAACGAATCCGCTGACAGCTACACCTTTCATGAACTCTTCTTGTGCTGGAGAGGTATCACCCGCGTTCAGGAATCTGGCCACGATAGAGGGCGGTCGTCCGTCATCCGTCTATATCTGCGTCCAGTCAATACATCGACAGAAAGATCCGAGGTACACACCATCTTCTCCTTTCCTATTTCGAAAGGTTCATCCAACATCTGACGAACAAGTCTCCTACAATAAGGCGCCAAACGCCGATCTGTGGCCCCTGGAAACCACGAAGGAAGATGACCCACTATCATGACACTAAACGATTGAGTTGTGATAGTCGATATCTAACACATACGGAAAGGAAAAGCCATCAGCAGTGCAGCTCTTTCAGGAGCCAGCACTCTCTTGGCTATCTCAGTAGCCTCCCGAGTGCGGCGGATCAGAGGGTCACCCTCTGCGCCAGGCGGGGTTTCATATCCATATATCGCAGTGATGATGAGCGAACCAGAATACCTAACATATGCGGCATAAGAGGATATAGAAAGCCAGGTTGAGGAGCATCAACAAACATTTCGAGGTGCTTCTCGAGCTTATGAGGAGCGCTAATGAGATTGATGACGAGCTCATACGCCTTGCGACAGTATAGATCATGATACTCTGCAGACGCTTCTGCTCCGAAAGCTTGATGGAAAAGCTTGCGGTGAATCCGGAGTGTCTCCCCATATGGCAGATACGCAGTATTGAAGGAGGTTCCAAATCTTTCCCGTCACTTGAGTAAAATGCAGGTACCCATTCACTACACGTACTCTTCATTTGCTTGGATGAAAGGGCGGTCAGAATATGTGGCAGAACGCTTGTCCAAAAGCTCCCGGGCAACTTCTATGGAGTTGATGATGATGACGTGTTGTCCTAGTACACGAGAGTACACGATATCACCTAACATGTCATCGGTGTTAAACTTTGGCATTGGCAAGGAGGGTCAGACGGTCTACCATGTTTTTCTTTCCAGTCAGTATATGTAAGCCAAGGCCGAGAAACGTCTATATCGAAAGCGTTGCCTACGAACGGAAGTAAACGGGGACCCGGTGGAAGTGGCAGCAGACTCGAGTTCTTGCTTGCCGACTTCCATGCTAGGACGAGAGGAATGAAGAAGACGGCGCCATACAAAGCGAGGTGGAATATCCGATGACATGATCAGTGGTTACGCACTAGTTCACTGTTTCAAAACGAAAGCTTCAGCTACAACGTGTCAATTTATACAGCCTGAGTGCTCGGATTTGGTCTTCTCGATGCTTGAAACCTAGAAGATGGCTACACGTCAAACCCTCGATTTTGTCTAATCCTGATATAGCGCGAAAACCATACGTATTATATGATATGAACATTGGGCTAAGGAGCATCTGAATTTAGACTCATCAGAATTACAAAATGTATGGCTGGCATACTTATTCATTTACGCATGGCCAACATGGGAGGCGATGAGGTTCCGAGACGGTCGAGCTCGGGCAAGTTGAAGGAGCCTCCCGGTAGTGGTTAGTCTCTTCATATGCAGATCAGAAAAATCAACTTATCATGTGGCCATTGACAGGTTACATACCGGAGTAAGTAGTATGGAAAGTTGAAACCATCCATGTTATCATGTAAATGCAAACTCCCTCGCGAAGGCAGTACGTAGTACTACTAGTACAAATAGTGTCACTTCAGTGCGGTGTTCAATGATGACGTCATCAATATCCAACGCAGGAAGTTACGTCATCAATATCGATGGTCCTGAATCTTGATGTTCTCGCCGACTGCAAGAGTCCTCACCGACTTACGCCACCGAAAATGCGCACAACCGGGCCACATATCGCAGTCCAGATTCCGAAGCCATGTTATTTCCAATCCACCATGTTCTCCTTGTCGTGCATGACGTGCGCGTTGACTCGGGCCCTTGTGGCCCTTCACAACCGTTAAGGGAGAAAGTAGGTGCCGGTCTGAGTTTCTGAGGCTACTACTCTTGAAAGGAGACACTGCGCGTGACATAGATATTGAAGCCAGGACTGTGGACGAGACTTATCAAGGAGACATGAGCAAGACAATGCGGCGATCCGTCACCTTATAAAGACCGACCTCGAACATACTTTCAAGCCTCGAATCCGGAACTAGTCTTCTTGACTTACATATGCTACAAGCGAAGTAATCCAATTTGTGGAGCAACCGGGCAATTGGGGTTAGTAATGTTCAAATGTTTACGCCCAGATAGCCGTTAAATATCCCTGCGTAATTGTCTGCTCCCAACGATACAATGGACGGAGAGGCTAGCGACGAGAAGGCTGGGAGACTCTTTCCAGCTCCATCCCCTCCACCGACGGTGCTCTGTCCCCAGAGATTGCCAGGATGTGATCTCGAGTCACTGAAGGCTCTGCAGCATGTTTTAATCGATAACCACAACAGATACCACATCTTCTTCAATCACATAAAGTTCAATAAGTGAGTCGCACAGAAACCTTGACCGAACCAGTTGGCGAGCTCAATCATGTATAGTCATATAACTCATCGAGCACTGGCGATATATGCGATGGGAGGGAGCGGCCCCGTGATTGAAGCATTCTACCAACAGGATAGCCAAAATCAGAGACCTGCGTTTGCATCGCCCAAGCCTATCACAGAACAGAATTTCGTCGAGCACCTCGGTGATGAAAAGTAAGTAGAAACTTGCCTAACTTTGTCCGACACCGACATCTGATATGTTTGAAAAATAAAGCTTCTATGAGGCATACACAACCTTCTTTGACAAAGCCATCGAAGAGAAGGGTGCCGCCGCAACCTTGGAAGAATTCGTGTTTTCCGACAAATACAACTTCAATCCTGGAAGAGATGCAGCAAGCCAACCAAACATGCTGTCACGATTTGTTGACGGACTCATGCATCCACTGATCCATTGCGGATATGGGGTAGAATTTGGTTTGAAAGGCATGCTTTCCGAGGGCAAGTCACATTGGTGCCAAGGAAGACGAGTGGCTTACTCTCGCTGAATCTCCATTAGGTCTTGCAATGACAGCGTTGCGAGATGATCATCCACGAAGGTTCCTCCCGCTGCCACTGTTTGTCGCTCAAGTGACTAGTGATGTTGACAAAACCGAGGCCAAGTTTACATCAATGGTGCTCGACGACACGCCCATGATCCCAAACAAGGCAGCAATAGAACAAGGAACACATGCCTTTTCAATCCTGGCTCGAGTGCTCAAGGACCCCAGCCTTGCGCCAGATGGCCCACGTCAATACATTGCACAATATCCAGACACACTCACAGCTCATGAGGACAAAATTCGGGCATACGTTGATCAGTGGACGATAGATCTCTCAATTCCAGGAGAGATTGAACGCAAAATGGAAGAATGTATCTGGACAACATCGGTGATGTACGCTGTTGGAGGGTGGAGTGAGAAAGGGTTTACGGCTGATTTCTTCTTGTAAGTATTGATTGCGTCTGGGTAACCCTCACCTATAATGATTCCAGGATGCATCTGGTCACGTCGAGCTTATTCATCCCTTCACTCATCGCATCCTTGTCTCCTCGAGCGCAAGTTTTGTTTCTCCGTGTGTACTTTGCAAGCGCAATTGCATCATGGATATCACGCGGCCGTCCCTGCTTCAATTTCAAGCGCTTCTTTAAGTCAACGTCTCCAGTGCCGAACACTCCGAATAATCTCGCAGTCCCACCAGCGGATAGTGCCCCAACACAAGATGCGCAGCCACCTAACCCATTCCTTCCCCTTATCCAATCGTCCATAACGCACCCGGACGACCACCATACAAAAATCCAACGAGCTTTCGCGCACTTCTCTACCATCTACGGCTTCCAGTCCAAAGGCTACTTTGCTGGCACTGAACTAGATGGGGCAGATGAACTTGACGGCTCGCTATTCCTACGAGCGGCCGTGTTGACGGCAGATCACATGGGATGGGTGGGAAAGGGGGAGGAGGCGAAAGAGTGGAGTTCCGAGGGGTTCTATGTGTAGGTGATGCCCGATTATTTGAAGTGATCAATTCTCTGCTTCACCCTCACGAACGCTTAAATCCTCAGCCTAGAATGAACGGTACCAAAGATGGTGATGATTCTATACGCTTATCCTATGTCGCGGTCATGACATGAAGACATATTGCAATCGTCCCTCCCTCAAATACCATGGCAGCGGAGATCCGCAAAGGCCGTGCAAGAGAGGATACAGGTACTAAGAACCATCCCAGGGGATCGTCGGGTACGTCGTCGAGATTGATGTTTGAGCCAAGCGGAGTTGGTAGTGTACCATGAGTCACCGTGGGTGATTTCGAACCATTGCTGAAGCGCAGTCAGCACACAGAGCAACGACTTGGCATCATGACTGTAGCGCACATCCGCACGAAGCGCTGCCACATCTTCACTTTCCACATGACTAAAGACCCGCGAAAACTGGTGTGGGAAGTGAAATATAGAGAAGTCAATGCTTTCGCATATATCAAGACCGAAGAAGATGAAGAAGAACGCCTGAAGAGTTTTCCCCAGCCTGAAGTCGCGCGACCATGAGTTGGAAAATGAAAATCATCGGCCCGCCGGGGAGTCATTAATACCCCCTATTATGGGATCTGAGATCGTGCATTGACGTGTTCCCACGGTTACTGAGTCTGTTCAACATCATCTTACACCGTCCTCTGAACTTTCCATGCGTTACCGCCGTCATGCATGATACTGAAAGCGACTTGAAATGTGACCTCATCTCAACCCCACTTTCAAAAAAAGAATGTGCATGTAGCAGTTGGGATATATCAGACGTGTCTTCAAAGTACGCGAACGACGACAAGTTTTGCTTCTTGACAAGGTGCAGAAGCTGACTGATAGAGATTATCGCGAAGTACGTCCTGACCTCTACCTGACACGACTTATTTTAGTATGGGTATAAGATCATGTCTTACAGATGGCATCCCTTCTTGATGTTATGACAATGAGTTCGGGTAGCCTCTTTCGCGTTCACAAAGGATAAGCTAGATTGGGAGGTAGCTACAAATATATCTTATCTGTGCTGGTATTGAAGACTACGCGTTCTTTGCGAAGGTGGCAATTGCAACTCGCGGGGTCACCGCTGCATCCATGATGATACCGGGCCTGTCCCACGAATCTATTCATGGGACTGACGTGTCGAATCGTGTTGGGGCGGAATATAGAAAAAGTAGGTTGCCAAAACCTAATTTGTCTTGTCTCACTCATACTCCACACACTCAGGATAAAGGTACCCCCGCCAGTCAGAACTGGAGATCTCTCTCCGAGGAGATCGAAAAGATCATAGTCAGGTTACACACTACCATTCGAAAGCGCGGGATCTCTTTACTTGAGCCCTCTCTTCACTTCGTTGTCGGACCAATAATCAGCACACTGTTTTTACCGTGCTCTCAATGGCATTGTTGGGTTCCCGACACATCTCACCAAATGTCGACCCCAACAGATGTCCTTTCTCTGCCGTATCTGAAAGTCTTTCGAGCAATCGACGGGCAGAGGTGAGTGGGAGTCATTCACTACTGGTACGAAAAGTAAGAACATGCCTTTATAGCTAAGCGAGTGGCTTATCAAAGCGGAAGGGATTCCGCTTTGAGTGGGGTGCCTCTCGTTACATATGCAGATACAGGTCGAGTAACTGGCCTCATCGGCTTTGAAGCAGCAACCGTTAACTCTCCATGGGAATGCGCAGTGATCCCACGATGGTTGCAAGATGCAGTCGACCAAGAGTCCAGTTACGAAGGCAGATCTAGTGGAGTGAGATGCGTTTTGCCTGCCGCATTTTTCTCATCAATGGAAGTGTCCGACTGATGTCCAGAGTGGCGAAGCGTGCGACATGGGTTGTCCTTTTCGAGGGTTTACACACCTGCTATGCTTCCAACAATTTTGTCATGTGGGCAAATAAACGTCTCGAACGTGTTAAAACTCATCCCGGAATCGAATTGCCTGAAACGAACGTGCAACAACGATATATTTCGCAAGTCGTCTCGTGCACTAGCAACGCATCTCAGAACTTAGTTATGAAGTCACTATTCCAGCATCGCTACACCTAGGAAATCGAGTGAAGATCGTAGTAAGTCAACGGTAATCGTACAAGGTTCCTAGACTGAACCCCGCAGCCTGAGGATAGTAGTGTTGTAGTATGGCATTATTGTCCGGGTCAGTACTAATGTAAAGTATCGTGTGCAGGACCAAGTCACCTGGCTAGTCAATACAGAATCATTTCTGCAATCTTGCCAGCTCTCTCCCGACTTCCCGAAGCCGAAAGCGATTGCCTCGTCGACCAGTAAGGTTCGCCTGTCGTTGCCAGTGTTAATCTGCGATCGAGTAATTTGGGGTGTATGTGGAAAATGTGAGCTTTGACCCAGATAGTCATCCCACGGCTGATCTGTCGCACCCATAGCTGAAATTTCGGATTTCCCTCTTTCTTGCAGGAGTGGACATAGACATCACCGATCTTGGGTGCTATGCACTCGCGCGGGTACCGAAGCTCTGATGAGCTCCCGGACTTGTACCAGCCCATGAAGAGATCCTTGTTGTTAAGCTTGCGCTCTATTCGGAGAAGTTTTGAGGTATTCGTGGCTGGAGAAACGCGTCGCTCTTTCTTTGTCTCGGCCTCCTTTGCCACCGACTCCTGTCTCTCTATCTCTGGTTTCTCTATGACCATTCGTTCGATTTCCCCTTTCCCTGCCTCCTTGGTTGCTAACTCCATTTTCTGTACCTCCATTCTTTCCATCTCCAATTTTTCTGCCTCCCTGTTCGCTGCCTCCCTTCTCGAGTCTGCTTCTCCTTTAACTGTTCCACCTTTTTCTTTCTCCGTTGTCGTATCTCTCATTGCCGGGCTAGATATTTCTGACATAAAAAATGCGTCTGATTCATCGGGCGTAACGATAGAGTCTACATGGCTGCCAGGCGCAGAATACTGCACGTTAAGGCTGGCAGGAGCCGGAACACTCATCGTTTCGTGGGTAGCTTTAGAGTCTGGTTGATGTCTAGAACTGATGTCAGATCGAGTATGTGCGCGAATAACGACGCCTACTTGGACCAGAACCTTCGGGGAACATAAGATCTATCACTGCTGTCAGATTGGCTTCCATGTGAATAACAACACCTACTGGGAAGAGAGTATTTGTGGAACATCGGAAATTGATTGATTGTGATTCACTGTTGTGGCGTCGTGCATGGGGGCTGGCACGGCACCTGAATTCTCATCTGTGTAGCATGAAGACTTGACGAAATTGGCGTGCTCTGGCGGAACCTGCTGCACGCATGGCTGGGGATGGGTCCCGCAGCGTGAAGGTGTAATATGCTCATGTTCTGCCAGAATCTGCTGTACGCATGACTGGGGATGGATCCTGCAGGCCTAATCAGAACTCATAAGGACCTCTCATTGTGATAAACTGACCTCAAACTCGGTGACTGGATATAACATCCTCCTGAGTCCAGCACCTGTGAGGGTTGTTCAAACTGCGTTGTGGCACATTAACACAAGGCGCCACAGAAAATAATCCGTTACTGACCACTTCGATATCTAGCTTCCATCTTGGTTCCCACTGGTTGGCAGAAGGTGCGCCTAAGGACACGTTAAGTCCAGGACGTAGCGATTGCGCCAGATGTTGCGACGAAGTCGGCTCGGGCATCTGAAAAGTCAAGGGTGTCAGTGTATTTCTTCAGAAAGGGTAACTGCGCACTTGTGATCGGACTTGCACGTATGGGTTTTGAGATGGATCAGAGTAGCGCGCGAGAGTCTCCTGGAGGCTCGCGTTGAACATCAGTACTTGCTAGCTGCCGCCACTGAATCCGTTATCAAGAGATTTATAAAGCAAGAAGAAATGGCAGATTCATATCGATTTATATTCGCTGCCTCGTGTCATACTGTCGATCAAAGAGCCACCGACCACAGGTAGATAAGGCGTGAAGTTGTCGCGTTTGCACTGGATGACGCTACGTACTTACTGCAGAACATTGTATTAACTGCAGAACTTTTGCTCCATTTGGTCATGAAGAACAATTTTCTGAAGGTGCAACCGTCTTCACTGAAACTCTAAATTTACATAGACAATAAAAATACACGAGCCAGACCTGCAACACGTTGTCTACACAACTCCGCTGTCCGATGAAAGGCGCATGGTGTGCCATCTAACAAAGGACGAATCAGAAACAAGTTTCCAAGAGAACAAAGAATATCAGGATGTCAAGTTGTGGAGCACGCCCTCGAAAGAGGTCAACTCCCTGAAGAAATTCAACGAAAAAAAAACCAACATCATAAGTCAACCAAAACAAAACAGGTACTCACCATAATCAAAACCTGCGCACAAAATCGGATGGGTCGAACGGCGAACGTTCGGAAGCTCGAAAAATAACGCCACAAGGCAGGAAACCACATCGAATGAGAGTAAGCCCCATTGAGTTGATGACATGCCAGAAGCAGTGTCGACAATCGCATAACTATGTCTATGAGCAACGAAGCGCCAACCGTCTTCCAAGATACTCAAACACGACCACGCTCGTATCTTCGCATGGCCGTGCAGTTGGAAGAGCACTCGGAGTCGAGAAAGCAACAGGGTAGGCAAGCGGAACTGGTCCTGAGCCTGATGGCAACAAGTCCAGTAAATCGACCTTCCCGACCAGTCTCGTTCCCCGCAGCGCTCTTAGAGCTGGGAGATTTCCATTGCGAACAAGAAGGTATAACCCTGTTTCTCCGGGGACTTTCCCCGCAGCCAAAGAAGAAAGTAAAACCTTTCCGTGCGTGTGCTGCGACAGCGAATCTTCAGACGATGCAGTTGAAGGGATAAAATTTTGACAACTACTGTTATGGGCATAATTTAAACTCCGAACTTGATTTCGAGGCGCCGGCCGGTGCGGGGTTGCGACACATGCAGTGTCATGCACCAAAGCCCTTGTTAACCGACTTTCACCGTGTTCTCCTATGAGTAACCAAATGGACTCTCCAGACGCGGAAAACAAGGATTCTACTGGAAAGGAGCTACCTCATAACACTTCCACTCAATCCACCACGCGCAAGGAACCTCAAAGCCGCTCAAGTATGTGGCCACTTCCCTCTATTTCAGTGACTCGGCACCCCTCTGGCAAGCTGCCAATCTTCTTTATTCCCTAGATTCAAGTTTAACATCATCCGTTCTTTTACAGGAAAGTTTTCACCACAGACTGATGAGCGCTGCTTTTCGTACTGCTCTCAGACTACCCGCGGACGCACTGAAGGCCGTGAACCAACATGTCGTTCGGTGTGCTTCCGCAGGGTCTTCGCTCATGAAGTCAGAACGGCAATCGCCCATGATGATGCACTAAAGGAGAAAGCCGCTCAAAAGGATTACGGTTTCCCCCTCCCACCTGAGGGCCAGCCTAATGTAGATAGCTTATCATCGTCCAAGTCTGATGACATACGGTATTGGGAGGAGGGCTGGTACCTCTGGACGAGTAGGAGTCGATGGGCAACACAAGAGAGATTGGACCTCATGATGTGGGACCTGGACCACCAGGATCATTGGCAGCGCCATAAGGACGAGGTGCAGAAACAGTGGGACGAGTATTGGGCAGAACATCAGAGACAGTCAGGAGAGCAGTTTCACGGCACGCCTACAGACAACATCCAGCTCGAGGGCACACCATATCCAGTCGATGGGCAGGTGTTCCCTAAGCAAGAGGCCAGGCACCCATGGTGAGTCACTTACGGCGTTAATCACAAATCAGGCTTAATCATATTTGTTCCAGGCAAGAGTCTAATTTAGTAAAACTACCTCCTCCCCTCACCCCTCTGTTGGAACCAATCCACGACCTTCTTTCACCATCCTTCAAGGTTTTGACCACTTTGCAACGTAGTCTTGAATCGGGCGCTCATGCTGAACTCGCTGTCCGCATGTGGGAAAAGGCAAGGACGCCCGATCCCTTTGTCCTTGCGAGCACGGTTTGCAGGAAGATGTGGGAGAAATGGAAGGAAGGACCTCCAGATTCTGACACCACTTCAGACCTTTGATAACTTTGCCTACAGTGTTATACCACCCATAGAATACTACTCTGATTACTCACTATACAATTCTTTTTGGTCATAAATTTATGTATATGTTTCGATTTTCAATGCGTTACCCTGGTGTACCATGGATACTTCATCACGAACAAAAAGTATTTGACTAGAGTGAGATTCGAACTCACGCCCTTTCGGACTGGATCCTGATTCCAGCGCCTTAGACCGCTCGGCCATCTAGCCGTATGATGATGACCGTCCTGATGAGTACTATATGTAGCGACCTCATGCGTAACGACATTTTCTCGCGCGACAGCCTGGCCACTTGAATGCCGCCACCGACGCTAGACACTCACTGCAGAATCTTTGATGTCAGCATAAGATGCTTCTTGTTGTACGAGATTCACGCACCGAGATCATAATAGCACCCCTGCCAGATCAGCGGGTTGGGTTGTGCTACAGAGTGCTACAGAGCGCTCTGTAGCACTCTGTAGTGAATTACGTTTCCCTCGGCGGCCCGGCCGGCTGATCTAATGCAGAGCAATCGTGCTATCCACTGCCAGCAGTGAGCACACTCGTCCAACGAGACCCCGTGTTTGGATATCCGATTGGCACGGATCGGCAACTCTCCACGAAATATTTTCGTGGACGAGTTGGAAGCACAACCAGATCCAGAAAGCCAAATCAATTTCCAGGGGCTTCCACATTAATGAAATGTGACATGCTCACCCCTTGCATTTCCCAAGGCAGCTGCAACGCAATTTCAACGTCGCCCAGACGCCGCCAGAGTAAATGAACTCGATTGACAAAGACGGTATGAACATCGCTGACTAGATTTCTGGGAAACCAGCGTTGAAGTACGTACTCTCGAAACCAGATGTTTCAGGAAGCGGGGAAAGTCCGGGGAAACCGGATCTGTGCTCGTCCGGATGCTTCCAGTGTTCCTATATATTGGGACCAGCGTTGACATCCACGACAGATGTTAGCTGATGCAATATCATTCCAGATGGGTCACAAGGATTGTTGGCGCATGACTCGTATATAGACTCTTGATGAATGATATGTAGCGCCCGACTGTGACGAATGCCGGATCAACTTGGAGCTTCGTACATGAAACGACGCCATAAGCACCGCGCCTTATCGAACGAATCGAGGATTCTAGCTGCATCACGAGGGGCTTGAGGCCTACCTAGCGAGAGCTGTCCAGCAACTGTCTGAAAACTGTCCACTAGAAAATAAGAAGCTCGATCGCTTGACAAAGGCGTCCCGTCTTAATTTACTAAGAGATCTTGAAGACAATTCGGCCCGGGGAAGGTTCATAGTAAGTAGCTTAAAATCAGACACGTTCTTCTCACCTGAGTAAACATGACCAATCAAACTGCCTAAACCGCTTTTCAGTGAGTCAGCGGCACCATCCCATGCCACAGTTCGAACTTATCATGTTTAAAATTATCGATATCGATGGTATTCTGGAAAGTTACCGTTAACGTTCATGCACCGAGCTCCATGGCCATCACGGTCTACCGTGGTCTGTCAAGGCCTAGTACATTTCAACAGGCTTGGTGTGTCAAATCGTAACTTCTAAATTCACTCGAAACTCATCATTGATCATCGACCTCAGGCTGCCAGCAGCCGCACCCGTCGGATATCCTGTGCCGAGCTAGCCTGAAAATCAACCTGCCGACACACTGCAACCTGAACAGATCACAGTAATCCCAGAGTCAGCAGACTACTTCAAGTTAGGCATCGAGTCCCACTATCTGACGCAATCGGCTATCGTTCATCCAGATGTTGCGCCAGTCGGACAGTCACACTGTGTGTCAGAGAGTTAAAACCAACAATAGTATCTCTATCGTTGAATCAGTGAGAATAGATAGTATTGATAGCAACAAATTATCATTGACACGTTCTCGATAGCATTTGGGTGTCTTTTTGTGCAGAACCGTACAAACATGTCGGACCATATAGCTGCAGCCTTCCATGCAAACAATATCATCTGCTGCAATTTCGGAAACCACTCGAAACTCACTGTTGTTCAGTGGCACATGACGTCCAGCACCCCGCTCACTTACTAAATACCGGGGGCGTAGGCTTGCACAATGTACATGGAACAGCCGACCCATGGCACTGCGGTGGTAGACTACTCGGGATTCCAGGGTTTCGGTAATACTCAGGAGAATTAGGAACAATTCACGCACATTAACTTCTCGGGCGTATGCAAATCTGCGAGTTTCATGTCTGGCGGCCTTATGGAGATAGTCACTGTGTGAAGGTCTGCACCGTTAACCCTGTGATAAGCCAGCGTGTGGAACTTATCAAGTTAGATGACCGGGGGTAGGTTACCTCCTGGGAGCATTAGAGTGTTTTGGGCCCTTGGCTATCTTACTGCCAGCACGGAATGTCACAAAAGGGAAGGCTTCGAGAAGTAAAGCCTTCATTCGCTCTATTGTGGAAGAAATATAAAGGCTTGCGAATTGTTTGCTCAGCCCATTCATTACATTTTTTCACCTTTCCGCAAGCCCCCTACAATTACTACAACAATGGCCAACAAGGCAAAACTCGAGGCACTCCTGACTCTGATCAACACATCCGCACGAGATGCCATTGCGTTGTATGAGAAGTACGGTGATGTACCCACCATAGACCAGATGGAGCCCCACCCGTTGGACGATGAGGTCGACCAAGTAGCTTTGAAGAGTGCTATTCGTACTTTTGAAGGTGCTTCTGCTCAGATAAGCACGACACTTGCTCCACCTGCCCATACTGCAATCAACGTGAGAACTTGTGATAGAATGCACTCTATTTTCGCTGATCAAATTGCACGCAGCTTGTCCAAGTGTATGATCATGCTTGCGTGCGAGTAGCTGCTCGGGAAAATATTTCAGATATTCTTTTGAATTACCCGAAGGGTCTTCACATCAACGAACTCTCGAAAAAATTAACATCGAGACAAAGAAACTGGCCAGGATTATGCGCCTCCTAGCCACGAGAGGTTGCTACAACGAAGGTAAGGAGCCATTTGTTGCCTGATCCAATTCTTCTCATGATTCTGCCAGTTGATATGGACGTTTTTGCCAACAACCGACTGTCTCTAATCCTGCTCAATGCGAACCCTGTCAGGCACATGATCTTGCTTCACGTGGAGCCAGTTGCCAGGGGAGCAGCAGTATTCTATGAGACACTCAAAGATCCGAAGATTGCGTACTCGTATGAACCAACGGTTGCCCCCGTGATGTACGCCATTAACAAAGAAGGAACTGAAGGAACGTTCTTCGACTGGATGGCGCGGAATGTATGTTTTTAAATATTGCTCGTCATAAATTGTTCCTCATATGCATATGATTGACTCGTAGGACGGCCAACGCGAGGTAGGGATTTTGGTCCCTTCGCACGATCTTTCTGACATCTTTAATAGTCCTATCATACCTCGATGAGAGCTCTGAACGTCATTATGGGCTCCCTCGCTGTCTTGACTCGTAAGTATTTGAGCACGCAAAGACAGGAGAATTTTGTGCTAACCTAATAATAGATTTCCCATTCGAGAAGTACTCCACGGTTGTTGATGTTGGAGGAGGTATCGGAGCATTTTCTCTGCCTTTGGCCAAAACGCACAAAAACGTGAAAATCATAATCCACGATCTTCCGGAAGCATTGGTCCAGGCGAGAGGCGTAAGTCAGTAGGACAACGTGCTTGTCACCAAATTGATGGAATCTAGATCTGGGCGAGAGAATGCCCTGAAGCCCTGGCAGAAAACAGAGTCCAGTTCGAGGATTTGAACTTCTTCGAACAAGTGCCCGTGAAGGGTAAGGACATCTACTATGTAAGTGCTAAACTCTGTAGGCGGCAACCTGCGAAGTTAATGGCGACCGCAGCTCAGAAATATCATCCACGACTGGCCTGACCACGAATCTGCGCTCATTCTTTCCAACCTTCGCAAGGCGCTCGGTCCAAACAGCCGTGTCCTCATCCGTATGTTAAATATAACGTAATCTGTCGTCCCGCAGTCTGACACATTTTAGATGACTACGTGCTCCGCCAGCTTAGCCGCAAGCAGGCAGCAGCAGAAGCTTCAAACCTGGGAGTTACTTCGGTATGTCATGTCCGCTGATCTGCATCCATCTTTGTTCATCCCCGCACCTAGGCTCCTGAACCTCTTCTTCCAAACTATGGTGTTGGAAGTATGCGTGCGTACGAGCAAGACATGACTATGTGGTTAGTACACAACGCAAAGGAGCGAACATTGCAAGATTGTTTCGCACTCGCGTGAGTAACGTTCGATTGCTGCCTTGGTTTCACCTGATTGGTTCGGAATAGCACTGCTGCTGGCTTGAAACTGGAGAAGGTCTGGGACCTTGCCGAAGCATGCGTCTTGGAGTATTCTGCCGCATAATCTTCCGCGGGCTAATTAATTTTTGGCTGATGTGTTCATCCACGTAAGCATAGAGACGGTCGGGGACTTGCTGAAGCATGCATCTTAGAGCTTTCTGTTTTGTAATATTCCAAAACCTTTGACTTATGTGTTCATCCACGTAAGCAATATGCATCTTAAGATTTGCAGGTTTTGCGATAAGCATAGAATCTAATTGTTGGCATATAAAATAGACTTTTGCGCTTCCGAGATAAGGTATAATCACCGTGTGGCAGTCCACAGCTTCTCAACGAGCTTCCACACTTTTAGAACACCGGTACCAATGCTGAAGGAAATCACACATCATCAGCAATGATAAATAAGTACAAGGCGTGAGAATACCTACTTTGCGTCCTCTACTTGAGTGAGCGGTACCCACTGAGCACTCGATGTCTGTGGAATTGTATTAAGCTTCACCTCGGATACCTCGAATACTTTTTGCTTTCCCTTGGGATTCTTGGCGCGACTGCCATTTTCCCTGGTGCATTGATCTGGGGAAACAGCTGGACGAAGTTGCGGAAGCTCGTCTCCTTCCAGTAATACCCACTGAACACGATAGGTTTTCTTGATGTGCGAAAATACATGGACAACATCACCCGCGGACGTCACTTGTATTACTTTTGGAACGTTATATGCTGAGTTAGAGTTCGCTAACTTCTTCAAGGGCTCTTTGTCGCTGTGCGAGGACGGTGGATGCATGAGAAATTCCTGGAGGAGTGTGTATGGTATCTCGGCCATATTGGATGCCTTTGCTCCAGATAAATTAGGTAATGTAGGAAATTCGTGTAAACCGGCCAAAAGTCCTGTGTCCATACAGAGTCAGGAAGTATATCTCAGCAAAGCGTTTACTCACCCCCTTGGGGTCGGCGGACCAGCAGAAACCAGCGATCTCGGCTGTTCCTGCATCGCCACTCAATGACATTTACAGAATCAAGTTCTTCTCTGGGCTTTTTGCGCTCAGCTTTCATTGGATATATAGTAACAGATCCGTTGTCTTCATCGGATGGTATAGGATCGCAAACGAGGCAGAGTTCCTCGATATCAGTTTCTACAGCACCTGTATGCGATGCCTGTGAAATGAATTCATTATGATGTGATCAGGACGCCTTGAACTAGAACGCTAACTGTGGGTTGCGTCCTCTGATATGCCTTACACCATAGACGCAGGGGGCATTCCGAACACACAGGATCTCGAACAGCACAGACGGTACTTCCTAGTTCTATCAAAGCTTGATTTATGTCACCTGGGCGCTTTGACTGTTCTATGAACGATTCGGCGCCTGCCCACAGGACGTCTAGGGTTCGTTTAGATTTGGGCTGTGCATGCAACGCTGTGAAACGACTGAGGAGTCGATGTACATTGCCATCAAGCTAAGACACATTGAGACGCTGTAGTGCGGTAATTCTGGCAAAAGATAACCTACCACAGGTACACAGTGATTATACGCAATAGAGGATATTGCGCCTGCGCTGTATCTACCTACGCCTGGTATCTTTGCCTCCATATCTTTTGCGTTGTCAGGTAAACGACCATGTAATTCTTTGACGGCTTTCTGGGCACCGCTCAGCAGACGCGCCGCACGCGAGTAGTAGCCCAGCCCCTTCCACAATGAGTTGACGGTCTCAATATCAGATGCTGCAAGGTCTCTGATGGTAGGGAATCTAGATGAATTAGGCCAGATGACCCAGAAATCTGAGTGCGGTGACGTACTTCGCTATCCACTTGTTATAATATGGTATTACTGTCGCGACTTGAGTCTGCTGGAGCATGATTTCCGAGATCCAAACCTAAGAATCTGTCTGAGTCAACTCTGAGCAGCTTTTTGAAGTTCAAAGATAAATGATTACCTCGTATGCTCTTTGCGCACGTCCCTCGACGTCGAGCGAAGGGTCAAACTTCTTGCGCCAGGGCATTTTTCGAGCGTCATGGACTCTGTCGTACCACTCCAGGAGGGCGATTCGCATCGGCTCAACAGCGTTTATGACATGCATGGACGCTGGATGACCTGAAGTACTGTTGACCACGGTAGAGCCATCATTCTCGCGGCCCTTCTTACGCGCCTTCCTGGTCTTCTGTGTCACCTTAGCACGCGATGTTTCATCATAGGAACTGTCAGAGTTTTCGGCATAATCTTCCTCCGATTCAGAGACTGGACGTTGTGCGCGTTTTCGTTTAGGGCCCATCGGCAAAGTGAATACAATAATAATAAAAGTTAAAGCGTGCAGTGAAGTGACTCGTGAGTATTCCATTTCAAACTCAGACTAGGCAACGTAGGCTAGTAGAATGCAGATTGGGGGGACATAAGTACGAAGAGTAGTTATTTCCTAAACTCTGACAAGGATTGATAACATCGGCAAATAAAAAGTATGAGAGATGAAATTAATAGGTCCTGTTATTGAGCAAGAAGGTGCAAGCAAAAATAATTGTACACTCTGTATTTAGACTTCTAAATCAGCCGTGTCTGTCCGCCAGGAAGGAAACTGCGCCGCCTTCGTGCACGTTCAAGCGGTGGCAGGTCATCTTCATCTTTGACAGACCTAATGCTTATATCTGCGTCTTGTGCTGAAAGGTGTCGCGGGTGAGTGACCAGGAACAAAGGAAATACCGGAGAAATGTACCTGGTGAGCTACTGCCATCATCTGGCTGTCGCTGTCGCTCATTGTCATCAGCTTCCGACGAGGGGTTGGCTGGAATGAGATTTGACCCAGCACCAGGTGACATATGCCTCGGAAGCATAGAACGTCGCTTCTGTGAAATAGAGTGACGTCAGAGTATGAAGCGCGACCTCAGACGCTGCATACCTTGTTGGTGCCCGCAATGTTGACCATTTCTAGATCAACTTTGAACTTCGCCTCATCTACCCTGGATCTTTGCTCAACGCACTCCACCACCCATGCAATGCCAACGACGAGTGGTTTGGGGTCATTCAGAAGTCTAACGCATAATCAACGAGATTATAGATGATGTTGATAAAAAAACAGCTGACCTATATCGCGTCAGCGTGTTCGCTGAACCATTCTTATACACAATGTGGGTGCAGCTCTGCCCAACACGAGCAAGTATCTAGAGGGAGGCAATCGTTTAAGATCAAGCGAGTGGGGCCATATTGTAACTTACCCTGGCACCGAGCCCTCTCAACATGTCGACGAACAAACTCCCCGCGTCATCACCGTCATCCGTCCGCACATCCACAAATATTGCACACTTTTTTAACACTTTTAAAACGCTCTTACCTGCGCTTCCACCTTCTATGGGACTAGCAGCGGCGTCGTTCTTTGAAGGTGCGTTCCGCTGCGAAGCTGCGCTATCCGTACCTTCGGTAGGCTTGCCTCTATCCTTCACAGCCTGGGCAGATTTGGAGCCTGAGCCTGCACCTGACAGTGCGCCATAGTACGTACTACTCGATGACCGAAGCCCTGAACGCGTGCCTACTGCAACTAGTTTCGGCGGAGTTTTCGGGAGAGCAGAGAGTGATCGCGATAAAGCATGCAACGCGCTTGATGCACGACGCGAGTCCCACCTCTCGGGTTGCTTGCCTTTGTCGGCTGAGCCTACTAGTTCCTCAATTACGAGGTCGGCTTCCCTATTCTGTTCTTCGGAGGTTTTACTGCCAGACGGTACAGATGGGGTTGTCACATCGAGTTGTTTTCCCTGCCCGAGATCCTCTTCCGCACCCCAAACATGGACGGTCGTATTGGTAATATGATTACCGTCGACGGTACCTCCACCTTCACCTTTCACTGGACTAGCCATGACACTTGGTAGGCTTGTCTTTCGACTGGCCTTCAGAGATGGCCTCACAAGACCCGGACCAAAGATACCAGTTGCGGTACGCCCAAGTGCTCCGCTCTTATCTTTCATCCGCCCCACCATACTGATTCGGTTAGAACCAGAAATAGTAGCATGCCGTTTTAGCGAAGATGCTGTCGGTCTCGCAAAGGTTCCCGATGAGCCGGTAAGAACATTATCGTCCTTGACCACTGAATGAACTGCTCCTGTGTGTTCGCCTTTGTCTGAACTGATATTGAAGCCCAAACTCGTATTCGGACGAGTCGGTGGAGGCATGGCAAGCTTCTCCAGAGCTGTTGACAGTGTGAATAGCGAAGACTTGGGTTTCGACGGAACGAAAATGCTGGGTCCCCCAATAGATAGCCTTTTTACTGGGGAGGTTCCAGCGCGTTGCTTAATCGGAGACACTGGAAGTGGAATTCTAGAGGGAGATGGAGGTGGTCGTTGCACACAGCTAGATGACGATGGACCAGTTGTAGACGACGAAGGTGTAGGTTTAGCCTTCATGAAAGAGGCGAGCGATGTTTGTTTAAACTTGGCAGGGTCTGGGAAACCTTTGACCAATGAGCTGTCAGAGTTTGAAACTAGAAATGAAATTGTCAGAAAGGATACGATAATGATGCGCTCGAATTACCCTTGAAAGTCAAGGCCTGAGATGATGATGTCACACTGGAAGGCTCATCGTCTGTATCCAACGAGGTATTTATGGTGTTGGCTTCGGGTGCTGCGTCGCTTTCATCGAGGCTCTCAGGCCTCTTCTCTTTCATTGATACGCTGCGTGTTACGCGGCGAGGGCCAGAAGGTGGAAGCATGGTCTTCTTGCCTTTGGATAAGTTTCCGATAGGCTTTGAGCGCGCTGTATGGGAACTTCCAACAGTTGCTGAGCGCCCCCGTTTCACTGGTACAGGTGGGGGAGGCATAAGAGACGAAGCGGACGTGGATGGACGTGGAAGACGAGAGGGAGCGGCTGAAGAGGTTGAAGATCCTGCAACATTCAATGACGAAATGTCATCTTGAGATTGCTTGGATTTCTTCTATCAAACGGGGGTGTTAATTGTCTATAAAGTATTTGACACCCAATGTTAGGCACACCTCAACAGCAACAGCAAATAGACTTGGTACGGCGGGACGGCGACTTATGAATGAAGTGGGCGGCAGAGGCGTAAGAGGGGAAAGAGACATATGCGAAGGATATCCGGTCAGATTTCGTGGTGTTGCAGACTCGACATGAACAATCAGGTTGGTTGTATCAGGAAGCTTGAGGTCAAATTTCGGTACGTTTGTGAAGTGGGACATAGCGGACGCAGTGTCAACATCCATTGCATGCTCTGTGTCGAGAGCACCCTCATCGGTGGCGGAGAGCGGTGTCAGCGGAGAGGTCTGGGCTGCCTCTGTGGGTGGAGGGATAGGCGTGATTTTCAGTTGATTGGGCACCTTCCGAGGCGAACGCATCGGAGAAAGGGTTCGAAGGTCAAGTTCTGGAACATGATCTGTAGGAAGCGGAACAGAGCGTGCACGCCCAGAAAAAAAAGCGCATGATTTGACCTTGCCGTTCGTAGCATGGCATGCCGATTCAGTGGCAGCACGGACAAACGATTTCGCCATTTTCCTGGGAGATTGTGATGTTAATTCACGGTTCTCTACAGGGTGACCCATTGACAACAAGCTCAACGCTGGTAATGGATCGATTTTGATACGCTTTGCTTCACGATAACCGGCGGCACCGAGCAGATTTTCAGGACATGTATCGGACGACCGTTTGTTCTTCTTCGGCGACAAGAGTATCTCGTCATTCTCGTTCTCGTCTTCCTCCTCCTGTTTTATATCCATTTCTTCCTCCCCCTCCTTGTTTTCGTTTGATTCTGAATGTAACTGATTCCTCGACGTGACTCTGGCGTGCTTGAGAGGAGAACGCGCGAGGGGTAGCCTCAGGACGTGATCAGGTACGGCTAGTTGGGATCGTGTTCTCTTGGAGATTTCGACAGACATGTACGTGTCAGCGTAGAGCGAAGCCGCGTGCTCGCTGTCTAATGCGCTGCAGGCGTCAGTGCCGCGTCACGGACGATTGTCCGTTGATGAGTTAAACGTTGGAGGTTTATACCGACGGGAGTAACGTGTTGAGGCACGTGACAAGGTCCACGCCGCAAGTGGCTTGCGAATCGCGATGGACCATGGCTTATGGCTTCACAAAAGCCACAGTTCACGCGTTCATGTCAAGTTGCAATTGTGTTGTTTCATCCTACGCGATGTTCAAATCGATTCCAGAAATGTTTGGTGAGATGTCTCTGTTCACAGCCACTCGCTCGAGAGTCATGACTAGTCAATACCGGGGCCCGCCGTCATGACCATCATGTCAGACCATCGAGCCTTACTAATACCAAAGACAGGCTGGTCAGCTTTAACCTCAATTCATACTTCCCAGAATACACGCGCAAACTATTCTGGATTGATGACTTGCAGAGAAGAGTCCTCGGGCCTCATCGCTTCATGTACACGTGATGAAATTGGAGCTTGCGCCATGCGCAGCGAGATGTGGTCATACTCAGCCCTGGCTAGTAAGTCGTGTGCGCCCATCCTAGACTACCCCATCAGACTAGTCGTTTCAGAATGGAAAACTGCGCATGTGATCCGGACTGTAGTGCACGAACTCAATTCGAATCACTGCAATGTCGTTTAATCCATTCAATATTATAGGTGACGTGGTTCTCGTACTACACAGCTCTTTCAGTCGCCGCCTTCCCAATTACTGGATGTTTTTACCCCATATGCCAAGAATTTTCTTATGGTTTCTTGTGGTGTTATGCTGACCCCTACTACTCCGCCAGTGATATATCAATTTGTCATTGACGCGTGTTGATCTGCCTGCACTGTCTATACAGCATATGAGCCGAGAATATATTTATCCAAGTAAGTATCTCCTATAAACCATTTCTGTCAGACGTTGATTCAAGAATTCTACTGCTATGGCGCCTTCTGATTATCATCTTGATCTGCCTCCTTGGCGGAACCGAACCACTAGCATCTGCACAGGTGTTCTTCAGGTGTCGGAAACTCCCATAAATTTCAACGCCAATCAACCGTTCACAAATCATCTTGTGAGTAGCTTCTGGACCCAAGTACAGTCCTGTCTGGATAAGTTATTTTAACCCTCACCGATTGATTAATCGCTTGCGTGTCTGGTACAGCATGACGCGTCAGTCCCCTGTTGCAAATTCAATTTTGGCGGATCTGAACTTCCATTTGATTGTCGCACACCTCAATCCCAATGGGCGTATTGTATACATTGTGGTCCATACTGGGCTGAGGTATGCACTGCACGCACGCATGGCCACCATGACCCGCTTACAAATGCATGATGACTCGATCGTTCTACGGGGAAACCAGTAGACTCATTGGGAATTATCATCCCAGCGCCATCAGGGGAGTTGATAAATGTAAACGAGCTGTCATTATTGTCGCTGATAAGGCTTCTCTGCACTGTACCTGGTTGCAATACAAGAACTCTGCCCCCTCAGACTCATCCGCTCTTCCGCATCATTGCTAGCTTCTGTTTGCGTCGATGCTGTAGTCACCATCATCACCAGTCATCACCCCAGATCGCCCTTACTTGTATTTCACATCCTTATCGCACCCTGACAGTCACTTCGACGCAGCATGATTTGTCGCTTGTCCTGGCCAAACCAGGCAGACATGGAAATCTCCAGTGCAAAACAGCGCCAACTTCTCGCACAGCCGCGTTACTTGTAGCCTTGGCTGGATATTCCGATGCTCTTTTGAGGGCCAACCAATGCCGTTCATCTGCCAAAGCAAATCAATCCCCGTTTGCATCACCCCCTTAATGCCACTGGTCATTGATTAACCGCGCTTGAACCAGCGATTAAGCCTACTTGGACCCTTGGTGCGAGCGCTCCTATTGAAGTTTGACTCATTAACAGTAAATCTAAATATCAAGCCGCGTAATTCATAATATAATTCTTGCTTGCAACCTGCGGCTCTGGTGAGCCAACACTGCGCTCGCGCGTGCTGTTGCGCGCATAGGAATTTATTGACAGCATCAAGAGTACGATTCAATGGTAGTAGATTAGACTCTATCAATGAGATTGATTCCTCCAAGACTCAGAACTTATATTTTGCCAGAATTGTTGCAAGCAATTAACGAGCCTGGTAACGTATCCTAAGTTGCCTTTTTCGTCAGCCACGTCCGCAGCGCCACATCATGGACTTGTTATGGGCGTTCATGGCCTTACCACCTATCTGCGAGAGAATCAGCGAATTCTCGCCAAAGCCACCGAATTTCCCTCGCGCTCGACCGATGTGACTTCAATTGTGGTCGATGGTTGGTCGTGAGTATATGAAGATGTCGTCGATTACTTGGTGATAACATTGATTATGCTACGCCCTTCAGGTTCATCTATGAGCTTTATGAAGAGTCTAAATTACCTTGGGTGTATGGTGGCGAGTACAAAGCGTTCTCTGCATGCGTGGAAGGTGTCGTGAAAGCATGGATGGCTGTTGGACTCAGGGTATATTTTGTCTTTGACGGTATGCCCCTTTACCTATTCATTGTGGCGCATCTAAGCGATCTTCTGAAAAGGTTCTGCCCCAGAGCTGAAAATTCCAACCCTCATCAGCCGCCTCAATCACTCGATCGTTGAAAGGAGCCTTCTTTTCTTCAGAACTTCCGAGACATCACGCTCAACTCCCCGCTTTCTGCATGAAACGCGGATGATACCACCACTTGCGTATCATGCATGTCTGCATGCGCTTCGTGAAGTTGCCTCATCAGCAGATGCTCTGGAGGTGCATTTTGCAGATGAAGAGGGTGATCCTTATGCCGTCGAACTCGCCGGCAGGCTCGGGGCATTTGTTGTCGGCAATGACTCGGATTTTGTCATTCTCAATTCTGGGAAATATGCAGGATATATTCAGCTCGATGACATGCTGTGGGCGGTACCCAAATCCGTGTGCGCAGGCTCTGATGACGAGGATGGCGAGTTCCGCACAGTGAAGAAAGCAAAGACAAAAAAGAAAAGTGCTGCTCAACAAGGGACTCACAGGGGTCTAATACCTCCCGAGCATAGCACGGATCTCACTCTGTCAGTTTCGGTTTACACGCCGGCTGCCTTGGCATCCCATTTCAAGATTCCAGTCACCTTGTTACCCTTGCTCGGCGCCCTGGTCGGAAATGATTTTTCCAACCAGTCTTCTACACAACGGAACGTGCAAAGTTTATTTTTCGAGCGACAGCTAACGTTATCGCAACGCATTTCCCGTGTCGGATCCACTTTAAACAGTATACTTTCCGCCGCCACTCAGAAACGAAAAGCTAGGCATCAGGTCGGTTCAGTCATGGATTTGATTGACAGATCTGTGCACGCACTCCTAATCAGGCCGCCAAGCACCATGGCTTCCGGAGAAATAGATGCCATCGTTGACCGGATTGTTAACGCAGCATTGCAGTACGCAATTGACAAGTATGACGGAGATACATTTGGGCCGGATGGCCTTTGGCCTAGCAAAATTTGTGCACTGCATCGCGCAGAAACTTGCCGCCTGCCGGGATTGTTCTCCCATGCGCTATTACTATCTACCGACGATGAAGCAGCCGATGACAACGCAGCGGAGCATAATACTCGATTATCCCAGCTGCTCTCTCTCTACATCACTGCATACCGATCGGGTCACTTGCAACCAAAGCTCATGGATATCTTGAATACTGGGACTTTTTGGCCAAGGTTGTTTTTAGAAAACCCCGACGCGGAGAATGTAGCGCGGAGTATCGGCAGACCTATCCGGGAGTGGATCTTTGCCATTTTGGAAGATGCCGTAGGTCTGCCGGAAGCGCCAGAGGCGACTGGGGACCCTGAAGTGGGGCAATTTGACACATCTCAGATGAACGAGGAAGACGAGGATGAGCTCATTGACGTCGTGGAAGAAGACTCCGACGACGATGGGGCTGATCTCCTGGCCCCATTGCGTGGTGAGCTCCAAAAACTCCGCGCGCCAGATGAAGAGTCAGAGACTCCGGCGTCGGTCACATCCCAATCCCGGTCTCACCTTCCACCGCGACCAAAATGTGTCATGGAATACGTTAGGCGAGGTACGCGCGTTGCCCCGGAAAGTGTGACGGTGCCAGATATTTCCAGGCTGTTGGTGTCATCCGCGTTCCGTGGCAATAGTCAAGAAAATTGGACCCCCCTGCCACTCAGGCCCGCATCAGAGCGGATGTCAGTTTTTCTGCATATCCTTTCTAGCAGTACTGTTGCTCTGGAAGAATTACCGAGCGAGCAACTCATGTGCGCCCTCGTTTTGCGATGGGTCGTGCGGGTGATGCACCTACGGGCAATAGAATCCTCAAGTAAGGAACGGGAGAAAGAAAAATGGACTAGATCAGAAGCATGCGCCTTCCTTGCATTTTACACGTCAGAAGGGCATAGTCTCGACTTCCGTACCATGCCTGCACCTGCCGGCTCAGGGCCTAACGCTGGATCTGAAACTACGCCAATCAGTAGTCGTAGCATCCAGCTTATGGCCCAGGTGCTTATGGCAATCGAGAGTATACATCATTTATCCCAAGTTCTCTCAGTATCAGAACGTGTTCCAGTGCGTGTCCATACGCTATCAGGCCAGATGTTTCATATGTTCCTTGCCCAAAAAGGCTCGAACTGTCGAGACACCCTACCGGTCGGACTTTGGGATGCATGTACGGAGGGATTAGGTGATGCATTTGCGGAGGAGCGCCCAGTCAAAGTCAAAAAATCGAAGATCAATGGGAAGTCCATTGAGCGACCGTCAGTGCGGAAAGCGGCGCGTGTTGGGGCAGCAGGTAGCCAGTTTGAATTGTTGGCTGATCTTCAAGTTTGACGTACTTGTTGACTTCCTGTACTTTTTTTATACTAAGAAACACTGAGATGAGCTGAAAGATCTGTACACTAAGAGAGTAGTTAGCAGTTGGCGGTGGCATGCAGTGGCTTCCTGTTGTGGCTGTGCAATACAGCTTACATAACGTTTTGCTGTGTTTTCTAGGTAGAAATATTTATTCATGTATAACACCGCAATGAAGCTATGATAGCATACAGCAATTTCCTGGCCGACGGACAGGCTAACAATGGATAATCGGGTAGCGGTACTGCATCATGGCCTTCGCAACACATGTTATAAAAGGTCATTATGCTCCTTCAATTCTGCACAACAAATCTTCCGCGCGCTGATCGTCACTCGCCATGCGAACATCTGCAAAACGCCAGTCCTCATCTCCCACAGATGTTATCACATATCGTTTTAACAATAAAATGATGTATGTCCCGCCGGCAGAGAACTTCGATGTGAGTATTTCAGCCGTAGCCACTCGACTACTACTAAACTGAGCGCGATCATTGCAGCAAGCAGTCACATTTGCCAGATCAGCATTCGAGAGCGATCTCACTGGGATTGACAAAAGCCAGATATCCTTCTCGCTGAATGTGCTGGCGAATGGGAAGCAGAGTTCTGTGGGTATCAGCAGTGTGGCATGGTCGAGAATGATGTCACATTTGGCACGATATGAGATAATAGACATACACGTCCAGCCGGAGATCAAAGTATCCGGGCCCCCTCCAAGCTATCAACCTTGTGGCTCGACCGAGGACGACGAGAAGCAGCAGCACTTGTCATCACATTCATCATCAGCTTTCCACAGTTTCATTCCGAAACGTCTGTTTCAGCGGCTGAGTGCCTGATTACAGCATGATGCTAGGCACCTTTGGGCTTCCAGTATTATTTCGCTATGTATACCTAGCTATCTTCACATATGGAGTATTAGTGTTTCAGCTCATATCCGATACCCAAGCGAAGTCAATATTCAGTTAGTGTTGAACATTTTGGCGAGACGGATATTATTATTTTAATATTTCATATGATATTACTGCTGTATCAATTCATAGATTGAATAAAGACGTGTATTACTATGCTACCATCATCACACAGTGCCCAATATGCGCGCTTCTCAATTAATGGGTTTTAAGTTTACTTGTCGCGACGAGATCGAGCAATCAACGGGGCATAAACGCTGACGAGTCTAGCACATGGAATCTTTGGTCATCGTAACATCCTTGATAGTTTGCCGCTGGCATTGCACTGCAAAGGACAGTGTAAGACTACACAACTAAGTACTGCAAGCGCTCGACCAAGCGCCAGCCAAGATCAAGCGCCAGTCCAAGCGCTTAATTTCCTTCTTAGCCAACGTCAAATACAGCATGTAACGGAAGAACGACTTCTTCTGGCGCTTACCTCGAACCTAGGTTTTGCCACTATAACGAAGAAGCGCCTTGCTCCTAAACGTTGCATTATACTGCAACAAATTATTGATGTCCCGGACCCAATCATCCTCTTTTCCAGGACTAACGCCTTCCTCGCCCGGTTGTTCGTCTCCATAATCGGATATGGAGGAGCGGTTAATGCAAGGCACTGGGTATGGTGAGGCCTGTACAGTAACGGACTCCCCTGGATTAAGAACATGCGATACACGCCCGTCCATCGAAACGCCGGCCGCAGCACGGGAACGGTCACCAATCTAATAGTGTCAATCAAACGTTTGAGTAATAGCTTCCACGTGCTGTCATAATACACGGGACGCATGACTCACACGCAGCGTTACAGATGAAGACGAGGGGAAGACGAGCGGTCTAAACGATAAGCTTCGTGGACATATTGGCACGAGCACTACAGCACTCAATGAGGGATGAACGATAGGCCCTCCAGCTGAGAGAGAGTATGCCGTTGATCCCGTTGGCGTTGACACAATCACGCCATCAGACTACATAAATCAGCTACACGCGGTGCTTGGGAGATTTAGTACGCACGACGGCCTCCGTGAGATGTTGCCCATCTACATAAATATCAATGGTATTAAGATGTGGACTTGACCCACGGTGTAGCGCAATCTCATTCATAACCTGCCATTCTGGAATTGAATCAGCATCATGAGTACATATTTGCACTGTTTTTATCCAGACCATCGTCACCGAACCCTACTTTCTTGCGGTCTTTGTCATAGAAAGTGCACGACAAACGCATGCGATTGAGGATGGTTGCCTTGCCCTGAAACACTGCTTCGAGCCCTTTCACAAAGTCATCGATATCTGTCGCACGTTCAGTGGCGTCCCGGCATTAGGGCGTGTGCACTTACGGAATGGAAGGAGAAATCCAAGGGTGCCCATTGAGAAACTTAGCACAGGAGGGACTGCACCAAGACTAAAGAGTGATGCAGCATGCAGAATGGTACCGTCACCTCCAAGAGTCACGACAAGATCAACTTTCTCGGCATGAGGCCCTGTAATGGACCCATTCAAACAGATTGTTTCAGCGTGTACAACCTACTCACCAGGACGCCACACCTGTGTGCCGAATGGAATGTCTGGACGGTCTTCAGAGAACACCTTCACACCTGGATACGTCTTCACTACATGACTGTTGCGTGTTGGGCACCACCTGTTATTCGGTTGGAAGAACGCCGGAAGACTATTACGCACTCCAGTAGTTCGTCAATCGCCCCAATCACAGGGTCAGTTCGGAGCTTGTTCACAATTAGAATGGATCGTGGAGGGTATGATGCTTCATGTAGGCTATCTTGTTGAGCGTTAGCGGTCCATGATTGTTAATGGGAAACAGCAGACAAACGCTTGGGATGATAAGGCACGAGACAGACGTGAGTGCGGTAGTTGTGGGATGAAAGGATTCGCGCGCGAAGTCAAAGGTAGCAACGGCCGATTTCGTATTCGAGTGTGGAGATAGCGTCGAAAAGGAAAGAAGAGAAGAGCTCGTTGCGCATGGCTGGCCATAGCAGTTAACATGGCTGCCAGCAAGTAAGCTTGACTTACATAACAGTTTAGACGGTGCGATTTCAAGTTGCATGCACCGTGACCGATGACATCTTTCTTCTTGCCACAACCTTGCGAAATGTTCTCACCCGGTGACCTATTCGTAAAATCAATCGCAAAAAGAACCCTCTTCCGTTGAATCCAAAGACACTCATATCCTGGAGCTTTTCTGTTCTGCTACTTCCAGTGTCCTGTGTTGATTAAGTTACGAACAAACTTCTGGTTTGGTCACTTTTTCAACAGTGACTCATGGTCACAGGCTCAAGCGCTCACAGGCTCCCGGCCCACCGTGGCAGAGCCTGAACCAAACAGAGTATGTGGCCGTGACACAGTACGTACTACAGCACTCTGTTTTATGGCTCAAGCGGAGAGGCGTAGCCTACTCCACGGATCAGTTCCAGATGGCATACAGTGCAAGTACAGTGCAAGAGTATCCAGATCCTTCAGGTCCTATTTATTGGAACGACTGTCTTCCTTCTATCGTATGGACTCCTACTAGTAGGGGAGACTTATCCGAACTGGGAGTGGCTCCTTGGCGTGAAACATTGAAATCGACGCTCTAGAGTCATCGCTATGGAATGCAGCGATTGTATTCAGACTGATGGATCGGGCACGGACTGCAAGGGAAACCCAGGCCAAACCTCTGTGGGGGGAGGAGGCTGCTCTTTCTATCGAGGACCGACTACGACATGCCGCAGGAGTACTGACTACGAGCCAGGACCCCTGGCACTCCCGACCTGATCTGTCCTGCCAGAGCGCCCCGCTCCACCGATACCAGATGTTTCGGGTAATCTGCCATCGACTGGGAGGTGCCTTAAGCTATCTCCGAGGCTGCTGTGCTCCACGACAGATGTTACCCTTCCCCCAAGTTAGCCCGCCTTACTCGGCTAAGGCATCCAAGTATGGTGGTCATTGGGTCGATACGACTCAACTTTTCGGTGTAAACCTTATCGTTACATCAGGCCCGAAGAGGAGTGCCTTCTCAGAGGCTTCTGTTACCCGCATAGTGTCAACTCTGGAAGACTTGTATAGAGACATATAGAGAAACGTCCATCAAATCGTGACGATTTGATCAGATGCCATTTGGCTAGCCTGTTCACTTTTTGAGGCCGGTCTTGTGTATTTCTAAGTCGGCAATACACACAGATGATAGAACGAGCAGGCAGTTTCATATCATATCATTCCCACGGCTATAAGAATTTGCGACCAGAGTGGTTTTTGCCGTTGGTAAGAACCGTGGCTCCTTGAATGCGTGCATAGCTGGTGTGTGCCTCCGTCAGTTACTACGTCACTGTCTTGTATCGACTGACTTTTCAACCTAGATGAATTCGAGAACTTTCATCTTTTGCGGGGCCTCTCATGATTTTACGCTGCCACGAGGAATGTACTTAAGACCAAGTACTCTCCATTTTCAAATGACTCGATAATGACGAGAAAATTTTGGTGACTCCGATTGTGCACATTATGCAACAGCCCTGGTATGATTAGTGTCATTCCGAACTCAGTACCATTTTTGATGGTGTCGACAGTGAACAATAAGAAATGTCGATGAGACACTGCCTTGCGAAATTTCCGCAATATTGACATTCTTCTGGATACGCATGAATATCAGATACCTTACAGATATGTGGAATGGACTGGTAGGTGACTGTATTCATATTGAGATAGCTGTTTCTCATCGCTTGCTAGATTGGTCCCGTTGAAAGGGTTCCTCGGTGCGGATCTGGAATACCCGCATCAAGGACTTTACGAGACTTTGAGAGGGCTGAATAACTGATGAGTTGATCATATGTAAATAGATGGTACGACGAACATCTCTATGCAAATGGGCTGATGTCACTTTTGGGTGGGTTATGACGCTAATTGCATCCTAAATCAGACATGGACACGAGTGCCCATTGCAACACGGCGGCCGGTACGCCCAACCGCACAAAGTTTCAATGCTTTTACAATTCAGGCAGGGTCTTTGTAATCCTCGCGAACCTATCATTGCTGTACTAAATCTGCAGGGATAATGTGTTGGCTATCCTACTCGAGTACTGGTAAGGTCTTGGCGAGTGCTTTGATCCCGTGGATATGAGCATGACCTCAAAATGTTGTCCTCAAGTTGGCAAGTGCAACCTACTCCCGAATTAAATGATTCCCAGAATGTCGTGGTGAAGAAGCTCTCAAGCAGATCTCAGACTCTCACAAGGTCTGATCGAATATTGAATTCGAACAGGAGTCAATTTATTTGGTTTTATTTAACAGTACTTATGACAGGATCGCAACCCCCTCACAAGCCTCTATACTTCTCAACCTCTCGCACCATGTCTTCCATCAGCAACAATATATTCAGAAACTTTGAGAGAATCAGCCGTGTGTTTCACAGTTTTTTTCTAAAAAAGTACATGTTGATGATTTGAACATACCTATCAAAAGCTCAGGAGCCCCAAATGTCCCCCAAATCGAGACAACCTAACTGGCAATCTATCTCACAGCATGATGACGGTGGGGCCGAGTGGGATGAATTGTCAGACGGGTCCGAATACAATAATAACCGTCCAACTGTAAAGAAACCAAAGGAATTCAATGTGTAAGTATAATCATACCTCACAGGAAATTCTTCTTAATCATTTGTGAAGGGGTCGAAATAAACCCAAACTCGACCGAAATAAACGAGCATTGGTTCGTGCACTCGCAAAACGTTGCAAGTGGGACCACAAAGAGATCGCCGCCGTCTTCCGTGTATCGCTTCCTCTCATTAAAAGGACCGTGACCAACAGCTATACCACGGTAATCGACAAAGTATCGGAAGACGCAAACTTTTATAAGCAGAGTGACCTTGAAGAGTTGGTTTTAGGGGTTAGTCTTGAAAATCGTACAGCGTGCCTCGAGAACTCATGTATGACATTCGCAGCGGCTGCCACCTGCCCCGGAGAAAAAGAGGAAACGAAAGACACAAGTAATTATCAGTCGTGATGTCATCGCACGTTTATCCTTACTGGGCGCGTAAGCGCCATTATGATCAAAGTTGCCTTGAACATCACCGGTAGCCGATCTGACACGGTCGACGACGTTCATCTAGTGTGACAGTGTCACTGTTCATATGAATGTGATTAAATTCATACTTGCGTAAGTGCCTGTCGAGTATTCCACAATTACAACAGCTCATCGTGATATCGACTTCATTTTGACATACTAGTAGTACATTCGTTCTGCATCTTTCGACAACTGCTTTGGTACGAGAGTGTATACACGAGCTCAAGAAATGGTGATGTGAACCATGAAGAACTTTCCATCGTCAAACTCCTCGACGTACTTAACCCCCACATTAGTTCCCTTTTTGCTCTTCTTTTGGATCTCAGCTAGTTGCTTCCACAGCATCTCGTTCCTAGGGTTACCATCCATTACGGTAGTACTTGGGATGGATCTTCATGCACGTGTCTCCAGGCGCGAGGTCAGGGACGACGTCGCACCACCTCTTGTAGTTGTGGACAGTTGTGGACGCCCATTGCCACGAGGAACTCCTCCCCGAAATCACTTCTGAAGCGGAGCGTACCAGACGTACCACTGCCTCCCATGGCGAGGGTCTGGATTGATCCTGTGTTGGTCCACGTCCCGCCATTGGCATAGTGCCACACGGTTTTCTCGACAAGCGTGAAACCGGGGTTGAAGGAGGTAGCGTCGACGGTTCTGACTGAGATTGTGTAAGACATTTTGTGTCTGTAGGGTAATGTCTGTAAGGCTGGGTATGAATTCGGCAGGGAATTGCGAACGAAACGAGATAGAAACGAGATGTATTAGTAGGTAACACGAAGAGAGATAGGATTAGGACTAGAGACGAGGACTTTTCGAGAGGCTTTTCGGCCGTTGTTGGAGCGGGGATCTGACTATGGGATTCGGGCACCGGACAGAGATGTCAATGCGAAGTGCTAGAGCACCCTATGACGGAAAGCTCAAGATACGGGTCATGCAGGAGTATCCCACCAAGGTATGCGTGACGGAAAAAGAGTTCAGCGAGAACCGAATATTGAATGACAGACGCAAAGGCAACTTGACAAAGCTTGACAAGCCTCTAGCAAATAAATCGTAGCCGGCAGAGGTTTAGATGGGAAACTAATCGTGCTCGACAAGAGCCCTCCTAACGCAAGCTGGGAGTCGGAGATTCGAATTCGAGAAGTCTTGTATTTGGTTTGATTTGGTGACTATAACCACACAATGCAAGCCCCTATACTTCTCAATACCGTCATCTTCCAGTATGGTTGACCTCAGCGCATTCAGAGGCATTGTCGCAGTTAGCGGTGCGTTTCATAAGTCTGACTGTAAATATCGACAATAATTGCGCATTCGTGTCAGAAGCCGAGGAGCCTAAAATGTCTGCACCGCCCCCCCAGGTGGAACGGCTCACTACTAGTAACTTGCAAGTCGGCACAACGAACTCACAGCCTCATAGTGACGTCGTCAGAGACGATAAGAGGGATGAATCATCTTGTGACGATGGGTCTGAATATGACCCGGACTCCTGCGACGACAACCATTCAGTTGTCACGGTAAAGAAACCAAATAAATATCACCCGCAAGTAGTCATTTTCTTCTCATGGGGAATTCGAGCTAAACGTTCGTGAAGTGGACAAAATAAAATGAGATTCGACCGACATCAGCGAGCATTGGTTCGTGCACTCGCAGAGCGTGCCAACTGGGATCCGAAGGAGATCGCCGCCGTCTTCCGTGTATCACTTGCCATTATTCAAAAAACCATTACCAATGGGTACGTCGCTGTGGACGACGAAGTATCGGAAGATGCAAACTTCTACAAGGAGAGTGAGCTCGCGAAAATAATCTTGAATGTGAGTCTTTGAATTTGTGCGGTCTCTCTCGACCTCATGCATTACATTTGCAGCGACCGTCACCTACGCGCACCCGGGAGAAAAAGAGGGGACGAAAGAGACAGGTAGTGATCGGTCGTGATGTCTACTCTTAATGACCTATATTGTTTTCATCAACTTCCTAGGACAAAATGTTTGCCAAAAGACCTCCACGAGAAGCGTCTCCCGTTCATCGCAGGCAGCATCTTGTCGCTTCCCCCTCCTGCGCCAGTTCCTATGGAGGTAGAAGTAAGTTCGCTTGTTCAATTATGCCGTTTCAGCCTGATGTGTACCCAACCTGTCAGCCAAATTCGGATACGGCCAGATCTGGCATATTCAGGATGTTCCGAGACGAAGCAACACTTGTTCATGGGGAGAAGGTCCATTCCATCCTTGAAGAAATTGGGATTGAAGATGACGAGTCAATGTTCGCTGTCCTGACCATGGATGATGAGCGTCTGAACGATATGCTGCAAGAAGCCAAGCGTCTCAACCTCGTGGAGAAGTTTTCCATCATTCAAGCGATGAGAGATTTCGGGAAGAACCACAAAATAGCGAGGTAGAACACTCATGATCGACGTTTCCTATCCAATCGTTGAAGTCGTTCACGAGTGAATGTTTTATTTGATACGCACGTTACACTGAATTATCCTTCACCCAAGAGTTGACATGCCCAATGCAGAAAACAAGGGCCAAGTGGTGTTACAGCCATTGCTTACTTGCTCAACTCGGAAGGGTAGAGTGCTGTTCGAAAGTGCATAGCATGATTGAGGGTGAATATTGCGAACATGTTGATGCCAAATTACACAATACATAGCATCTGATAAAATGACAACGTCAAATTGCACAGATGACAATGTTACGCAGACAACTATGAGAACGCTGAAGCAAGAACTAAGCAAGGAAGCGTCCAATCTAGAAGAGTTTACTGATCATCACGAAACGAATCAGTCAAGTCCAAGCTGCAAGACTGACATTATTCGCATAGCTGATCGTTTGGAGATACCGGTCATGGAAGTTCTTCTCGGTGGCAGGAGGAAGACTAAAAGAACAATCGATCACTACGCTGCTTTCGCTGCAGGCCCGGTACCAACAATTAATATGTTGCACCTGTGACTATGATTGTCATTGCAGCGTTCAAATGGTTGTCCAAACCATCCGGAAGGGAATTATCTCATGTTCGATCATGGCACTCACGCCTTCAGGTCTTTCTTTGAGCCCCCAGTAGACTTTGGCTACTACTCAAGAGCGACTGAACACTCTTTTAAAGCTTTTTCGTGCGTGAAGTTGAAATGTGCATGACACGGGGGTCTCGGAAAAGCGGTATCCCTCCCTGGATGAAGAAGTGAAGGCCTGGGTGGTGTCCAAGAGATTTTGGGATGAGATTCAAATTTCTAAGACGACTTAGCTGGAGGAAGAACGATGGGCAACAAGAGTAGAAGGCCGTACCAGTTGGCAATTTGAATGCGCGTGGTGTGCGTTCAGAATTCGACTTGTTCCAGCGAGATCACGAAGGATATGCAATTGAAGGAGATGGAAAGAGAGCGGGCCATTAGGCCTCGGCACTGCTGGGAGGTATATGCTATCCGTAAACCACGAGCTCGTTGTCGTGACCGCCGGACCCGCCGAAGGTGATGCCCGAGGTGACACAGTAAAATGCTCAGCGATGCTTCTTCAAGGAGGTAGAGTGTTGTGGATGGCTATTGTCTTGGTGGCGACTGGACAACCAGGCGTTGCTTCTTGTTCTGATCGCGTTCACGAACAAGATGCTGTCAAGTCTTAGGAATGTGAACGAAAAAGACTTGGCGATGCTTCCTAAGGATAGTGATTGCGGCGCTGGGTGGCATATCGAAACAGACGCAGATGGTGGCGGACGCTCGTATGAATGTAGACGAGATGCACAATGCTTTGGAGAGATGAGCTGTTCAACGAGGCATTTCGGTGCACAGTGATAGTTGAATCAGAAAATCTTGTGAATGACTAATTTGTAAGCTACTGAGAGAATATTTTTGACGTCAAAAGCTCTTCAGCTGTGTCAATGGTTTCCACTCCTGCCTTGGTCATCTCAATCCATTCTGTGCCCTCGTCAGACACGCTCTTGACCGCATCCCTAATCACAAATGTCCTGAACCCGTGTTTCTTTGCATCAAGTGCAGTAGACTTGACGCAATAGTCCCCTGCTATGCCGACCACGAAAACATTTGATATCTCCTTGTTCCTCAGCTTGTCCTTGAGCCCAGTGTTCGTGAGCCCCCATGGGTCTTCGAATGCAGAATAACACTCGATCCCGACGTCACAGCCTTTACGGACGACCTCAAGGCCCTCGTGCTTTAGACCGTCCACAAATGCTACCCCAGTCGTGTCCTGAACGCAATGAACAGGCCACAGTACCTGTTCTAGCGCTTCAAGTGGCCTTTGATCCTCAGGCTTCCTCCTTGCTACCAACTCTGCAGGAGGAAAGATGGTGATCTTGTCAAACTCCTTCTTGCCCGTATGATTGCGCGCAAAGGATATGTGGTTGGCGGGGTGGTAGTCTTGGGTGGCTACTTTTAGAGCGAATGGAAGCGTCAGAAGTGCATTGATGGTGTTGATAATCTGCTCTGCATCGCGGACGGCGAGACTGCCGCTGACGAAGTCGTTCTGTACGTCGATGACGAGTATGGCAGAGTTGGAGGGTTCAACGTATGCAAGGTCTAGTGGCATCTTGGTATTAATGTGGTCTATGATGAGTTGCTATCACGATGTAGGCTACGTAGCTATAGTACTTATGCATATGGCTTATCAACCCAATAAAATTATCTTATCAATTACAACGGAACATAACTCATTTCGGCTATCAATCAATTGCCTCGTGTTTGTGTAGGTTTGCTTGTTCTGCTGCTTTCAAATTGCAATAACTTACTTGTGCGGTCACCGGTGACTGCTGGTATAGCCTTTGATAGGAGGTAGATGTATGGCACACCATCTTTTATGACGAGCAAGCAGTATTTACTACGAACTTTCGCAGCCATGTCTACCTTGTCGCAACGGATAAGAACTTGGTCAGCGAGCCATTCAGAAGCAGCCAAGCCCCCGTCCGAGGGTGACGTTGGAAAAGAACAGGACCTGCCGCAGCTAGTGCATGATGTGCAGTTGGAAGCTACACAGCAAGCAAAGTTATTCGATGCTCAGATACACAAGATGAAGGTATGTTCGGCACATTGTGGTTCTTTCAATGCCTCATGGTGGCCCGCCCCAGAAAGAACGTCGGTTCTTCGTCAAAGCTCGTTTCCTGTTCCCTCTTGGAATCATACGTATGTCATTTATGTGCTATCTCTTTAGATTTGATGACATTGTCGCACAGTTGGAATATTACTAGGCTTCATCCTCGTCCAGCCTTCAGACTTGCAAGATATTCACAGCAACCTGCTTCTCATCATGGAAGAGTACGACATCTCGCTCAAAATACCAGACATTGATCTATCGCGTGTCGAATTAGAATGGAGACGTTTTCGGAACAATATCCCGGAGGTTTGGAAGCTGAACAATGACGGACGCGAGTTTCAGGTCGGGGAGGCGATGAAGGCGCGAGGCTTGACGGCGCACTATCCCATCGTGCTCATTCCTGGCATCGTATCCACCGTAAGCCACACTGTCAATCCTAATTGATGTTGATCATTGTCTAAACTGCAACTAGGGTTTGGAATCTTGGTCTACTTCACCCGAGTATCGAGCTTTCTTCCGCGAAAAACTCTGGGGAGGCTTCAATATGGTCTCACAAGTGATCTTCAATCGTGAAAAGTGGATTTCAGCGATGATGCTCGATCCCGTCACCGGTCTTGACCCTCCGGGTGTCAAAATTCGAGCTGCAGAAGGGGTAGGTGCTGCAAGTAGCTTTATGACCGGGTATTGGCTTTGGTATGTCTTATAACGCGACGTTCTTTTGAGCGTTGAAAATGACAGCATATATTCAGGTCCAAGATCGTGGAGAATCTTGCTGTAGTAAACTATGACACGAACAATCTTCACTTAGCTCCATATGACTGGAGGCTCTCCATGTCCAATCTGGAAGAACGAGACGGGTACTTCTCGAAGTTGAAAGCTACAATAGAAGGGTTCAAGTATGGTGCCACAAATTTGAATATCGCACTAGACAAGTTCATATTTCATCACAGGGCACGACAAGGCAAGAAGACCGTCATTGCTGCGCACTCAATGGGTAGTACAGTATGTCCTAGTTTCTTTTTGTCGCTGTTACCTTGTCGATTGTAGTACTTTTAGGTCATGCTGGTAAGTCGAGCCTCTCAGATAGTTCCTCCTGTGAAACTGATCATTCGATGAAAGTACTTGTAGGTCCCAGATATACTTGGTTGGTGATTTCTTTTGACCTCTTGCTTGTAGCTTCAAATGGGTCGAGTCTCCCGAACACGGAGGCGGTGGATCAGATTGGGTAGAGGTCAGTTCCTGACCCCCTCATAACACGAGACCCTTAAAACTCTGCGCAGAATCATATCGAGTCCTACATTACCATCGCAGGGACACATCTTGTAAGTCATTTCTTTCCTCGAATAACGATCACTAATTGCATTTCCAGGGCGTGGTAGATCCTGTTTCATTGCCTTATTGTTGTTTACCGCTCATGGGTTTACTATTTTTATTATGAAAGGCAAAAGCTATGGCTGCTTTCTTGTCTGGTGAAATGAAGGATACAGTGCAGATGAATCCTGCTGGCGCATACGGTCGGGACCTTTCAGGTTTCTCAGTTGTAATAATCTGATGATGCCCTGAAGTGCTCGAACGCTTTTTCTCGCGAAAGGAGCGGCAGAAGCTATTCTGTAGTTGGGCTGGCAGTGCCAGCATGTGGATTAAGGTGAGTGAGACTATTGTCTTCGGTTGAGTGCCTCTGTAACAATTAACAGGGAGGAACGGATGTTTGGGGCGATGCCAACTGGGCACCTGATGACGAGCCCGGATCATCACATACTCATGGCGAGCTGATTGCGTTCAGACAAGCATCCGTGCCACTTTCTGCGCATAGCATTACCCCAAGTGTGGAACCAACAAAGAACATGACGGCTGATGACGCAAGCACGTGGATTTTGGAGCGTACTCCTTCAACATTCCAGGTTGATGACTGCCGTGTCTTTTCTGTAAAATAACGCTCACAAAGAGACAGAAAATGTTATGGACCAACTACTCGTTCGGTATCGAGCGGAATGAACAGGTGCTCAAGAAGAACGCCCTAGATCCGAGGAAATGGACAAACCCTTTGGAAGTGCAGTATGTCGTTCTTAATAAGCCTCTTGAAGCAAACTTGATGGATTTTCCTAGGCTGCCAAATGCGCCTTCTATGAGGATCATCTGTGTTTACGGTCATGGAAAAGAAACTGAAGTACTCTACCAGTTTTCCTGTTGCATTTTACAATACTGAATTCAACAACAGAGATCATACTGGTATGCTCACGGACCACACGAATACGAAGAATCGTTTGTAGAGGTTGAGCATTCGACTTGCACCGACCCTACCGACAAATGCAATTATGCACGCCCACCATCAGATATGTCATTTTCCAGGGCGAACAGGATAGATGCTGATTACACGCAAGAGACCACAACGCCCAAGGTAAGTTGGCGACTTCAATCATGTCTCACGTCATACGTATGTCGATTATAGGTGCGCAATGGCGTAAAGATGGGTGAAGGGGATGGCACCGTCAGCCTATTGAGCCTGGGAGCGATGTGTGCAGAAGGCTGGAAGAGACCAAGATGGAATCCGGGAGGAATAAAAGTCACCACTGTTGAGGTACGTCGCCGACGTTCTCTGCGATCCTGCGATATTCCTTATGACCTCGAATACAGCTCCCTCATCAACCCGCCCCCAACATCCCTCGGGGTGGAGCAAATACTTCAGATCATGTTGACATCCTTGGGTCGACAGGTCTGAATGAGCTCATACTAAAAGTTGCCACTGGTGCTGGTAATGAGATCGAGGATCGCTTTGTCTCTCGCATTAGGGAGTTTGCTCAGAGAGTGCGGTGGGATTGAACACTGAGTGTTTTGTAGCTTATTTTTGCACATAATTTCACGTTTTTCTCACAAGTTTATTCAATGCATAGGTTTCTCATGGTGGAGGCTTTCGAGATACTGACAGATCGATTCACCTCTCCTACAAACCTCACATATGTCGCATGAGCAACGGCTATGTGCATTGAGGTAGGCTTGGTGATGTTTACCCAGTCTCTCCTGGACAGACTGCGGACGGTCGTCCCTACCCCTCGGATCTACCAATATCGGGCATGATTCGCTGGCCTTTTCTGCTGCCAAGAGTCCATCTCACTATAGCGTCAACACTTCTACTACTCGTCACTTAAAGGATGTCGGGAAACTGCCATCGACCGGAGCCTTAGTTGATTCCATCTTGGACTGCAGCAACCGCTCAAGCATTTCCAGTCTTCATCATGATGCGTTGTCGCCCGAGTTTGCCCTATTTGTCCGTAGCTATTAGCTAATGACCTCACAGTGCATCGAGTGTGATCATAAAAAGCTATTTTATGGTTGTACTTACTCTTCTGGAGGGCCTTCTCAATGGTGTGCTTCCGTCTGAAACTTATGCATCATTCAATCATACGTTAAACTGCTCTGCATCAGTTTCAAAGCTACCAGTTACCACGCACGTTCACCGTGCCTTTATGGTGCCTAGAATGGCAGAAATCCTCGACTCATCTCAAAATACCCGTAGGGGAACGACTATATCTCTTCGTCTATAAAGGGTTGAGTCTCTAGCGCGTAGGCAGACTGATTTACGACTCGTACAAGTCTATGGGCCTATGGCCAGTGTTTTCCCCCAGTTGTGTTTGTTCCCCGTTTTATTTCCCCGAACTGTTTCGTGAGAGTTTCATCATCTCTATGAGTCTATGTACATAATTCCCGCTTGTACGAATAACCCTTGCATAGGAAATGAGAAGATCCTCTTTCTTATGGAAAGCCGGACGCGCGCGCTCTGTTGGACGCCGAGAGATCTGACGAGTCCACGACAGAAGGATCCGAGATAGAAACGACCAGGTTCTGCAATGGCCTAAGATTGCCAACAAGACTAGCAGCAAGCTGCAACACATCAATCGTCGATGAATTCAGAAAAAAACAATCAACATCATATCTACTCGTGATGAACGATCTAGGAAGATGGTGCTATGCAACTCTTCTTGTGCCCCTTCCAGTCCTCGTGTTGACAGCCCTGTGAGCAATACCGCACAACCTTGCACCGGCTGCAAATTACCAACGATCCAGAACCACCACCTTCCATTCCACAAGCAGCGCACACATGACGCGCCGCTGCTGCCGACGCAGGCGTCGGTGGAGTCTTCGTAGCAACGGCATCTTTCGAACTACCGACCTTTTCCATGTATGACAGCGCGAACAGCGGACTGATCGCTGCCCTTGTCATATACGGTGCAAGTGGACGAAGCATCGGATATTTCTTCACAAACGCCTCTGCCCCCACCCCAGCGCCGCAAGAGCAAATAGGACTATGGTCTGGCTCAAAAGTTAGAGGGATAGCGCCTTTGACGCGATACTCGCAATTGGTCTTGTGCTCCCAGGTACGGCACCGCTCCGTTGCGGCTACGAGGAGGTGTATCCATGCCCTCCTCTCTTCAGCAGCTATCATCAATTGCTTCATATTGGTGTCAGACATCACATATTTAGAAACCTTGCCGAAAGCCTTGATCTTCGCAGGCTCGGGAGAAGACGGTATCAACCAAGCGTCAGCGACTATGGCGTGCGAGCCGAGGTCCAACCGGAGGTCCGTGATGAATAACATAACGAAGGCCTTATGTTCTTTCTGCAGGGCGTAGCATAGAGGGGGTTTGCCATCCGCGGTACCACTTGCGTGCCCAAAGATTATGTGAAGTGTGTGCTTGACATCCAACAGCGTAGATCCTGTTATCAAACCCAGCGGAATGCGTTTTTCACGCTCAGAAAACATGAAGGAGACGTGGGTTGACCCAGTTGAGAGCCTTCTTATTGGTGATGCTGAAAGGCACGCATTGGTCGAGGTTGACGCGGTGCATGTTCCACAGAGCAAGATCACCTCCGTGCGGGATAACAGGGAACATGTCTGAGTCAGTTTCTCCAAGAGCAAGTTTTAGGGGCAAGGTCACCTGCGCCGAGTCCGACATGAGTATTTGGAGAGACAGAGATAGAGGAAACGTACTTCGATGTATAGCGACTTTCGTGCAATGCGAAGCTTGGCTTTCTTGGCATCGATAGGGAGTGGGAAAGGGAATTGCAAAGACTTGTCTCCAAGAACGATGGCGATTGAATGCATGGAAACTTGGTTCACAGTGGGAGTAGCGCCGCTGGTCAAGGAAGCTTTCATCTCCGGTTCGACGATATTCACCCGTGTGGTGAATGACAGAGGTTTCTTGCATTCTTTATCTAACGTCACAAATGTGGCGCCAGGTGTCTTCATAGGACGATCGCTGATCTGAATACTCTTCTCCTCAGGACTCTCTGGGACAGCATTAGGACGCTGTCGCAGGATGTGCACGAGTTTCTCATCTTCCATGTCCGCACGGAATAAGTCAAGGTCAAACCCCAGCTGCATGGCGGGCGTGCAAGTCGCTAGGGTGGGTAGAATAGACAAAACTACCGACAGCCGATGCTCGTTCGAAAGCACGACAGATGGCACCCAGAACCACACAACAAGAGGGGAAGTTCCATACCGTCTAGTCGCGTCCTCCTCAATAGCTACAGTTTTTCCTTCGCCCTTACCGCTGATCTTGACTGTCCCGAAAACTGCATTGATGCATAAAAACATATTCGAGGTTATTACTCCCCTGATGTCACAGCGCAACACGGGTGTTCTAGCCGAGTCAAGAGCTGGCAAGAATTGTTGGAGGCGAGCACGAGGAATGACGAGGACGACACAAACGGTTTGGGTGAGCGTCTTCCAATCACGGAAGACAAAGGGCCTTTTGACACAATACACCTCATGCACCTTTTGTAGAGACACCCAATCCGCAGTGAAAACGCCAAGAAGGTGCAGCTGGCAGCAGAGATCTTGGTAATGGTCCTCTTGACGACACCCAAAATCCCCACAAACGAACGACGATGGTAATGTACAATCCCAGACAGTTTGATTGACTCTGGCGACTGCTGGACTATGGCCGACTTCTGTGCTACGTTCTCGTGAGAAAACATGTTGAGATAGATATTGAAGAAAACGCCTGCAAGCTGCTCCGGAGCGATGTCGATGGGGCAGTCGAGATCAGTCACGAGTTTCTCAGCACCGCCGATAAGCTTCCAGGCGAGACGCTCGTGATTCTGAGCTACATCCTCAGTCACAAAATGCATGAGGACCTCGTGCATATTCGACCGGTTTGTGAACTGCGAAACGAAGGACACGGGAATAAGGCCCAGGAGTAGCCCAATAGTCGCAATATCTCCACAGAGTTGCTGTGGCAACGTGTCTTCTGGGCTGCTCCCGGAGAGACCTTCCGTGTACAACGTAGCAGATAGAGTTCGCTGAAGAATAGGAGAAGTAACAACGAGGATGTTCAACACGCCGACGTGATCAAGAAGGTTGGATGTATCAATGATGTTGAACGTGGTTGGCGCAGGTGACTGTGTGTCAGTTCCGTAAGCCTCAGGATCAAATGTGATGCACGCGCTCTTCCAAGGAGCAATGGGGAATGGTGTGGATGTCGATTTCATGGTGCGGGAGTAGTCAAGAGCTTGACACAAGCTCAGAGCGTCTCCCACAAAGCAACGTATAATGAGCAAGCTCGGAGAAGATGGTCCTTGACTGCTCAAGACCTTGGAAACCGAAGTGCACCACCTGGAAAATTGCGTCTTGCAGACATTTACTATGTCCTTCAGAGTAACTTGCTCTGGATGGCGAGAGCTTCCGACAGCTGGCGCAAGCGCTTCCGCCAAATGAAAGCCAGAGAGGGGATCTGTTCCATAGTGGACCCCAAATTTTTCACCGACCATGGAGTATGCTAAGGTTGGATTTGGATGTGATATCTCCGAGGGTCTCTTAGGGACGGCAGAGCATATGCCTGTCTCCCAGTAAATGTTGTAGTGATCATCCACCATCTTGAGCGCATACATCGACAGTGGCCCGGCTGCCCGACTTGCTGTAAACACGAATCCGGATTTCGTTTTGGAAGCCTTGACGTCAGCAGCATATGCAGATTTAAATGCTTTTTCCTCGCTAGGAGAGAAAGTCGTCGTCTTGACGTAAAGTTGCCAAAGGCGCCGCAACTCGGTAAGAGTATCTCTAGTGCACACACGAAGGAAATGACCGTAAGGACCATCGTTCCAGCTATCCGGATCGCTGGATAACTCGACTAACTTTCTGCACTGTGATATGAGCAGGTCATGGGAAGCTTTGTCGAGATAAAAGTGGAAAAAGATGTTCCAGATTTGCGGCACTGTCTGCACAGCGCCTTCGTCGGCAAGGAGGGTGAATAAGATAACGTTGCGGGCTATTTGATACATCAGCTTAACAAGACAAATCTAGTGTTAAATCTGGGCTCGCCAATGACTGCACTCTCCAGGTCGCAGCAAGTGAAGTCCAGTTTTCGTGATGCTGAGTACGGAGCATTAGCGTACCACTTTATTAAAATATTCACATGCTTTTACCTTGCGAGCCCATGCTGTTTGCATATACGGTGTAAAGGATATGCCTCGGGTCACCGCATCCAAGAAGCAGTACATCTGCCTTTTCAGATGGGCAAAGATCCTGTGTGAGGCAAACTGCAGATGTATTGCCAATAGGGTAGAAGAACGTTTTTTCTCTCCATAGGACAGGATATGCCATGATCTCGGTGTTGATTTCGCCTAGCTAGCTGGTGAAAACGAAGATGGTACAGTCAAACGAACAGGTGAGGAAGGACTTGAAGGGTACATACAACACGTTGACTGAAAGAGGCTGTTATTCGAAGGTCCGTGAGCCTCATGGACTCGGAGCTTGGTTCTAGGCTAGCTCCCAAAGGTGACATAGGACGATCCTGATTAATTCGGGACAAAAGGTAGTTCGCGATGAACGTTCACCGGTGCACCCTCGCATGTGATTCAATATGTCGCTCAGCGTATCAAGTCCATCCTACCATTACATCGCTTGTGGACAGCAATGCCCAGCGAGCATTCGATGCATTAGGCCAAACCCAGTAGCTTCACCTGGAATGCCAAACCGAACAAACATTCAAATCCTCCTTTGCAATGCGTGACAGTCCTTTGATGATAAGGTACATTATCCAATCTCGCTTGCAAAGTCCAGAGTTTGTCGGCTTGTCGTGATGAATCAAGTCCAGATGAGGCGGTTCATCTCGCTGCTGCTATGGAATTATCTGGATTTTACAGTGTGATAGGATATTTGCGGTCTGACTCTGACGACGAGGATGAGCCAGCCAGATCATTCATAAAGATTCTTGAGTGGGCCAAATATCAATAAATAGGTGGCGGCAAGACTTAGATCCTACTGCCTGTTATGTATGTGTGACGCTTAATAATTGTTGAGCGCGCGCGTCCGGCTTTCCATGCTTTCTGACCTCCTCACCTCCCAATCCAACGATGGAGACGGTGACCCGCTGGACCTTAGCGGCATCATTGAGTGTGTATCGTCATTTGAGCCCGCCATTCGGTGCTAACAACGTTCGCAGTTTGACGAGTTTGGATGCGGAATCGAGTACATGTTACTACGTGATCATTGTGTCTGACTTCAGCTAGGATTTCAGTCGTTCATAACTTCATACGGTTCTGGAGATGTCTGTCCTCATCTCTTCCAAATCATTTGATCCCAAAGCCTTTCTATCTGCTGTACACCCAAACGCAACACACCAGGATCTAGATTCTTGCAGCAGGCATTAACCATCTCCAGTCGTCCATTGATAGGCCGTCCGTCACGGTGTTGTCGTAGAGGATAACTTTGATCGGTTCGCTGCAGTCAAGGCTTCTACTGATGGTGTGTTGTGTGTCACTTGTCTGCTACTCCAAAATAACTGGTGCGTGCTCGTAGCATTATGCGCGAGGGATTACTGAGCGACAAGGCGGACTTTGCTAGCTGACCGCTTGTAGATTACTTAAAAACGTTTGTCCCAGTTCATTCCTTCCAGTTCTTTTTTTGATGCGCTCCGACCTAGGCTCGGCTGTAAAGTCCTCCTCCCTATCCTCGAGGACTGCGCCAAAGTCCCCAAAGTTGCGCACTGGTGACGCTCGACGTGTTTGAGCGCTCCAAGTTCTTCTTCAGCCTCCCGGGATAGGTTGGAAGGTATGAAGCTGGCCTGCGTCAGTACAAAAAGGGGAAGTTTCTCCTCGACTCTCGCCCTGGGCAGCTCCGAGACCTCCCCGTTGAGGCATGTGCCAACGCAGGTTCTACGGCACAACAGAAGAGGATATTGAACAAGGTGTGGGCAAACGTTGAGAAGGTGATGGAACAAATGAAGGCACTACGTTTGGCACGATTGCAAGAACCCGGAAGGAGCGTCGAAGAAATGGAGAGGGGTATTGAGTACGTTTGCTCGTTATTATTGCATGTCTCGTTCTTGACCAGCACTGACTAGGATTCTCCTGGAACTAAATGTGCCTGAAGACCCGATATAGACCTGCGTCGATGGCCAGCACAAGCGCATCATGGACCGGATGAGTGCTGCCCACAGAACTGGTGTTTCAAATATCAATGGCGCCTTCCTCTCACGTTGTTGAGTATTTCTCATACTGACATGTATTATAGCCACGAAGTCTCGCACGGCAACTGATCTTCGTGTCAGAATGCACACAGACAGATCCTTGGTGTGCAATTGTGATTCCAAGTAGCGCTGGAAAGCAAAGCGCTCGAAACCGTAATTGGTGCGCTATCATATCCCTTCTGTCAAACTATTGTTCATTCCTGTCGTACTCAGCACACGCAGGCGGCCATGAAGTGCCTATCGTATCAACATCTCCAGCGAGCAGATATTGACCAATATATTAACTACGGGGCTACGTCGATTTTGACCAAGATAGCTGGTATCGTTGGTACAGGAACCACTTTTATTCTCTTTGCCACTGATGGGTGTCCTTTGTGACATCGAAATCCTGCTAATGAGCAGTTTAGATGCTTCCAACACATATCAATCGTAGACGGGTGCAACGCTCGATACAGCCACTGGCTTGCTAAAGATCTCACCAGAGCAATATAACGAGCTCTCATCAATGTATTTTACTTTCGGTGGTGTAACCTATGAGCTCATCTCCAATGCACGAATCTGCCCTCGATCATCGAGCAGCGACCTTGGCGGTACCCCCGACGGCATATACCTGATTGTTAGTGACACCGGGAACAACCCTGGTTCTGGCTTCGATTTTGTCAAAGGTTATTATTTCCTGTATGGTACTCCATTTCAGTAAGCAAGAAGTTGCTGAATTGTGCCTTCCCAGGGAGCGCTTTTACTCGGTGTTCGACACGACGAATTCCAGAGTCGGGTTTGCCAAGACTGTGCACCAATCTCACGTCCAATTAACTGCGGACTCTTGAAAGATAAGGGTCTTACCCGTATTAACATCTGATATTACATAAATATCTCAAGTACATCTGTTTTTGACGATCCCTTCGCCGGTGCTTCGCAATCTTCATACGAGAGCTTCAAATGAAGAGGAAATTCCTCTTTAACTTTGTGTTGGTTGTGCCCGTGCCATGTACGTGTTTCTACGGCTGCTGACATCGAATAACTAGCGGATATGTATGTCTAGTAGCTAAGGTCCTTGCCAGTGCTTTTGATGACAAAGTTCACGCAGAACAAGGAAGCTTAAACCGTATATGCAGTGGCCGGAGGTGAAGGAGCTGACGTATCGACACAAATCCACCGGCACTATAGCAGAAGCTTGGTAACGTATTCTGGATTGGTTCGAGAAGTATTCTTTCATAGATTTGCAATATCGATGCTTAACCTGGTGTGTTCAGACGCGCCTAGTACAAAGCTCAGAGCCTCGGTGAACATTGTTGATTTCCTATACATATCCAGTAGCATTCGATGGCCTCACAGATACCAAAGGTTGGTCGTTTAGTAGATTCACTAGCAGGACTGACATCCATGCCAGCATGCTCAAATCCTTGTCGTCGGTGGAGGTCCCTCTGGTAGTTATACTGCCTCGGCCCTTGCAGGGAAGGGCTCGACGTCGTGTTATTGGAGGCTGCACAGTTTCCCTCGGTAATAGATTTGTCCAAAGTATTCAGGCGCCCCCTTGACTATTATCGTGTAGGTATCACATCGGGGAGAGCCTGATTCCTTCAGTTCGTCACTACCTGAGGTTCATCGATGCGGAGCAAAAATTGGTCGAGATGGGTTTCAAGCACAAGGTGCGGCTAAAGTGTTCTCGAATATTAGGACTCAATCATGATGATACGTTGTCATTAATAGCCCGGAGCTGCAATCAAGTTCAATCAATTCAAACGGGAAGGATGTGAGTGATAATATAAATGGGCCCAAGAGACAGGCTCACCTGCTTCCAGACACCGACTTCGTTGCGCTTGGGCACACTAACAGTTCATGGAACGTAGTATGTGCTTCACATCTTTCCTTTTCATGAAAGTCAATACTCCAGCCAGGTGCGCTCGGCATTCGACAAGATGTTGCTTGACCACGCGGCATCTTGCGGAGCAAAGGTATTTGAACAAACGAGTGTGAAAGCCTTCCGCTTCTCTGTAACCGAGTCTTCCAGGCCTGTGACCGCCGAATGGCTACGTGCTGCAGATGGAGAAACCGGAGTGATTTCATTCGACTATCTTGTTGATGCATCCGGACGCTCAGGACTGATGTCGACCAAATACTTGCGCAATCGTCATTTTAACGCATCATTGAAGAACATTGCGCTTTGGGGTTACTGGACGGGAGTTAATACATATGGCATGAATACCCCAAGAGAGGGTGCCCCTTGGTTCGAAAGCACTGAGAGGTATCCATCATGTTGTCAACGGTGAGAATGCATTAATCGAGCCAATGTGCACCAGACGAGTCCGGCTGGGCTTGGTTTATTCCTCTACACGATGGAACAACTTCCATCGGCGTCGTTATGAATCAAGACATATATAACGAGAAAGTCAGCGCCTTGAAAGGCAGTTCTCTGGAAGATCGCTATCGGATTTCCGTATCCCTCGCCCCAGCACTAATCAAGCTCATTGGAAACGGGAAGATGGTACAAAAGGAGGCTTCTGGGGGACAACCTAGGCAGCTCGACCTATTGATACGATCAGCGTCTGACTTCAGCTACTCCGCTTCGAGCTACGGGGGACCTGGCTTTCGTTTGGTCGGGGACGCTGGTGGTACGAACTTGAACATCTTCCTTGTCTACATGATGGAACTGATTCCCGAACCTTCAGCCTTCATAGATCCATTCTTCTCCTCCGGGATACACCTCGCAATGACCTCTGGGACTATCTGCAGCAGTATCTATATGTGCCGCAGTCCGAGGAGATTGCTCAGAAGTCGAAGCAGCTGCATGGCACACGAAAAGGTTTTCGCTGAGTTACACGAGGTTCGTCCACAAGTGGATGGATTTGCTCTTGCTGATCAGAGTGCCATGTGCAACGTAACCTGCATAGATTTCAGATAGTGGTGATGAGCGCATATCAACAGATACGATCGACGGATCTTGATATCCTGAACGACGTTGATGAGGATAATTATGATCGGGCCTTTGCTGCTATTCGACCAGGTAATACTATCGTTTGTATAGTATGGACAAACTTCCAAGATGCTGACTATCATTGCAATGCAGTAATCCAGGGTGCATCGGAGATGGGGAGTCGGTTGAGTGGGAAAGAGCTTCAGAGTGCGCTGGAGTTCTGCGGCAAATGCTTTAAAACCCCACATCGCCTGAGCACCTTGCACCTGCTTCGAAAGAAGCTCTTCCAAAGGATATGTTCGATGTTACAGCTCCACTCATGGATCCGCACGCTATTCGAAGCATTATCTCCAAGACATTCAAGCATACGGATCCAAAAGGTGACCAGGACTTCTCTGGACCTGAGGAAGACCTGAAACTCGCACTGGACCAAATCAACGGCCGAAGAGTCGTGCATCGAGAGTATGCTATCAATAATCTCGAGGCTGAGGATGTGAATGGATTTGTGGTGAGATTGCGAAGAGGACATCTCGGATTGATGTGCACGTAGTTGATGGATAATCGTTGCCCTAGCCGCAGGAAGACTCATAAGTCTCGACTAACTCATATCGCAATCATATCAGTCCATCTGGGACATTTGCGAACTTGAGCGCAATGTACATAAATTGCATTCGTTATCCTATTCGCAGGTTTCAGACTTTCAGTTCAGGCCTGAGGTCTTCGGGTTTGAGAGAATGCATGACTAGTTGACTGGTCGGGCTGAAAAGCGATCGAGGACTCGGAGTGACGTACAGTTTGCGTGCAATGCACACAAATTTTAAACTTTTAGGGATGCTCAATTCTAACTAAAGTGCACGTAATTATGAGAATGCTATGCATCTGCTGTCATCTACGCACAAATGTCTACAATAACACCCTGCCGGAGATTTCACCGCAGCCGTGTCTGGTGCTAGAGGACCTTGGTGGACGTGCCAAAGTTCAACGTTCAATGGCCCGACTTCGTCGTACGGGCAAACAGAGTCGTTCGTTGCATGCACAACTGGCTACAGAACTCGAAGCTCTTGCTATTTGCCAACTCGCAGCTGCCGACGACAAATTTATTGGCTTGCTAAAGATCCAGTTTAGCGTGTCCATTGCTCGTTCCACACTGCCAGCGAGACCAACCGACCTAGACAAAATGTTCAGGTACTTGGCCATTCGGTACATTATAAGGTCAGTGACCCCCCCACCCTCACCCTCGACTCATGTAACAACACACTGTACAACCCCTGTATACCATCACCCACTCGCCTACATGGATTCACTTCGCCTGCCTCGGCATACGTCAACATAAGTATCTGGCCACTCCTTCTGCCCCCAAGGACCACCCATATATACATGTTTACACCACGAAATCCTGTACCAGCCCGCTATCAGCGGCCGAGTACGTGTCAAGTTGATACTACGATAGTACACATACCACGCACATAGCATTCATAAGTCATCTCACTCATCGAACAGCGCGTCTAAAACGGCCAGCAGGAACGGCGGACTGATGGGGGCACGCCTCACATCAGGGCATTCGCGTGTTTGGAGATGCGACTGGGACACTGGGGGTCCCATAGAATAGATTGTATTGTCCTACATAGAGTATCACTCTGAAAAGGATAGAAATTGGAATCAAAAAAAAAAAAAAGGTCAGCGACGGCCCGCGTCGAATATGCTGGCCAGTGGCAGAATGCATACAGAGGTTTGCGACAATCGTCACGGAGTTTGAAAGCGATTTGGATCCCGTTTAGAACGCGATTTGAATCTAGAAAAGGCTTGAGTTTCACCTATACTTAACAGCTATGCCAAAAGGCAGTGATACTGAAAGTTTGCGTTTCAGTATCACGGACAGTATTTATATATATAGATTATGGGAACTCTAGTGAGCCAGCGTATCTCAGTCGGGAGTTAGACTCGTGACCCCTAATGAGGCGAGAATGAACATTGATCGGACTTCCAAATAAGTCGCGGCAAGTCGGCAAATCAACCGTAACCTATCGTCCACTATATATACATGCCTCCATAGAACTCGGTGAGTTAGTTTGACATACGAACTTGCAATCTTTTAAGACTAGTACTGACATTTGACAGTGGCATGAAACGTTTAGAACTACAACAGCATTCTAAAATGCTGCAGGAAGCCATCCATTGTTGACTACAGTTCCATGTGAGTCGGTGATTAGTGACGCTACGATGTAGTTCTGGTACCTACCAATAGTCTAGTCACGAGCTCCCAACCTATACCCATACCTCTTGATACAACCCACCACCCCGGACCCTGAGGGTTAAACCCTCTTCCGTGGAAGTCTGGGATATCATCTGGATCTACACTAACATAGGAGTCGGGGATTAATTGATTAGGCTTGACATGATGCGTTTCAGACGCGTCTAGTACAAAAGCTCAGAGCATTTCGATGAACATTGTAAATCTTTTCTACACACCCACTGAGTAGCGTTCGATGGCCTCACAGATACCAAAGGTTGGTCGTCCAGTACTACATTCGCCAGCAGAGCTGACATCCATGTCAGCATGCTCAAATCCTTGTCGTCGGTGGAGGTCCCTCTGGTAGTTATACTGCCTCGGCCCTTGCCAGGGAAGGGCTCGACGTCGTGTTATTGGAGGCTGCCCAGTTTCCCTCGGTAAGAGACTTGTCCAAAGTGTTCAGGCGTCCCTCTTGACGATTATCATATAGGTATCACATCGGGGAGAGCTTAATTCCTTCAGTCCGCCACTACCTGAGGTTCATTGATGCGGAGAAAAAATTGGTCGAGATGGGATTCAAGCACAAGGTGCAGCCAAATTGTCCTCGAATAATAAGGCCTAATGATATATTATTATTGATAGCCCGGAGCTGCAATAAAGTTCAATCAATTCAAACAGGAAGGATGTGAGTGATGATAGCAATATGCCGAAGAGACACACTCACCTGCGTCCAGACACCGACTTCGTTGCGCTTGGGCATAATAACAGTTCATGGAACGTAGTATGTACTCGACATCTTTTCTTTTCTTGAAAGTCAATACTCCAGTCAGGTACGCTCGGTATTCGACAAGATGCTGCTAGACCATGCGACATCTTGCGGAGTAAAGGTGTTTGAACAAACGAGTGTGAAATCCTTCGGCTTCTCCGCAACCGAGTCTTCCAGGCCTGTGACCGCCGAATGGCTGCGTGCCGCAGATGGAGAAACTGGAGTAATTTCATTCGACTATCTTGTTGATGCATCCGGACGCTCAGGACTGATGTCAACCAAATACTTGCGCAATCGTCATTTTAACGCATCATTGAAGAACATCGCACTTTGGGGTTACTGGACGGGAGTTGGTACATATGGCATGAATACCCCAAGAGAGGGTGCCCCTTGGTTCGAGACATTGAAAGGTACGCATCGTGTTGTCAACGATGAGAATGCATTGATCGAGCCGATGTGCACCAGACGAATCCGGCTGGGCTTGGTTTATTCCTCTACACGATGGAACAACTTCCATCGGCGTCGTTATGAATCAAGACATGTATAACGAGAGGGTCCGTGCCTTGAAAGGCAGTTCTCTGGAAGATCGATATCAGATTTCCACAACTCTTGCCCCAGAACTAATCAAGCTCATTGGAACCGGAAAGATGGTACAAAAAGAGGCTCATGGGGGACAACCTGGGCAGCTTGACCCATTGATACGATCAGCGTCTGACTTCAGCTACTCCGCTTCGAGCTATGGGGGACCTGGCTTTCGTTTGGTCGGGGACGCTGGTGGTACGAACTTGAACATCTCCCTTGTCTATATGATGGAACTGATTCCCGAACCTTCAGCCTTCATAGATCCATTCTTCTCCTCCGGAATACACCTCGCAATGACCTCTGGGCTATCTGCAGCAGTATCTATATGTGCCGCAGTCCGAGGAGATTGTTCAGAAGTCGAAGCAGTTGCATGGCACACGAAGAGGTTTTCGTTGAGTTACACGAGGTTCGTCCACAAGTGGATGGATTTGCTCTTGCTGATCAGAGTGCCATGTGCAACGTAACCTGCATAGATTCCAGATAGTGGTGATGAGCGCATATCAACAGATACGATCGACGGATCTTGATATCCTGAATGACGTTGATGAGGACAATTATGATCGGGCATTCGCTGCCATCCGACCAGGTATTGCTATCGTTGTATAGTATGGGCAATAATGTCGAAGATGCTGACTATCATTTCCACACAGTAATCCAAGGTGCATCGGAGATGGGGGACCCGGTTGAGTGGGAAAGAGCTTCAGAGTGCGCTGGAGTTCTGCGGCAAGTGCTTTAACCCCACGTCACCTGAGCACCTTGCACCCGCTTCGAAAGAAGTTCTTCCAAAGGATATGTTCGATGTTACAGCCCCACTCATGGATCCGCACGCTATTCGAAGCATTATCTCGAAGACATTCAAGAATCCAAAGGGTGACCAGGACATCTCTGAACGTGAGGAAGACCTGAAACTCGCTCTGGACCAAATCAATGGCCGAAGAGTCGTACATCAAGAGTATTCTATCAATAATCTCGAGGCTGAGGATGTGAATGGATTTGTGGTAAAGTTGCGAAAAGGACATCTTGGATTGATGCGCGCGTAGTTGCCATCAGTGAACTGGTGTAGTTAACTTTCTTTGTATTAGTAACAAGAGTCAACACAAATATGGCAAAGGGCTTACTTCAAGCCTTGAATCTTGGGGTCAACCACCCAAGTTTCCTTATGATGGATAATAGTTGCCCCAGCCACACGAAGACTGCATCAGTCTCGACTTGACTCTATCATATCAGAGATGTCCTCTCGTTTGAATGGGGGTTGTTTTTGACAGCTTAGCGGACTTGGACGTTTGACGGCGGCATTTCGGCACGAGTAACATAAATTTAGACGCTGCGGGAAGTCATCGAATCCATTGAAGTTCTCGACTCGATCATCATGATCATCATGGTCAGTTGGCTAAAAATCGATCCGGCTCATGTCAAGCTCATGTTGAACCTGTTCTGGCGGCACTAGACAGCATGACACCTAGGTCCTACTAAAGGCCCAGCCCAAGCCCAACTTGAACCGTCCATCAACCGTCCATTGCGCCCAACTGCGTGTCAGTGCCGACGGACATCTACTGCCAGCATCCCGTTGTGTGCTGTCTTCTTGTCTATCATATAGTCTGCCTGGAGGGAGACTAGACGGTTGAACCAAGCTGTCTCATAGATCTTTGTTTGTAGTAAGTGCGTTGCCAATTTCCGAATTTCCTCCTTAGCTAGTCATGATGGAAATCCATACGATCCCAATATTTTCCGAGTCATGATCGTGCCACACCAAGCTTGACAACCCATGTATGACAACCGGAGCATAGCTATAACTTGGGTGGAATCGAATGTGCCGGATTCTATACTCCACCACTCTCACCTCCCATCGTCTGCTTGTCCAGCTTTGTCAGACATAAATGCGCTAGGGGTCTTCGAGTCGCAACACTCTAGGATCGTGGCCCGGGCATGAATGATTTTTGCTATGAGAGTCCTTGATACGGTTTTGGTCAATGGCGTGTTTTGCTTATACTGATCTGATGAGCTGCATATTTCTTCAGGCTAGTTACAGGCAAAAGGTTGCCATGCCATGCCAGAAGCGTTCAAGTTTGTATATTACCTGCTACCTCCATTTCATAGGGCGAAATGTTTCCTTGGTTAGCGCTTAGAATCATGTTTCAAAGGATGTCGGTTCTTGTCAGAACTCAATACGGTAGGCAAACTACTCGATCGCGATACCGTCTAACACGTCCTCGTGACAGTCCAGGTAAATCACTTCAACGACTGCCATGCGGCTGTCGGCACGAGGCCCTTGGCTTGGCGATTTTGATAGTGATGAATCGTCCTCTAATGACGTGCAGCAATGTGGATATCACAATAACTTGGGATAGAACTTCACCCCTGCGTGTAGAATCTAGGCTGCGCATATCACATGGTCAGTTGGGGGGCCAACTCATATAAAGTCTTTTGGTGATTGAAGCTTGAATTCGAGCTGATCGTATCTCTCACTCGACCTTCGAACAGCTTGCCCAAATGATATTCCCTTCCAAGGTTTTCCTGTCGATCCTCTTTGTCGTGTTGTCCTCTGCAGATGCATCTCCTTTGCGTCCTGACGCTGGGAAAGCAACCCTCAGCTTTGCCGCTAGGGTGAACGCCAGGGGTGTTGTTAATATCGCTGCCGCCGACAGGGCTCGCGCTCAGGCGATGAAGCAGGCTGGTTCCATGGGCGAGCGTGCTGGCAGATCCTCTTTCAGCATAACCAACGCTGTCGTTACTTACACTGCCCAAGTTGGTGTCGGCAGCCCCGCCACTGAGTGTAAGATTGACTGTCAACTGGTTCAGATAATTTCTGACTGGACGGTTTATCAGACACACTCCTCATTGATACGGGCAGCTCCAACACCTGGATTGGTGCAAACACTCCATACAATCCCACTATCACTAGTGTGGATACTGGCAGTACTGTTGTATGCCGTTTCTCATACTCTGTTCATAAAAAGGTGCTCATGACAATCTCGTAGGCAGTGTCTTATGGTTCCGGTAGTTTCTCGGGAGGAGAATACACGGACACCGTTACTTTGAGCACTGGTCTGGTCATTACCGAACAATCCATCGGAGTTGCGAGCAACTCAGAAGGCTTCGGAGACGTGGATGGAATTCTCGGAGTCGGACCGACTGACCTGACGTATGGCACCATTTCTGACCTTGAGACAGCCCCCACTGTCACAGACAACCTCTACAGCCAAGGTTTCATAGGCGTTGAGGCACTCGGAATTTACTTTGTTCCTACCACTGCCTCTGATGATGCCGGCGAGCTCACCTTTGGTGGGCACGATAGCTCAAAGATAACGAGCTCAGTGACTTACGTCCCTCTCACGACTACGTCACCTGCTAGTGATTACTGGGGTATCGACCAGTCTATTTCCTATGGACGTTCCACCATTTTGTCTGAGACTGCTGGTATTGTCGACACCGGCACGACTCTCGTTCTCATTGCCTCCGGTAAGATAAGTCCCTCATAAATGGGTCGTCCCATACTGACTTGCAGAATGTTAGATGCGTTCAGCGCGTACCAGACTGCCACTGGTGCTGTGATGGACGAGGCCACTGGTCTCCTGATGATCACCTCAAGTCAGTATGCTAAGCTGCAAGCCCTGACCTTCAAGATTGGTAGCAAAACCTACGAACTGACCCCCAACGCCCAAATTTGGCCGCGTTCCCTCAACGCTGACATAGGCGGCAGCAGTGACAACATCTACCTTATTGTTTCTGATATCGGAAGCGACTCTGGTTCTGGATTGGACTTCATCAACGGTTACACATTCCTGTTGGTGTTCAAGTAACTTTGGTTGGTATGAGACTGACGACCTATTATACAGTCAACGCCACTACTCTGTTTTCGACACCACCAACAACCAAGTCGGCTTCGCAACCACCTCATACACTGATGATACGAGCAACTAAAATAACTATTTGCTGAATTGATGCTTACGTGTGTACGTTTTATAGTTATAGATGGTTGTTCAAGGTCGATTGTTCTGTACATCATCGATGGCTCCAAATTGCCAATATACAGCGCTTTGCATTAAAAAGTTCACTCCTTGAATTGGGCGCAACGTGTTTGGGACACCCGCTTTAGTTAGAGAGGCTGCGTCTGTAATTGTTGTGTGGGAATTACTTCCTTTATTGGGTTCCATGTACCGCCTCCGACCCTTTCTGGTTTGCGTGCCCCTCTCCTCGTCATACTTTCCTCGGTTCATCGATGCTGGATTCAAATTTGTTTCCTACAGGCTACAGGAAACCGAAAAGGAAGAGCGCCTATTTATTTCAATTCGGAACACTCGACATGAACCGATTGCTTCAAGAATTCTAGATGGGGTGCCGGGCATTGCTGAGGGTGCAAAGACTTATCCCTTGGAACGCGGAACATGATACCTGTGACTTCTCATCAGTTCAACATACGGATGGCGCCTAGTCCGACTCTGCGCAGTTGGCAGGTCCTTCTACTACCTCCGATGACATTCATGTGCCTATGTGCGCTATCTTTATATGTGACTCCTTTGCCATCGCGGAGTCGCGGACCCTCGTGTTATCCCTCGATGACACGTTTTCAACACGGCTGACTACCCTTTCACAGCCGTGACTGCACTTCTGTTTCATCTGTTGGTGGTTGACAGCTGCGCGTTTATATCTTGTAAATCTGCTTGCAGTTATGAACGTCCGGCCGTTGGTGCGTTGTATTCTGGATGTTTGATTTGATATTTCACAGTCCAAATTTGCACGACAAATTCAAATTTTATACAAATACAAATGTGTCAGGGACTGGCGGCGCCGGCCATTGGAGTGCCGTTACGATGAATGGTATGAGCAATAATGTGTGGTAGATGGGCGGCGAAGCCGCAGTCAGATGAGGGCGTAGGATACTGAGGCTGTGTTAGAATATAGGCGCAGAATAAAGGAACAAAGATCATCCTTAAATCTTATTTCAAGATTGGCTTCCGAAGGGTACGCTCTAGATGCCTTTGGCCAAACCCAGTTTGGTTCCGGGCCCAACTTAACCAAGCTGTGTTCTTCCGTTATACTGCCGGTATGTAGTTTATTACTCACTCAGGCTAGTAGTACTGAGCGCTGACTGCGCTGAGCAGTACTAGCAGCTCCACTAACATCACTCTACTGATACTCAGTCTGATGCCAATAGAATGACAGCGTCACACAGCCACTTTTCCATAACGAAGTCACATCATGCACCAGAGGCTAGCAATGTATTTAATCTGCGTGTCCATAATGTGTACACTTCAAGTTTTCGTTCTCCGTTTCAAGGTTTCTTTTATATATTCTGGCATCCCCAAAACGAACTCTCCTCAGTCTCTCAATCCAAAAACCAAGGTGTGTATTAAGTAGCATTTACCGATACATATTCATTCTAACCACCTACATGGTTCTCCTTTTGTTTCTAGTCCGAGCCTCTCTTCATTTGAGACAAGCTTTCCTGTCTCTGCCTCCCATGGACGCTTCGTCCAAACCGACGGATCTAGTCCGAGCCTCTCTTCATTTGAGACTAGCCTTCCTGTCTCTGCCTCCCATGGAAGCTTCTTCCAAACCGACGGATGAAATTTTGCATTCATATGACACACTCCCATATGAACCAGGACTTTGACTTGATGATGTCTGATGCGAAGTTCACTGCTGATACTAGAACCGATTTCTACGACCGCAGTCTGACGAGCCGCAAATATGCCCTTGTCGGAGTGGCATGCTCGAGTATCTTCGGCTGCTCATGCATCATTGCAAGCATCGTCATTTTAGCCATTTACAGAGTCTCGGGAGTAGCCACGACCAACACAGCCCTTGATTTTACTCTGCAGGTGCTGAAGGTAATATTGCCAGTAATTGTCACGTTGTGCACCGAGTCCATAGGCTTCGTACATGGCGTCTCATTGCGCTCTGCGCTAGCCTCAGAGTCTCGACTTCGTTTCAACACCAATCTCCGCCTTCTGACTGCAGCTCGAGGGTGGTATAACCCTAACGGCGCACTGCTTAATGGCATCTCGGCTGTCCTCCTCATTATATCCTACAGCTCGGCCTCACTCGTCATATGTTTTGACTTTACCGTGGAAAATTGGGGTCTTCAACCTGCCATCGCAGGGGTACCTCTCCTCATTTTGGGCGTCGCACTTCTTCTCCAGGTGATGATCGCATTGTCAGCAATGAGGGCTATCAAAATGTTGACATGGAGCTCCTCGCCTTTCGACTTGACCGCCGCACTAGTTCACCACACCCAATTGACCCCTAATACTCTCCGGTGCATGCGTTGCGTGTCTGACCTGGACACATATGGAGGTCCAACGAAGCCACGAGAGGTACAGCCCTCTGCGTGGCATGCTCACCCTAGCATCCGGAAAGTTGTCATTTCTCTTTGGGTGATTGTTGCAGCATGCGCTGGATGGGCCGCACTCATCATGTATATCTGGGACAAGTGGCCCATTTCGCATCCAACGGCCTCCAGTGCGCTGACCCCACAAACGTGGTCGTTCTCGCCCACCTCGCAGTCCAATTTCATCGTGTATGATGCACCTGGTGTCAATGTTGGGACGTGGGCTATACTCTTTGTCAGCATGGCAGTCTTCCAGGGACCGTTGACGCTCGGGCTGCATTGCTCGGAGCTCATCGCGAATGTCATTCGAGACGAAAGACAGTGGAGATGCGCTACTGGAAGGAAAGGGCTTAGAACGGCGACGAACCCGGTGAAGACGATTGTCACTCATCCGACCAGTCTCGTACTTTTTCTCGCGAAGCCTTTCCTGCGTGAGTCATTTCTGTCTAGTCTTTTTCATCAGTGTTGTTTAACGCCATCCTCAACGATCACAGACTGGATGTTTGGGAAATCATTCATGATATCTAATCCCGTCTATGACGGGACAATACTAGTAGCAGGACCGTGGGTGTTCATGTTCACTGCCCAGGTTCGCACTCACTGCCTATGTAAAACTGCTACGACACCCTCACACCCTCGTGCAGATCTGGAACTTATGCTTTGCACTCGTTGTATTTGCCTGCTTCTTCACTTTCGTTGCACTGCGCCGACCGCGTGGTCCTCAGCCTGCTGCATACGGCCACGTCCAGACGCTCGCCAACCTCGTGGATGAGTGGTCGTCTGTGATGTGGTGGGGACACAAGAAGGACGGAATTCCGTACTGTCATGCTGGTAGTGTACCTATGTGCTCACGATGCTACTCCTTTGACACTTTTACAAAGGGACGAGCGATCACCCGCTGCCGGATGTGAAGATGGACTGCGTTTATGCTGGTTCCGGTGCTGAGTACTGAGTCTTGGGTACCCTTCTCGTGAGAGGTACTTGCTTTGCTTTTGAATTTCTTGATTTCTTTTTTTAAACAGAGAGCTAAGTATACCCGGATCAGTGTCGTGAGCTCTACTGACTTTCGATTCAGTTTCCTTTTTCATAGTTCACCAGTACTTACACATTTCGTATCGGCTTTTCTCTGTTTCGGACTCGTCTGTTTGATAGGTAGAGCGTATGTAGTTATATTCCGCACGTTCTCACATCGTGTGTTTGATTGGCTAGTTAATAACACGCTAATTAACAAGCTGCTAATAAGCAAGCAGTTTTATCCCGAACCCTCATGCTGACGGTGCTCTGGCTATGTCCCGCTCTCGAGCTATGTTAGCAAATGTCAACAACGTCGACACACGAATGCGTAGTGTAGCGGAGGAAGAGGAATAGATGGAGGGTGGTGGTGGTGAGAGGAAGGGGGAGGAGTGCGTACCTATTTTTGCACTCCCATTTCCATCTCTTTTTTTTATGATAAAACAATGCACTCGTTTGCATCCATTCGAGGTAAATCCTGCATGGGTGTGGGTATGGCCTCCGATGTAACCCGGGGGTATAAATTGGCTCCCGCGATAGCACACTTGCTGTTGCTCGACCTTTGCGATGCGCACAAGCCGAAAACTACACTGTCGCGTTGTCATCTCTCCATTCAGCTCCCGCCTTCACATTATCCAGAAACCGACTATTGCTGCGTCGGATGCATCAATGCTCCCGTCGCCAGCGTCGTTTTTGGAGGCTCGTTCGATCACATCCGCAGCTGCAATGCCTGACAGCCCAGTTGCCTTCTCACTTGCGAGCCATGGGACATCTGCAGGTATACTGCATGGTGAGCTTTTGGGAATCATAGCTGCTGTTTCGTTATCCATTCATGCTGATCCAAACCAGCCCTACCCCATTTTTACCGATCACTGTGTACGTATGTTTTATAGTTATAGATGGTTATTCAAGGTCGATGGGAGCTTTGCGAGTACTTAGGGTAACGTTGAGCATGACGTTTGTTAGGAAATCATTGCTTTTCAAGAGTGATGCACGACGATTGTTCTGATCCAGACACCCACTTTAGTTGGGGATGGGCAACACCCAGTCAATTTGAAACTCCGCCCGTGATTGTGTGGTAGCGTGTGGAATCGAAATGAGTGTCCAGAAGAATTATCGACTGGCGCTACATTACCCTAAACATTTGACAAAAGGTTTGTATGGAGAGATATGCACGAATTAACTGAAATTAGGTATTGTATGAAAAAAAATGTGCAAATGATGCTGTTCTTGGGAGGATCAGTCGCCAAAAAGATACAAAATGCATGAATTTTCTCATTTTTTTTCATAGAATACAACGACAGACCCAAAAAAATGCATTTAAGCGAATTTCCGAGAGAAAAGGGGGGTCATATCGTTGGTGCCCAGTCGATCTTTGAGGACATTGAGGAGCGCGCTGACTCAGCAGGAATTGACGCGTTGCGACGCGTTTCGACATGGCAATAAAGCATTTATATTATAATGCAGCCGCGATACATCAAAAGGGACCGCTATAACCCTTTAAAAAAGCGTTCATCAGCGCAAATGGCTCACCTTGCATGCTTAAACTCTAGAAAAACTGTCGAAAAGGAGAACACTCCTCCTACCAAGAGCCGTAGTGCAAGGGACAGCAGCCCGAGTACTGTCGTCATAGCACAGCTGCAAACTGAGCTCAAAGCACAACAACAGAAGGCCAGGACTTACGAGCCGTGATGCTGCAGGGGCAAAACTTGATGCTGTTGTGCCTCGGCTCACACTTGAAGATCTCACAAAGCTCCGTGCCCCAGAGATAGACCTGCAAATTCGATGGCATCGTCGATTTGACCCTGCAGTACCAGCAGCCAAAGACACGCCAACTACAAAACAGAAGAAGGTCAAAGTGTTAATGGAGGCCGTCGCACGGTATCTGAGTGGCGAGGCAACCCCTGGTGGACCTTCGATGTCGTTGCAGCCAAACAATCATCATGATAGCGCTGTTGCATCCTTGTCGGAGCTGGGGGATGGTGAGCACGAGGGCGAGGATGAATGATAGTTGATTTTGGTGTCCAAATTGTCTAATGTAGCTCACAGTATCATTCGATAGTAATTGCTTGGTATTTGCACTCGTAAATGGTGTGCGCTAGTGGTACTCCTGATATTTGCCATCGCATTCCCTAGCACCGTGCTTACATAATGTCACGCTTTGTTTGCAGGCGTTGCCCATCCCCTTTAGTGGAGTGGGAGACTGTAATTTTTGTGTGGGCATTACTTCCCTTATTTGTTTTTGGGTACCGCCTCCGACGTTATCATCTCTGAAAGTTTGAATTACTGTGTGCCATTGCCATGTGCCAAAGTAGGAGAGCGTTCTCCTCGTCGTACTTTCCTCGGTTCATCGATACTGGATTCAAATTTGTTTCCTACAGGCTACAGGAAACCGGAAAGGAAGAGCGCCTATTCATTTCAATTCGGAACACTCGACATGAATCGACTGCTTCAAGAATTCTAGATGGGGTGCATTGCTAAGGGCGCACAGACTTATCCCTTGGAACGGGGAACATGATACTTGTGACTTCTCATCAGTTCAACATACGAATGGCGCCTACTCTGACTCTGCGCAGTTGGCAGGTTCCTCTACTACCTGCGATGACATTCATGTGCCTATGTGCGCTACCTTTATATGTGACTCCTTTATGCCATCGCGGACCTTTGTGTTACTACTCCTCGATGTCACGTCTTCAACATGGCTGACTACCCTTTCGCAGCCCTGACTGCACTTCTGTTTCATCTGTTGGTCGTTGACAGCTGCGCGTTTATATCTTTTACCATTATGTAACTCTGCTTGTAGTTAGTATGAGCGTCCTGAATATTGGCGCATTGTATTCTGGATCCGAATGTTCATTATGATTTCCTCATTGACTTACAGCACTGTTCATCGATGAATGAACGTAGGAGCTACCAGAGACCCTGTTGGCCATAATATACACTATCCAGATAGCTGGCGGCTACCGTGACACGGCCCAGAATGTTCGCAATTCATGTTTGGTTTGATATTTCACGGTCACGACAGATTCAAATCCTATACAAATACAAATACAAATGTGTCGGGGACTGGCGCGGCTGAGCGCCGTTACGATGAATGGTATGATTAATATTGTGTGGCAGTGAAATCAGATAGGGTACCGTTGCAAGCCAGGTTGGTGGAGCCCAACTTGTCTGGATGGATGTTCTTACGTTACACTGCTGGTACTAGTTTTTGCCACGGCTTGGCAGCCGACTCTGGTGGCGGAGTGGTAACTGCAGGGCACCACACTCACTTGGCACTACTTATGCTCCTGCATCACTCTTTAGTGACCGATACTTAGCCGTTTTATAGAATGACAACGTCACACGGCCGCTTTTCCATAACGAAGTCACATCCATATACCAGAGGCTATGATCATAAGTGAAATGTATTTAATCTGCGTGTCCATAATGCGCACATGCACTTTTCGTTCTCTATTTCAAGGTTTCTTTTATTCTGACATCCCCATCGAACTCTCCTCAGTCTCTCAATCCGAAGACCAAGGTGAGTATTAGCATTTACCGATACATATTTTCATTCTAACTACCTACATAGTTCTCCTCTTGTTTCTAGTCCGACCCTCTCTTCATTTGAGACTAGCCTTCCTGTCTCTACTTCCCATGGAAGCTTCTTCCAAACCGACAGATGAAAGTTTGCATTCATATGATGCACTCCCATATGCCCAGGACTTTGACTCGATGATATCTGATGCGAAGTTCATTGGTGATACTAGAACCGATTTCTACGACCGCAGTCTGACGAGCTGCAAATATGCCCTTGTCGGAGTGGCATGCTCAAGCATCTTCGGCTGCTCGTGCATCATTGCAAGCATTGTCATTTTTCACGTTCACGGAGCCTCGGGAGTAGCCACGACCAACAAAGCTTTCCTTACTCGTTCGGAGGCATTGACAACGACACTTACCTTAATCGTTACGTTGTGCACCGAGTCCATAGGCTTCGTACATGGCATCTCATTGCGCTCTGCGCTAGCCTCAGAGTCTCGACTTCATTTCAACACCAATCTCCGCCTTCTGACTGCAGCTCGCGGGTGGTATAACCCTAACGGCGCACTGCTTAATGGTATCTCGGCTCTCCTCCTCATTATATCCTACAGCTCGGCCTCACTCGTCGTATGTCTTGACGTTTCCCCCGAGTCGACAGATCTCCAAGTTGTAGTCGCAGGGATGCCTCTCCTCATTTTGGGTGTCACACTTCTTCTCCAGGTGATGATCGCATTGTCAGCGATGAGGGCTGTCAAAATATTGACATGGAGCTCCTCATCTTTCCACCTGACCGCCGCACTAGTTCACCACACCCAATTGACCCCCGCCACTCTCCGGTGCATGCGTTGTGTGTCTGACCTGGACACATATGGAGGTCCAGCGAAGCCACGAGAGGTACAGCCCTCTGCGTGGCATGCTCACCCTAGCATCCGGAAAGTTGTCATGTCTCTTTGGGTGATCGTTGTAGCATATGCTGGATGGGCCGCACTCATCATGTATATCTGGGACAAGTGGACCGGCTCGTATCCAATGGCCTCCAATGCGCTGACCCTACAAACGTGGTCGTTCCTCTACAACATGCAGTCCAATTTCATCGCGATTGGTATATATGGTGTCAACCATCGCGTGGGCCGTGGATTCTACTCTATGTCATCATAGCAGTTTTTCAGGGACCGTTGACCCTTGGGCTGCATTGCTCGGAGCTCATCGCAAATGTCATTCGAGACGAAAGACAGTGGATTCATGATATCTAACCCCGCATCTGACGGGGAACTACTAGTAGCAGGGCCGTGGATACTCATGTTCACTGCCCAGGTTCGCACTTACTGCCTATGTAAAACTGCTACGACACCCTCACACCCTCGTGCAGATCTGGAGCTTATGCTTTGCACTCATTATATTTGCCTGCTTCTTCACTTTCGTTGCACTGCGCCGACCGCGTGGTCCCCAGCCTGCTGCATATGGCCACGTCCAGACCCTCGCCAACCTCGTGGACGAGTGGTCGTCTGTGATGTGGTGGGGACACAAGGAGGACGGAATTTCGTACTGTCATGCTGGTAGGGTATTTATGTGCTCATGATGCTCCTCCTTTGACACTTTTACAAAGGGACGAGCGATCACCCCGCTGCCAGATGTGAAGATGGACTGCGTTTATGCTGGTTCCGGTGCTGAGTCTCGGGTACCCTTCTCGTGAGAGGTACTTGCTTTGCTTTTTAAAGGGAATTTCTTTATTTCTCTTTTTAAACAGAGGAGCTAAGTATATCCTCATCAGTGTCGTGAGCTCTGCTAACTTTCGATTCAGTTTCCCTTCTCATAGTTCACCGGTACTTACATATTTCGTATCGGCTTTTCTCGGTTTCGGGCTCGTCTGTTTGATAGGTGTAGCGTATGCACTTGTATTCCGCGCACGTTCTGACATCGTGTGTTTGATAGCTGTTGTGGTTGTCGCTTGGCGTCTTACCTTGGCTCATTTCTCTCATAGTATACATCGTCCAGATAGCTGGCGGTCACCGTGACACGGCCCAGAATGTTCGTGATTCATGCACATGTTTGGTTTGATGTTTCACGGTCAAAATTCGCACGACAAATTCAAATGTTATGCAAATATAGGTATGTCAGGGACTGGCAGCGCCGGCCAGAGCGCCGTTACGATAAATGGTATGATTAATATTGTGTGGCAGATGGGCGGCGAGACCGCAGAGGCGTAGGCAGTGTTAGAATATAGGCACAGAATAAAGGAACAAAGATCCAGATCCTTGCTCAATAAATCTTATTTCAAGATCGGCTTGGCATACAGTGCGGTCAGGACCCCTATACCGTAGTATTTCGTTCAAATCGACACTGTGACATCTAAACTGCTTTCGACATTTCGACAGATCGCCCTGTGACCTGTGACATACCCTAGATTTTCGTCAATTATGTCTGTTTCATCTAGTAAAACCATTTGTTTTGATCAAATTAAATCTGGCAGATAAGTAGCGCAGATAAAATATGTAGTATCTGAAAAAAAATATGCTATCACTCTATGAATGGATTCGACAAACACACTTGTGACCTGTGACATGTGCCACATTTCAGGGGGGTATGTGACATGTGACAGTCGAATTCTACAGATGGGCCTTTGGAACCCGGGCCCAATTTGTTTCCGGGCCCAACTTGATCAAGTTGTGTTCTTACTCACTCAGGCTAGTACTAGCAGCTCCACTGAACTCTCTGCTGGTACTTAGCCTGATGCGAATAGAATGACAGCGTCACACAGCCACTTTTCCATAACGAAGTCACATCATGCACCAGGAAATGTATTTAACCTGGGTGTCCATAATGCGTGCACTTTGTGTCGTTCTCCATTTCAAGGTTTCTTTTATTCTGGCATCCCCAAAACGAACTCTCCTCAGTCTCTCAATCTGAAGACCAAGGTGTGTATTAAGTAGCATTTACCGATACATATTCAGTCTAACCACCTACATAGTTCTCCTTGTATTTCTAGCCCGAGCCTCTCTTCATTTGAGACTAGCCTTCCTGTCCCTGCCTCCCATGGAAGCTTCTTCCAAACCGACGAATGAAATTTTGCATTCATATGACACACTCCCATATGACCAGGACTTTGACTTGATGATATCTGATGCGAAGTTCACTGCTGATACTAGAACCGATTTCTACGACCGAAGTCTGACGAGCCGCAAATATGCCCTTGTTGGAGTGGCATGCTCGAGTATCTTCGGCTGCTTATGCATCATTGCAAGCATCGTCATTTTAGCCATTTACGGAGTCTCGGGAGTAGCCACGACCAACACAGCCCTTGATTTTACTCTGCAAGTGCTGAAGGAGATACTGCCAATAATTGTCACGTTGTGCACCGAGTCCATAGGCTTCGTACACGGCATTTCATTGCGCTCTGCGCTAGCCTCAGAGTCTCGACTTCGTTTCAACACCAATCTCCGCCTTCTGACTGCAGCTCGAGGGTGGTATAACCCTAAACGGCGCACTGCTTAATGGCATCTCGGCTGTCCTCCTCATTATATCCTACAGCTCGGCCTCACTCGTCATATGTTTTGACTTTTCCGTGGAAAATTGGGGTCTTCAACCTGCCATCGCAGGGGTACCTCTCCTCATTTTGGGCGTCGCACTTCTTCTCCAGGTGATGATCGCATTGTCAGCAATGAGGGCTGTCAAAATATTGACATGGAGCTCCTCGCCTTTCGACTTGACCGCCGCACTAGTTCACCACACCCAATTGACCCCTGATACTCTCCGGTGCATGCGTTGTGTGTCTGACATGGACACATATGGAGGTCCAACGAAGCCACGAGAGGTACAGCCCTCTGCGTGGCATGCTCACCCTAGCATCCGGAAAGTTGTCATTTCTCTATGGGTGATTGTTTGCAGCATGCGCTGGATGGGCCGCACTCATCATGTATATCTGGGACAAGTGGCCCATCTCACATCCAACGGCCAATGCGCTGACCTCACAAACGTGGTCGTTCTCGCCCCATTCGCAGTCCAATTTCATCGTGTATGATGCACCTGGTGTCAATGTTGGGACGTGGGCTGTACTCTTTGTCAGCATGGCCGTTTTCCAGGGACCGTTGACACTCGGGCTGCATTGCTCGGAGCTCATCGCGAATGTCATTCGAGACGAAAGACAGTGGAGATGCGCTACTGGAAGGAAAGGGCTTAGAACGGCGACGAACCCGGTGAAGACGATTGTCACTCATCCGATCTGTCTCGTACTTTTCCTCGCGAAGCCTTTCCTGCGTGAGTCATTCCTGTCTAGTCTTTTTCATCAGTGTTATTGAACGCCATCCTCAACGATCACAGACTGGATGTTTGGGCAATCATTCACGATATCTAATCCCGTCTATGAAGGGACACTACTAGTAAAAGGACCGTGGGTATTCATGTTCACTGCTCAGGTTCGCACTTACTGCCTATGTAAAACTGCTACGACACCCTCACACCCTCGTGCAGATTGGAACTTATGCCTTGCACTCTTTATATTTGCCTGCTTCTTCACTTTCGTCGCACTGCGCCGACCGCGTGGTCCCCAGCCTGCTGCATACGGCCACGTCCAGACCCTCGCCAACCTCGTGGACGAGTGGTCGTCTGTGATGTGGTGGGGACACAAGAAGGACGGAATTCCGTACTGTCATGCTGGTAGGGTTCTTATGTGCTCACGATGCTACTCCTTTGACACTTTTACAAGGGACGAGCGATCACCCGCTGCCGGATGTGAAGATGGACTGCGTTTATGCTGGTTCCGGTGCTGAGTCTCGGGTACCTTTCTCGTGAGAGGTACTTGCTTTGCTTTTTAAAGGGAATTTCTTGATTTCTCTTTTCAAACAGAGAGCTAAGTATATCCTCATCAGTGTCGTGAGCTCTGCTGACTTTCGATTCAGTTTCCTTTCTCATAGTTGACCAGTACTTACATATTTCGTATCGGCTTTTCTCTGTTTCGGGCTCGTCCTGTTTGATAGGTAGAGCGTATGTATTCCGCACATTCTAATATCGTGTGTTTGATAGCTATTGTAGTTGTCGCTCGGCGTCTCACCTTGGCTCATTTCTCTCTGATAAAAGCTCACCGACCCAAGACTTGCTTGTTTCTACTGTCAACCACTTATTTTTCTCCACGTTTAGTCCAAGCACATCAGTAAACCGCCTATTACTCTCACCTTTCTAATTCCGAGTCAGTAAGGTGGTACTACTCACCCTTGTATCAAGCCAAAAGTGTTTTTGTGATGACCAGCGGTCCAGACCAGCAAATTAAGGCGCTGATGACTAGCTCGTGCCCACACTAGCAACATTCAATGTTCATGCACTGCAAGACTTCAAGTGTGTCTGGCGTCTGTTTTCAATGATAGCTTTCCGGTAGACCGCATGCTTTTGGCGTCGGTCTAGGATCACAGGGAAGCTTTTGGCACCTGTTCGCACTTCAACTTCTGACAGCAGTGGCTCAGCTACAGCGCCGATTGAAAATGATATTGAATGGATGTTGAATGGATGTTGAATATGCAAATATACTAGTATGCTTCGGGCCTGAACTCGGCAAACGTTGTCGAGCATGGGCGCAGTCGAGCGTCGTTAGGTTTATAGCCTCGTGTAAAATTTAAATGTATGTAAGGTCCACAACAGCCACTGTCACGCTGCAGCTGCGTTGAAATCAGACGCCAAGCTTCCACTGGCAACCCTCGTCAGGCAACAATGGCCCCATACCAGCGTATGTATTCTGCTTGAGTTGATGTGACAGCGGATCAATGCAGTCAATATCATATATCGAGCACGAGACTCCAATTAGAGTGTACTATTGGCATTGGTACTATCGATATTGTACATGAGTTCCCCGCCCTGCAGGGTTTTCGCTGTATTCAGGTGAACTAGGCCGTCCATGAGGCCTTTTGACAGACATGAACTTGAACTTTGTCTCTACATGGCCACAGTAGGCTATGCAAGGCCAATCTTACCAAGATCTCTCAACGGTTGTACTCGAACAAATCTTGTCGTCTTGCTAATGGTCATACGTACATGCAGTGCAGAGAACAATCAGCGCTATGTATGTAGCATTGACCGGGACCACGGGATACTCATGTATGGACATGTTTGGTGTGATCTGATCCAATATCCTGTACATCGTGAGTCCGTCCGTGACCGTTCTTATATCGAGCATAAGATTTTCTTCTCTCTCTTATCCTCCTTTCGCAGGACTAATCTGAACTCCATCAGGCCCTTCAAATCGAATCCCAAGCTTGAATAATCTATCAAGCAATGAGCCGCCAGCCGATCTCGCGACACACCTTCACCGCGCTTAATAGCACTTTCATCGTTGACGGCGAGTACCAGTTCGTCAAGGAGCTTGGTCAGGGCGCGTACGGTTGTGTTGTTGCTGCCCGCCACCGTCGATCAGGCGAGGGATGCGCGATCAAGAAGATCACGAACATTAATACCAAGGTGCCTATCTTTGCTTGTTCACTTCGAACAGGGCTAAATAGGCGCTGTACCATAGCGGATCCTCACCAAGCGATGCTTGAGAGAGATTAGGTGCGTTTGTACAATCAACTACACTCCGAGTATAGCACTGATCATAGCACAAATCAGATTGTTACATCATTTCAGGGGACACAAGAATGTACGCCAACCACGTGTGCTTTAGGTCTACATTTTACACATCCCTCTACAGATCACATGCCTATATGACATGGATATCGTCTTCCAATCCAATGGGAATTTTGACGAAGTCTATCTCTATGTCGGTTTACCTCCTTATTCGCCTTTGGTCTCACTGAACCTCACATTAGGAAGAATTGATGGAGGCTGATCTTCATGCCATCGTGTGTCATTTCCCACTCCTGGCTGATCTGACACTCAAAAGCCGACGGCACTTGCACACAGATCCGGTCTGGACAACCGCTCACCGACGCACACTTCCAGTCCTTCCTTTACCAGACCCTCTGCGGGCTTAAATACATTCACAGTGCCAACGTGCTCCACCGCGATCTTAAGCCCGGAAATCTCCTTGTCAACGCAGACTGCGAGCTCAAAATATGCGACTTTGGCCTGGCTAGAGGGTACGTATATCTCTCAATAATATATTTGCACTCCAAAGACCAAATTAACGTCGTATTTAGCTTTACCCCTGGTGGTGGTACGAGCAAGAGCGCCGGAAACCAGGGGTTCATGACGGAGTACGTCGCAACACGATGGTATCGTGCGCCAGAAATCATGCTTAGCTTCGCGAATTATGTACGTGTGCTACTTTCCTTTCTTGTCTATCACGTCGGCATTGTTTATTGTAGCCGCTTGAGCGTCTTTTTACACTAGCTGACCACGATACTTATAGACGACGGCCATTGACGTCTGGTCTGTCGGCTGTATCCTTGCCGAGCTCTTGGGCGGCAAGCCAATTTTCAAAGGACGAGAGTAGGTTCACTCTTACTTCATTATGAGCAATTTGTGCATACATTTCGATGAATTGATACTGACCATCGACAATTTACATAGCTATGTCGACCAACTGAACCAAATCCTTCACTACCTCGGTACACCCTCTGAGGACACTCTCCGCCGTGTCGGATCTCCAAGGGTATGTGCTCTGCCAAACTCGCCAATATACTCAGCTCACCCGAATCACACAGGCTCAAGACTACATCCGCTCTCTCCCCATCAAGCCACGCGTGCCTTTCCAGACACTCTACCCGCACGCCAACCCACTCGCCATCGACCTCCTGCAGCAGATGCTCTGCTTCGACCCCGCCAAGCGCATCAGTTGCGAGGCTGCGCTCAACCACCCGTATCTGCAGGTGTGGCACGACCCCCGCCGATGAGCCGGTCTGTGATACCGTAAGTTTTATTTCCTGTTTGAAGGACCAGGGTGCTCAAACTGGGTTGACGTACTCAGAAATTTGACTTTTCGTTCGAGGAGGAAGACTCTATCGAGGGAATGAAGAGGCTCATCATCGAGGAGGTCCAATCGTTCCGTGCTGAGGTGCGCGCTCAGGCAAGGGCCACGGGCCAGATCAAGAGACAAGACAGGTCAGCATCATCCTCGCGCCTCTTTCCTACCCTTCATTACGAACCTAATCATCAAACCATTTTAGTCTACCCATCCCCTCTCGGGACGAGATTATCAGCTCGCCGGTGCAGGAGTACGGCCCAGTACACGGCGCAACATCTGGCTACAACCGCGCCGTCCCAGCGCCCATCGTCGCCTATCATGGATGACCCTAGCGATGCGCTTGAAAAGGAGCTTGCGGGGACGCATATTGGGAGGCGATGATCGATTCACTGGTTATCTGGTTTGAGCATGATTTCTTGCTTCGCGTTTGTTGTTCCTGGACGTTGTGACTGTTTGTTAGAGCTCGTAATGATGTGCGGACATGGAAACAGTACTGGAAAATGCAAAGATGCTACATACATACTTATGTACATTACGTTTCTTGTACCGAAAGCAAGATAGAGTTTGTCCGCTGTATGTGAAGTTGCACCGGTACATCTTCGCCGCGGTCATTTACAGAATTTACATTAACTAACCGTAAATTTCCCCAGTTAAATAGATCACGGAGCGGTCATTGAGGTCCGAGAGCTATTACTGAGTGTTAAGTATGGCAGTGTCGCGGACATTTGGGCCCTTGGGGACCGAAATGGGGATATCCGGATAACGTGCTTTCGATCCATGTGCTCTAGACTCGTGACCAGCCCCTCTATGAGGCAAATATCGACGGTTTGCCTCATAGAGGGGCTGGTCACGAGTCTACATGTGCTCGCCTATGTACAGATTTGGGCGTCTCTGCTCCTGCCCAAAGCCCATTGCCAGCAGGGTTGCTGTCAAAGTGTCTAGCTTGGCTCAATTGCCGTTCATATATAAGTATAAGCACTACAGGTGGTCATCTTTGTTCGTTATATCTTAATCTCTTTATTATCAAGCTATTGAAATCGGTAGGCGCTCAGTACTTCTGGTGACCACGCATACGTTGGCTAACTGACGTGTTCAAAAAGCATCATGTCGCTTTTCCTCTGTGTTGACTGTGGTGGTTCCAAGACGTCTGCTGTCATTGCAGATAGATCTGGCACGATCCTCGGGCGTGCTCTAGGAGGCCCATCTAACTTTTCGTACATGTCTGCGGCTGCATTTACAGATGCTGTTCGCGTAGCAGTATCTAATGCATTGAAGACCTGCGTCTCTCCACCATCTATCGACCCCATTTCCCTCCCTCCCAACACTGAGATATTTGCATCTGCATGGTTCGGTATCTCCGGCGTTGATTCCCTAGCTGCGATCGCCAATGCCTCAGCAGTTCTATCTGTTCTCCTCGGGATACCCCTGGGTCCACGGTTAGTCGTGGCCAACGATACACATCTTCTTGCTGCTCCGCTTCGGTTTCATCCTGATATCAAGCATGCTGTGGCTGCGATAGCCGGCACTGGATCTTGTGTCGTTTCGTTTCAGCACGAACCCTCAGGCATGCTAAGTGAGCTTGCACGGACCGGCGGGTGGGGATGGATTCTAGGAGATGAAGGCGGAGGATTTCATGTGGGCCGTGAGACCATGCGTCAAATGATGTACGATGCTGCGCGCTCGTCGTTGGGGATGGAACCGTTACCCCCAAGTAGCCTCAAAGCGAAGGTGCTTGAAACATTTGGGATCAAGGGGGTAGATAATGCCCCAGAGGTGTTGCCGGTGGTGCACTTGCCCGAGCCTAGTACAGAAGAGGCGGCTGCCTCTGTTCCATCGTACCTCCTCGTTGCGCGCGAGAAACGGTTAAGCCAGCTTGCTCCACTCGTTTTTGAGGCTGCATTCAAGGACAAGGACCCCTTCGCGCTGAATGTGTTGAAGGCTTGTGCTGAGGGACTTGCGGACCAGATCGCAATGCTCTCCCGTGAGCCTGGAGAGGATCCGAGTTTGAAACCAAGAGCAGTGGAAGCAAATGAGGCCATGTTATGTTTTGGAGGGAGCTTGGTTGGCATCGAGGATTATAGGGCGTTGATACATGAGGCATTGGCGAAGAAGGGGCATGTCTTCAAATATGTGGAGTTCGTTGAAGATGCCGCGGCTGTAGGAGCGGTAGGCCTAGCGTCTTTAGGTAGGACATAAGTCTCTGTCTGCTCACTAGCTATTATATAGCCTACATAGAACTTGTTATTTTAAGTTGTAAGTATGTAGTCGATGGACGCGAAGCACCTGCCCTAAATATTTCCACGGTCCCAATATAAATACCACCTTCCGTTTTTTTCCTTGCTCCTTTGTGCGGCGACACGGCCAGACCTTCCCCATGTTGCTCATAGCTGCCCATAATCCACGCGGCTGTTCGAGTGTCAGGCCGTGTCCTGAATAATTGGACGTCTTAGCACCCATTATCGCGTCATCAGACTTTTCTGGAGAAGCGACGGGTCGGTGGTTCATACATATTTTGACTATCCTCCAAACTTTTTTTGATTTAATGGTACAAGTGTCATTCGCACTTATTGAATAAACATGAATTCGAGGAGCACGACTTGTCCATCTGTAAACTTCAAAACTTCCTGAGCCCATTCCTACCTCGAGGCCTCACTGCGGCTCAGATAGCGTCCACCGCGTCATGTTGCATTCAACTGTTGCTCGATCTCTCGCATATACAGGTGTGCACGAGTAGTATCGGGCAAAATATTGTCATGCTCGAGTCTATCCAGCGTCAACTACATCACGCTTAACAGTTCGCTTGTCCAGCGAAGGTATTGACTAACTGTGTGGAAAGCCAAGTTGCGACGTGTCTTGGTTTGACGCTCCGTCTGGCCCTTTGAGGAGCCATCGGTCCCAGGTATTTCAAGTTGCAGGAACGTTATGAAGTATTCAAGTACATGACCTTTAACAGTGGATTTGGATGCAAGTCAGAATTTGGCCGCTGCTTCACGATGTCCAGTGGAAAAGAGGTCAAATACAGACTCAGTATCATTGGAGGCACCACGTTGCATGGATTGGCCCTATGATGATGCGTAAACCGTTAGGCTGAAAATAAGGGTTTGGTGTCACCTAGAGGTGGACCAGTCAAGTTGGAAAAGGGGTTACAGCTACGGCCCGGCCCGGACGGGCATAAGAATTGAACCTGCAGGGCTTGCTGCCTCTTGTTGCAGTTTCATGCGTTTTGGAAGATTCGGATTTACGTACCGTTTTCTACCATCTAAAACACATTTCCGCATCATGACACCAAACTACGAATCCTGGTCAAAGGATGAGCTGATCGCACGACTCAGAGAGGTGGAGACAAAAAAGCACGCCAAGTCAACTCACTTACCAACATCTAAAAAACCATTCCATTTTTCATCCCACCCGAAGCGCAAGATCGCTATCAAGTTCTGTTACTCGGGATGGGAGTATAATGGGCTGGCGTATCAAAACGGTCCTACGCCTCTTCCAACGGTCGAGGATGTCTTGTTTAAAGCCTTTGTAAAGGCAAGGCTCGTCGATGAAACTGGCGGCTTGGATGGCTGTGGATGGGAGAAATGTGGAAGGACAGATCGAGGGGTGAGCGCTGCTGGTCAGGTAGTTTCGTTGTGGGTTCGAAGTGCTCTCCCCACCGAAACTTCTCCCAAAGTAACATCATCACCATCGTCCGAGGAGGACCTACCCACGGAGGACACTCCCCAAAACACCTCACTCCAGCCTTCTACGAAAAACGAGCTCCGCTACGTATCCATCCTAAACCGCGTACTCCCCCCTACAATCCGCGTCCTAGCATGGTCTCCCATCTCCCCCAATTTTTCCGCCCGCTTCAACTGCAAACACAGACACTACAAATACTTCTTCACCTCTCATGGACTCGACGTATCCCTCATGCAATCAGCTGCAAACCGTCTCATCGGCGAACATGACTTTCGCAATTTGTGCAAGCTTGATCCAGGAAAACAGATCACCAACTTTCACCGCTGTATCGTCCGCGCACAGATCAATCTAGTCTCACCAGAGTCTGATGGCGATAACCGTGTATACGTATTCGATCTCGTAGGATCAGCTTTCCTATACCATCAAGTTCGACATATCATGGCCGTCCTTTTCCTCGTCGGAACAGGACTCGAACAACCGTCCATCATATCAACCCTCATGAACGTCTGTCATGCAGAATCTGATTCATTACCCGAGTCTCAGTTGCCACTGGTGGATCGCAAACCCGAGTATCAGATGGCAGACGCTCTCCCTCTCATGCTCTGGGACTGTGCCTACGCAGATTCAGATGTCACATGGCAAACAGACGACGACGGTACAGAGAGCGGCAGTGGCTCAGACCTCTATCACCAACTCCATTCTATACATCAACGCTCCCTCATCCACACAGTCCTAGACGAGCACTTTCTTACAGCTGCTACCCAATATCATTCTCCACCACCTCAATACTTCCCTTTCAGTCAGACAGGACTGACACCTCACACGCTCCCTCGTTCGAACTTGGGGCGAGAACCGGTCCTTGGTGCCCCACTCGGTGCAGGGACGTACAAGCGCAGCGCAAAGTACACGCCTTTGTTGGAGAGGAAGAGACTTGATCACGTCGATGTGGCCAACGAACGATGGCGAATTGGCAGGGGGAGCAAGTATAGCAAGCAAAAGACGCCTGACGATGGAATTGAATGAGCGGGCGCTTGTATATGCCGCTGTAGGCGCCATCGCCTTTGGGTAGGCAGCGCGATTACAGATGTGAATCTGATCGCTCTATCCCCCACACAAATAACCCAGGATGAATTACTCAAGTTCATTCCTGCGATATCTACTACAATGATGAAGCATTGCTGATCAAGACTTGAAGCTTGAAGGATGATAATCACTCCTGACTTCAAAATGGACATCCAGCTGCAGGTACCTGGGTAGATCATAGAGCACAAGAAACGAGACATGTGATATACCACGTCCCAGGTCAGATTTACGGTGACTCTTTGATGGACTTGCACGTCTGCCCGCACACACCCCACTCTCATTTGACTTCTGCTGCTTAATATTTAATCTCTCAGGGAGATAGTGGCCTAAGGTAAAATAGGGTAGAATTAATTGGCAGACACATGAATTGCACACAGCTAAACGAACTCGCTGTGTACATAGTTAAAATACGTCCTTAGATAAGCACTGCACAAACGATCTAGAAACTGGAAGTTCGAATGAATGAAGTTCCACGAATGATGGGAACCCACATCTCAGCGTTGTGAGCATCATGATTCCTGAGGTACATACAACTCATGCATTCGCGGCAACCATCCTCGGAAAAATAAGTCAGTATCGTGACCTGGCATAATGGTGAAATCAGCTTGAAGAGCAATTTAGGTACTGCTGACGATGCCTGGCGGCGAGGTCATTCCGAGTCCTTGTCTATTCCGTGACGTTCGCGCAGGTGTCCAACTTGAAGGTTGTGCTTCATGATGCAACTTCCAGTGAAATTCGTGCCTGTTGAATTTAGACGGAATTGAGGAGCACGACTAGTCTGTTTACAGAAGTTCTAACTTCTGAGAACTTGCTGAGCACACTCGTTGAGCAGCTCACCTCAGTATTAAGTAGGTACTATATACATACCATCATGCACCCGAAAACCCTGTGTATCTGCGCGTACATCCCACCTCAGGCCCATTCGCTTTAGGTTGGCTTCCGCTGCTCAATCGAAGATGGTCTGCTACAAGATGCCCAGCGAGAACTTGGCCAGCTCGAAGGAAGAGAAAGTAGCTTGCGAAGTTTGCGGTAGAGTTCGACAGACGTTACAGGCCATGTTATATAGCGAATGGAGTCCAAGAGGAATGTTGAAGAAACGAATGCGGAATGCGTGTGGGTGAAGGATATCGATAATCGATAAAGCTAAAGGACGAAAAGATAAGGTTGAAGCAAGATATAAAAGGCTCATGACCTACGCACGACGCGGTGAAGAAGTGAAGAAGTGAAATGGTAAAAGCAAATTACAAAGCCTAAATCGATCATAAAGGGTAGATGACCCACTGGCACCGAAATGTTAATAGTTCAAGCGTAGAGGCCACGAGACGTATGCGTTGCGTATGCATAGGAGGGTGGATAGGATTGACAATAAAATAAGAAATAGCATCGATACAACATCGTGAATTGTGCACCAGTAAACCGAATGCATTGTATAGTTATTATCCGATGTGCTACAGCAGAATTTGTCCGTCGAGGGCTATTTGAACTGTACAAACAATCTGGAGAGCACACTATCGTAAGGTCAAGACAGCACCAGTGATAGATCCAATGTATACTTCAGCGTCGCGAATCAACCATGACGGCCCAAGTGCATACAATTCTGTATCAATGGAGAGGCGTTGTCGATGTCCGTATGCGGAATCAATAATTGATGACCCGACCAAGTAAGCAACCGGTGCGTGTGGGGGGAAGAGAAGCCCACGGGGAAGGCGGAACTGGGGATGAGAGGTGAGAGGTGAGGCCTCGAGGGCCCAACAATGTCAAAACTCTGTTGAACCACAACCGAAGATTAATCAAAACCGAAAATCACGCCCATCTCGGCCAGCCGGGAGGGGCGTCACTAGAAAGAATGTCTTAGTTTCAGATGATGGCTTCCCCTTCCCGAATGCTGGATACTCACATATCACATAGCATGCGACAAGCCATTCGAAACATCGCAAAGGAGTGGTGGCAGGTTGTCAACAAGGCGCCTCAGTATTGCGACCTGGAATAATGATAAAGTCTGCTTGAGAGCAATTCGGGTGATGATGGCGATGCTTGGTAGCGAGGTCATTCCGAGCTGGCATCGTCGTACCACAGAGAGAACATTTGATTCTGATACCAGTGTGCTTAATGATGTGACGCCCAAAACTCCGGAACCTCAGCTGCTCCTCACATTGACCGTGAGCTGTAATCCAAAGGCAACGGTATGTTTCCTTGTTACCAATCACAATACCATGATCCTGGCGCAGGTGGGCGAGAATGTCCTTGGGTGTAGCCCGAAGCTCATCACCACAAAGGGCTCCTTTGTTGTTCCACCGACAAAGAAAGGCACCAAGGTGCTTATGAGGACGGCCCTTATGATATGGTTCGAAACGAATAGTACCGTGGTTGCGTGGAGGAGGGTGAGGTGGTAGAATATTGCAGACATTGGGGAAATTTTCAAGCAAGTTGTCTTGCATCGCAAGAATGGGAGGGGGGGCGGAGGGTCGAGGGATGCTCATTCCCATTGTATGATTGCTCGCCAGCGAGTAAGAGTCCATGTACGTAGATCCTAGATGAAAGTACGAACAAGTAAGAACCTCGAATTTCGATGATCACGATTATCTCACCAGGCCACTGATACATTAGAGGACGAGTGGGCTGGGGCGCATGTGGTATATGAGTAGGCCATACGGGACCATCAACCTCAATTTTGTTTCGACTAGAAGAACCAAGTTATCACAAGTGAATATTAAAATTGTAGAGAATGGGCGCACTTCTTGAAAGGAGCTAAATGATTCGAGTCATTAGTAGCCACAAAACCACCGTGTGAACCTGTAGGTTGGTGGGCAGAGACAGATGTGTAATAAGCAAAAGCTCCTAGCAGACCACCAGGTTCAAAAAAAGAGTTAGAGGGATCCATAGATGCCGCTCAGCAGACGACTTGCTCTGCTTTAAGGGAGGAATCGTGGTCTTCCAGCATGTCGGCAGGTACTCGCATGTTTATCATTATGACATCTACACTTCCAAATTACAATACTGCGTACACAGCAGTAGAGTAGGGAACTCGGTCGGGATATGTCATAGAAGGCACCTACAGAGTGCTGGCGTGGCGAAATTCTGTAGATATCATTGGCAAGGGTGACTCGGAACAAAATGATTTTGCCACTGGTAGATCCCTGAGGGTTGCCGATCTGTGTCGCGGCAGGCTCCAAGCCAAAATATCAAATGGAGACAGGCCAACAGAGGGAGCGGCGACAACATTGTAGATGCCAGAAAGAGTTAGGGAAACGCACGGGTACGGGTAACACCGCGGTTCTATGCTGACGTGTTTGGAGGGTACGGGTACGGAGTAGGATAGTCGTACCCTTGAGCATACCGTGGCCATTCACCGCGGGTTGACGGTGTTTGGGCGGGTATAATATACCAAATCGGGAACCAGGCGCGCGACAGCCATTGAACACCGTGTTTGATTCTCTGTTTTTCCTTCCTCTGAGAGCTTGAGGATTATGGCGTTTATATCAGCACTTTTATTATTTGCGCGTTGCGCACCCCTGCGCGCTGTCCCCCGCACTGCGCATCTTGTCCAGAGCCTCCGCGTTTGAATTTAACACTGTCGCATGACCAGGAAAACGTGCACGTGACGAGCATTCTGAGTCTTGCGTCTGATTTGCTATACTTATGTTCTCAAGCTCGCCACATGTTTGAAGTAAAGTCAAGGTACTAAATATGACTGAAACTATGGCTCAAAAACCAACTTTTCAACCAGAAGGTGACAAGCTTCAGAAATAAAATGTTCAGCATGATGAAAGGCGGCTCCCTGATCCAGGAGCTTGAACATCAGCTCCTTGCAACCCTCACTAACCCGTCCAAACTTCAGTTCCTTGAAGCGCTTGACAGCGTCACTATATGGCTGTGGATTCCTGGCATCGAGGAGGAACCGGCCCATTCCATTCCACCAAATAGCATGCCAATCCTCGTTGCAACCTGTTGGGTCTTGACAGTCGCTTGAATGCATCAAGATTTTCGGCTCCTCTGCAGCTACCATCCGACGATGATGATCGAGTGCCGCTTGAACATAAACAATGTTCAAAAATACCTCATGTCCCATTAGCTCCCGGTGTGCGTGTGTGATTTCAGAGATCGGTGTTTCTGCCAGTTGTTGGAAAGCAAAAGGAAAGATGGTCCGGACATGGTATTTGATGGCGAGGTTGATCAACTGAGCCGGGTGAGAAAGCGGAAACGTGCAGTGAATATACGGTGCACAACAAATTCTTGTGTATGGCGGCATTGATACATGTCGCAAAAGTGAAGGAATCTTGAGAGCTCGTCAGTAGTATAAGAGCCAGTGCAAACTCTGCAAATAGTTCAACAGGTTAACAGTAAGAAGAATAGATGATGTATAGTTGACATACCTTCCAAAGGTATGTTCAAGAAACAGTTCGAACGTCTCCCGGGACAATCCGTCAAGGCGAATGGGCCGATCGTCACTCATTCCATCTAGTTCGATTTGTCCACTCTGTGTGGCAGTAAACATATCGCGAAAAACATTTGAAGATGTCGACAAAATTGATTTGCAGAGTTTGTACAGCATATTCTCAACCTTGGGCCAGCATAACATTCAAATTTCAAACAAGGAACAATTTGATAAATAGAAGAACCCCACCTGGAAAATATGACTTGAAGCATGAAAATAATATATTGGGTGTCGGGTTGGTGCATTAGACATGGTAAAATTGGCGAGAGTCAGACGTTTAGAGAGTTCAAGCTAATCGTATGTCATGAGGGAATTGGGTAGTCGTTGGTATGACTAGGCGGAGTTTAGAACCCTTAGTCAGTCAGCGGAGTGTCGGTTGGACATGAAGTATGGTGCAGTGAGGTATAGTGCAATGAGGTATAGTGCATGGGGGGTAGTATGATATATGAAAACAGGTGAACGCAATGACACATCTACTAGAAGTCCTCTTCCAACAAGCTGGATGAAACATTGTTAAACACAAAGTCTACCAGAAAGATAGTATACTCACAAAGTTTTGCTCGATACCTGGTCGGTCTTGGCATTCGTGTGGTTGACGTTCGCCTTTGAGTAGTCTGACACGCGCTTCTCGAAGAAGTTGGTCTTCCCCTATAGTGAGACATGTCCATGAAGTCAATGGGTTGGTGGCATTGTACACTTTGTCGTTGCCCAGCGACACCAACAAGCGGTCTGTGACGAACTCAATGTACTGGCACATGAGCTTGGCGTTCATGCCAATGAGGCCAACAGGGAGAGCATACAGAGAGACAGTCAGCGTGAGATGAGCAAAAAGAAGGTAATGACGAACCAGTGAGAAATTCCTGCTCGATGACAACAGCCTGAATAATGATACACTTAACAATATCAGGGTGCGGGCGACGCTTGAGGTGGTTAAAGAGCAAGCAAGCAAAATCGATGTGCATACCTTCATCACGGCTGATGAGCTTGTTGGAGAACGTAAGTCCAGGCATCAGACCACGCTTCTTCAGCCAGAAGATGGACGCAAAAGAACCAGAGAAGAAGATGCCTTCGATGGCAGCGAAGGCGACCAAGTGCTCACTGAAGGTGGAACGCTGATCAGATATCCACTTGAGGGCCCAGTCAGCTTTGCACTTGACGCAAAAATAGTTTCCGTGGCGTCAAAGAGGTATTCGCGCTGGGCGGAATCCTTGATGTAAGTGTCGATGAGAAGTAAGTAGGTCCCAGAGTGAATGTTCTCCATCATAATTTGGAAGCCGTAGAAGCACTGGGCTTCAGCAGCCTGGACCTCATTGGAGAAACGTTCAAGGAGGTTTTCATTGACAATGCCATCGGATGCAGCGAAGAAGGCGAGGACGTGTGAAACAAAATGACAGTTCGTTGTCATTAAGACGGTTCGTCCAGTCAGGTGAGCAGCCTCTTCTTCACATAGTTTTCTTCTCTTCATCAGTCTCCTCGAGCTCAAGACCCTCTTTCGAGACACAAACAAGTTTCTTGCCCTCGAACTCTTTCAGCTGCGTGACGGCGTACTCATAAATGGGGTCAACGAGAAGGAGGACTTCAAAGCCCTTCTTCTTGAGCGCTTCAAGGAAGAGTGAGTCGCAAACAGCGCCAAGAGATTCACCGGTGAGGTGATAGATCGATTTCTGGACCTCGGGCATACGCGTGATGTAATCTGAAAACATTGTGAGGGAGCTGTCCTGACGGAACACACAAGATACACTTACCCTTGAGCGAAGTCTGTTCCTCAAGCGCCTTGGTGGAGAAGAAGCGGAGGAACTCAGCGAGCTTGCTGCGGTTCTGGGCATCCTCGTGGATACCGAGCTTCAAGTTCTTGCCGAAAGCTTCGTAGAACTTGTTGAAGTTGTCCGGATGTCTTTTGAGAGATCCATCTCCTCAGCAGTCCAGAATGATGCTTCGGCTTTCTCGTACATTTGCCATATATGATGATTTGTTAGAACGAAGTCAACAGGAGGACAGACAGTAACAAACCTCATGGTATTGAATGGGGAAAAGAATGAAACAGGCGCTTGGATTCTTTGAGCAAAGGCTCTTCGCCTGAAATGAAAAGCTAAGTTGAAGATTAATTCATACATGAAACTAAGCCACTGACTTTCAGTAGGTCGATTTCACCGACCAAACGGAGCAGCAGGAGGGGGTCAGTGAGGATAGCAGACGCGTGCACGTCAGACACGCCCATCGAAGCTGCCTAAGCAAGGACGATTGTTACGGGTGGATGGAGGAGGGAGTGCAGCTATAATTTACATACCAATATCATTTCGATCTATCGTCCCAGGACGACAAATGATGAAATAATCATGTGACCGTGTTGTCCTAACATTGAACTCATCGACAACGAATGTCATTGCCATCATGCCTATAGTACTACCAGATGTTTTTCCTCAATTCCCATTTCGTGCAGCGACTCAGGTTCCGTTGTCAGCAAACTTCCTCACTGCACACGATATACTTTCAGATATCTACCGGCATGCCTTACAGATTCTTAATCAAGAAGACGCTGATCCAATTCAGCTTATGTTTCATATAGAAACACTATCTGGAGATGCCATACCTCTCCTGGCAGCGCTTGCACAGAATCCCCAAGGAAATGAGATGTGTGATTGGCTTTCTCGTGCGGCAGGCGTGCTAGGGGAGCTCTCAGCGCAGTCATCATTGTTTCAATGCAATATTCAAAACCGGTGATTCGCACTCTTGACTTGCTTTATTTCAGTAGTCATTGATTAAGCAATGCAGTATGGACAAGGACATAGTGTTCCTTGAACCAGTAACCTTACTGCGCACAAATCGTGCAGGTCGCCCGAAAAAAATCATCGATACTGAATTCCTCGCTGAAGCACTTTCAAATTCATGACTTATTAACCTGACGGAATTGGCCAAGACACTAGGACTCCACAGAAATACTCTGCGACTTTATATGAAAGCCCATGGAATCATACGAAGGTACTCTGAACTCACCAATGCCGACCTCGATATCCTTGTTGGCGAGTTCAAAAAAAAGCGACCGGACTCCGGCATCAGATATATAATTGGTTTTCTTCGCAGATATGGACTCCGAGTACAACATCGACGAGTTGTAGAATCCCTTCGGAGAGTGGATGGCTTGGGTCAAGTGTTACGAGACCGTCGAGTCAAACGCAGGCGAAAATACTATGTAAAGCGGCCAAATGCTCTATGGCATGTGGATGGGCACCATAAACTGATTCGATGGGGAATCGTGATTCATGGATTTATCGACGGGTTTTGCAGAACGGTCCGAGTCTAATGTGTCTCATCTGTATTTGATTCTGACGTCTAGCCTTGCCAGATAACTGGACTCAAAGCAAGTAACAACAACCGCTCTACTACTGTCTTAGATCTTTTCAAACATTCAATACAAGAATACGGCACACCCTCTCGTGTACGAGGAGATCGCGGTGGAGAGAATATTGATGTTGCGACTTATATGATAATGAAACATGGACCACGCCGAGCATCATTCATGTGGGGATCGTAAGTTATTCTACTTATTTACTGTATTATATGCTAATTACAAGTACCAGTTCTACCCGGAATTCACGGATCGAACGTTTGTGGGTTGAGGTGGGCACGCAGTTTGCTCGGAGATGGAGGGCGTTTTTTACTCGCCTTGAGAATTACCACGGACTTCGCCCCGACATCCCTAGTCACATTTGGCTACTTCAAACACTCTTTCTTAGCGAAATCAATCGGGACTGCTACGACTTTCAAGCGGAATGGAATTGTCATCCAATAAGCGGTCCGGATACAAATAATAAGAGTCCAAAGGTAAGTTCACAGATGCATTATTGACACAACTATGATATTGACACATTATAAAAAAGGATTTACGTTTTTTGGGACAGGTACAATTCGGAGTATATCAAGATGACTGTGAAGGGATACATCCCGACGTAATTGAAGAGTATTACGGCGTCTATGGCCGTGTTGCAACTCGACGCCAACACCAGACCGGAGCAGGTCATCCCATGGACGAAGAAGACAGTGATGATGGTGAGGAACCTCAAGATATAGCACAAGCGGTCAATAATCAGCAAAGGGATCATGTCCACCATGAAGCCATTGGTGTTCCGTCGCAAAGGAACCCTTTCGTCAATGAAGGAACATACCAGCAATTTTCTGCCACTCTCACCGAAGTCGTAGCCGAAGACATAACACCACGCCATTGCAGGCCTGGCCGCAGATGAGTGGGAAGGTAATGGATACCCCAGTTTTTGAGACCATTTCCAGTTGGTCGCCGGGGATCCAAAGAGCTTCATGTGTCGCTTGGAGAATTGATATGGTTTAGTTGAGCAAAGCTGTGGTGTCAAGCATTAGTAGTGTTGTCATATTTTTTAGCTGCTGGTAGAGAGTGACGAGACTTACTGGTTTAATACATGAATGAGAGCATTGCATAGCCCAACTGGTAGTGATCTCGTATTAGCTTAAATAGACACAATAACCAGACTCGATAACTCACTTCAGGTCATTTTCGCTTCCTCTTGAAGTCACGTTCACTCTGCACCCTTCCACTTGCGGTGACGCTGTAATTGCATGGATTCCATCAGCGAGAGCAACAACAAAGTCATCTTCTGTAGAGGCGTCAAGGCTGACAGTGAACCATGTGACTGCGAGGAGTTTTTTTGCTCAGTCACAGGACAAGGGTCATTGTGTGGAGTGTGGTCACGGCCGTAGCAAGCACCCTCGTAAAGTCTTGGACTACAGACCAGAAGATACTATTCAAGACGAACCTCAACCAAGTTCATCGGCCACCATCAAGGAGATATTTGATCGAGTCGCTGGTGGCAGGAGCATCAATGACAAGCCATCTGCCACAAGGCGAGGGAGCCTCTCACTCACTGCTGCCTGGGACGAAGCCATCTCAACATTGTCTTCTACTCGACTCGCTGGCTACAATAAATTGGCCAAGGGTCTGGTGCCATCAGCTGGCTTGCGGAAGGTATGAGCCTGATATACATGGACAGCTAGTACAAAATTTCATTGATAACTTCTAGGATCGCAAAGAAACCAACCCATACCCGCCAAGTCAAGTGCACCGGAACACTGCCTCTAATAGTGCCACAGCAGCGACTGCCACTGTGTTTCGAGTTGCGTCAATCGCCATGCTAATTTGCGGCTTCGATGTCAGTCAAGTAGTACCCTCAATGAATCAAGCTAATACCGTATCGTTTCACAGAAGAGTGGTCTCATCAGAGAAGCCAAAGCCCCAGGCAAGGGTGGCCAGAATGAAATACAAGCCATGAGGAACCGCGGGTGCTACCTCGACCAGCAGTTTAGAATCGACAGCGGATGGTCATATGCAAAGATCACCAATAACCTATGTACCTGGTTCCCAAAGGTCTTCAGATACCTGGATACGCAAGTTGAGAAGCGAACGTCCCAACCACAGTCCAGCCATGAGGAAAAACCTGTTTGGCGCCTCCTAAACAAGTCTGGACAGGTGTTGACAGTTGTCGATGTTGCATTTCCAACTGGAAGTGACCTCTCAAAACACAAGGGACGAGACAAAGCCAGCGCCAGCGAATGCCATCTCTGGTTTGGTAGGTTCATGTTTATTTGCTTTGACCTTTATGTGCTAACAAATCCAATTCAATTTTCAGTAACGAGGAACCGGATCCCGGACGATATTTACGAATCTTGGAACACGCAGCCTGTTATTGCAGGTTCAGATTCCGAATGTGATGAGAGTGACCAACTTTTCTCTGATACGGACGGTTCAGTTGCCGATAAGTCTGACAACGAGCTCGCAAGTTCCTTGATGGAATTGGATCTGACTGATGTCAAAGTCAAGGACTCAAACCCCAAAGGTAAAATGAAGGCAAGAACACCAAAACGTACCAATCACAGTGAGTGTTATGGAACTTCTACTAATTGTTCACGTCTTACTTGTCTGTTTTGCAGTGAAACGAGTCCTTTCTCCTGATGAGTCATCATCCGATACGAAGCGCCGAGTGGTTCAAAAGAAACATAAGAAAGGTTCGTCATCCTGCTTGTTTTCTCAGATACTACTTAATGATATGTATTTGATGTTCAGAATCAGCAAGTGACGTTCCGCTATTCTTTTCAGACTCAGGAAGTTCAAGTTGTCAAGCCCCTCCACCAACCCAGCCTCAATTCAGTAGCCTCCGTCACGGTGACCTGCGACTCAAAGTGTCATCTCCACCCGAATTTGTGTCCGTCAGTGAGGACGATGTCCTCTGGCGCAACAGAACGGACGGCGATGACCCCTTCGCTCCGGAACGCATCAATCCTTGGGACTCTCGTTATATCATGATGCAGAATGCTGCTAACTTTCTTATTTGAATCGCTGATCACCCTTTGAGCTACAGATAGTACTAATTTCATTTCATGTTCTTCCTCGTGCTTTGCGGTACATACTGTCAACCTCATCCCGCCTCATCACATCACCCATCCTATACTTCCTACCTTGCATCCTCGTGGTGCACTAGCTAATGATATATCACGGTCACATACATATCTCATTCATTACTTCACACTCTTTTCCAAATAGACAAAGATTTCGATGTGTGAAGTGTGTAGTGCGGGGAAGGTTAAATTCAAACGCGGAGGCTCTGGACAAGATGCGCAAGTGCGGGGGACAGCGCGCAGGGGTGCGCAACGCGCAAATAATAAAAGTGCTGATATAACGCCATAGGCGTTGCCTGCACACCGGTCACAACCTTCCTCGTACTCCCGCTGACCTAGTACTACTTCTCCCGCCATCTCCCACTTTGACCTCGTACACCTTCGTGACACCCTCGAGCCACCTGGCGATCTCCCCGACTGCCGGCAATCTCGCGTTACTCTGGCACATATTTCATATGGCTTTCAGCACCCTGATTCTGCCCTCTTCTGTACCTTCCATCTCGCACCCTTCACACTTTTGCTACCCATGGCTATATCCCGGTAATTTCTCATCCATTAGCCAGATGCTATGTCATGGTCTGCAACTGGGAAAGACGCGTCAGGAAATCAACTCTCTTTGTTCCTTGTCCCTTGAATCTAATCAGATCAGATCATCGGGCTGATTGTCGTTTGCTTTATGTAAATGTCGTTACAAGTTGCAACGTTTGAATGGGATGTACATGTTTCGGGACAGAATATCAAGACGTTTGTGAAACCGTGAAATACAGGACTCGGCGTGAGTACACAGGCAAATTAGCTATGTAAGAATAGGGAAGTTAAGGACTACTGGCTTCTACTACGTCTTGCTTGATCATCTGAGCCAACTGACTTGCGACGTCTCGAGACATACCGCAACGCTTCGTCAGACGAGAAACAAGATCCTTCTTTCTCACAAACGAACTCGCTGTAAGTAACTCCTTCAGCTTGCGCATTAACGATACGAACAGGTTGTCCCCTCCTATCCATGTTTGCTTCTGCCCGTCAGCAGTAAATTTCTTAACAAGATTGCGGATCGTGATGCGCGATTCTTCATAAAGGATTTGGTGTCTGCCGTCCAATCTGTTGGCGGCAGTGATGCACGCATGACCAGCGACCTGGATCCGATGGTTTTGGAGGGTGGCCTGGTTTCTTTCCCACCAGTCCTCCATCCTCTGCTCTCTTTCAAGATGTGTGATCGCAAGAACAATGGGAATCTTCTTCTCGCAGATGAATTCATGAAAGAGCCGGTAGTTGCTCTGAATCGTAGCAGTGACTCTGTCGGCACGAACGCAGAATAGAAGTAGGTCAATGCCGCCTTGCCTGTCCAATTCCTTGATGAGCCGATAGGCATTCTCGACAGACTCGAGGTATTCTCCGATTCTCAGCTGTGGTTCCTCCAGCCCGATGGTATCGAAAACCACATACGAGTCGCCACCGAAACCGATGGTATAGTCTTTCCACTGCATCGTACAACGTTGCGTGTCAGGAGATGTGGTGGCAACCTCCTTTCCCGCCATAAGGTTGATGAGCGAGCTTTTGCCTGCTCCCGTCGCGCCGAAGACGACAATATTTTTATGTCTGTTGCCACTTATAAATATCAAAAGGTATACAGGGGACCTGGAGACTACATGCCGTTTAGGAGGGCTCTGTATAGTGCTATGTAAGGGTTGAGGTTAGAAAAATACGCACAAAGGGCATCTGAAGACGACCTACCTATCAGCCATTTCAATCTCTCCTGAATTCCATTTAGGAAGGCTCTGTATAGTGCTATGTGAGGTTTGAGGTTAGAAGAATACGACACAAAAAGCATCTGAAGATAACCTACCTATCGGCTACCTTAGTCTCTCCTGAACTCCATTTAGGAGAGCTCTGTATAGTGCTATGTGGGGTTTGAGGTTAGAAGAATACGGCACAAAAGGCATCTAACGACGACCTGCCTAACAGCCATTTCAATCTCTCTTGAATTCAAGTTAATAGTGGCAATTTTCGTTGCAATGCATCTAGTGACTTCGGTTGCCTCTGGGCGACACATGGGGTCCCAGGACCAGCATTTGTTGATCAAGTTCCAGTGATCGTCAAGGATGTTGTCAGGACGTGCAGGAATAGCTCCTTTCGATAGCTCAATGATGATATGATTTGAATTTTTCTTCTCGTTCCACGGTATAACCCCTGACACGATCTGAGAGGGAAAGGTTCAGGACAGAGTTGCAGAGAAATACAGAAATCTCACAAAGAACATGACACTACCGAAAGAATATACATCACTCTTGAAATTCGGTCGTACAAGTTCAGCCTCCGGGTCGATTCCAATGACCTCAGGCGCACGCCATTGAGGATTGAAGCTGCGGCCTGCGGTCGTCGTATTCAACTGCGACTCTACGTCCCCTGCGACTGTCGCGAGACCAAAATCTGTGAGGCGTGGGTGCCCGGAACCATCTACGAGCACATTCCCCTGATGCTTATGAATGAATGTAAAACCCCACAGAGAGACTACCCAGCATACAGGATGGAGGTCGCCGTGAACGACATCTTGGGAGTGAACTAATCCAATAAGCATCAAGAACGAAAATAATAACATAATAGAAATCCACGAACGATATTCGAGGCCATCAGCAACGCCCCTGGCCTGGTAGCATGAAAATTGATAAACGCTTGGTGAGTTTGATTGTTGTGAACGAGAGACTCACCAGTTTGATTTGAGTGGATGCGGAAATTGTACCTTGCTCCTTGAAGTATGTAAATAATGTCCCAGAAGACATCCATTCGGAAATGAGAGCCGGAAATAGAGAATCTTGGACCTTTGCGATACCAAGTAGCGGTACGATAGTCGGGTGTTGCAGTTTAAGCCACACCCTGAGTTCTCGATTTATTCCCTATTATTGAGCAAAGTGTGATAGTTGAGTTGGGGCATTCCAGCTAGTAGCATAAGATTGACTCTGTTTATTTTTCCCATAGTTCTCCCAGCCTGAGGACCAATCTTGAAGATCTTCACTGCGACCTGTCAATGGTCATTAGAGGACGATTGATGAACTCGGACAAAATTTGGTCAGACCAACCTCCATCGTGCCTTCGTTGGACTCAATGGTACGCCGATAAACTATGCCAAAGGTACCGCCAGATGGAATTTCGTCCTTCGAAGTCGCACTAGCAGAAATTCGAGATGTGAAGTCACGAGAAGTATCAATGCAAATAAAGTGATCGATGCACTCGGGAATGTTTGTGGCCCCCGGGCAATGCCCAGAGTCCATCACTGCGACCTGTCCATGGTCATTAGAGGACAGTTGATGAACTCGGGGAAAAGTTGGTCAGACAAACCTCCACCGTGCCTGCGCTGGACTCAACGGCACGCTGACTCGGATAAACTACACCAAAGGTAGCCTCAGTGGACGGAATTTCGTCCTTCAAAGTCGTACTAGCAGACATTTGAGATGTGAAGTCACGAGGGGTATCCGAGTCACTGCAGAACACGATGAAGCCTTGGGGTCGAGGCACATTATACTAGGTGAACACTCACTCTTCAGGCGTAAGTCCCATCATGGTAGGTTTACTTGCAGCAGCCTGAGACAGGTTTCAGGAAGATTGAAAGTACTTGAATTTGCGGTGCGATCTTTCCAAGTTGCGCAAGGCTTCCGCTGGGGATTATAAGAAGACCTGGCAGCCATGCAGATCGGACCATTCTCGGATTCCATCCGAGAAGCATTGCTGATCGTAGTACCGCCTCAAGGCTTTGGAATATGATGGAAGGATCCATGCTTTTAATATCGATATAAAAGGCAAAAGTCAGCGTGCAACGGGTACGTCACCGGGGCGTTTGAATAGCCTTCCACAGATCAATCGATCACCAGCTGCAGTGTACATGTCGTGTACGAGCAGTTTCAAAAGTCGCTGACTTCGGGTTGAACACTATTGTAATAAGTTACTGCTCGCCAACCACAAGTATATTGTGATTACATCGAGACCTCTATGGAGACATTGATATCGCAGTCATTGATATCTGTAGACACACTATATTCATGTCAGGAAGCAACCCATTTGAGTTTGCTTTTGGCGCCGCCAGATCAAAATTTGCAAGGTGTCGGCCAACCTTCTAATTATTACGTAACTTCCGAAGCAGGAGGCTCAAGGTTAGCACGTGCTGAACGACAGTAGACCTCCGAGTCCGAGGAGGTCTATTGGGTTTGCCTGCTGCCAGCGAGCAACGCAATCTTTGGTGCATCATACAGTGGTGCGAGGCATATGGCTCTCGGGGCGGTGGGGTCGACATATTGAATCTTGATTCCCCGCCGATTACTATGGATCACTGGAAGTTATGCGGTTATGAATGCAGACCTGTCCAGGAAGATGTTCCATTTCACAACGAGCGCTGCACAACGTTGCTTGCACGTTGCAACTGCCAAAGTTTGGTTCTAGTTTCAACGAAAAAGGGTAGTCGATATCCAACCTCATGTTAGCTTTGCACGTCGTAACCTTCGGTGTGCACCGTGTCCTGTCTGCAGTGGCATAAGTATCAGACGCCGTTGAATTGTCGCTCTCATCGAAGATCGTCCACCCAGCCAGAAGAAACAGCTTTGCTATAATCGTGAGCTCACCGTGATGCCCCCTTTTTGCTAGAAACCCAGTACTGAGGAAGCGCTGTGCTAGGTCCATTGCCAATGCCTCCCAAAAACATTGTCATTTTTGGAGAGAGTGGCGTCGGGAAAAGCTCCATCATCAACCTCCTCGCGGGTCACCGGGTTGTCCTAGCTAGGAAAAGTCACGTCAATTCTGACCGTCACAAAGAAACAATTCGCTTCACCTCGACTACGTCCCAAAACTCGCCATCTACCCATTTTACACATCACGATGGCGAAGAACAAAAGCGTCATTCACGCTAAAAGCATCGTTATATTAGGCGCAATGGGCGCCGGAAAGAGCTCTCATAAACCTCATTGCAGACCAAAACATCGCTAAAACTGGCTCCAACCTCAAACGGTGCACCCTCACATGGACCAAATATGTGTTACCCAAGCTCTTTGATGATGGGATGCAACACAATATCTTCGACACGATGGGGATCGAGAACCCAGAACTCGAACCATATGAGTACCACCGGTCCATCAAGGATGCCAGCCGCCTTCTCCGCAAGCTCGATGAATGCGGCGGTACCAGTTTGTTGGTATACTGCATTAAAAAACAGCGTGTCAATAGCGCATTGCAGAACAACTATCAGTTATTCCACGAAGTGTTGTATCAGCGACGAGTCCCCATAGTCATGGTGGACGCGGAACCATGCATTGTTAAAGGAATTCCAGATCGTTGTGGAGGGACATGCATGCGTAACGACCCTGAAGGATAAAGATGTCGCGGTGAAGTACAGGGAATCGAAGGAAGCCGTATGTGAGCTGATCCGGCAGTATGCAGCCGTTACGCCAGTGTCTGGGGGGTGGAAGCAGGAGGGGATAGTCAGCGCATTCAAGCGACGGTTCGGGCGTCCCAATCCGGAGGACAAGAAGCTGCAGCATAAAATACAGAAGGACCTCGAGGGTCAATGTGGCATGAAGAAAGAGTTGGCTTCGAAGGTTGCAGAAACACTCGTGTATCCGTAGACCAACGGACGTAACGATTGATCGCTGTATATATATCACGTCCTATGCACTAGCTTTAGTGTAAACCAGGCTTGCATTCAAGCTGTGGTCTGTAGATAAGTATGCGTTAGTACTAGTAGTACGAGTCGCGGTAAAGTTGTTTGTCATTCGAGGAAAACTTACTCTCGCACTCGACATCGTCCAGGTTGTCCTTCGGAACAGGTCATCAGCGAATGGATGATTCCTTGATATTGTAGCCGAGGATGCAGATTTGCTCCTACTAAATATTGTCATTTATACGGCGAGAATTTTTGGTTGGAAATACATAATTAATAATTGATGCAAAAAATGTTGTTGCATTCCTCCATTGCAGCAGATGAGGGGACGGTCCGTTCTTGTACTCGCTCGCTTCCAATCAATCAATTACATAAACAATTCGCTTCATCCAAAACCTCTTGAACAAATGAGTCACATCCGATTGTACGATTCCTGGACCCATGATCGATCGATCATAAGTACTGTACATACATGCGTCGCAAGCATGCCGAACATTCTGCAGCATGGGCTTACAAACTCTGACAAACCACAATAAGCGCCTTGCCACAATGCCATCAATTTAAAAAACCAGCCTCACCGTCTGCTTCACTTCTTAGACCTTGCCTCCTCCAAAGTAGTAGCCCTACCCACTGGCATGGACAGACTCGCGCCTCGACAGTGAGTCTCCCATAATGTCCCTCGACCTTTTATCATATTTTGCAGTGATAACGACTTCACATCTCAAATTTCCGCGTTGAAGCTCGAGGATCCATGCGAATCTGGTTCATTTGGCGCTGTCTACCGGCGCAACATCAATACTAGTGAAGGCACAAAAGAAGTTTGTCTGACCACATTGCCAAAATTCCTGAATCGTCCATCTGATATTCATCAGGTCGCAGTAAAGGTATTCAAGATTGATCCTGGGAGAGCTGTGGAGAAATATAAGAAGGTCAGTCATCTAACCGGAGTTTGGCGACTCGAATCACACTTCGCTCAAGGCCTATGTAGGCAATGCATCGGGAACTCAGGGTGTGGCTTAGACTATCAAAACACCAAACTATCGTACCGCTACTTGGCACCGCACATGTTGGGTCTCTGTGTCCTGCTCTCGTTTCGCAATGGATGCCCTCTGGAACATTGTATATGTACCTCGAGAAGCAAGGTACAATCACCGCTTTGGCTAAAGTTAAATTGGCAAGTCTTTTGTTCACCGATCACATTCACCAGGCATTGATGGATTTTATGTTACAAGGTCAGGGGCGTTGCCGATGGCCTCAGATATCGTTCGTAGATCGCTATCCTATTGTTGCTTTTGTTCTTGATGTCTATCCAGTCCACTCGGAGGATGTCGTTCACGGTGACCTGCATCCCGTATGTGCAGTCGTCTCTCCGTGGATGTTGCACTCATTCATAAGCCTCAGGCAAATGTGCTTATAGATGGTGCGGGGAATCCACGTCTCACAGATTTTGGTCTCGCAACAATCGCAGAGGATGCAGAGTCGCAGCTGAATACGACAACTGCAAACCGCAGCCTCAATCCTCGATGGCGTGCGCCTGAGGTCATTGGAGTCGTCCCGGAGGCTGAACCTGTATGGCCGAATTTTAAGAGTGATGTATATTCTTTTGGTGGTGTCATGTTCTTTGTGCGAATCCTCTGTTTTTCTGCAGTTCTGTCCTAAGCTTTCTTTTCTCAGATCATCTCGGGGGACATACCATGGAAAGAGAAGAAAAACTCAACTCAAATCATCGTTGAGCTATCGAAAAGCGCAACTCCTGCTCGCCCCAACAACATTCTTGATGACCACTGGAATTTGATTCAAAAATGCTGGTCTTGGGACCCAGATCATCGCCCGTTGGCTACGGAAGTCATTGGATACCTTGCAACGAAAACCACCCCATTTTGGGGAGGGCCGAAATGCCTGAAAGGTCCGTAGTTTTCAGATGTCGTTTGTGCCCTATCTTCTAACCTGGAACGCTGTGTAGCACTATCCCGACCATACTTCCTGAAATGGCTGAAAGGTACATAGTCATATTTTTTGCCGTATTTTTCCAACCTCAAACGCTATATAGAACTATCCTCCCTCCTAAAATGGCTACAAGGTGCGTGGTTTTCAGATGGGCTCTTCGTACTGTAGTTGTCTAATTGATAAGTAGGACCAAGCGTGGCATCACTTCAACGAGTTCCAATACCCCTACACTACTACGTCCTAGCAGGCTAGGTCTCACTAAAAACATTGTCATTTTTGGAGAGAGTGGCGTCGGGAAAAGCTCTATCATCAACCTCCTCGCAGGGTACCGGGTTGCTAGGACCTCTCCGGACAACGGACATTGTACATTGCGCTATGAAGCGTATAATGTCACCATCAGGGGCGTGCCGTACCGCATCCATGATTTTCCCGGGATTGACGGCAATCGCATGGACCCTAGCGGATTTCTCGACGTCGTCATCAACGCTGACAAGTTGATGAAGGGAGTTGAGGGTTAACGGAGGAGTCCATCTGCTGCTGTACTGCATCAAGGCAGGCAAGATACCACCGACGTTCGTCACCAACTACAGGCTATTCTATGAATTTTTCTTCGAGGAGAAGATACCAGTTGCGCTCATCGTTACTCACCTGGAGAGGGAGGACCCCATGGATGACTGGTACACGCGAAACAAGGGATCGTTTGACCGCCATGCAGTCATGTTTGTTGATCACGCTTGCATCACTGCGGCGGCCCAACCTGGACGCGAAATACAAGAAGAAATACGACGCATCCAAAAAGGAAGTGAGTGACTTGATCACACGAAATGAAGATACGGTAGTGGACTGGAATGGAGGAGATAGGTGGCTTGCCCGGTTCATTGGAAAGTTGAAAGACCTCTTAACGGGACGTCCAAGCAAGTCAGACATTTTTGGGGTCCTCACGAAGCGCTGCGGAATGGAGGTTAACCTAGCAAAAGACGTGATCCAAAAACTTAATAGATGACGTGAGTTTACTCGTTACGATAGCTGGACACAGAGGCTGTTTCATTATGATTGGTTATCACCATGTAATACGACTGTAGGCGGGGACTAGAATATTCAGTTCTGCTATTCTTCCTACGATGTGAGATACTTGGAGATTCAACGTGGAGCACACTCACCTACAACAGTTCCTGTGCATGCTGCCCAGCCGCAACTCGACCCCCCCCCGGTACTGACTACCTCATGATTGCGGCTCTGCATGCGGGTTTTCAAGGCGGCATGCTTAATGCATACCCTGGATATACCCAATACGTATCCCAATTACGCCTCCGCCTGTAGCAGCACGACTGTCGCGTGCCAAAGATCAAGCCGGGGCACGGGAAAGTCGTGGCAGAAAGCTTCTGCATCATATAAGGGCGCAAGGCATCAGCCCTGACAGATCCTAGCTAGGAAAAGTCACGTCAATTCTGACCGTCCAAAGGAACAATTCGCTTCACCTCGACTACGTCCCAAAACTCGCCATCTACCCATTTTACACATCACGATGGCGAAGAACAAAAGCGTCATTCACGCTAAAAACATCGTTATATTCGGCGCAATGGGCGCCGGAAAGAGCTCTCTCATAAACCTCATTGCAGACAAAAACATCGCTAAAACTGGCTCCAACCTCAAACGCTGCACCCTCACATGGACCAAATATGTGTTACCCAAGCTCTTTGATGATGGGATGCAACACAATATCTTCGACACGATGGGGATCGAGAACCCAGAACTCGAACCATATGAGTACCACCGGTCCATCAAGAATGCCAGCCGCCTTCTCCGCGAGCTTGATGCATGCGGCGGCACCAGTTTGTTGGTATATTGCGTTCAAAAAGGCCGTGACAGTGGTGCATTGCGGAGTAACTACCAGTTATTCTGCGAAGTGTTATATCAGCGGCGAGTCCCCATAGTCATGGTAGTGACTGGCCTCGAGGACGAGGACGTCATGGAGGAATGGTGGGAGCGGAACCATGAATCATTAGAAACATCCCAGATCGTCGTGGAGGGACATGCATGCGTAACGACCCTGAAGGATGAAGATGTGAAATATGGGGCATCGAGGGAAGCCGTGCTTAAGCTGATCCGGCAGTATGCAGTCGGTACGCCAGTGTCTGGGGGATGGAAGCACGAGGGGATAGTGAACGCGTTCAAGCGACGGTTCGGGCGTCCTAATCCGGAGGACAAGAAGTTGCAGGATAAATTACAGAAGGACCTCGAGAGTCAATGTGGCATGAAGAAAGAGTTGGCTTCGAAGGTTGCAAAACATTCGCGTACACGTAGCCCAACGAACTCGCTGCTGTGATGACGATTGATTGCTATACATATCATGTACTAAGCAGTAGCTTTAGTGTGCACCGGGCTGGCTTTCAAGTTGTAGATACTAAAGTGTTTTTCGTTTGAGGAAAACTTCAATGGTTGTACAGCGATTATGTAAGCACAGCTGCCAGCAGCTGGCGCTCATTGCATTCCAAAATGTCCGCTAAATACATTTTACTCATAATTAAATACGCCTCTGACGATGCATATCAAATACAATTGATACCCAACTCCTCAGCAATGATCATCGCAGCCCGCTCTCCGATGAGAAGTGCCGTCGAATACGTGTTCTGTGTATATTGTTAGACCACACATGAGTCAACAAACCCTTGTTCAGTACGCACCGCGCCAACGTTCAACGGCACAATGGACATATCTGCAACCTTCAGGTTCGACACGACCGTACACATCTAGCCGAGCATCAACGACTCCTTGATCTGCCTCCGGTTTCATGGCACAAGTCCCAAGCTACACATATAAAGATCAGATGCGAAATTCTGAAAGGTTCAGCCGCACACACCGAGTGCCATGCCGTTTGTACTGATGTTTGATTCAGCATTTCACCGTGACAATGGAGATGGCAAATCAGGACTTACCGATATCACGGTGGAATTGATTGATCGCTTCGTCATCTTCGGCAGTGTAGACGATGTCAGGTGCGTTCAAGTCCACTGGCCCGGAAGCTTCTCTGCAAGCTGCAGCGCTTCCCTCTGGGAAATCAGGATGGCCAGCAGCAACTTCACCTCGATAGGAAGCCATGCGTCGAAAAACTTCGCGCGTCTTTTTGTACCCGAAGTCAAGAGGAACAATATCGGATGGACTGTGCGGAGTGTCGTAGTCACGCAAAGTGTCCTAAAATGATGTGCGTCCACTCACTCATCTAGGAAGCCTGTAGTAAAGTCCTTTCCTTCTTTGCCATCCTCCGTCACTTTGATATGAACGCTTCCAACAGACACGGGGTAAAGCTATTGAAGAGATTCAGAAAAAAAACATGGGGTAGACGGAGAGCAGTACTGTATAATAACCTGCACTCATGTATTTGCGAGGACGAAGGATATCCGAGAGCGGCCTCGCGAGCGGTGGGATATATCTGGCTGTCATGAGCATTGCCATTTCATCAAGCCAAGCAATATGTACGCACCCTGCAAAAGAAGTGAATATTGCAACAGGCTTGTCTGGACGGTCCTGGAAGAACTCCTTCCAGCGTGGTTGAAAAGCTGGATCCATTGCCTTTAATTCCTCGTCATCAGGACGCCACTTGATTTTTTGAATCGATGCCACTGAAATATCAATCAGCACGATACCAGCAGTGATAACTTGCACCAACTTTTGTGCAATCAATGACTTGCCGCTACTGTTCCATTGTGCAAGGCTTTCTACATTTGTGTAGTTGTAAAGTGCTGCAATCGTGGCGAGAAAACATGCTTACCCTGTAGGATACTCTCCCCACGCCAGAGGGCGTCCATGGTAACAACATTGTCGGCAGCCAAGTATGGAACAATGGCGAGATTGTGATCTGACCGTCCTAAGCCAAGCTCTTAGAATAAATTAAAAGCGCACCTTGATAATTTTCTCCGACGCCAGGTAAATTCACTAGTTGCTCGATACCGCACCGCTTGAGGATCGCCTCGGCACCAATCCCAGACCTCTCCAGAATGGTCGGGGAACCGAACGCCCCAGCAGAGACAACAACGAGTTTTGATGCTCTCACAATACTCGACGACCGATCCGCGTCTGGGCAAGACACTGGGTCGCTGGTGAACTCGACACCTACAGCACGCTTGTCCCTTTCATTTGGAAAAGTCGTCAACACTTTGCTGCGATCTCAGGTGGCAACTTACTTGAAAATGATACGCTTTACGAGCTTTCCATCCCAGACTTGTAAATTTGAGTTGTGAGCTTGGTTGTAGACGTAGTGGTGAGCTGCGTCCGAACGCCTTCCGGTTGTCCCGTCAATGTACCTTTTATACATGAGCCAAAAATTCGCAACAGCCTATGTGTGCAGGGACTCACTTCCGCCATGGCTGAGACAAATCTAGTTAGTGATCGTAATTAGGGAAGGAAAATCATGGCTCACACTGTATGTATTGCATGTTTTCAAATCATTGGTGTCATCGGCATACTGCCTCTTGTGATAGGCCGTGCCAACCTGGATGAACTCGTCGCAGATACCTACTTTACACCCACCAGAGGACACCTTAATAGGTCCATCATAGCCGTGAGTTGGAAGATCGGGCTGGACCTCATATGTCTCCAGCTATAAATTGAACGTATAAGCAATTTGAACAAATATCCTGAAAACGCATTCGAGACCTTCTTCATGAGGGGAATCAAACTCTCAGATTCCCAACCATTGGTTTCCCAATCATCATAGTCCGAAGCAGGTGGACGAGTGTATACCATAACTGTCTCATTATCAGAGTCTTCTTCATCTTGCAAGTATGCTACGCACAATTCACACATGAGCCTCCAGCCAACGCAGCGACCGCAAGGAACAATTGGTGCACGGCCGTTGAGACGAGGAGATGGATTTCCAATGTTGAATGTGACCGTGGTGCTCGTCGGTACTTGATTCAAGGGATATTGGAAGGGTTGCACATGAATAGGTTTATTGAGGGTAGTGTTGACCAGCTTCCAGAATCAAGATCCTCAACGAGGGATCATATGCAGCTAAGCGACCTGCGATAACACAGGCCGTAGTACCCGCCTATACAGAATGATGTGTGAAGAGGGCAAACCACTACAAGATGTTATTTGCTCACCTCCAGCAAAAACGATATCGAATTCTGATGGGATTGGATGAGACATTAATGTGGAGGGATACCTTCAGGCCGCTCCTCGCGACTTCCATCTTATAACATTCACCGGCCTCGGGGACTTGCGACACGTCGGAAATCACACGATCATTGAAGACCGTGATAAATGACAATAATTATAATGACTGCTTTCACTGTAACAACGTCTAGTAATTGGGACCTAAATGTGCGAAAAACACGGAGTGTATGTGAGTGCAGTGTGATTGAATGCGTGGCATACAGAGCGGCGCGGGTATCTCGACGAATTGTTGAGTTCGCAAACAGCGCAAATGGCCCGGTACAAAGGATACACAAAACCTTGTGACCCACAATATTAGGCAACTTCCTGCGCCCACCGTATTTGGTACCCGCGCAAAGTGCGAGTCTTGATGCTCGTGTGATGTAGGATTTTAATCCCAGCACAACCTTATTCCTTGATGAAAGAGTATCTGTACAGAACATGCTCATAACGACTCACGCAAAGATGGATATCAAAGACACGCCCCTTGAAGCACCCATCACGATGTTCATAGTCTGCAACCAATGTCCAAGTCTTCAGCTATGCCCAGGAGGAAGAACTCCTAAAAGTGGCCCCAACTATTTGGCCATCGTGAGCATCTGCGTGCCATCAAAGCAAAGTAAATGGCACGCAGCCCGAAAAAATGGAAAATATCGCGACGGCCTTGTCTGGGTGATCCTGGAAGAACTCTTTCCACCGGTGGTTGAAAAGCCGAACCCGTGACTTCCAGCTCCTCGAGATCAGGACGCCATTTGATCTTTGCGTCACCGGTATTGGAATACTAGTCAGCACATTGCCAGATGCGATAGAACGTATGGACCTTTGTGCAATGAGCAATTTCCATTAGTGTTCCATTGCGCAAGTTTTTCTGCGTTTAGGTAAATGGAGCTATGAAGTAACATCATCAGCTTGATAAATATACGGATAACGCATACGGACCTTGTTCGTAAGAGGAATCGAATTCTCAGATTCCCGACATTTGGCTCTTCAATCATCGAAGTCTGAAGCAGGTGCACCAGTGTATATCACGCGGAGACGAGGAGTTGGATTTCCGATTATCCGTGTGACCGTGGTGCTCATCAGTGCTAGGTTTGAAGCGGATATTGGTAGGGTTACACATGAGCAGATTCGTCGAGGGTGTGTTGACTCCACTTCCAAAATTAAGATCCTCAGACGCTGTGACGCAGCTAGGCGACCTGTGACTACACAAGTTGTATTACCACCTGTACAGAGAAGCAATTAAAGACGATAATTGCTCACCTCCAGCAAAAATGTTATCAAATTCTGTTAAGGATGAAGGAAGAGATATATCCAGAGTTGTCTGACTTACATGTTAATTAGTTCCTCGCGCACATCACCTTCGTAACTTATCGTTGTGAAAAGTCCTGCCCTAGCTCGTCACTGGCCCGGGACAGCAATGGTCGATCGCCACGTCATTATAATCCCCTTCCCACTGTCTCGTGCGTGCGCAACTCGCGTCATACCAGCATTGTTCCAGTTCCCTGGACCTTAAAGTTGTTAGGGATTAATTTGGCGATAAGAAGAGAAGTGTACGCACGGGAGGATTAGCCTTCGAGACATTCTTTGAGGTTATTTTCCTTTTTCAATCCTTATCGCTTCTTTGACACCTTAGGTGTGCTGTCCTCATCGCTGTTGCTATAGCGGTACCTTGCTTCTTTCTGTCCCGGATATCTTGACGTCCAATACTTCCCTCGTACCCAGTTTACCTCAGCGTTGCTTATCACGTCCGCTGAGACTTACTTCGTGTCTAGCTCGACCAGGGATTCGCAAATGTTTCACATCAATCTTCATTATAATGTTTGGAAGTGTACCAGATGGAGAGGATGTTAGAGAGATGTTGAAATATTTAGCCAAGATCACGAACTCACGTGACCATGTGCAAGTCGCGTCCTTCTCAAGCGTTGCGAATTGCAGCGTAATGCCCTCTCTATCCGACCAGATCGACCATCTGACTTCCCTCTCAAATCCATTAAAGCCAGTGCTGATGGATTCCTGACCTCAGATGGGCTCTTTACTAACAGCTGTCCTTAACACTGCTTTGGGTGATCTGATTCGTGACATCGACTCATCCGAACTTGGGCTCTTCACACTAGTACACCCACCGTCTCATGTACCAACTGAGTCTGAAACGAGGGGTGTGATATCCCGTGTAGAATTTCCTGGTGCTACGCCTCTGAAGAAACCACCTTCTCGAAGGCAGGAGATGACAAAACCGAGAGAGTATGAACCAGAAGTATATGCACAGGCTACGTTAAAGTACTTGGATCGGTAGTATGTTTTGCGTTTTTCTAGAGCATATATCCTGTTTCAACCTGTCTTGTGTGGTATTTCAGTCACTCAATTCGCCCAATGCCCCGTGCGCGATCCCAGGTTCAGGGAACTTATAAGCAGGCTGGATGAGGCACGACGGAACATCAGAGGTCTTAGTGAAACATTGCAGCAGGTTCGTACTATCAATATTTAGCCTCAAACGGTTCTGATGTTCTCGGCGCAGTTAACAAGTAGCAATCCCGCATCAGGCCCCAGCTCGCAAGAGTCCACTGCAGCGGATGAGGAACGGCGCATACAAGATCTCCAGGTTCGTCTCACCGAACTGCGTAAACAGGTGTGTGCTTTCCATGTCCATGGATCCTTTAAATTCACATCTCAACAGAAAGATGACATCCTTCGCACCTCCAATCCTGCTCCCAAGTCCAAGCCCGCTCCTAGACTGGCTAGGGCTCCTTCGCATCTGACTGTACCTGAGGCCCAGGAAGAAGACGTTCTGGAACACGCCTGCCGCATCTGTGCGGACGCTTCGCTTCACAGAAAAGCTCATGGATGAGGAGATGGACATCAATGACGTATCAGTCATGTCCTTCATGAGCCCGGTTCCTCGGCCTCGGTCCGTATTATCATCGCTAGGTCTTCCTGTGGACGATGATTCCCTAGATAACGGAGAACACGAGATTGGGCAAGGCAATTCTGTGGATACCTGATCCGTCAGACAAGCCTGAGGAAGAACTCACTAGGCAGTGAGCTAGAGGTGGATGATGGAGATGGAGAACAAACTGTGGTTCTCAAGAAGCTGCCCTCGTCGTTACCACCGAATCCCACGCCGCCAGAAGGCACTACGGCTCCTGAAACACCGTTGCCTGCAAATTCAGAGTTGCAGACCCCTGCTGCGGGACCTCCTGAGTCAGCCAGAAAACCAAAAGTACGCATGAATGTGGAGATCGAGAAGATTGTGGTAAGTATCCTGTTCACATAACGTAAAAGCGCATAGAACTGGAGCAGCACTTGATAGGTGAAGATATGGAGCACAGTGGGCGAGATCATCATGCCGGGCCATCCTTTCGACCCCACGGGATCAATATCAGGCGGAAGCAAACCTCCAAGGGCAAAAGAAACTATGTAAGTTTCACTCCAGTTTTTCATATCTAATCCGCTGACATGCCCTAGTGCCCATCTCGAATCCCTCTCCTCCCAGACCCCCTCCCCTACACCTCCAACTTGCATCCTCATTTTCATCGCTTGCGCCATCTATGATCACTGGCCAGCCCACCTCGCAACAGATCGCAACTTGTCAGCTTTTGCTCGCTCTACTAAAACAGCCCGGTTTCTCGATGTCGCTCAATAAACTTAAGGAAGCACTAGCGAAGGTGGTGGTAGCGCGGGTGGCACACGAACGATATATGCTTGTGTGGCGAAGAAGCTGATCAAGATTGAGCGAGGGGCGTGGGGAGCAGGTCGTCAAGTTTGACGTTTGATTGATTTGATTGCCTCACTGCTGCTGCCTTCATTTGATGTAGTGTTAACCACCTGAGGACTGTGTCACTGTTGTGAACATTCCTCCTGCAGGCATGATAAGCAGTAGGGCCAGGCTCCCAGCGAGGACGATGCTCCGCCATTTCAGGACAGTGCTTCCTTATGGCCAGACCCAAACAAAGGGGAATGGAAGAGACCACAACCCAAGTGCATCAGACGGCTGGAGCCATATGGTTTTTAGGATAGCAAGATTCACAGCTGATATATACACGTCTTTAATCCTTAGAAAAGTTGCGGTAAAGCTCAAGCGCGCGTGATGTACGTACTTTGAAGGTTGTCCTGCCTACTAGTACTAAGAGCTTGTGTGGTACGGTATAAATGCTGTGACGAGACCTTGGAATTACGGCGTGCACGCACATCTGCGACCAGCTGCACATGGTGATGTGGTACTATGCTACTAGTACGTAGGTGACCTGCAGTGGTCAAGTAACGAAGCCCTGGCCGCGCAAGACACTACAATGTTGTCAAAGGTAAATCGTGCTCGAGGCTCTTCTTAGTTCAAGTTTCTCTGGCACTTAAGTGAGATCGTCTTTCCATCTCCATCGAAAACATATATATATGATACATGTCAGGGTTTCCGTACATGATGATGACGGTCCGCAGTCGTTGTACTAGTACTCTTCAAGTAAGGATGACGACTTGCGTTACTTGCAAACTTGAAGTAGCTAGCATGAGCGCCTCCAGTTTGGCGTCGCTCCAATAATAAATAAAAGCGACTACTAGAGTAAAATTTCTGGATTTGGTCTATCGATATGACAATATTAATATATATATATTTCTTTGGCACGAATGACACGAATGGGGCGAACGGGGCGAAAAGTCGAAGTCCGAGCTCCCCGAGATCAGAAAGTCTGAGAGTTGTGGAGTCCGGGAACGCCGGATATCTCGGGGACCACATCCATGCCTTAGGAGTAACGCCGACCTGAAGTACTCCATCATCATCGGGCCCGGAGTCCACGCGAACAGTTTTAGCGTAGAAAACTACTAACTAATACTACTAAACTACTAACGATCATTCAAGTCACGTGATGAACTGATTAACGAGGCTATTTGACCAACGTTATGGTATTCCAAATACCGAAATAGACGTATTTCCACTAGACTCCTCCGAATGACAAGGTACCTTCAGACACGAGACACACATGGTCATTGGTCACCATACGGATTTACAATGACGAGAACGGTAACCTATATATCTTTGATGTAAATACTTATAGTCTGCTGATAGCTGAAACTTCTCGCTTCTCTTGCAGTACTATTTTATCAGTTACGATGAGTCTAACTGCTGCAGGGGCGATCAGCGAGCACACTGTGCCCAGCGACAAAGCTCTTAGCACTAGTGACAATTCGTTCGATAGGAGAAGCAACGTTGATGCTGACAGCGAGGAAGGCGTGCTCTCCGATGAACGTGATATTGCTACGAACGTCATATCGGTGGACGACTGACGCTTCTCTGAACCCGTGGACAATCCGTGCATTCTTTATTGGTCTTGGCCTCTCAGCCTTTGGCGGAGTACTGGGTGAGCTTCTTTGAGTTCGTTTTTAGCCACCATGATACTCATTAATGTCAATTTACAGCTGAAATCTATTATTTCAAACCTGTGCGTAGTGGAGCAAGCATGACAACTTTATGTACTCATATCATTGCCACAGCAAACGGTTACAGTGTCATTGATGTTCCTTGCGGTTGTTTCTTACATCCTGGGTGTCTCCATGGAGACCTTTATTCCTCGCCGTGGGTTCCTGCGCTATCTGAACCCCGTAAATCAATTTACACTCAATCCGTTACTTCATTCTAAGATCTTTCACAGGGGCCGTTCAACAAGAAAGAAAATGCTTTAGTTGTGATCATGGCAAGCGCCTCTGCCAACTCTGCCTTGGGTACCGAAATTCTTGCAGTCCAGCGGTCAGTGAGCCTTACTTATTTTCATAGAATTTACTGATCTTTACTAAAGATTGTATTACAATATCACGCCCAATGCTGTCACCTCAGTGTTCCTACTATTTTCTTCTCAACTTATTGGGTATGAGAATTTTTGTTAAAGTTCCAGCGGACGCTGACAAAGTTCTAAGTTATGGAATTGGTGGCATGATGAGAAGTATGTCCACAATTGAACCTGTTATTGAACCCGGTGTTTACATACCTCTACCAGGCATCTTGTTATATCCATCAAAGATGTTATACCCCGGTGTGCTACCATTGCTGTCCATGTTCGATGCTCTCTACGAGGGCGGGATGGCATCACGGAAGAAGCTCAGAGTATTTTCCATGGTGTTTGCTGCGTAAGTCCCTCGATTAATACCGTCAATGATCAAACATGCTGATCGACTCAGCATATTTTTTTGGGAGCTTTTCCCAGAATGGATCTTTCCACTTCTGACCGGGTTTTCAATTTTCTGCCTTGCAGCTCCTAACAATGCCGTCGTCTCGCGAGTGTTTGGTGGTTCAAACGGTAACGAGGGTCTAGGGCTCCTGTCTATCTGCTTTGACTGGCAGGTAATGTGTGAATACGAACTTCGAAGTGGATCGCGTTACTGACTGGATCTGCGACAGTATATTTCTGGCCAGGTGAACCCTATGACTATCCCGCTTAAAGCACAGGTATGACTTCTTGAATCCGCGGGCCAGGAAGCCTTACATACTTCTTGAATAGTTCTCGAATTTGCTGGGCTACATTTTTGGCACGTGCGTCACTCCGCCCTGATTCGGGACCTTGCATTGACTTATGTCTAGGGTTGTGTTTGTGGCCATATATTACAACAACATCTGGAAGGCCCAGAACTTCCCATTCGTTAGTCTACATTCACGTGCAACGGCAGAACATTGACTGCCAACTCCCCACAGCTTTCTCAACTCTTGTTCTATGAAAACGGAACACAGTACGATCAAATGCTCATTCTCAATTCCAACTATGAAGTCGATCCCACACTCCTTGCTGAACAAGGATTACCTTACTATTCCAGCACTTGGGTAGTATATTTACTTACCCAGAATTTGGCAAGTTCACCAAACGTTAGTGAGACTCTACGGACTAACGGTTTGAAATTGTAGGGTTTGGGGGCCACGTTCACTCATCTTCTCCTCTGGAACCGGGGCGATATATGTTCTGCATGGACTTGGATGAATCCGTCGGGCATCAAAAACATATGGGCGAATTTTAACTGGAAGTTCTGGCAAGCCGATGGAATGCGGAAGCAAGACGTCGATGATGAAGACATCGATCCCCACTACAGGCAGATGCTGAAGGTTAGTTTTGCATTTCTCTGTATTCAGCTTACCAACATGAATATTTCTATAATAGTACCCGGATGCTCCCAATAGCTGGTACTTTGTCGTTTTCCTCCTGGCCTTCATTGTTGCCCTGGTCGTTTTATACAAGACCGATTCGACTTTGCCATGGTAAGTAGCTGTGATTGGAAATGTGGTCCAGGCTGATGAGCAGTGAAGGTGGGGCTTCCTTATCTCGCTCTTGCTGGCGACAATTTCTATTCTATTCCTCGGTACACTCGCCGCGATTACAGGATTGACGTTCACCATACAGACGTAGGTTCCTGAATTCCATTTCGATATTCGACATTTCAGTTTGCATTCAGGTTTGGCCAGATGATTGGTGGTTACATTCAGAAGGGATCGCCAGGTGATTGTCGTTGATTTCTCATATGCTTTGATTGACGGATGCGACAGTGGCAAATATGTACTTCGTTTTATACGGATACAGTATGTGTCAGCCTTGCAGTTCCAAGGACAGGTCGGCTAACCCAATGTTGCAGACACTGTCTTCCAAGCCCAGCTACTACTTCGAGACCTCAAGATTGCTCAGTGTGAGTATATTTCAAGCGCGTAGGATAGGGCAATCTGTGTTGACCGTAAATTACAGATGCAAAGCTGCCACCTCGCGCTGCATTTACCGCCCAGATTATTGGAACGCTGCTTGGTGCAGTCTTGAACTACAGTGCGCACGCCACTTGTTACATGACTACAAAAATCAACTGACATTGCGCATGTAGTCATGATGAATTCAATCATTGATAACCAACGTGAAATCTTGTTATCTGTTCAAGGAACCAATATCTGGTCTGGCCAACAGCCACAGATGTACAACTCTCAGGCAATTGGATGGGGTGGACTCAGTCACGAGCTCTTTTCCACAGGCCAAAGATACCAATGGGTTCCTTGGGCTTACGTACTTGGACTTTTCGTACCTGTTCCTTTCTGGGTCATTCACAGGTACTGGCCAAAGCTTCGTGCTGATTATCTTTATACTCCAATTATCGCGTACGCTTAGTGTTTCTTGAATTACTGGCAGCATGCTCACATATTTCACAGCTACATCACTGGATACCTTTTCAGTGGGATCAATTCATCTAGTCTGTGCTACTTTGCTGTCGCATTCCTCTCTCAATGGTGGCTGCGTACGCGCTACCCTGGCTGGTTTGCTAAATACAACTACATCGTCGGAGCTGGTGAGTATTCTCCAACGTCATTAGGTACCCCGGACTAATCAAGTGATATAGCCCTTGACGGAGGCACTCAAGTCATGGTGTTCATCCTCTCATTTGCGGTGCAAGGCGCTGGTGGTGTCTCTCACCCTATTCCCTACATGGTGGGGCGCGCAAACAGGAGGTAATTATGACCACTGTCTCTTGTTGAACTAAGATTAGTGATTATTGGGTAACTAGGACTTATCGCACGTATCATTACTACTAAGTGGCCCGTATCCATTATATATAAGCATATTAATCATGTACTGTATATACGCATAGTGCAGCACTCTTTCTACTCCTTCAACTATGTAACTGAGAGCATCAGTAAAACACGCAGTTCCTCAACTTACTTATTTTTAACTTTTCTCGTGCAATAAGCAGAAATAAGGAAGGGTGAAAATAAGTAGATGGTCAGTTGAGAAAGGCCACTCGTCGTCTGAATTTCCATTTCCATTTTTATTTCACTTGTTTTACTTTTTCATTCAATAACAAGTACACTAAAAGCAGGTGAAAAAGCAAAAGAAGGGGAACCGTCCAAGTGAAAAATGCAGCAATTAAGGAGGCATGCATACCTTGACGAGTGATACTTCTCGATGCACGGTAAACACGAGTGGAATCACGATCACGAACGCCAATGTCCAATGACACATGAACATCAATGCTCTGCGCTGCTCGGTCGTCAAAGGCTCGTCCTCTTGTAATGCCACCTAGAAGTGTCAAGTTCACGCCGTCACAGTTAACATTGCGGTGAGCCTGCTCATTGCCATTCGTGGTAACTGGACATGCGCGCCATACGAAGATGATCATAGGCGTTGAGTTGGCGTAACTGGCGATGTGGTTCGAAAATGCATGGCGTCTCATCGTTTGCGCAAAGCTCCATACAAAACATCCCGAGTCCTAACCGTAATTGTATCAGCCTTCACAAGATTAAGGAAAGTATAGTAGATAGTACACACCAAGACCTTGGCCCATATGGGCGCCATATATCGCTCGATAATGATCGCAGCATTAAGCTGAAGCGAACATGTCGAGCGGAGCCTGGGGTCTTTTCGTTGTGAATGACGCGAGTTCGGCTTTGTCTGTGCAGTGTTTGGAGAAAACCATATTTTTGATCCCATTAACACAGATCCATTATGCGTCGCTCTTCATTGTCCACCTATTCGGGTTTCATTTCCGACCACGCTACGAGATCTTGGGTGTCCATACTGGTGTCCCTCCGGGAGTTCGCAGCGCTGTTTCCGTCAAAATAGAGTGCTTTCATCGGCTGAGTAATTGCAAGGGTGAGATGCCAGCACCCTGTTTCGATCGACCCACGGCAGAAAATTATGGAGTGGTCTGGCTCTACAGCTACCCAATCCAGAGAGGTCGGTAAATGGGGAAGTGAAATTTTCAATAAACCAGCAGCCTGAATGAGCAAGTGGGCAATTGAAGAAGAGACAAGACAACACTGCGATGCTAAATCAAACGCGACAGATACTAGTCAGACCAAGGAACAAAGTTGAATTTTCACACACTACACCGCCCGACGGACGATGTGCCACCAATGATGACGATAGGCTGACCATCATACTTGCCATTCCCACCCTCAACCCATGGCGTAATGTGACCCAGTCCTTCGGGCTGTCGTGCATACAAGGCAACGACGACGGGTATGATGCCAACCTGCACAGAAGCCGCTTGGTCGAAAGGGATATTCTGCAGAATCTAGAGGGGAATCAGTGCGCGGGATCTCGATTTTGTTGGAGCTTACAGGACCTTTGCAGCTAAGTCGGCAACTATTGTTGGAATGTGGAAAACTTGTCACTCAAGCACGCTTGAAAAATCTGTTGCAGAAACGTTAATGCGGTCCTACTTACTATCTTTGATGTCACTTACACTCTGTTCCCTTAATTGAAATCAGCGACGTCATCATCAACGTCTTCCACAGTTCCAGCAGCCTCTTCACCGATGATTGCCAGGTAGGACTTGAAGAAGATAAATCCCTCTTCCAATCTAAAGGGTTCAGACTTTTGACGAGACGTTCGCCAGGGCCGGGTGCGTTGATCTCCCTAGGACCAAGCACGAAATCCTCTCCAATACCAGGAAGCCACAGAGTGCATTGAGTTGACATGATGAAATCCTTACTATTTTAGGAGAGATGGCAAACAAGGGTTAGGGTTTATACACAGAGAGACTCTGAGAGAGTTCCCGGCCTGCAAGCAAGTGAGTAGATATCAGCATGATATGAATTGACAAGTTGGTGGGGTACTCGCATCAGCAAGCGGCATCAAAGCCATGATATCATCGATATCGTCATGGTGAAAGATACATTGTAGCAATAAACCTTTTGATCATCAATTGTCCTGCGGACCTGCGCAAAAAAACCAGCCAGTATTCATGTCCCGTGTTTTTTTTATCATTGGAATCTCCAACGACAACGAGCACGGGATATGGCATACTTTTGGGGGAGAACTCCTCCATCAAGCGCAGCACTTGTCGGCGCTGGCCATCAGGAGGAGCTACGTAGCACAGTTTGTTCACTGCAGCATTGTGGCTTATCACCAGAGGATCAAAAAGATTTGCCTCATCGGTATACACTGCATGCATGTGCCATGAAATCATGCAAAGAATGATCAAAATCAAAACTAACCTGGATACGGTACTAATCGCTCCCTGCCAAAACAAGATTCCCCTTGTTTCATGATTCCTGTGGAGTAGATTCACATCACGCGCCTGCCAAAGATCCGAAATGGACAGCCGCCAATGCTAGGACTAGCTTGTAAGCAGTCTAATATTGTTTGATACATTGTAGACGGAGGGAAAAATAGCCTTGCAATGAGGGTTGAATATTAACGTTGAATGGCAATGTTTATATGTATGTATAGGTTTGGCATGATGTGATGATCATAATGTTGGCAGAATTAATATGAAGTCTTGTTATGCAACGTGCTTGACCGAATTCCCAGCTTCTGTAACGCGCTTCGAGCTTTTCTATCTCTGTCCACGACCTGCACAAGTGTTTTCTTGTTAAAGGTCTTTGCGGTTTCATTACGTGCTGTCAAGCCAGGTTGCAAGACGTCGTTACAGCTATCTTCTAGTCTTGGTAAACAACTTTACTGACTTGACTGCCTTCTGGCTAATCATATAACACGAAGATGGGCTCTGCAAACGCACAGCGCAAGGGCGTTTGGGAGCCCTTACCGCTCATCGTCTATGGCTATGCCGTTCACCCACTATCACCATCCAAACGCGACACCAGGCTATCAAGTCGTCGCCCCATGTCAACTATTACAGAGGGCTCCGCAGACGAGAGTGGTGTACACAGGGATGTGGTCTCTCTCGAAGTTGGCGATGAGGTCTATGCCTTCGAAAAGTATACCCCAAGAGGAAACCAAGCAGATGGCATATGGTACAGAGGGTGCGTTATACTGGTAATCTCGTGTCATCTGGAGTGCTTACTACTCTCATAATATCCAGCTACGTAGTCTGCACTGCTCGCCTTCCACCAGTCACCTGGTCTACTTCCTCTGACCCAACTTCATCTTCATCCGCCAAACCAGTCAAAACCGAGGAACCGCAACAAGTTTTCATTGGCATATTTCCTGCATCCCATATCTTTGTCCGCGATGAGCTCTCAGATGCCGAAGGACGCCTGCCAGATCTCGTCACCCTCCCTTACAGCCAGCTCCTCGAACCACAACGGGTCAGTAACTAGTGCAGACTACCTTGCACAGTGGAAGCGTGAGCGTGCAAACTCAGGCCCAGAACCCCCTCGCGAGCACAGAGAAAGAGACCGGGAAGTCAGAGAACTGACATATGATGACGAACGCAAATCATTCAAACTTGGGCCCCCGCCAGACCAGGCCAAGTCCACTCGCGCTGCGCTTGTCGTATATCCCGCGAGCATACATTCCGTGCCAGATTCCGAGAACATGAAGCCCCTTCCTCCACGTCCATCTCTGAAGTCAGGTGATGATACAGCCTCTGGCGCGCTGCAGCCCATCATCGACGAGATTGCTAGTGCCCTTCGAGAATGGCATAGCATGATGTTCCAGTACCTCGCAAGACGCGATTACAAGCTCTTTCATACAGTTCGCGAGCATATCGAAGCGCTCCACCTTGGGCGAAGACAGTTACTTGCGCAAACATTGAGCGCAGAAGAGACAGTTAGTCTGAGGAGGGATTGCGTTGCGCGCTTGGTGAGCGGTAATGTGGTGCAGGATCTCGATATCATCGTTCGCCATCCGACATGGGGTGCGCTAGTGACAGTGGATGTAGAGGGCGAGATCGATCCTCGCAGCTGGGTTAGCGCTGTGCGGATGTATGCCATGCAAACTTCTCTCGCATATATCAATGTGCCTATAGACAACTCATCCAAGCTTACTATTGGACCTTCCGAATTCTCCACGATACCCATACCCACTCCTGCACATTCTGCATTCCCCGATATATCCCGACACAAAACCATCTCTCGGCAGGTCGGTTCCCTAGGTCCATACCAGCCTGAGAAGCCAACTGCAGCTAAATTCTACCACATTTTCCTCGACCTCCGTGCTTTTGTTGCAACCCCCTGTGCACCAGGCGAGACAGCTGAGCTTTTCTTTTCGGTCTACAAGCACTCCGAATTCCCGAAGTTCGTTACCGAAGACTGCTGCATTGTACTTAATCACAACGGGGTGCTGTCACGCGACCCCAACGCCCGCATTCGCACGCTCTTTATTGATATCGCGCAGTCGGATGCGCAGGACCCGCTATTCCTGGTTTGTCGTATCGTGCGGAACGGTGCGCTCAAGATGAATAACACGATGGGATCAGGTGCTCCCGGTGAGGGCGGGCGCAGGCCATCTGAAGCATCGCTGCCTGATGTCCCATTAACACCCTCCCGTACAACTCTAATGTCGGAACTCCCGATGAACTTCCGTAGGCCGTTTGGTTGCGCAGTGCTCGAGTTATCTCAGCTTACGAAGATGATGGTCGATGGTACGGATGTGAGCCCGATGAAGGAGCACTGCATGCCGATCTTTGTGCCCACCAACGAAGCACTTTTCTCGATGTTACATCAAGACATCATCACAAATAACGTGAAAGAGTTCGAGAAGTCGCCAAGGTGAGCGTGACGATTAATTCTCCGTTCCGTGTCCTGACGTTGCAACTAGGGCTGAGATGCTTGCTGTTTCTGTGAAAATATTCCATGGCGACTCATCTACCGTTATCAGAGAGAACATGTCTCTTCTGCAAGACATCCCTTTGACCCTCCGACTTGGATTCCCCGATGTGGTGTTTCCTGGAGACGTGCGCAATGAGCTTTACATCAAGTTATGGACAGGAGACTTCCCATCCTCCCCCAGCGGTTCCGCTCGACTCAGCATGGTCAATTTCACGCGTCCTGGTCCAGTGTCCCAAAACGCTCAAGTGTCGATCGAAGTCAGAGATCAAGAAGGTCGCACCATTGAGAATGCCATCTCTCTGGGTAGTGGCGAGTCCAGCGTGACTCAGTTCCATTCAATGGTCTTCATGCGTAACAATCAGCCCACATTCGGCGAGCTCATCAAACTCCAGCTTCCACTTCGTGGTATTCCCAACTGGCATTTATTCTTTACATTCCGGAATCGCTCTGGACGAGGGCTCAATGCGGATAAGCCGTTCGCGTTTGCATTCCAGCCACTCTTCCCCGGTCAAGGAGCGTTTTTGGAGGATGGGAGTCATACTTTAGTACTGTACCGCGCAGATAAGCTGCTGCAGATCACGACGGATATGTACCTGGCGTCGTCGCCGTGGGTACTCCCCGGACAGCGCCCTGAGCAAGTTTCCGTATCGCCAGATCTGCTGAAGCTGGCTTCGCCCATGAGGGACACCGTCATCATACGGTCATCTCTCTGTTCCACGAAGTTTACACAGAACCCTGTGCTCATGAGCTTGCTTAACTGGGAGCAAATCAACGACAAGGAGCTGCTGCAGACTGTCCTCAGCAAGTTTACCTTCGTGGGCGAAGGAGAAATTGTCAAATTCCTCAGGGACATCTTCGATTCGCTCTTCGGTATCATGGAGTCGCAGAACAACCAGGCCGGTGAGATGGACCACCTCGTCTTCAGTGCCCTGGTAACTGTCCTCGGTATCGTGCAAGACCGTCGATTCAGCAATTTCCAGCCCGTCTTGGATGTTTACATTGAGCAGCATTTCAACTGCGCTGCAGCTTCTTCGCACATGATCCGCTCGATGGACCGTCTGCTCCGGAATCCGACTGATAATGATGCAGCCTCGCCTTTACGCGCAGCGCTAAAGGTTTGGCATTATATATTTAAGTTTATCACGCGCGCACGAGAACTTCAGAAGAGCACTGAGCTGGGCATGGGTGACGGAGCAACCGCCGAGCACTTGGAGACGATGTTCAAGAAAGAAATTCGTTGTCATCTCATTGAAGTTAACAAGATGATGGCAACTACGTCACCAGCGTCTATCATTGGCACACAGACCATTGCATTGCAGCACTTTACGTCTATCCTTCCAGAACTTGCCAAGATCATCCCCACCATCGAGCTTGTGACGGTCACTACGAACTTTGTCAATGCCAGCTCCACTGGCAAGGGCAAAATTATCATATGGCGGTTGATCATGTACTTGCAGATCGTCAAGGGTTTCTTGTTCGATAACCCCAACTCGCGGTCGTTGCTTGTTCAAGCTGTCGTTATGTGGATCAAGCCTCATTTCGGCCGATATGATGAATTCACGCAGACTGCCAGCGGCGGATTCCGATAGCGTGCGTGATGGAGCGAGAATTAGCTGGCTAGAGTCTATCCGGCTTTGTGTAACGATTCTTGCGGTGATGCTGGACAAATTACAGCTACAGTTGGTGTCGTCATCGGTTATGGCGGATCGCAATTTGTTCAGGCAGGAGCAGGAGAACATCGAGTATATACTTATGCTCATGCCGAGGTGCGTATTCTCTATTCTGGTATAATTATGATGTATTCATTTTTTTGCAGGCTTCTTGACTCTTATCGCGAGTTTCAGAATCCGGCTAATCACCGTGCCGTGGAACGGACGCGGACGCGTACTCCAACCACAACAACCGCCGCAGTGCCTGTCACATTCCCGGAGTCTTACCCGTTTTCCCTCATGGCTTTATTGCCCAATGCTCCCCGCAATGCTACTAGTACATCGCTGACACACGAAGACAACTTGGTCTTCAACCCTGGCTTGGGCGAAACAGCTATAGTCCTCCTTTCCCTTCTGCTCTCGGCTCCGACGAAGCACATCTACAACTTTTTGGAGTCCAGTTATGACATTGAGGGGAAGGAAAACTTCGCTAGTCTGCTGACGCAGTTTTTCAAGGTTGCGATATCTATACTAGAGAATGATGCCTTCCCGAACAACTGGCTGAATGTGAACATTCTGACGCACAAGGTGTTGATCAAGATGATGGACCCTATTGCCACGCTTCTAAAGCGGATTTTCATACCCCCGCCGTTGGCATCGCATCAGTTCAAGACGGAGCTGTGGAAGGACGCTTTCTTCATGTTGCTGAAGCTTTTATCATCGGAGCAGCTTGTAATCGAAGATTTCAGTCCACAGGCACGTATGATCGTATTCTGTATTATATGTTCTTACGTTAGGATTCAGAAACGGCGTGCTGTATGGCGTCTGGGCGGCGATATTCGAGGTGAAGGTGCGGACATACTGCTGCGGCTATGGGAAGCCCTTGCCTGGCCGGAACCTACAGAATCCAGCTCTGTCTCTCAAGGGGTGCGTGTTTCCCCATACCCGATCTTATCTGGACGTTCAATTACTTGACAACACCCAGGGCTACCAAGCAGTACTGAGCTCATTGATCGGGTACATCGTTAACCTCTGTCTCAGTCACCACGACCAGCTACGAAACAATGCAGTCGGGATCCTGTTCGGTATGATCATTTCAGAATATCATCAATACGGCCACTTTGACCAGATTGAGACGGAACTGGTCAGGAAGCTAGATTCCCTCTTCATGTCCCAGTCCAAGGGCGATGACATCTCTCGTGTATTCTTCATCGCACAACTGCGGCACCTATTCGAGTCGTCCGAGGTCGACTGATCAACTTAGGGAGCGCGTCTCTGCTTTCCTTGACTCGGTGGATGCCTTCCTCAAGCTTCTGCTTAACGTCCGCAGCCTACCCGAGGGCGAAGAGTTTGCTGATGACCGTGTGATTGCCACGGTGAGCATCCTCATATTCATTGAACACCCAAACGAGATTCTTAAATGCTTTCCCCTCCCAGCTGCGCCTGATGAACTTCATCCGCGACATTGGCAGGGAGGAGATGTATATCAAATACGTGCACCAGTTGGTCAATGTGAGTCGTTGTGTTGCTAAGGATTGATCGGTACTAATATGTTTGAAGGCCCATCTACAATCACAAAATTATGTGGAAGCTGCGCTGACTCTAAAGCTCCATTCTGATTTGCATAATTGGGATCTCTACTCGTTCGTTGGACCTATGGAGGACCTCGGGCTGCCTCAACAATCTCATTTCCATCGGAAGGAGACTCTGTGCTTATTGATTTTGGATTACTTGGGTGAGTCTACCGCACAGCTCTCATGCTCTCCATTGTATCCTTAGTACTGTGTAGGCAAAGGCAAGGCATATGAGAGCGCAATTGAAATCTGCAAAGAGCTGGCAATGCAGCACGCCGAGGTCACATTCAACTAGTATGTACCTGCCGCGCTTCGCTATCTATTGACCGATTCCAATAATCTTTCATAGTGCGCGGCTGGCAGAATTATTGCGTCATCAGGCTGCATTGTTCGAGCATATCATCACAGATCAACGTTACTACTCAGGACTATTTCCGAGTGGTATTCTATGGAGACTTTCCCTGACGCCTTGAGGAATAAACAATTCATTGTACGTCAGTCTTGAATTGTCTTTGACTATATTAATGAAAATTTTGGGTGCAGTATCGTGGATATGAATGGGAGAAATTTGGCACTTTCTGCGAACGGCTGCTTAACAAACACCCGGGCGCTCAGTTACTAAAGATTGATCCCACAGCGGATCAGCGATTTGGAAACGATCAGTACATCCAATGTACTGCTGTGACTCCCGAGCCGGACCGATCCCTTCCTATTTTCACCAGTCCCGACGTCCCACTAGCCATTCGCAATTACTACGAACACAGGTTAGTTCCTTCGTAACAATGAGCTGGGCGCAACTAATTATTTCGGACAGCGCCATCAATGTCTTCAGCTCTACTAAGCAAATAACAAAATTCGACCGCGATGGCAATGAGGAGATGTGGCTGGAAAAGACGTCCTTCACTACCGAACAAGCCTTCCCCCACAGTTCTAAGGAGATCGGACATTACAGAATGGGAAGTAGCCGAAATATCACCTGTCGAAAATGCTCTCCATGAGGTCGAGCAAAAGAGTAGGGAACTGGCATCATTCCATCTGCGGTATGCGGCTCTTGCCAAAACTGCTCAGGTGTTTTCGACGAACGCTCTTTCTATGAGCCTCAATGGAGCCGTCGATCCGGCTGTGGATGGTCTACCGGTTTATCGTGAAATATTCTTTGATCCTGCGTACTCTATCAAGCACCCTGATAGGGTGGAAATGATCGACCGTCTCAGAGTCGCGATAGATGAACAGGTATGTTTTTGTTTTTATGATTGTTAGAAAGTTGTTCGATTTATTTACTGGCGATATAGGTGCGGGTGACGGATAGCTGCCTGAAATTACACGGTCAAATCTGTCCACAAGAGATGTTGCGGTTCCATCAAACCTTGGAAGAGCTCTTCAGGAAAAACTTCGCCGAAGAAATCCGACGTATATCCGCAGAAAATGGTTTCCAACATTTCCCGCAATCGTCCGCCGCCTCAATACGGATTCACGACCAAAGTTCGTCGTACGACGATCGCTCCCGTCAACGGTCGCTGTCAAACTCATCAGGACGGCCGTCCTTTGGGTTCCCTCTTTCAGTTAGCGGCTCATCTATGAGCCCTCAACCAATTTCACCTCTATCATCGCGTCCCCCACTCCCTCATCATGAAGGCATCAAACGCACCCCGTTGCAGATGCACGCCGCACACGTTGCTCGTCACGGTATAAACGGAGTGTTGACTGGCTGGCGAGATGCTCCAAGTGATACTACCACAGGCTCTCCGCGGGATTCGTTGATCACGGTCGGAAACACAGGCCCAGCACACTCTGGCGCTTCTGTGGCGATGTCGACTATAGGCAGTGTGAACTCTATCAAAGGACGCTTATCATCACGATTCGGTAGTTTTACGCGCAGTCGTCGAGGATGATATTAGTTTAGTTGTTGTATCTTCTGGTTTCCTACTTTCAGTGTTCCATTCCTGGATCATCTACATGTACATGTCAATGTTGTTTGATTCCCGCCGCCCTTCGTTTTCGCTGACACTTATTTCTCGTAGTTCATTGTTCCTATTGAATACATTTACACTGATACCCCAATGGATTACATGCCAATACAGTACATAGGGACGACTAGGAGAGGTATAACGCTAATTACAATGGGCCATACGAATATCAAAACGTGGCTCTCCGGATACGAAAAGAGTGATGATACAATAGGTGGCAAGATAGAAATAAAGATAGGATAGAGCACATGCGCGATGACGCAAGGGTAACGTATAGCACAGATGAGTGGAATGAATGATCATGCAACCTGACTAGCCAAGGAAGGATTCATGCTGTGCTCGCGTAGCGTCTGGAATTCAAACGAGTCGTAGGTGTGCATGGCATATTGGGGGATGGAGTACATGTCGAGGGGTTCGTGGGAGGAAATGAAATCAAAGGCAGGACGCTGCTGATGGTCGGCAGGTACACCTGGGGGGATGGTGACATCGTCCCGACTTTGCAAGTCCCAAGTCGGATTGTGGTGGTAAGCGCTAAGCGGTGACATAGGTGACGGGGTATTTGCAAGTGCCATCGAAGGATCTACGGGATAGTGCGAAGGATCCATGCTCGGGACAAAGTAAGGTTCGTGGCCTGGATAATACCTGGGAACAACGTCTGGGCCCACGTACACCGACTGAAGATGGTCTTCCGGCATAGGGTAGAACAGGGAATCCTCAATGGGTGACTCTAGCTGAGGCGATTGGCGCACACACGCTTGAGAAAATTGTGAGAGATGAGACTGGGATCCTTGCGACCCTTCCAAATGAACGCTATCGCCAACTGATGGACAGAATTCCAGTTTTGGCTGCATATTAGTCCGCTGTACGGACATCTGATAGGAAGCTGACAGACTGCTTTCCTTTGTTGGAATAGGCCCAAAGTTGCTCAGGGACTGTAGGTCCCTTAGTGAGTCGCCCGATACGGAGTGGGAATGGAAGGACACCACTTACGTATTTGGATATAATCTTATCCAATGCTTGGGGAAGTAACTTCCAATCGAAGACCTTGAGATCTTTCTCAATCTTGCGCGGTTTCGGATCTGGAAAATCCATAATGCGCTGAAATAAACCTTCAAAGCCCGGACGCGACTTCGAGACAGTGGTAGGCCGCAGGCCTTCGAGGTTCCGTCTAATACGATTCTTCTCCTCAACAACAAACTCTGCGGCGACGAGCTTCTGGAGCAAGTGGATGATGTCAACGGACGTAACACAACATGAGTCAGTCTCATCGCGGTAGATGCACGAGATGACAATGTCTTTCGCGTCATAGTCGCCCGGTAAGATGCGCTCTGCCGAAACGAGGAGTTTATTCCCGTCTCTGATGCGTGAGAAGCGAACAAGGCGCCTGCCAGCTTGCATTTCCAAATCATCCCAGTTATAGCAGAAGCTGTCAAGCACAACCATGATGTCGAGGCTTGCAGTGGCACCGTCTTCGGCGGTATCTATTGCCTGCCTCATGCGCCGAAGACCCTGTGTTTGTGGCTGAGGGCGCGTTGATGTTTTCTGCGCCTGTGACTGGCCGGGTTCTGAATCCGAACACGACGCTGGAGTTGAAGGACGGCTGTATGGCTTAGACCGTCTCCTTGGTCTATCTGACGATTCCGAATGTGAAGAAACATCTGTAGGTGCAGTCCGTGTGAGGGCCGAACTATTTGACGAGAGACTAGGTGTGTGCTTTCGCATCATAGTGGTCGGATTTTTTTCACGTCCTGTTAAAGCCTCTGTAATCAGAATACTGTTTCGGGATACTATGACATTCATACCTGGTTCCCGGTATGTAAATTCACCGAATGTGACAGAGTCTAGTAACGTCTTATCATCGGCTAAGGCCTGAATTGTCAATGGCAGATTTGGTGATGTAGAATTATGCCGGGAGAACAGAGGAACGGTTGCCTCGAGCTGCCAATGCCCATAGCCTGTTGGCCCAAGCTCACGGACCTTGGTACCCACAGCCCGTCGACCGACAACGAGACGAATGTGGGACCCGGCAGCGAGATCAGTAGAGCAATTGAAATTCACGACAACGGGAACGTTCTGTTCTCCTTCGGCGGGGGTATAACCCAGGACGTGCAAAATGCCAACGGAAGAGGAAGGAACGCGTGGGTATGAGCCGAGTGGCGCTATAAAGCTCTGACATGCGGCTGTCGGACTACTGAGGGCATGCGCTTCGCTGCTGGAAGGTCCTTGTGTATCCTTAGATTGAATACCGTATGCCGGCATAGATTGTGTGGTCATAGCTGCTCGGATATTAAGTGACTTAAATAAACTGTAGTAACGTTGATGAGATGACCTCACCTGAATGATGCCGATAGAACGTTCTAGTGGTGGCAAGAGAGGTATTCTAAGTCTTTAAATGCTTCACAAGTGGTGAGGGAGGGAGAGCAGGATTTAGTGCGGCTGACGGAGTAGTCAGAAAGAAAGGATGAGGAGGATGTGAAGTGGCTGACTTGAGAATGTTATATCGAAACAGTCAAAGTTGCGATGGGAAACAAGGGCAAAAAGTATATTTGAGGGCAGACGTGATCGATGCGGGGACAGAAAGAGTTATGAATTATGATAAAAAGAGGCGAGATATATAGGAGGCGAAGGTTTATCCTCACCAATCTGATGGAAAAAATATACTTAATACTATATTTAAACTCCAAGCTATGATAAACCAGGAATAAAGGAGATGCAGGAAGTTGTCTGACTTGCCATACGTTCTATGGTACTTACAATGGACACACATACTCTTGAATTTTTCATAAAATTAACTGGTTGTAGAGCAATGGATAATGGTTTGGTAGCCTCGTGCCCATTCCTGCCTTTTTCGTCCCAACAAGAGCATGCTTCGATCAACTTTAGCCAGTTTTATTCCAAATAGAAGTGCCGCATTCGGCCTCTTTGGGTCTGGCCAACGCCGATCCCAACATGACAGGACACTTGGCACTTCAACACTCAATTTATTTCTTTTGGTCCTTTGCACCAGCCAACGCAAGCTTAACTAAAACGCGCTCAACGATGCGATGCCCATCAATGCCATCATCAGAATTTACTGTGGCAAACCTTTAATGGCATAAACTGTCCTCGCGGAGTTGTTGATAGCTATCCGGCCCCGACTATCTTTCCCAAGTACCGGTGAAAACCCTTGAAAGCCTCCAAGAACAATAGATTCAGAGGAAATGTCAAAAATCAAATAGAAAGTGGACAATAGCTTAGCGACAGGCCCGTAGTTTTCGTGCTTCCCCCCTGTCAATCAGTCATGGTGATGATGATCGACAATCAACCTGGTGCCTAACGTGCTTACTAACTTAATTTGTTTACATGGGATCGAGTCTATAGTGGTTAGATTTCTTTGTCAAGTGGCGTTCTATTCGTCCGCAATGCTTGAGCCAGATCTATCGCGATTAGCATGCAGATAGCGTAGGGACCAACGGGACGGTGGCCAACCGGGCGGGCCATGTGTCACCCCACTTGCAGTCTAGTCCATATGAAAGGCACAAAAGTGAGGGTAAAGTAAGGGCGCACTATACACGTAGCTGCAATGACGACTCAGCAGTTTTACATACTCCATCGGACTCCATCCCGGAGTGTGATAGCGCAGAGCCTATAGATGAACCCAAAATAATTCAAGTGCTATCAGATTAGCATGATAACCTGTCAGCGCTCCCCAATAAAAAAATGCAAGGGAAAATTTGTCATGGAGATGCCATGAGCATACTCTTTTGAAGGCAGCTCTATACTAAGCAGTACATTGAAATCGGAGAACAGCATCACTTGAAAAAAAAAAACAACAACATTTGTCTTGGAGATGGGCCGCGAACATACCCTGTGAAATAATTCGTCATGGAGATGCCGCGAGCATAATAACTCGGACCGAGCCAAGCAGTACACTATTCCAAGAACGTCATTCAATCAAAAGAACACGTTGTGTCCGGGATGAATTCAGGGTCAAGCCTAAACCCGTTAACCGCAGAATTTACGTATGTCTAGAATCAGTCCACATAGTGCAGTAAATAGATTGGTCACCGATTGGCCCAGTCTCCCAAGTTCCAACTTGAACCACCTATCGAATCAGTTGTACATACATGTAACATGACGTGACTCCCAGTGTCCATCGGGATGGTCCGTAATTTGACTCTTCGCGGGAGTAGCGTGGGGATTGATGATGACACCAGGATCGGGTTCATCTGCTTTGTTTGTATTGAGATCAATAGGTTGCTCGGCACCTCTAGGAATCCATAGTCGCCCAGCTGGAGGAACGTGGCCCTCAGCCGAGAGCACCCGTTCGCAACTAGTACATCGATCGACAAAAAGTCCCTGATAAGACACCAATAGATACTTGATAAACAATCAGCACATGAAAAATAACAAAGTTCTGATGTCTTACAATGAGCGTCTGGAGAGGGACTTGCGGATGAGACTGAACCATTTTTGCGATATGCTGAGATAGCACTTGAAACGCGAGATAATCGGATTGCATGTGGGGCAACTTCTATTCAAAAGTGGCAAGTACATTGTAGCCACAATCAGAAGACCGGATGAAAAAAAGTTGACTTATTCGTACCATCTCTCTGGGGCCAAAGGCGGTTACACTCTCTACAAGGAGTGGATCTTCCCAGCGGGTGAACACGAGAGAGACGTAAGCCGTAAGTACATCTTCGATGGTAAACCGTAAGATTACGGGACTAGTCAACTTTGGTGGCGGCCCATTCATTGATCGGTCACGATATGGCGAGCGTGTCCTGGACCAAATGTATAGTCTACATTTTGGCTGAAAAGATTCACTAGTCCCTGGGCTGGGGGGCGACTTTATGTCACCTCTATTAAATTCTCGAATATATTCTACCAGCCCTTCGACGCGCAAGCATGGAAGCTCGTCATCAATGGGTGGGAATAATGAAGAAGCTCGCGGTGGCGGAGGTATGTAAGGCTGAGGCGAGCCGACTGGAGAAAGTGGTCGTCTGAAGATCCGGAAAGATGAAAACAATCAATACATATATAACGTACAGGAGGTTACCATGACATGTAGGGATTGTGCTTACTTCCGTTTGCGACTATCTCTCTGGAACAAGCAGAGATCGCTCTTATCGGCCTCTTCACTCTCGCGGGCAACCTTAAGCGCTTCTTGTAGTTTTTCAGATCGTAGGGCATCGGCTATGATTTTTAGGGTGCGGAAGTCCTGTGTCGGGGTAGTGTGGAATGGAGCTGCAAAGTCGTGGTCGGCTGGGTCGAATGGAGAAGTGAATTCGGCTTCATGAGATAGTGAGGATCCAGACGGATGCCTCAAAAGTAACGAAGGTACATGGCGAACGGACTGAAGACGAATGTGGAAATCTCTCAGGGTTTGGATACGATCATAGGTGCTAGGTCCAAGGTTTGAAACAATTTCAGTGATTTTTGCTTCAGCAGGCGTTGTATGATCCACCTCCATCTCTGGGTCTCCTGACATAGCTGAATAGAGAGTGAGACGTTCAGATCATCAGAGCTAACTTGTACTGTGACTTATGTAAATGAGAACTTTACATAGAACTCGTGGTTGTGGCTGTGTCAGTGTGGACACCGCAAAGTTCAAACCCTCCATATCGCTCTGGTCTAGCCGACATATCGCATGCATCAGAATGATCTTGCTAATCAGTTTCATTCAAGATGTCACCCCGATGCTTGCTAGCCCACACCAACCTGCCTTCAATCGGCCGATGAGAAAGTAAGCAAGGTACGAGTCTTGACGTCGCGCAAAGAACCGGTGACAGTCCTCAAGGCTGTCCAACAACTTTCCAATGACACTTTCTTCTGCACCCTCCAACTCCACTTTCACCTTCTCGTCGTAAAGTCCATCCATCTGATATATCTGCACGAGAACGTCAGATGCCATGACGATCACCGACAGCGTTTCAGATCTTGTTCACCTCAGCGTCTGCCCATGCAATAAGCCCTAATTTATCCAAGATCTCCTTCTCATGGTTTCTTTGATAGTTTCCTTCCCCTAGCCATATACCAATATCCGCAAATTCATCGCTTTCGCTGGTTTGTCCCGCAACAAAGCTTCCGCAGTAGTGAGATTCTGCGGTCTGCTGCGCTGCTCGAACAAGCTTTTCGAGGTAGTCAGTGACGTCTTGTGGGGCAGCGTCCGTGTAGCTGGGAGCAATTGATGATGACTGTAGCAAGAAAATAGGGGGATTGTAGTGGATGGGTCCCAATTGCGCTTTGCTGCGAAGAAAAAGAATTTGTAGTGTCCTCACGGTAGCTTGTTGCGATTGTATGTTAAGTTGTTCCGTGATGATGCCCGCATCTTTTTCAAGGATGTGTGAATCGAGCTTGACAGTGGTCATAACTTGAGCGTCGATGACGAAGTTGAATGTGGAGTCGAAATCATATATAGTCTGCACATGACTACAGATCTTTTAGACAACTCTGGTAGTCTTGCTACATGACAACAAGGGATGCGGTAGCTTGCGAGGTATCGCCGGGAACACTTAGGACTCGGATGAACACCTTGTTACTCAGTGCAAGGGAAATCATGTAGGATCTTATTTAACGCAGGGAAGTGTTACAAATACAAACTATCAATCAATTCAACTGTCGAAACTCAGGCTGTCGGGGCTCCAAGTACTTGAGAATACTATGAGAAGATGATAAAATCAAGATACAGACGACAGGGAGCAAGAATGCATGGCCACCAATTTGAGATTCCTATCCCCTGGTAACTCTGTGTCCGTAATATTCATCATATGTGAGCTTCCAGGTCGTATTCTCGGAGTCAAGATAACTGAGATCTTGCTCCCAGATACAGTGGCTGTCGATAGCGCGTTGCAAGATTGCAGTTTGTCCATAGTCCGAGGTGATGTAGGCGCGTAGCTTGGGAATGAACTTAGCCACGGCGTTACTTCCATCTCTGTTTTGTACTGTAAGTTCCAGGAGGAAAAATAAAGGGAGGATGACATACCCAACGTCATTGAAGTAGAGCGCCGGCGTAGGCATCAGTTCTCCCGGGCACATAAAGCCTGAAGTTATACAATACGCTGAGACGAAGAAAACAGACCAAAAAGTAGTCACAGACCGATTCCGATGTCCTGAACGTATCCAGTCTCGTTCTTGGCCTGCAGCAAACCTTTCTCTCCAGCCACAGGGTCCTAAGTCAGTCATCCCGTGAGCTGTTGTGACAAAGATGATACTTAATCAAAAGACAGTCTTACAGAGAAATGGAAGACCTCCTCATCATCCTGAGTCAAAGTCGTTATTTCGCCCTCCTGCATGATAGCTTGATGTTCATGCTAGGAATCACAGAGCAAATGAGCGTTTCTCACATTGATATTGACGCAGGTTGCAGCGTCAGTGATGGTCCCTTCGTCGACCTGCGCTTTGAAAAAAGCAAGCCTAGAAGATGGATCAGTCTGATTTACGAGCTTGATTGGCATATATAGACTTACTGGCTAGTGTAGGTCGCGCGCATGCTGTACGGGCCTAAGACGAGAGGCCATAGGCAAGTTGGCAATCGAGCAGTGAAAATGTGGGACAACATTCACCTTCCTTTCCAAATGTGCAGGTCCTAAGATATTTCAAGGTATGAAGTAGCTTATCACAGGCAGAAACGGGAGTCCTTACTTCCATACTATAGGGCAGACATTCTTATAGAGGCCTTTCATGTTGCCATCAAAAGTGAGTAAAAGCGTCACCTCCCTACCGAGGTCATGTCTGGGAGATGGTCAGATGAAAAGATGGGGTAGCACAATAGCGCAAAGACACTCACGTCTGAAAATTCAAGTTTCTGACGAAAGTTTCTGACATTGCTTCAGATTGAGTAGCTTCTAGCTCTGCAGTCGCAGCCTTTTATGTCTCGGATGGGCGCAGTACCCGCTTCCTTGGTTTACATTGTCAGCTTATCCCTGACTTTGTGCTTATCCTCAGCACCTTCGTGCCTTCGTAGTACGTACCTGCCGCTGGAGACATGCTAGATGCATCACACCCTAACTCGTTCCCTCCACTGTTATTTAGCCAGCTTTGTCTTGGTGGGCCCTTCCTGCACCTTCGTACCTGCCGCTGAGGACTCAATACATTACACCCTTCATCTATATAGCTAAGTTATTTCAAATCGTGCCTCTGTACCTGCCGCTGGGGACCTACGTACCTAAGTTTCAATCCCTATCGACTCGAAAGCTAAAATTTCCACACACTGCCAGCCTGAAGGGCGTACTCATACCTGCTTCCTTGGCTTGATATACATTTTTCATCCCTTTGCTAGTACGGGTGATTGCAAGTGCCTTCAAAGGATTCTACTCTGCAGGTAATGAAATGCAGTTGCTGGTGAAGAAGGTTATTAGAATATTTTTTGCTGTGATCCCCTGTAGTTTGACATCCTGCCGGATTCTGCCAAACCGGCTGGCACAATCATAGGTCCCATGGGGAGGCCTGGACCTTCGTGTGTCGGGGTTCGTAATTGCCGCTGGTGCTTCTTTGTGCCTGACTTTTATAATGGCACCCTCCGAGTCCTGAACCCGGTACGCGCCCGGTCCTCTGGCACCGCACGCACATCCGTCACATCCTCGCCCTCCGATTATCATTTGTATCCCATATGCCAGCCATCCCGCCTGGAATAATGACAACAATAGTACGAATCGAGTTGCAACTCGCGCCGAAATGTCAGCAAGTGCGCATTTTGGTGTAATACTACGTGTTTTCAATGAACAACATATACCTCCTGTCGCAAAATAGGTTCATGAACTTCGAAAACGTGCGATGATCACACGAAATAAGCTCAATTCAAGTTGTTGAATTCATGCAATTCGTGTGTTGTTGTGACGCGTGACGAAGCTAAGGTTGTGTCTATACAACATCGCAAACCAAGCAGGTCCAGCCACAGGGCGGCGCGCCCATATAGTCGCAGTGGTACGTACTACGAAGGCACGAAGCTGTAGGAAGGAGAAGTTGTCTATATTAGGGGAGCTCACACCTAGGAGCTTACGGTTTATGCTTATCCATGCTTATGCTTACAACCCTCCCGGTTGCGCAGATGCAGAAAACACTCGTTCGTTCACATCCAATCTCAACTGCAATTCTACAATGTCACGCGCCTTCGTCAGAAACTTGTATTTCCAGACGTGAGCGTCCTTGTGCTATCTCCTTTCATTACTTTTCACCCGACCGTTTCGCAGGAAAGATCTCGGCAAGGAAGCGACGCTCCTGTTGACTTTCGATAGCGACGTGAAAGGCATCTACCAGATATGTTTTCCCGCCATATGTTGGTAAGTACCCACACTTTCGCTTGCGTTGGCTTCGAACCTTGCAACATTTCAGGCTCACCACCTTCGGACGGACAGGTGGGTGTCGTCTTTCTTGTCCAATTGCCCAATTACCTATGACTCCTCGTCCCAGGCTCGTACAGGATGCATGCAACCTACACGAGCCAGTAAGTTTATGTCGATAAACATGCTCATGAACCATACTCATTCTGCCTATAGACTTGCTTTTTCCAGACCACAAGTTACAGATGGGAATATCATTGAGGCTGAAACCTGCATGGAGATCAACGTAAGAGAGTTTTATCTGTTCTGCGAATACTCAACCGAATGCCGTCATGCAGGATAGCGAAAAGACCACACTGACCCAGAAGAATTGTGTCTTCCAGTTCTCTGTAGGTCTTATTTTTGTTTATTTCTGTTCCGACAGCTCACGATTAACCCGCAGAATCCTGTGAAGGGAGTCCCTGGTTACCTGGAAGTCCGCAATGATACTGGGTCCATTCAAGATATTGCCCTCGGTTTGTGACCACCATATTTTTTCGGCCTCAATATAATGTTCCGCTGCAGGTTTCATGAGCCCGAGAGACTTGATGCCTAGGCCCATCTTATACTTCAAGGAAGTTGAGTATGTCATATTTCCTCTATTTATAACTAAAGAACTCACAGTGCAAAACACAGACACACCAGTAACATCACGATTGAGTTCACTCCAATCCTGCGCGCCTATATCACTTCGGATTATAAACACACCGCGATCTTGCAGGGAGCCATCGACACCCCTGCGATCTGGGAGCAAAATCTCGCTGCACTTTCTGAGTCCACAACATGGGACCTCAAACGGGACCCATCCACCGGACATTACAAGATTACTCAGGCTGATCAAGGCATGTCAAATTCGAGCACTCAATTAACTGTTGTTGGGGGTCTGTGTCTTAGATTTCTTCCTGTTTTCGCACTATCCTTATTTGGAGTCCCACCAGCATGATTCAAATTCTCTTGCTAGCCAGTTGCTCGCATTTAATCATGTCGTTCATTTCTCGCGTATTACACTACTGAACGCCGGCTCTCGAGAGGCTGTTGCACAGGTATGCGTTTAATATATTTACATACAGCATTCCGTCATGTTTGGATTCGCCTGGCGTAAAATTCATCCGCATAGTATAAGCCTGTCTAGACCTTGCCGTCCACCCGAGCGCCCTCCACCATCCCTGCTACGATCCATGATGAATGGTCGGTTGCTGTTCACTTTGCGAGCGCTAACTACATAACTATTTCAGCTCCCCTGCTCGTGCATCAGGCCGCGCAGCAGCTATCTCTTAGTCTCCTATAAGCAGACCAATAGAAGGAAGACAGTTGTTACTTCTATAAATGCAATCACTCATGTTCGATTTTGGTGTGGACCTCATGCCTAGGTGGTTCATGTCAATGTTGCAACGTGACACTAATCGTATAAGGGTATACCTCCGGATCATCCACCGTCGGCACTCCGAGTTTGTACACTTCCGATATCACCCCGAACGGGCCCGAAGCATTTGAAGGAACAAAATCGTTCGTCTATGGTGTCTGTCTACGGAACACTACCCAAAAGTAAGTCCGTTCTCGATCAATACCAAAAGCTCGCCAGAGGACGGCTCTCGTCTCGGGAAAAAGGCGGCCACTGTACAGGCTATATTGATTCCTGAGACACCATTCGTTCCGCGCAGGCGTGCACGGTGATGTATTTTCATATCGTGGCTACGTCACGACGTGGCATCTAAATTCCAAAATGCCGCAGTATTGAAGAACTATGAACTTATCGGCAGAAGATGATCCTGTCCCCCGTGGTGCCCCTCGTCATCAACGACTTGTCTTATAACTCGAACAGGTTGCCATAACATCACTGTTTTCTTCGTTGCTTCATCGTCAACAACCCGAGGGTGATTCATTGGACAAGACAAGAAAATGCCATCTCCCATTGCTTTGAATCCGCCTGCTCCTCCTCCGTCCATCTTCAAGAAGACAGGATCGCTCAGCAAGTTGCCATTAATGTCGACGGCGATGTCGTACCTTTCTGCTGTTCAACAAGCAGACACCCGCGCTCGCAGTCATAACAATTCCTCTGCAGCATCAACTCCTACACGATCCACCCACTCCTCTGTTACAGCTTCATCTGAAGACACAATCCTCTGCGAGGATGATACGGACAACTGTCTCGTGAACCCCATTACACCGCCCACCTCCGAGATCTTCGCTACTGTTCACACAGAGTTTGGTTACTGTGCAAATGAGGCCTATCGTTGCGTTTCTCAGCATGATTATACGAAACCTTTCCAGGAGCACACAACCGAGGAGCCTCCGTACTATGTTCTCCTCACCACCTACATAAGCTACCTCATGGTCATCTGTTTTGGTCATGTCCGCGACTTCTTCGGAAAGCGTTTTGCCAAATCTTTTTTCACCCACCTTATGCCCCACGATGTAAGTGCCATTTTGATTGCGAGATATAATTCATTTGATGCCATGTACAGGGTTACGCACCATTGAACTCGGATTTTGATTCGTTCTACGCCCGCCGGCTCAAGCGTCGTGTGGATGACTGCTGTTCCCAGCCTATCGCAGGTGTCCCCGGCCGCACTGTTGTACTCCTCGACCGTTATTCCACTGATTACAACCTTACTCAGATCTACACCGGTACCAAGACACGCGCCTTGAACGTCTCATCGTATAACTACCTTGGCTTCTCCCAGGCCCGAGGGGGCTGCTCAGATGCAGTCGGAGAAAGCATCCGTCGTTATGGCATCTCCACCTGCGGGACACGTCTTGAGACCGGGAGCAGCGAGCTCCATGTCTTTGCTGAAGCCCTCGTCGCACGTTTTCTGGGAACAGAAGACGCGTTAGTCAGTTCTGTGGGGTTTGCCACTAACTCCACTTTCATCCCTGCATTGGTGGGAAGGAAGTCCTTGATCATTTCTGACGAACTGAACCACACTAGCATTCGCGTCGGTGCACGCCAGAGTGGTGCAGATATCCGGATGTTTAAGCATAATGATATGTCAAGCCTCGAGTCCGTTTTGCGTGAGGCGATAAGCCAGGGCCAGCCCAAGACACATCGTCCTTGGAAGAAGATCTTAGTCATCGTGGAGGGGTTATACTCCATGGAGGGCACGCTCGTAAACCTGCTTAGGATTGTCGAATTGAAACAGAAGTACAAGGTCCGTACTACAGTTACTGTTTGGCTTATGATGTTGATGTTTTATTCAAGTTCTACCTGTTTGTTGATGAGGCACATTCAATCGGTGCGGTCGGTCCCCATGGACGCGGTGTGACGGACTATTTTAACATCCATCCTGGCTCAATTGATGTCTTGATGGGCACGTTCACAAAGTCATTTGGTGCTGCTGGCGGATACATCACAGGGCCGAAACACCTTATTGATGCTCTCCGGATGCGCGGACACTCATGTCCGTATGCGGAAGCAATGGCGCCCCCGGTGCTCGCACAAATTATCGCGTCGATCGCGAGCATCATGGGCGTTACTCCAGCACCACAGCTGTCCAAGTCCCAAAATTCCCTCAGCCTTGCTGGTTCAATTATCACTCTCAAGGACCGTGTAGATGACCTCCAAGGAATGGTGCCTGCAAGCATGCTGCCGGCGTGGATAAACCTTCATCCATCCCTCGCAGACGGATCCGAAGCTCGAATGCGTATCCGCCGTCTTGCCTTCAACTGCCGTTATCTGCACGCGGGCCTCAAGAAACTCGGTTTCATCATTTCTGGACATCCCTTCAGCCCGATTGTTCCCCTGCTTATCTTCAACCCGGGTAAATGTTTGATGTTCTCACGTCTGATGTGTGCGCGGAGAATACCGATTGCTGTCGTTGTCGTAGGGTACCCCGCCACCCCATTGGAGAAGGGTCGTGCACGGTTCTGTGTTAGTGCGTCACACACGAAGGAAGACATTGATATGGTGCTGCAGGCTTGCGATGAGGTGGGTGAAATTCTAGACCTGAAACATGGTTCGGGTGAGCGGTGGGGGATTGATGAAGTTCGCAAGCGCGCAGTGGAGCTTGTTCACTCTGCAGTGTGAACGCTAGGGCCTTTTTGTGTAGTATGGGGTGGGGATGATTAAGCTTACTGTATTGAGTTTGATTGTGTCTGCTTGAAAGTGAGATTTTACAATTTATGGAGAGGCAGAGTGATGTGTGCGCTGCGCACAGACAATGCATCAAGGGAGAGGGGAGCGGGACAGCCGTAAACGTCTGAACGTTAAACATCTATTGTAGTAGACCATGATGAACTTCATTCATCTTAGGGGAAATTGTCCTGTGTGACCGGATGGTTGTGACATGTAATTGTGACTTAAATGAGTAACGCAGAGTTTTGCAAATCAAAGTAGAAGCTACTAAGTTGTACTTACAACCATCCTCCACAAACTTACCAGGGTTGCTTTTTATTGTATGCTTCGCTTTACTGGAAAGAATGTTGCGGTGAATAGGTTTGTGCCCTTTAAACCGCTCGGCGGCATACTGACATGATGCTTACCTCCAGCGTCATCCAATCACGGCAATTACACTTGGTACTTTCGGGCCAACGTCTTGCTTCCGGTAGATTACAGTTGTCTCACTACGCAAGAGTTGGACGGAAAGTTTCAGCACGGTCTGCCTCCACTTCCACTTCCTCCAATGATAAGTCTAGTCATACCCCAAATCTACCACCTTCTGCCGTATCACCTCGCAAGCATCGGGTGGAGCTTAAGCCTGGCCCATTGAAAAGACCTTCACCATCAAGCGCAACACCAAAGCCTCACTCGACATCCCTAAAGCAAATACAACACTCGTTTCCAGCATTTCGTCCTTCTACGACATCAAGTACACCAGATTCTGTTCCGTCTGCGATCGAGCTAGCGAAGCAAGACATAGCAGATGCAACTGCTCAGGGAGTCCTTCGACCGGCTCCACATGATGCCGGTACCATCAAGCGCTTCACTCACCAAGCCTTCGAACTCCTTGTCTGTGTTTAACCTCATCGGCGCATTCGCTCCCCTAATTTCTTTTGGCTCCGTCAGAAATTCTATTTCCGAGGCCTGAAGGCCATAAACACGCACCGTAAACAGGCAGCAGCAATTCGATCACGCATAGCTACAGGTGGCGCCGCGCTCTCCAGAGCGGAGTCGCGTTTCATCAAAACATTCCAGCAGGATGCACTGAAGTACATATTCGTCCACCTCTCTTGATTTTTCTCAAACTCCCACCTCTAGGCTCATTCCGTTCGTGATTGTTGTCTTAGTTATGGAGGAGCTCATTCCTTTTATTGCCCTTTACGTCCCTCGAATGCTGCCATCTACGTGTGTCCTTCCAGGTCAACGTGATCGTATCAGTGCGAAGGCACGCAACAATCAACAGTTGGTGCTCACAGGGAACTGGAGATTATTCGATCTTTTACGGAAAGAAAGCGAAAGCTCTGGCTTCATTCCGACTCTCAGTCTGAAAAATCCAGGGGCACTTTGCGGGTGCGTACTTTCTCGAAGTATATTTTCAAACCTGGTATAAGAGTTTTTGTAGAGTCGTCGGTATCTCCGCTTGGGGGCCACTGCAACTGCTTCAGTGGCGTCTACAACGCCACCTTCAGAATATTGCGTCCGACGATAAGATGCTCAAACAAGAGGTATATGGGCGTGATCTCACCCTTCCAGAATTGAAGGAAGCCTTGCAAGAGCGTGGAATGTATGTATCCCATTTTATAAATGGTCTGTCCCTGATATCTGTGTTCCTCGATAGGCCCATGTTCAGCGAAACGAATTCCGCAGATGAGCTGAGGGCCCAACTCAAGTGGTGGATAGACATGACAGAGACCATGCCCGAGGGCGCGGATGCTGTCAGTAGGCGCTTGTTCGTACTCAGTATTATTGGATCACATAAGTGAATGTTGTCGGGGTGCCCTGCTATCCTTTTATGGTGCAGTGTGACAGACAGACTTTCTTAGATCTAGAGGTCAATCATAATATCTCAACTCCACTCGTTGTATTCACTGTGTTGTCCCTATCAGTAGAAATCTACCATCCTAATATCTAGTGATGTGTGCATAAAATATGTGAAGCTAAAAGTGCTAGGATGCAATGTCATACCAATGACAGCCGAATCGTGTGTTATCAACCCTCAAGTCGATAGCGAGGTTCCTAAGCTGTTCACGGAAGCCAATCATGTCCAGAGGGCGTTTAAAATTGCGGTAAAGAAGGCGTTTGGCCGAACATGACGACCCACTGAATAACACCTTCACCGAGTCAGGAAGCCATTCGTCGACAGTGGCCTCCCAGGCGCGGTCAAGAGCGACAAAGGCCAACTCTCGCAAAGATGGCAGAGACAACGAATCAAAGATGCGAGCTAGGGGTGCTACATTCCCAAACTGAACCGCATCCTCTGATAGGTAGATGCTTAGTGTCTCCAAGGCCTGATGCTTAATGAGGGTCATCCCATCAGGGGGAGGATTAACTATCTCCAAGCTTTCGCCGTGGAAGAAAAGCTTGATTTTCAGCCGAACTAGTGCTGGGAAGTCAAGGAGGATTTTCATGAAGTCGACTTCTGCCCCTGGTCTGTCGAGTGTAAGGTGGGTAATTTGAGGGAACGTGGCACGTGGAATAAGGTTGATGAGCGCTTCCTTTCCACAAAGAGCGACGTGCGTAATGTTCGACGTGCAAAGGGTAAGAGGATGTCCGGAGTTGGCAAGGAACGACGTTGGCATGACGGATACCAAGATGCGTTTCACAGCGTAGGAACCGCTGGCAATGAATGCATCAATGTAGCCGCGGCTGGCCTGTATATGAAGATCATGAAATCGCCCCGAGTGTGATGCAAGCAGGCGGAAAAGTCCTGACTGTGTTGGATCGTACTGGCGGAACCAATCCCATTTCTGGAGGCACACTACACTGACAGTTAACGGACGAGTACGTGCTGCTGCAAGCCAGCGAGCTACCATCGCCGTGTAAAAGTCTGCAGTCCAGACGCCCCAGTCATGAACATCAATAGAAGACCAGAGTTCTGGTGTTGCCTGTGCAATGTCCCTCCAGCGGCGACAAATTTGGCAAAGTAAAAGCGGGGCGGACAGTATGTGGGGGATGACATATCGATCGTTGGGGAGGCAGTATCTGAATATTTGCTGAAGAATTTCTGTGGGAAGGAACCTCACAGGGCTGATGCGAGCTCTGTTTTCGAAAATGCGAGTTTCCACAGCGCGCCGCTTCTGTTGCTGAACAGCTATGCGTGCGTGTATCGCCTCGATCTCAGCCTGTAGGCTGTTGACCACAGAGTCTATGTTCAATAACTCTTCTCCATCTCTCTGCAAAGCGAACCGAGCTTCGTTGATCTCCACCTCTAAGAGAGAGTTTGCGAAGTTCATCGTACAAAGGACAGCATTCAATTGTTTGGTGCTGATAACAGCGACAGAATCCATCGCTCTGCAGTGTACCGAGGATGTTTCAATCAAAAGCGACATGCTTGGAATAACCTGGTCAGATTTAAATCTCGTATGTCAGGCTATCATTCGAAATTTTGGATTGCTCACCCTTTTGCGGGACAACGGTTCAATGAAAGGGTACTTCTGCCTCGTTCGAAGAGGAACACGAGGCCCAGTTCATCGGGGTGAGGCCGGCCAATGTGCAAATACCGGCTTGGGCTTGGCTGAACGTGTTCTATTACTAACTAACCGAGATTGAGACGGACTCGGACTCGCAGACTTACTCGGGTGCCCACCGAAGAGATGCAGCGGTCACGGTGGCCATCATTAGGGCACGGCGCCAATCTCGGCTCTACGCCAAGCAACATTTAGACAGCTAGCCCGTGGAAATCGGCTAAAGCATGTACAATTGCCAAGTGCCAAGGGGAAGAAGGAAGTTGATCAAAACCGGTTCCGCTGACTCTTCAAAGCTTGAATTTGAGCTTCAAGTTGCACCAGTACCAGTACTAGTGACAACTACAAATGCCTAATTAGGCGCCCCTCAATTAAAGTTTGTTCTAACTTCGACATTTACTTTCGTCGTTTAAATCGATTTATCTACCGAGTGCTACAAGTCAAATGAAGCACTTCGCTTAAAGTGCACTCTCCCAGCCGCAGAGTAAAGTGATTATAATTATATGATGAAACATCGTCTCAGCTCTGTGCAGCACGCAGCTAAGATTACTTCACAACTGATCTGCACCGTTCAACGATTCGCTGTAAGATCACGGGGCTCGACACTACTGACATGCGTACAGTCCAGACATACATAGCCTTGTAATTAAAATATTCATATCTGGTCCCAATGTAATGCGTCCTAGACTCCTAGTTGGGTATTCGCTAAAAGTAGAACTATCTTGAATGCGATGTGGAAATAAAGTGTGCATAGAGAGTGACAACATCCCGATCCACCTCTAACGTAGCAGACATCGTAAAAATCGTAAACATGTTCCGTTCCACAGCATAGCTGGCTGTGCACACCGTCAATGCATCAACAGCGCGCCTGACATGAATTAAGGTCCTCTGTTTGAAGAGAATAAGATTGCGCAAAGCATGGACTTCTCACGAAACAGAAGGATGGGACCCGACACTGACGCCAGCATAAACGCAGTCCATCTTTACAGCCGGCAGCAATTGACCACTCGTCCCTGTTTGAAACCCTGATTAATGCACCATCCTCGTTACCGTACAAGTACCCTACCAGCGTGACAATACGGGATTCCATCTTCCTTGTGGCCCCACCACATCACAGGCGTCCACTCATCCACGAGGTTGGACAGTGTCTGGAGGTGGCCGTATGCAGCTGGCTGAGGCCCGCGCCGTTGGCGCAGTGCCACGAGAGTGAAGAAACAGGCGAACACAAATAGCACTATAAATAAGTTCAAGATCTGCACGAGTAAATAAGGATGTTGTAGCGCCTGTCCTATATAGTGAATACGAACCTGCATTGGATACATATTTATCGCAGTGCTGATATCGTTGGGATTGTCGATACCAGGAGGCCCAACTTGAAAGGCACGGAGTACGAAACAAAGCCCAAATACCCAGTCTATATCGTTAATGATATTGTTCAAGAACACATGTCTAAAGCAAGGTGCGAGTGACTTACGTAGCGCAGGCTTCGCGACGAAAAGCGCAAGACAGAGCGGATTGGCAATAACCGACTTCAGCGGGTTCGTCGCCGGTGTAATCCCTTTTTGTTCGGTGCCGCATCTCCAATGCCCTTCGTCTCGAATGACATTTGCGATGAGCTCAGAGCAGTGCAGACAAAGTGTTAACGGTCCCTGGATAATAGCCAGGTTGATATAACACATAATCCACGGCCCGGGTCCCCATCCGAGCTCAGGGGAGTATCCAAGGCTGTACAAGAAATTCTGATCGTCGGGGAAGAACGACCACGATTTCCAGGTTATGGTACCGGTGTAACTTTCATACGTATTGTGGATGAACAGGATGAGAGCACCCCATCCAGCACATGCTATGACGAGACCCCAAAGAGAGTTGATAACTTTCCGGATGCTAGGGTGTGCATGCCATGCAGAAGGCTGTGTCTCTGATGGCCTCGCTGGACCTCCATCCACATCGAAGTCGGACACACTGCGCATACACCGGAGAAGAACTGGGGTCAATTGCGAGTGGTGGATCAGAGCAGGGGTTAGATCCAAAGATGAAGAACTCCACGTCAATATCTTGGCAGCCCGCATCCCTGACAATGCGATCACCACCTGGAGAAGAAGTGCGATACCCAAAACCAGAAGAGGCATCCCTATGATATCGACTTCTAACACAGTCTTCTCATAGAGAGACATCACATAGCAAGTTAATGTGACCAGTGAGACTGAGCTATAGGATATGATGAGTAGGACAACCATGATGCCGTTAAGCAGGGCACCATTGGGGTTGCTCCATCCACGAGCTGCGGTCAAAAGGCGCAGATTAGAGTTGAACCTAAGCCGGGACTCTGAGTCCAGCGCAGAGCGCAATGAGATGTTGTGTACGAAACCTGTGGATTCGGTGCATAATGTGACGATCAAGTTTAGTGAGATGACCAGCATCTCTTTCCGCAGCGCGACGCCGCTGCGTCCGGCTGACATCACAGTGGCTGCACCTCCAGAAGCGGTGATAACAGCGCCTGCTATGATGCAACAGCAGCTGGCAATACTTGTGCATGCCACACCAGCCAGGGCACACCTACGACTTGTCAGACTGCGGTCGTAGAAATTGGTCGCAGACTTCACGTCCGAGTCAGAGTCGTCCAGTTGATTCGGGAGTGCATCATATGCAAGAAGACTAGATGGATTCCAGGTTGTCGTAGGGGCAGTTGACATGATGTGGGAAGTGGAGAATGGAGGGCAGCATATCACATACATGAGGATCAAGTACTTATATAATAACCTTTGGTACAGCATGATCTGGGTGTATGCAACTTATGTAAGTTGTTTGTCGCTTCGCAACTCTGATGGGAGGAGGACGACTCGAACCTCTAAGCGGTGTTTGATGCGCCCATCCGCGCAACTTGATCGCCATGAGAACGTCCAGGAAATGGCCGACTCCAGAGCTATTCTACCTAGACTCTGGGGCCAAAATCTAGGGCGAGTCTAGGGCTTCGGCGGCTGACTTCGGGCGGGGAGTCGGCCAAATCACTGACTTTCACATCACCATTGTGGGCAAATTCTGGTAAAACCTAAATTTCAAAGCGTAAGGCGCGCCAACTGTATGCGTGCAGTGTGTATGGCTCGAGGAGCTAACATCGACATGCAAGGTATTATCGCTGGATGGATGGGTGCACACTGTACTCGTCAGGTTTCTTGTACATCTCCCTGACAGATGGCTGGATCTGGGGGTACAAGATATTGTCCCGTCACGTTGGTTTCTTTGGAAGGGTCCCAGTCCTGCGATTTCCGAGGTTTAAGCAGATACCAGACCGACAATCACTGTCGTGACTGCCAACAACTATTGGTTTCAAAGCCTTGTGTCTAAATACGATATTGAGTTGAATGCCAAAGGGCACGAACCTAGTTGCAAGTTCCGTCTGAATTCTCCACTCGAGGCTCGAGCTTTCGCTGCAGTGTCATATCCCTCCCACTGGCACTCTACTCTCCAAAGTTGGTCCAGAATGTAAGTTGAGAGAAGCCGAGTGTGCTTTATTCACGAGCCACAGCCAATGCTACGACGTAATCCCCCTAAGCTGGTCGTTTGCGTGTAGAGTTCAGTCACATGATGGTTCTTGCTGACAACCTCCGCAAATCGCCGAACGAAAGTTCGATGAAGGTACATATGGTGGACGATAGGTTACGGTTCGATTTGCCGATTTGCCGCGACTTATTTGAAAGTCCGCGCGGTGTTTATTCTAGTATTACAAGCATACCTAGGCATACATGCAAATTTGTGTCACATTCTCAATGAATTACCATACTTGCAGACCGCTGCACATGTCCGAGACTCGAGTAGCATGGGACCCTGGCCTGATGAAATAGTGATAACAAGGAGCAGCAGCGCCAGATCTTTCTCTGGGCTATACTAATACTAGTATCATACTACTGTAGTGATGCCGCAGAGGCAAATCAAATCGAGGCGACGATTATTTGCAAGTTACTAGTACACGGCCAGCAGATATCTATCTACATATTGTAAGAACGGACTCGGAGCATTTGATCCCGCGGAACCAATTCACGTCGACGCCATGCCATGCGCGTTCCACCCGAACCCCTCTTCTGCTCCACTTTGGCTCAGGCATGTACTCCACTCCAGCTCCTTTGTGTTAATAATTATAGTCAGCGTCTGTCACGAGCTCGACGTGCACGGTGCCGTTCAAACCTGTGTTGGGTCAACGAACCACATGGTTTTATTTATGGGTCGGGGCTGAACGTTGCATCGCACACTGGACACTGTAGCCAGAATGCTTCGAAGATCGCACGGGCACCGCGCCCAAATCATATGCGGCATTCAAACATTCTTCGCGAGTCACTGTTGCGATCTTACCAACAACTTTTATCTTGATCCCATTGGAATCCCTGGATGCACATTGTCTTTGCACTGGAATTTGGGCTGAAACACTTCGATCAATCAGATATCATTCCTCAAATCTCACTTTAGTGATTTAAACACTGGATTGTGGTATATCAAGCACGAATGCGATTGTTATCCGTCCACCAAGTTCCTCCGCTCGCTCGCTCCTATCTTCTAATGGTATGGTCTTAGTTTCAAATAATCCTACTTGGTGGCCACTTATCAATGCGAGTCTTATTGGCAGCTGTTTTGTAGCTTCGTGGAGAGTCAGCCGCATGATGACGGTGATGATTCGATTCAGCTTGACTCTAATTTCGCAGTTGCTGCCTCTGTCGGGGTAATGTACGATTGGGGTGAGCAAGATTAAGTATAAAAGAACCACTGATATCCTTATGGTATTCTCAGTGCTTACCATTTGGACAAGAGGTATGTTCGATCCATTACTGGGGCAGTCAACTCGCTTAGAATTGTGTTGCAGGTTGAACTGATCTGGACTCCCACATCAATAGAGCAACGTTAAGATACAACTTGTTCACGGCAGAGGCAACGCTGGTCCCTAATGACCTTTCTCTATTTCGGTGTATGTACCTTGTATTTCAACATTTACGCTTAGCAAGTCCAAGTTTTGCTGACTATTCTAGGTGCGCTATGCTGGAATGGGGTATGCTGTGTACGTTTGGAGGTTTAAGCTATTGATGTTGTGCTCATTACCCATCTCTCACAATCAGAATGTACATGTTGGGTGTGTATCCTCGCATAGACCCTGTTTCTTTCTTGTGATGGGCAGCATACAGTCAGTGTTCCAACAATTTCGGCGACTGGAGTGAGCATCTCACACCAATGCCTTCCATTCTCGTCCAACAACTGAACTACCATGCAGGGGTGAGTGAGATTCTCGAACAACTCGTTGATTGAACATAACGACTTCCCACAGCTGTGAGTTTGTTTCAGAGTCTGTGATCTTCCGAAGCTGATAACTAATGTTACTGGATTTGTCAGGCCTTATCATCTATGATGCACTTAATTGGATGGGTGAGGTTGTAAATGTAATACTTGGCGGTGAGCTATACACCTCCATGACATTTGACTTGACTGAAACATCATGCAAGTCATTATGATCGCTCGGTTGCATACCATGTATCAGAGATCTAGAAAGGTGCTGACATGCCTCGTTATCATCTTTGTGGCCATCAGAATTGCCGACGCAGTCATGGTCGCAATAATAACGATGCAGATTGCAGGAGGTAAGCTTTGGTTATGTATGAAATGAGAGGCATTCATTCTCTCCGGCACCCATCGGTGCATGATTGGCTACGCGGGAGATTCTATATTTCTGTCTTCCATGACTTGGATACTTTCCACCGTATGGGAGGTCCTTGCACTGTGTCTCGCGGTCTGGATTACTGTAAAGCAATTCCGTGAACTGCGGCGACACTCAACAAGAGGTATTATCGGGGACTGTTTCACGGTGTTGATGCAAACTCACGTTAGTTACTTTGCGAGGTGAGTTCATAATGTCAATGTGGCTTCTTATTTTCTGCTAAGGTTTTTCGCGTGTTAGTTTTTTCGCTATCTCTTGCTTCCAGATCGGTTTCTTCTCTTCAACACTCTTAGCGGTATGCTGATCTGTCACCGACCTCTACATCCAACCATGATTCATCATTTCTATTGGACATATATTCCCTGGACCCTCAGATTTATTTTGGTCTCGCTGAGATATTCCAGGTCGTGCAGATGTTTGTGCTAGGATCATGCCTCATCCTCGGTGTTCGAGAATATCACGCTGAGCTCGTGGCTAACTCTGATACAGCAAGCGCTATGACTTCAATTGCTTTTCAGGAGCGCGTCCATGTATCAACTAGCAATAGTGTGTAGCGCAGGGGATGCTCGATATGATTTATTTGCGATGGGCGGGAAGTGTGCAGGGAGCGGGAAAATGCACATTTACTTTGAGGTTGTTCATTCAAAGCAGCTTGCCACTTCAGGAACGAGTACAACGGACATGGATGAGGGCGATGGAGGTTAAATCGACAGAACCCATCAAAAATGAGGTGCCACGGCACCCTCTGGTTCATTAATGATCATAGTACAAACTACGAGTGAGACGAATGAAAGGCACCGGTATCATATGCATGCTTAATGCAGCAAACATAGTTCTTTGGCCCAACCTGTCCGCCTCAGAATCCAGAAACCGAAGCCCGAATTTTTCATCTGAAGGAACGAGAAGACAATTCTCACCGCATATTAGCCTTCGGTGCTGCAGTTCAAAATACCAAGTACCGAGTGAGCTCATCATGTGAAGTTGTTCAATGCTTTCAACTTTGATAAATGCATCATATACGCAGATGGCAACGACAAAGCAAGTGCATAGTAAGTTAGTGTAAATACACCTCACGTTTACCGCAACAGTTGCAGCATTTTCACAATGCTCGCGTCCAAGCTAATCGCATCGGCAGACTCGACGGTTAGGCGGCTCACTACGGCCTTGCAAGGGTGTGGGAGTCTCACAGGCGCCTGTTTCCGCATGCTGCACTTGCAAGAGGCGAGAGGTCAGCGAGAGGTTGTGGGAGTTGCGTGAGGTGCTTGCAGGTCAACCGGTCATCTGCAGCGGTCTGCAAGCAAGGAATGCACTGAGTGTGACACGAATTTACAGGTATACCTAGGTATACTTGTAATACTAGAATAAACATCGATCGGACTTCCAAATAAGTCGCGGCAAATCGGCAAATCGAACCGTAACCTATCGTCCACCATAGGTACACTTCCAAAATTTCTTGAAGATATCAACGTGTACTAGTGGCAACTGCAGTAAAACAATAAAGATACAAAATTCTACTATTTCATTAGATATCAAATCGTCGTTCCTCAATACCCCGTACACCAGCACTGACGATCCTTCGCTCATCGAATGTAATGGTACCATATGTACTTGCACTGTTTGTTCCCGCAAAGCTGCCCTCGACAGGCCCAGCGACTTCAGTTCCATCTCCGCCCTCGAGGTCCCACACCCAAATCGCTCCGTTTGAATTCAAACTGACACAGCGCCCATCTGCAAGAGAAAGCGCGGAAACAGGGCCCAAAGGTCCATGCAGAGTCCGGACAAACGTCAATCTCGGTGTATGGACAGATGAACTCGAAATCGGGGGTACATGAAGGCGGTATAATTGAAGGTGATTCGATGAGTAGCTCGGAGGTGAGATGTATGGGAGTAGCTGTGGATGTCCTTGTTGGGGCGCTGTACCTTCTGAAGACCCATGGGATGTCGGAGATATATCGGTTACATCTCCGGGGGCTAAAACAACCCATTTCCCATCCGTTTGTATATCTGCGACTTGTTTCACTTTCCGGCCCCATTGGTCACGCATAAGCTGCAGCTTTCGCTCGTCTATCCATCCTTGCGGGACGTCGAAAGCACGGGTAGACCTGGTGACGCTCACTTCAAAAGCCCCCTGTGGTAACGACTCGCTGGAGGATGTAGCGAATGCCCGGTTACGTGGTAAAATGCCCGATGGAGATATGATAAGTTCTGTGGCACCCACACTCCAGTGAGCAGGGTAAACAGGGATAGCGTAGGCCATGATAAGTTTGTACGAGGCTGCCGAGGGTGTGGTGGAAAGTACAAGTGATGTGGGCGGATGACTGGTGAAAGACGTAAGTGTCTGAGTGTGGGTGATACAACCATTGCTCAAGTCGTATATCATGAGCGTGAATAAGTGCGACAACGTGACGAGCAACGGGTGATTGTAGGCTGCGTGGGTCACCGGAGAAGCACGGTGCAGGGACGAAGGGACATAGGTTTGCTTTGGAGTGGTGGCTAAGGACAGGGAAGAGTGATCATGTTCAAATATGCTGAATTCTCCAGTTGTCAGGAAAGCAGCCAGGCGTATGATATGTGAGGAAGATAAGGAAGGTGGAGATTGATCGAGTGCTATAGCAGATATTTCCGCTATAGATGTAGCTAGAGTAGACCTGCAAAGCAGAGTGCGCGATACCCCACTGTTGTCCCGTACTAGCAGGGAGGATCCGCAGGGCTTCGACGAGGATATGGTAAACCCGCCTGCCAAAATAACGTGCTGACGAGAAAAGGCTGGCGGCGGTGCTAGAGTTGTTCCCTCAGAGTCAGTGAAGTTCTCGACAGCACAACGTCCTAGACATGTATGAGAGAGTGAAAGTAGATGAATAATAATTGTAAGATATACCATTCTTCCAATTCGAGCTGATGCGGTACATCCACTTCCAGTCCAGAGCGTCATCAGCTGACGACGTAGATGCAGAAGCTCTCGAGGGAAGCGGTTTAATTGATCTTCCATCAGTGCGACCATAAAAACCCTTGCCTCCCCTCAGCCGTGTTTTACCATACTCTCTGATAAACAGGGCTTTCCAGAGCTACAACCATAACCGGAGCAGTGGGCGATCCAAGTAGGTTCAACATTCATTCTCTTGTTGCCCAATTGAATCAAATATATACCTGGTTGTCGCTCGCTAGCCTCGCACAGTTTCTGTTCGTCTTGTGCATGGCACATAGATCTCGGGAGTTCAGGAACGAGAAGATAAACAGAATGAGCTCATCGTAGAGCGCATCATCAAATGCTGTGACAAGCCGATGCTCCTGTGACGAGATCCGAGTATTATGTAGCCTCTTTGCAGGGGGCAGAGGCGCTGGGGACAGTCGGTGCTTGGACATGGTAGTACGGGGGAGAAATGTGTAGTATGAGGCATATCACCAATCATTGCATCGGCCTGCCGGTAATTCATGGACCGGGTGGGTCCGAGGAACTTCCACATTTGGGGCAGGAAATGGCGGTGCGTGCACAGACGTTGCCCCGGGCCGACATGTATAGCACTTAAACACGCTACAATGAAGGCAAGTCGCGGACTCGTAGTGGGCTGGAGCAAAGGACATGAAGGTACCGTCCACGTGCACAGAAACAGTATTATCTAGATCAGGGAGGTGTGAAGCAACAGCATTAATGACATCAAAAGACCACGATTCGGAGATCGACAATGTCCCACCACTAGAAATCACTTAATATATGCTCATAACCCATTCCAACCGTCAGGTTGATTACATACCCAATGGTGACTGATGGCTGGGCCAAAGCTGGGTACAGCCAGTCCACGAACATCCATGACGGCGTTCAAGTTCTGTATCTCACCGCACATTTCCTTCACTGATATTCGGGGACGTGTAAACAAAGTCAAGGGTAGCATCGGCATATGTACGCTCCCTGGGAGGATTTCAGTACATTACATCAAATGAAGGCAGCAGCTCGAGGCAATCAAATCGGTCAAACGTCAAACTTGACGACCTGCTCCCCGCCCCCTCGCTCAATCTTGATCAGCTTCTTCGCTACACAAGCATACATCGTTCGTGTGCCAGCCGCACTACCGCCACCTTCCGCTAGTGCTTCCTTAAGTTTATTGAGCGACATCGAGAAACCGGGCTGTTTTAGTAGAGTGAGCAAAAGCTGACAAGTTGCGATCTGTTGCGAGGTGGGCTGGCCAGTGATCATAGATGGCGCAAGCGATGAAAATGAGGATGCAGTTGGAGATGTAGGGGAGGGGGTCTGGGAGGAGAGGGATTCGAGATGGGCACTAGGGCATGTCAGCGGATTAGACATAAAAACTGGAGTGAACGTGCATAGTTTCTTTTGCCCTTGGAGGTTTGCTTCCGCCTGATATTGATCCCGTGGGGTCAAAAGGATGGCCCGGCATGATGATCTCGCCCACTGTGCTCCATATCTTCACCTATCAAGCGCCGCTTCAGTTCTATGCGCTTTTACGTTATGTGACCAGGATGCTTACCACAATCTTCTCGATCTCCACATTCATGCGTACTTTTGGTTTTCTGACGGACTCAGGAGGTCCTGCAGCAGGGGTCTGCAACTCTGAATTTGCAGGCAACGGTGTTTCAGGAGGCGTAGTGCCGTCTGGCGGCGTGGGATTCGGTGGTAACGATGAGGGCAGCTTCTTGAGAACCACAGTTTGTTCTCCATCTCCATCATCCGCCTCCAGCTCACTGCCTAAGAGTTCTTCTTCAAGCTTGTCTAATGGATCAGGCATCACAGAATCGTCCTGCCCAATATCGTGTTCTCCGTTATCAAGGGAATCGTCGTCCACAGGAAGACCTAGCGATGATAAGACGGACCGAGGCCGAGGAACCGGGCTCGTGAAGGACATGATTGATACGTCGTCGATGTCTACCTCCTCATCCATGAGCTTTTCGGTGAAGCGAAGCGTCCGCGCAGATGCGGCAGGTGTGTTCCAGAACATCTCTTCCTGAGCCTCAGGTACAGTCAGAGGCGAAGGAGCCCTAGCCAGCCTCGGAGCGGGCTTGGACTTGGGAGCAGGATTGGAGGTGCGAAGGATGTCATCTTTCTGCTGAGGCGTGAATTTAGTGGATGCATGGACATGGAAGACACACACCTGTTTACGCAGTTCGGTAAGACGAGCCTGAAGATCTTGTATGCGCCGTTCCTCGTCTGCTACAGTGGACTCCTGCGAGCTGGGGCCTGATGCGGGATTGCTACTTGTTAACTACGCGAAGATTCAAGAACATCAAAACATTTGAGGTTAAATATTGATAGTACGAACCTGCTGCAATGTTTCACTAAGACCTTTGATGTTCCGTCGTGCCTCGTCAAGCCTGCTTATAAGTCCCTGGACCTGGGATCGCGCACGGGGCATTGGGCGAATTGAATGACTGAAATACCACACAAGACTGGTTGAAACAGGATATATGCCCTAGAAAAACGCAAAACATACTACCGATCCAAGTACTTTAACGCAGCCTGTGCATATGCTTCTGGCTCATACTCTCTCGGTTTTGTCATCTCCTGCCTTCGAGAAGGTGGTTTCTTCAGAGGCGTAGCACCAGGAAATTCTACACGGGATATCACACCCCTCGCTTCAGACTCAGTTGGTACATGAGACGGTGGGTGTACTAGTGTGAAGAGCCCAAGTTCGGATGAGTCGATGTCACGAATCAGATCACCTAGAGCAGTGTTGAGGACAGCTGATTGTAAAGAGCCCATCTGAGGTCGGGAATCCATCAGCACTGGCTTTGATAGATTTCGAGAGGGAAGTCAGATGGTCGATCTGGTCGGATAGAGAGGGCATTATGCTGCAAATTGCAATTCATAACGTTCAGATTCAGAAGGACGCGACTTACATGTGGTCACGTGAGTTGGCGATCTTATATAAATATTACAGTATCTCCATCTGAGACTGGTACAATTTCAAACACCAATGAAGATCAATGTAGATATTTTACTAATCCCTAGCGACTTCTGTTGAATCGTTGTCGTCGTCGCATAGGTCATGGCATAGCACATTTCCTTTTTCACTCTTTCACATGTACTCTACATCCAATGGCTTGACTGTGCTTACATAAGCGCTGCACGGCCACACAGTCTGGCCTCAGTGTGAGCTAGCTCATTATACTCCGAGCGTTTGCGTACTACTTAACCCAAACGAATTAAATGGCTCCTTCACGAGGTCCACAAGCACTTGCTCGAACGCTCCATACAACACTCTCGAACCACAGAGGACCTGTCCATGTCGTTCGATATGCCAAAGGAACTGCAAAATACGTCCTAAGTGGAGGACAGGATCGCGCGATACGTCTCTGGAATCCAGACCTTGGTACCGAGATCAAGAAGTTTGAGGCCCACGGATACGAGGTCCTTTCTATATCTGTGTCAGTCACATCCGCAGTTTCTTGGCCTCTATTGAAGTTGACGAATAAGACCGTATGTTGTGTAGGAGTCATGATAATACAAAGTTTGCATCTTCTGGAGGGGACCGCTCCGTTTTTGTATGGGATGTAACGGCGGGTGTGACGACGCGTAGATTGTCAGGCCATATGGGCAAGGTGAATGTTGTGGAGCTTAATACAGACGCGACTGTACTGGCGAGTGGTGAGACTGATGCCTTTCACATGATGTGTAAATAACAGTGTTCACCATACTTTATCACAGGCTCGTATGATTCCACAGTGAGATTATGGGACTTGCGGTAAGCATGGAACCATGTGGGCTTAGGGGTAATATTAAACTGTTCTCGGCAGGGCACCAGCGCGTGCGCCGATTCAAGTACTCGAAGAAGCTCGCGACGCCGTGCAGACCTTACACGTGGATGCAACCACGATAATTGCAGGTTCTGTAGACGGACATGTCCGAACATATGATCTCCGTAAAGGCGAACTACGTTCAGACTTCATAGGGCGTAAGTCCTGTGGATGTTTATTACACGCGTGTTGATCATGTCTCACAGAGCCTGTCACCTCGGCTGTCCCTTCATCTGATGGTACCACACTTCTCGTATCTACGCTTGATTCGCATGTCAGGCTATTCGACACGACCAGTGGTAAGCTTCTTAATGCCTTCACTGGCCACAAGCACACATCGTATCGCTGCCGAGCATGCTTTGGACATGCAGAAGCGACGATTGTTTGTGGAGATGAAGACGGTGCCGTTTGGGCTTGGGACTTGGTTGATGTGAGCATTCAAGTTCACAAATGTCATTACTGTGCTCACGTTTGTTTTAGGCTACAGTTTTGCAACCCAATCCTCCGCCAAAAGTTCATGACAAGGTGATCACTTGGACAGAGCATCACCCAATAGACCCTGGGGAGATGGTTACAGGTAGCGCAGATGGGACTGTGAAAGTCTGGCGACACTCGAGCTAGACTTCCTTTGCTACTTAATAAGCTATCCTTGGGTACGATTGCCCTTTCGTGTGCCAGTGGGATGCAGATCGTGAAACGAAATATTCCATTACTGGATAACGTTCATAGAATGTATCGGAAACTAATAATATTACAAATTTAAAGGTCATTATTATCAATGTGCCGTTCCTTCCACAACAGCCTTCAGTCGCTGTCTCAGCGTGCTGCCTCCATCCTTGCCGTCTTTCCCATCCTTCTGCGACTCTGGCGCTGTCACCGTACTCTGCATTTCTAATTCTGAAAACGAGCTCAACGTTGGCGAGTTGACACTTATGGACGGGGTGCTAGGACTGCCAAAAATGGAGCTCGCGGCAGTCCTATATCCGCTGAACTCCATAGAATCGCGTAAAACGCCCAACTCGCCTGGACCCACAAGTTCGACGGTCTCACTGAGAACAGCAATGCGAGTCCAACGCCGAAAGCGCGTGTACTTTCCCATTCCACCCTTTGAGCTCGCACCCTCCCATTTGTTATCACCGTACAACCAACCCTCAGGGTCTGTGACAGCTTCATCTTCAGACGCGGGATCGAGGAACGGGTCGCTGGAATGTTGTTCGCCGGTCTGTTCGGGCGATTCGGCAGGACCACTGGAGCTCGTGTTCAGGTTGTCGCGGCCGCGTGCGGCGCGTAGCATCCGTGCTGCAGTAGATTCATCAGGTCCGTCTTTATCTCTTGGAGGTGTCTTCTCCACTCGCCAGACACCTTCCTGGCCTTCCTTGCGTATGATAACGCGCCATTCAGGTTCTTCCCACGTCCAGCGCGCTACACGTTTCGCGCGGCCGTTCTTGCCGACAGCGACGTATGCCGTTGTCGAGGAGGGAAGAGGAAAGACTGAGGGTGGGGACAATGGAACTAAGGAGGAGCTACACCATGATGGACGCTCATTGGGAAGCAGGGCAGCTGTCCAATCAAGACCCATCCACCACCGCTGATTCTCGTAGACTGTAAACAGGAAGCGAAGAGGCGGGGAAGGCTTGGGTACATCATCCGCTAATACAGATGCTGGGCGTATCTTGGTAGAAGCTTCTAAGGGAGAGGGCGATGAGGGTGGTGGGAGCGGCACCCCCACGATAAATGCGCATAGCCGGTAAAATGCCCATCGGATATGTGCGCTGCGAGTAATGGATGCTCGAGCATGTTTTGCCCAGTGCGCTCTGTGAATCATGAACAGGGTACCGCATAATGCGATGCAAATACGGAGACCAACGAAAGATGTGAGAACAAGGTATGGCAGATAGATAGATGCGAGTACTCGGAGAACAACAAAGGATGGAGGGAGGGGTGATTCGACGAGGGGTGATGAGGGAAGCAGGGTGCGAATGGTCGTCAGATCAGATACAAGAGCGTGAAGGGCGCTGTCGGTTATTACCGGCGGTGACATTGCCGAAGACGTGTGAGTGGATGATGTCCACTGTCTCAGTGCGAGAACGAATGTGACTGCAAGTGGTAAAAAGAACCTGGCGAACAAAGACGTCCAAATCAGCCGGAATGCGTAGATAGTTGAACCCGCATACCTCAGGGTTGGTTCGGAGAGCAAGCATAACGCCCACCATGTGGCAAGAGCAAGCCAGCTTTCCTCCCATGAAGACTCCCAGCTGATAATCTGTGCGAAGTGCCTTATGGCCTGAATATACGGCGCAAGGGCAACTAGCTCTGAGGTAAGTGGTGTCGGAACGGTAGTCACAAAGTCAATGAGTGTTAGAGGTGACTGCATGACAGGGCTCATAGTAGCCGCTGAGCTCATAGGTGCCGTCAGGGGCATCTGTAGTATCTTTGGTTTAAGATTGAAGTCCTTGGACTTGGGCGACATCAATCAGCAGGTAATTTGGTAGCAATAGACTTCACACGACAGTTGCGGCTACTGTGGTTTCAGTGAGAAAGATCGTTTACTTATAACCTGTTTATGCTGGTCAGTTATACTTCTCGAACAGATATCGGTAACGTACGGTGAACCACAGAACTCACAGCTGCACTGAAGCCTGACGTTTGAGGGAATGAAACGTAGCCCGGCGTTCGGCCTGGCAGCAGGTCATGCTTATTCAAGTGCAAAGTATGATTTCACATCTAAAAGTAGATCGGATTACATAAGTTTTACACGTAAACTTTATCGAACTCTGCAAATAGGGACAAACAACACGACCTGCAAACTCGAGCTTGATCAGTAAAATGGAATCAGCAACGAAGAGGCATGTTCGAACTTTACTGACTCTTTCTGTGGATAGTGCGACTTGCAGTCTGGATATTAGTTTCAATTTCTGCATACTTGCTTCCACTGTTCGATTCATCACCATACATTTGATCAGCGGGACATCCCCATCATCTGTCCTCCTTCGTTGGGATGCGTTCCATTTCGCGCACATAGCAAGAGAAGGATACGTGTATGAACACGAGTGGGCATTCTTCAATGGATTGCCACTGTTGATGCGCATTTCAGCCCACCTGCAGGCCTCTGGCAGGTTTTGGTTCAAACGATTGGGGGACGCTTCTTCGAGGTGGAGCAGGCATGGCCATACTGTGCGAATCAACACACGTGCTATATCACCTATCATTGCATCATCTTTCGCTCACCTTCCCTGGCATTTTTGTCAACTGCACTCTCCGTATTCTCGAGTAGCCCCACTGCGCTTAAATTGGCATCCTACAGCGAACCATTCTTCACATATTTCTCGTATCGGGGCATGCTGGCGTGTGCTCGTTCCAATTGGGCTACAGCATCTATATTCTTTGCATTAGCAAGCATGTTCAGATCCAATGGAATATTCTTGTCCGGATTCATACTATGGGGTATGCTGGTCACGCCCTTTCTGACAGGACAGAAAGATCTAGTAAGCATAGGCATCCGAGTCGTGACATCCGAGTTAACGCATTTATACCAGCTTACTCCTAGGCGTCTGCTCAAATGCGCGTTGTTGACTGCGTTACCTCTGATCCCATTTATCCATCACAATATCATCGCATATCTGCGGTTCTGCAAGTCCTCAACAACACGCATCCCGGATTGGTGTACGAGCAATATGATTCCTTCGATATACTCCCACGTGCAATCCGAATACTGGAACGTTGGCTTCTTGCGATATTGGACTGTCTCCAACATTCCAAACTTCATACTCGCGCTTCCCGCCTTACTTCATGTGTTCGCGTTCTGCTGGTTTTATCTGTCGAACTTACCTTCCATTATTCCTCATATCGCGCCGCGAATCCGCTCAAAGAAGAATGACGACCCTTCCCCTCCTCAGCTTGACTCTCCATTTCTATCTCCGTCTCTACTTACCCCACGTACTTCACGCCTTGGCGCTCACGTCGGTCTTGACGTTCAATGCTCACATTCAGATATCACTCAGGCTTCTCCCGTCTCTCCCACTCACGTACTGGGCTGCCGCTCGTCTCATGCTCGACCTTCCGAAGTGGGGGAAAGCATGGGTCACGTGGAGTGTTTTGTGGGGTGCCTTGAGCTGTGTCCTATGGGCAGTATTTCTCCCCCCTGCTTGAATTTGTATGTCAAAAATTAGTGCGTAGTGGAATAGATGCACATATACCATTGGGAGACAGCAATTTGCTCCAACATAGCATACTTTGTCATAAAATTTAGTGTTACTGCCCGACATCTAATATCGCAGTGCCACATATAACTCGCCACTTCGCTTATTGACACAAGCACCGCGCCCTACACGTTAGTCAGTCTCAAAAGCGGATTGGTCCCTCATGCATCATGTGTAAACGGTCTTCCCTTCCTTGAGTACTTCTGTTCGTTATCAAATAATGTCAGGCCAACTATATAATACCGGATGTACATTATGGTTTATGCAAAGCAAAGTGATATCGATAATACAAACGTGGGATCTAAGCCAGCATGTCATACAACCTCCAAAAAAACGGGAACCTCTTTCTCCTTGTTTCATCATTCGCTTCATCCAAGAGTTCGTCGGCATATTCGTCACTATACAGATCAATCGTTCGGATGTCCACAATGTCGGACGTCCACTTGTGACGAGCTTCTCGGGTTCCAGTGTCATAGGGTATCAAGAGGTCGTCTCATTAGGGGGATCCAGAGGGGTGTTACCTGGAACTGGTGTAGAGTCTATGAAAGTGTTCTTAGCAAGGACCCAGCAGAGGCCCATGACAACCATGATGGGTATCTCGATGTAATAGGAGACAAAATCTACTGGTGAGAATGTGGGGATTATAGAGGACCACCCTTGGACTTCTCAGCTCGTCAGTACTGGGTATGCAAAGGCAGCGGTGTAATAAGCAAAGTACGCACTCAAGATCAGGGCGATCACTGTGATAATCTGGGAGGTCGCATGGGTCAGAGAAGAGGTAGCTAGCAGTATCAATACACGCACAACAAAATAAGGACCCCACTGGCCAGGTCCACGACGCTCGAAACTTCATTTCGTCTAAAGATCGACCCTGCTTTGATCCAGGCTTTCCTGAATCTCCAACTGGCCAATCCAATTGATAACCAGGCGATCTGAATTTTTCTTAGTTTAGGGTTACCACAATTCGCGTATTGATACAGACCTGGTTTGAGACTCCAACGATGTTTTGCAACCATCCCCACAACTTGGCCGCTGCCAATATAACTGCTGCTTAAACAGAGCACGCTAATGCTACTGGTCGCAAGCAGCGCGTACAAAGGAACACCTGCTCGGGTGGTCCGAGAAAATATACGAGGTGCGTGAGGGACGGGGCCAACAACAGATAGGCCATACAGAACTCTTGTCCCCGCGAAAAGAGCGTGGTTACCGGCAGATAATACAGAGGTAAGGATGACGGTATTCATAAATGATGCGGCTACAGCTGTTTGAAATAGCGTAAACACTTAGACGAGGGGTGAGGAGGATGTGCTCACTTGAACCAGCTAGAGTAAATACAATCGTAAAAGGAGATGTAGTGGTCGTTTTATTTGATAGATTCGGGTAATCCCATGGTACTAATCGAAACAGTTAGGTGTGTAGCGATGTGAGCGAAGAGAACCCCACCGTTCAGGCCGATGAGCAGGATGCTCAAGATATAGAATAACAGAATTCTAATCTCACCGCTCGCACATCAATAATCTATATAAAAGTCCGAATATTATACTTGCCTCCAGAACACAAACTTGACAACTTTGGCATGTTTTGTGAAGGGTTTTTTGTCTCTCCTGCGGTGATACCTAGACTTTCTGTTCCACCGTCTACAGACTGATCAGGTGATTATGTTCACAATTAGCAATGCAACTCACATGCGAAACTAGCTGTCACGAAAACCTTGGCAAAGCCACCAAAGCCACCAACGAACGGAGCGCCAGGAATGTACCAATTCTGTGTTCCGATGTAGGTATGCGACTCGTTGACGCCGACATTGACGAGGATGCCAACGATAATGAAGATCACGATGGTAGCGACCTTCAGGAATGAAAGCCAATACTCTACCGCAAGAAATTAATCCCATTTTGGAAAGAAAAAGGAGATCTATGCTACTGACCCAATTCTCCATAAGCTTTGACGTGAGAGGCGTTGATTGATACAAGGAACACCCAAAAGAGCAGGCTAACCACCCAAGGATATGACGTCGTCCAGAATTGTAACACCAGCTGGGCAGCAGTAAGATCAGAGGCAACAGACACTGCATCATTGAACCAATAGTTCCACGACAGCGCGAAACCATAAGAAGGCGAAAAAAAGCGCGTCGCATAGGCAGTTAAACGACCCTTGCAAAGATAGAAATGGTCAGCGCGCTGCTTAAGATACGAAAAAAGAGGTCACACCGGCCACTGGGTACTGTGTAGCCATCTCCCCTAACAGCAACAAGCGTCACGTATACAATGAATCCCACTATGCCATAGCAAATCAGTATGCTGGCAGGACCACCTTGAGCAAGGGATCTTCCGGTTCCTAGGAAGAGTCCAGTTCCAATGGTACCAGCAATTGCAATCATTTGTACTTGTCGTGCAGACAGGCCACGATGTAGACCTCCGCGCACCGGCTGAGGGAATGGCGCTTCCGCATCATTTATATTGGCATGCTGTTCGCGTCCAGAACTGTCCCCGGGACTCTTAGCTGAGGACTTGATCCGCGGGGAGGAGGAAGATGCTGAACGACTCATAACCAAGGAGCTCAATGCTTCACACAATGAACGTGAAGGAGAAGTCGGAAATAGACACGTAATTGCGGTGCTCGAACCCATTTCATTTCGTCACCTTCTGGCGTGGCGCACGGAATTCTGGCGCCATCGCGCGCGACGTCTTGTGGCTAATATATTAGGTCAGCTTGGTTATATAGGTGTTGTACTTACTAGTAGCCGAGTCACTGCGAAAATGATCCTAGTCTATTCCGAGGCGAGACCTATAGACCTCTTAATGTTGCAGTAATTCCGACCTAAAGTCTACGACTTGGTACAACTTTCAAAAAAGATCCTGGGAATTCGAAGGCAACTTGCAATTGTAAAAAAACCCTTGCGCTCTCGAATTTCCATAGTATCTACACCTTGCAAATAGCACCTAATACCGGTACGCCCTGGCTAAGTCGCCCAGGATATTCGTTTCATCATGGCCTTCGGATTATGCTAGAGTTGGTTTCAGGTGAGTTCGTCGAAAATTTCGCTCAAGTCCCTTAAGACGAGCCATGAACAGTATCAAACTTGAACTCCCTGCGCAAATTCAAGCATTGAATCAGTTCGTCCGAAACCAGTACACCTGCGAAGTTCTCAAATGAGCCTTTTTCGATCTAGACGGGTAGAAAATGACGTACTGGCTGCCCCCAAATGCAAAAATGCTGTGTTGTCGGAAATTTGGAATATCAAAGGTGGGCCCCTATTTTCTTTTTTATACTCGGTATGCCTTAAGCTCTATTATCTCCTTTGCCTTTGCCTCAATGACCGCCAAGTCTGAAGTTTTCAATGACAGGAAGTCTGTTATTGACTCGCCTCCTACATACGATAACATTTATGCATCTGCATCAGCAGAGTTTGTCAAATGCCCTGATACCCAACCATCTCTATTTTCCTTCTTCCTACGAAACAATAATAAAAGGACAATGGTTCTATCTCGCGTCCGTGATATCGTCTCAACTACAGATTTTATTTCTTCCTCTGTTTCCCCAATTGTTGAGGCCTGTGCTGCTGCCCTCTCACCTGGAGAATTCTCCGACCTGTTGCAAAAACCCGATATCGAAGGTCACACGGCAATATATTGGGCGATTGTGAATCACCGGCAGAGAAGCCATTTCGGCATTTGCTGCATTCATCCCCCGATTCTCGTCTGTTTGCTCTTCCGACTGTACGTCTCGCATGTATGTCCTATCAGCGACCTACTGCGTGTTTGCGCAGCTGAATTCGGCACGCACCAGTGCTATAAATCGCAAGTGCGTGGCAATACTTACCACATTCATTTACTTATTTTGCACTAATCAGTCAAGGACGAGTCCTTGAGATACTTTCTGAACTGTCCACCAGATGAGGTTCAGGTCCAGGATACAGGGGATAGAAAGTTCAACAGCCAGTTCGTCGCTCATTTCTGCATCAGGATGTTCCAGAAACGCCTGCGCGTGTCACAGAAATTGGGCATAGAATTTGTTGCAAGTGGTATGTTCATGTCTCAGCGTTTCCTCAAGGCCACACACTGATGTATCAGTCCTCGCAGAGCGTATATGGCTGCTGTAATTCAATTTGTTGCCAGAGGGGGACTTGCACGTCGGGTTGAGTCTTGCTGAGCATTACTTGCCAGCGAAACCGGAAATGGTGCTTGTGATCAAGGCCCATAGTGGCCGTGCAACTCCATCTCAAGATATGCGAGTGGCGTATACTACTGCTAATAGTAAAGGGCGTTCGCTTGTGCATAAGGAGTAGGTTCCAAACCAGCTGACTCGCTCGGATCCAAAGCATACTAATTCTTCTTGTCCTGTCGGCTACGCAGTGCACCATGCAAATTTCTATCAAATGTCATTGAATCTAGTTGGGACGTTGAGGACTTGGCTGATGAATGCGTAAGTATTCGTCTTCCCTTGTGAACACATGTTTTTGTGAGCAGGGATTTTTTCAACATCATACGGTTGCTCTCCAGTCAACAATTTGAATTGACTTGTTCTTGTAGGAATACTATGTATGTGGACTGTGATGGCACCCTACATAGGGAAGGTGGAGATAACTTTGACATAGCTTTGGGATCGATTTTCTATGGAGCGGTCCACTTCGTACATTTTTACCATACTCGGTTCTGATTCTTTGCAGTATGCGGTTATTCAAATACATGTTGCTCCTAGTGCGTTATAAAACGGGTATAACTTGAAGCTGAATGTGTATGATCTCATGTTCCTGCTATTCAAACAAAAACGAATGGCGAGAAGTGCATGGATGAATTTGGGCCAGCCCGCATGTAAGGCTGCGCGTCCGTATAGTGGCCATGCTTGCGCGTGACAACCTGTAGATGGAATTAACTTATAGTGGTCAGGAGAAGTCGTGCAATCAAGTGTACCGAGAGGGTAGGTTGCCAGTCAATGATGCCTGCAGGAAAAAAACTGCTTCTCCCTCAGGATGAATTTACGATATTACCGCAGCCATCAAGCCAATGATTCGTTGCATTCATGTGGTCACCTATCAGTACAACATCAATGCGAGAAGAGACTGGTAGGACGAGAAATAGAATCAGCCGCAACTGGGCGAAACACATTACAAGTGACCACCGCGCTACTCCTGAAACAATAACTTGCATGCGGGACATCACGTATCTACAGCAAGCCTGACATGTGGATTCAGGGATAGTATTCTGTAGGAGATGCAACTTAGTGCCTACGTCGCCTTAGTGCGCGCAAGTGACCACTCCCTCTTCGACGCTCCTGCTGACTGAGACATCGAAAAAGATTGAATGGCGGCTATCACTGGCACTTACAAAGTAGCGTCCCAAGCGCTAACTCAAAAGGAAATGCCTCAGACTCGAACTGACGCTTAGGGTCATGAGAAATTGGTGAACGAGGTGGTTTTCATCCGTGATACCCGTCTCCTCAGTTACTCGCTCCCACGACAAGAGCTGGATTCTGGACTTGCGGAAACAAGTGGGCAGCGGAGCAGTTCAAGAAATGTAGCTTGAATCCGAGGTTCTGAAGAAGCGCACGCACGTGACATTCAAATTCATCCATGTACTTACCGCCATTCGTATACGTGGGATCTCTTTTACAACGCTGACGCGCAACGTCTGTAGCATACAATCTTCGGCAATCCAACGAGTCCGAATTGCCCTTGCCCTGTACAATTATTTTAAGGTAATAGTAACTTCCAAGGGCAACGTGGTTGGTACTGACAACCTCATGTACAACCATGCACGTGCAGTGTATCTCGTTCCGATATGGGGGATCGATCTCAATCCTCTGAACGCCCGGCATTACCAGACCCAGCGACACCCAAGCCTTCGTTACCACCCGGTATGGTGCTTGGTCCGGACGGAAAACCTTGCAAAATATGTACGGCGTTTCGTAATTGGAGGCCCGCCGCTTCGGGCACTACCAGTTCGAGCAAGAAATCTACCGCAGGAATGATGGCTGCCTTTGCATCTGGAACAGGCTTCCGATCCCCCGATCCTAAGCCAGAAAATGCAACCCTGCCCCCACACTGTCCGCCGGATGTCGAAGCCCTTGGACGTGCCACGTGGTCATTTTTGCATGTGACTGCAGCATACTACCCAGTACGGCCCACTACCCACCAACGTGCAAATATGCTAAATCTCATCCATGCGCTACCCGCCCTGTATCCATGCACACACTGCGCGGCGGACTTTGGCGAAAAAATGAAGGAGCATCCCCCAGACGTGAGCAGTCGGGAGAGGTTGAGCAAATGGTTCTGTGAGCGTCATAACGAGGTGAACGAGAGGCTAGGCAAGGAAATGTTTGATTGCGCAAAGGTTGATGAGAGATGGAAGGATGGTCCACCCGACGGCAGCTGCGACTAGACCGTCTGCAGTATGTTCGTGCAGGTGGGTTTGCATCTTAATCATTCCTCAGGAAACACATAAATTCATCAACAAGTACGGACTACAATCTCCCAATAATACCACTCATGGAAAAAAAACATAGTCTTGTTCCGGGTCGAAGATTTGATCACCACCCGACAAGGGGACCATACAGAGGCATGAGTCTCAAAGCTGTTCGCAGCTGCACCGACGTAAATGGTATGCAACACGCCTGATAAGCGATGGGGACTCGGTCCTTTGAATATGAGGTAGACCTCGCGCACTGCATGAGGCAGCAACGTGTGGGTGCAGACTGTTGAGTCTTTCTTTAACCTTCAACTAACCCGACCCACACTTACCTGTCTTTGTCGTGTTGGATTTGAGAATCTTGGTATGTTTCATTCCCTACAATTTTTTTCTTCGAAGTATTTGACTGTCGTCGGCATAATTCAGCAACTTGAGCTCAGTGTCTAGATCGATACCAAAAGCAAGAGGGTTGTGCATATGTCGGTGCGTGTTTTGAGCACAGCACGCAATCTCGAGTGTTCACTAGATGATAGATGTTCAACGTACTCGTCGTTGGCCAAACTGGATGTGGGAAGAGCTCGGTCGTGAACATACTCGCTGGAGAAAGCCGGGCACCCACGTCAGACGACCTTGGTCACTGCACCAAACACTGGACTGAGTATGCAATTCCGGTCGACGGTCGTTCATTCCAGGTCTTTGATACCATCGGTTTTCTCGAACCTGGGCTGGATACAGAGGGTTACACGAATGCTATCGCTGATACATACCTCGCGATCGATGTCCTAAGGAAAAGAGGCGGCATTGATCTACTCCTTTATTGCGTACGCGACGGAGAGATCGAGAAGATGAAGGGTCACTATAGGTTGCTCCATGAAGTGTTTTGTGAAGAAGAAGTTCCAGTTGCTCTTGTCGTCACAAACCGTGGCGTAAACCACAAAAGCTACAAGGCAATATTCCGCTCGCACAAAATCGCTTATATGGACTACGCCTGCGCAAACATAACTAGCACGCCTGTACCTGGTAGTTCAGCTGCGGACACCGAATCGCAGAAGGCGATCAAGGAACTGCTAGTGAAATGTTGCGATGCAAGACCTAATCCCAGGTCCACGCTGCAACAGTTATGGCGGCGAGTTCAGAAACTCGTTGGGACAGACCAGTCTCAATCTCTCAAACGAAATGAAGTATCCACGCTGCTCACACGGCGTTGCAAGATGCAACAGGCGGTGGTCGAGCAATTGCTCACATCCTTAAACCTCCAAGTCGCCGTCAAGTCGGCTTTATCGAGCACCCTACGCAGGCGGTAAATGTTGGTTTTCTGTATCCTATAGTGTCACATCGACTAATTGGCGATTGCAGCTGCAACTCACGAGTTACCTCCGTCAGAGAATAGTGCTGGTACTCAAGATGAACAAGTGTCAGATGCCAGGCCAAGGTAAGCCTGCCAATTGTTTGACGAGACTTGAACTTGAGCGTATTGTGTATTCCTTCTTTTCAGCTCTGGATCTCAATTGCATTCTGTTGTGGATAGTACCTCTCTGCATTCTCGCTCAGACAACTGATGTCGTTACCGAGCACCAATCCTTCGAGTATCAAGAACATATATGTGTATTTATGAGATGAGATGAACCAAATGCTTCGGCTATACCATATGCTTCCCTCCTACATGCTATCAGAATCTAGAAACAACGCACTGACGCCATAAGACGTTCCAGGACAACTTAAATGCTTTAACTCAATATACACCGCGTGGACGAACTATTGATTTGACTACATTAATGCCCTTACAAGGGCATAGGATTATCGATAATAAGATGGTGTAGACATCGGACTAGCAGTTTGTAAAATCGCACAGCTCTGTATGATCCGTGCAAGGTGGGGTTTGAAACGCTATGGGTTGAGAAACTACTCCCAAGCTAGTCAGCTCGTCTGCCACAGTATTCTGCAAGTCGGACATTGCTCGTAAATTGAACAGGATGCGTGAGGCGAGAACGCTATGCGTGACTAGCTGTGGGCTTCTCCGACTCAGCTTTAAACACGAAGTAAGTAATAACACGGTTTACCCAGCAAGAAGCCCAGTGTAGGATGGCTGGATGCCCGGATCAGAAGCTTATAATGGCGATATAAAAACAACTTGCTCACAGGTAGTAAAATGATGGAAATGCAATTTGCCATCGAGACCACTGCGAAAAGTAAGGCCACATTACACACAAAAGCCTTCGAAACTCACAAGTAATACATAATATATAAACTACGCCATCCCGATACAAAGTAATCACCAACGGACTGCCTTCCAACCGGAAAGATTTGCAGCGTTTGTACAGTGTCAGCGCCATTAGCACTGTGGAGGATCATGCGGTAGCTGTGCAGAAACATTGCAATGCTACGTACCCAGTTCAACCAACATCAACAGACCATAAACAATGCTAGAGTTACGTCCTCCCTCAAATACGCCAGTCGAATCTGAGGAAATGGTGTGAGCAGAAGAAATTCGGGACAAAGATACAGACCTCCGGATTCACTTGCACTAACATCTGAGATTACCAGTACCACTACTGAGACAACCTGAAGGAACGGTTGATTTTTTCAGTCAAAAACAAATGGCTCAGGAGAAGGAGACTAAAGTCACCGTGGTAAATGTCAATGTCAAAATCAAGAACCTCTTGTCGCATCCCCAAACCACATATGTCCTTAACACAAGCAGGACTTTGAATAAAAGAAGTCATTAGAAAGGAAACAACTTGACTTAGGGCTGATACTCACGCTCAGAAGCAGCTATACCCAGCCAACGGACGCCTAGAAAATGATTGAGGATCGGATTTCAAGCGACGTTCTTATTATACACAACCATCATATACATCAGTGGATGTTCCATGATTAGGCTGAAATATCGTCGTGAGTATTTTTAATGTCATATCGCGAAGAGCTTACAATTCCTCCATGAGTGGACCCGACCGAGTCTATCCACAGGACCTCAGTGAAGAGCGAGGGTAGACAGAAGGTCACAAATACTCACAGTATACGGTCATAGCAAGGCCAACGAATGGCAGATAACGAGAAACGATGAAGATTATCCTCGTGATCCCCCACTCTCTTCCCCATGTCCAACGAACCTGGAATCTTGTCAACTTTACATAGCGCCATTGAAAATAACCGACCTCTGAGTCAAAAGTGATGATGAAGTCAAAAAGCTGCAAAGAGAAATCAGTAGTTATGATCGTCTTCCGTTTGGTCCTACTTACTAAAACTGCTATAGATGCAACTATTACGAGGAAGGATTCAATTTTGCCAACAGAAAAAGGAAAATATAGACTACCTGCAGTATACTGAATTCAAATGAGCAAATAAAATCAACAAGTGAGGAGTACGCACTGCGACAGTCTGAAAACCAACGGAATCGGGAAAATAGTCATTCATAATGTTGAGCTGAGGTTAGTAGGTAACTAAATTGAAATTCAAGAGGGGATTGGACAGTCGTTCCATCAAGGTTGGCGTATTGGGCAGAATCCTAGTAGTGACTCTGAGGCTCTCTTCCGCAGCAGTTGAACTCTTGAACACGGCAGCCGATTTGACCATCATACGTAACTACAGCCCTTTGCATAATAGTCTATTAGCCAACCGAACTGCACTGCTGACTCGGATATGTTGAGTCGTACAAACAACCGCACATGTGTTCTCGCGGCTTGCCGCATCGGCAAACGAAGGACTGTAGAGCGCCGATGCATGACCGAGGAATCCATCTCCATGAGTAGCGCAACAGTTGCAACCACTTGTGTGTGATTGCAAGATTTCAAAGGGTACGAAAAAGAATAACATATGATAGAGACTTCATGACTCAAGCTTCCATATTGTGTATTTCGGTAAGGCGATCTTGAATTTCATGGAGAAACATGGTGGGATTGGCACTGATAAGCATTTGACGGTATGCGAAGTAGTGCGACAAATGGTCAGCAAGCGCAATCGCAGCACAGTTATCGCCAGGGGCTGACGATTCAATTCGGCACATAATAACCAGTACTTACTGCTATGCTATTGATATACTAGCATCAGGACCCAAGACCGTCAGCACCGGGAATCCGAAATTGCCCGGTGATATGTAAGGACATCGTCATGATGCCAAACAGTACGCATCGATGCGCGTGTGGACGATTGCCCAATTGTAATCATATCTGTTACCAACTTCCTGTTATATCAGTGTACCTACAACAAGTGTCAAGTGCATGTGTACGTATCTTATGGGATTAGCAATGAGATGGCCAGGCTCGGGAGGAGTAGGCCTCCCTTCTTGTTTTCGGCTTAATTACAAGATTTCCTTGTAAGGGGGTTGCTTGTGATGCCCGCCTCGAAGGACGCCAACCTAGAGCATAAACACGGTATATTATAGGGTAACAGAGCCCACCTTGCTATGTGCTTGTCATTCTGGTATTGGTTCGTGTACTGCTGTTCGTAGAGCATCACAAATATGAGGCATAAATTAGGGACGCTGTGAGGGAAGATGAAAGGGTGCAGGACAAAGAATTAGCCTGAGAACGTGATGAATAGTTGGCCTCTGGCGTCCGCTTGAAGGAAATTAGAGGATCCGGGTATGCATAAATATCTTGAATGCGCAAACGACGACTGCTTAGAGATCTCTGGTTTTTGGAAAAATACATACAGCCACAATATTTCAAGGTTCTTGAAGTCTATCATGTAGACAGATTGACTTGGAAAATGACACTGTGATCCGATGTGATCCTCTTGTCTTCTCCGCCACGCTACTGCGCTGAACTGTCTTAATGCGATCCATCGATCGCAACTGCTCATGAGAGTTTCCAAATTATGTTCTGCAGGGATGCGGTAGGTATCTCCAACACGCGATAATCGATTGTATGGAGATTGCGGATTTTTTGAGGTGCAGGAAGTACTGGTGCAAACGCGACTCCCCGATGACGAAGATATCGAGGATACCGTCAGCTCTCAACGACAGGCAGAGTTTACACATGAGATTATCGCAAACGCCTGAAGAGTTGCAACGTTGAGGACGGATCACATTAACTAGTCTCCGACAGACGAGCAAGTTGACAACGAGCCAACAACATATGGTACTTCGGCCGCATCCTGATCATGAACTTCAAAGTTGGAAAAATTGGTCGTGGCAAGTGTGTCCGCCAAGCCGCACTTTGTGCACAAGCATTTTAAACTCCGCTCGAACCATACTCAGATCTCAGATCGTGCCAAATTAAACAGCACTGCGTGATAATTGCGTTACCAATGTCTTTCGTTCTATCATTGTATCAATGTCATAGTGCATACGTATCTGTCTTATCTTTGTGTGGGCAACCTTGCTTCCCAGGGATTCAGAGGCCGTTCTTGTTTACCTGCTGGATCATCTCCTTGTAGAAGGTTGCTTACAATGCCCGCCTCGAAGAACGCGAACCCTATCCTCAAGCCCGGCAAGAAGTCTGCGGAGCCCAACCATGTGCTTGTTATCCACGGTGGTGCTGGTACCATGGCACGGGAGGGCTCAACACCTGAACAACGCGCTACGTACAGGGCTGCACTCTCACGGGCATTGAAAGCGGGCTATGAGGTGCTCAAGAGCGGAGGAGAGGCCATGGATGCTGCGGTCGAGGCTGTATCAGTCATGGAAGGTAGGATAAACAAGTATTCGGGCGGTCGATAACTAACTTCTACATGTGATTTATAGACTGCCCGTTGTTTAACTCTGGGCATGGCGCGGTCTTTAATGTTGCAGGCAAGGTACGTTTCCTTACCTATGATTGAGGGCCCTTGTGTACATCATACTATCTAGATTGAGCTCGAGACTTCTCTGATGGTCTCCAAGCCTCCTGCATCACATCCCGCAATGCCCTCCTCCCGGCGCGGATCCTCGGTTACGTTAATCACTCACACCAGAAATCCTTCTCACCTCGCACGCGCGCTCTACCTCGCGCCCCAGCTTGCCCCTCACCCAATGTTGTCGGGTGCAGCAGCAGAAGCCACAGGTGATTCACTTGGCGTACGTCAGGTTGATCCATCCTACTTCTGGACTGAGGCACGGTGGAGAGAACATAGACGTGGTCTTGGTTTACCTGAAGATCCCGTTGAATACCCCAGACCTGAAATACCCGACGACACAAATTCAGAAACTACGGATGTCGCCAGCCTTTCTGATAACAAGGATAAAGAGACATGGGAGTCTCTTGATCTGATGCCAACGGGTACTGTTGGTGCAGTCGCACTTGATATCCGGGGCTGCATTGCGGCAGTAACCTCCACTGGGGGACGTACGAACAAGCTTGTCGGTCGAGTTGGAGATACCCCCGTAATGGGATGTGGTTTTTGGGCTGAAGAATGGGAGAGGGACGGTGGACTTGTGAAGCGTACCTGGGATCGCCTAAGAGGCAGATCAAAATATCAGGGTGTTGGTGTTTCTGGTACTGGTGACGGAGACGTGAGAAACAGTTTCGCAGATGTTCACTTTGCAAGTGCTAACCATACACTTTAGTATTACATTCGCCGTGCTGCAGCTTCCAACATTGCTCGGCGGATGCAATACCTTGGCGAGTCCCTGGACGAGGCAACCCAGAATGTCATTGATGACCTGTTCAAGGAAGGAGGAATAGGTGGTGTCATTGCACTGGACAGAGACGGAAACGGTACGTTTATGTTCTCGTGTGAAACTGTACACTGACTCGAACTCTGGGTGTACTAGTGGCTCTTCCACTGAACTGCAGTGGCATGTATCGCGGCGTTATTCGTCCTGATGGCGTACCTCTCACGGCTATTTTCTTTGATGAACAACTTACTGAACTCTAAGCTGGGTAAACAACCTGTACTTGAGTGTACATTCATCGCTAGTTTGATGGGACTTGGCAACGTACATCTCCGTGCAGACGCATTCATGTGAGACTAGTTGATAATTAGGTCACTTGGAAGGTAGACAATAGTGAATTTAGAATTCGCAAATCGTCCAACCTCGTCATACAATTTAGAAGAACATGATCTTGTGGAACTGGAGAACAGTCGATGGACAACACATGTGGTTGTGTAGCCTTTCGCCTGGCAGAGAGACAAGTCACTTTGCCGGAGTGGTTAACGGGATCGCCTGCTATACACAGCTAAGCGGTTGGGCTTTGCCCGCGAGTGTTCGAATCGCTCAGGTGACGCTTTTTTGGTACATTTTTGCAATCGAGTGTTCCCACGGGGTCTAACATGGACGCGACCAGTTATTCTACTTACCGCAAGTCTGCACAAAGTGTGAATGTTTGAACGCTGACGATGAGCGCGAACAAATATGCAAATCTCCCCGACATTGTGCGTATTATAGCTGCTATTCGGACTATAGTATCTCTACTTATTGTTCGATGACAGGACACTGCACCAGATGTCTACGAAACGGAAGACGTGTTTCCCTCATCTGAGACCAACGTAAGTGCTCCTCGTGTTGATATGATGTTACCCACGAACAACTGATCTTCGTCAGAGAGGAGATTCTGATTCTGACGAACCCTCAGGTCCGCGGGTACGCCCCCAGCGGGGTGCGGATGTCTCGAAAGAAGAACTCGATAACAGCAACTTGATCAGCGCGGGAGATGCGAGCAGACACTTTCGGAGAGCCGAACGACGTCGTGCGTTGTATTCCGTTAAACATGTATACATTGTATCTGGTCACTAACATCTGGCCATACATCAGGCCAGGAATCACGCTTTGCATACCCCCCAGTCACCGACATCCTCCCCATCACGTTCGCCATCACCGAGTAGGCGACCTCTCCCTGCGCGCCTACGAGCACTACAAGCTGAGCTTGCTGCTTTGGAGGGTGAGGTTGCAGACCCGTCCAATCCTGCCCTTAAAGCCGAGGGTGTCGATGCTGGTGAGATGATAAGAGGATTAGTAGACGTGCGCAGACGGTTAGAGAAAGTCAGAATGGGGCGTGAGGGTAGAGGGAGATTAGTTGGTGTTGTGCTTGGCGATGGCGGCAGGGAAGACGATGAAGAAGACGTAGGAGCAGCCCAGTGCGGATGACAAGGCAAAGGAGTCGAAAGTGCAGGGAGTACCGGAAGTTCGGGGCGTCGCTGAAATGGATAAACGAGTCGGGGGAACTAGAGAAACTAGTGGGCTCTGTGGGCGCGACTTTGGATGAGGTATGTATTTCTCGACGCCAAGGGGCAGGGCGCTAACCAGTTTTCAGTCTACGCCGATTACTCCACCCCTTCTTCCCATGCTCACGCGCTTGAACTCACAACTGATGCTTTTGACTCAACCGCGGCATATCGACTCCATTTCCCGTCGATTGAAACTTCTGTTGTCCGACCTTGAGCGAGTATCTACTGCGCAGGCGCAAAAGCGTCAATCGCCTGGGAGTACAACAATAATTCCTGGTACTGCAACCCAGGATGCACTCCTCCCGCTGTTAACACGTCTGGCTCCTTCACTTCCTCACATCCCACATATATTAACTCGTTTGCGTACCCTCTCTGCGCTGCATGCTTCTGCGGGTGAGTTTCAAGCAACGATGGTGGCGCTCGAAGAAGAGCAGCGCAAGACAAGGGACGCTCTGGAAGCTCTCAAAATTGCCATCGGAGACGTAGAGGTCAGCTTAGAAGCTAACAAGGGAACAGTCGCAGGAAATGTGCAAGGTCTGGAGGACAGAGTAGATAGAGTTTTGACTCGACTCGAGGAGCTCTCAAAGTAAGTAGCAGCAGGCAATTATAATGATACCATTAATGCGATGATGATGAATGCGAATAAAATACAATCATCCTATGCAGCTTCTTTTCAATCACTCCAAATCAGTAACTCCACTTTCAGCGAGATACTCTCTGGCATGCTGCTTGGCCGCAGCTGAAACGTTTGGATCTGGAGACACACACGATTAGAAGGTGCTGTGTGATACGGGAACGGATCTTACTATGGATGGCTGCCTTGTATCCAGCAAGGACACGGTGCTGGTGTTCCTCTTCTGAATGTGATTCGAGCTTGTGCTGGATATCAGCAGCCTCCAACACTTCTCTGGCGTGTTGCTTGGCTTCCTCCGAAACATTTGGATCTGCACAAATCAGAAAGACGGTGCACCCTTGCAAGTAACCGACGTACTGGAAGTTGCTGCCTTATAGCCCCGAAGAACACTCTTCTCATGTGCCTCGGCCGCTGTCGACTGAGTAGCCTTTGCCTGCGCTGGCATAATGGGGTCTACTGACTGGCCCATCTCTTCAAGGCGTTTCAAGGCGTTCTCCTTGGCGTCCTCCGATACATTAGGGTTATGAACAGCTGCTTTCAGGCCGGCAACAACGCGCGCTGTGTCTTTGGTGTGTTCTGTGGTTCCTGAGACACAACGAACTTGTGAGTATCGTAAGGAGACAACTGAAAATGCGAAAAGACCGTACCAGACATGATTGTGTTTGTTGGAGAAGTCAGGGGACTGAATTGCGAATGTCATGCCCCTAGGACGCCTTATATACGGCGCGTTTTCATGGACTGACGTCGGTATGATATCACGTTCACGTGCACGTCGGTGTGCGTGAGTATAATTTTTTTTACCGGATTTCCTTACATAATAATAAAACATTGCCGTCGTTGCCGCCTAATGAGCGGGCGAGTCGCGGTACAGCCGCCGTGTCGCAACCCGCGCTGACTAAGCGTCTCCCTCATAACCATGACTCAGTTGCACAGCCACCAAATCCCGCTGGTAGGAACTATAATCGTCGTCGACGATCCCACAGTTGTTAGTGTGCCTATTTGATTCATAAGGTCCGTTCATCAATATGTCCCCTCTTCAATTGCACCCCAGAGTCAAGTACTACCCGCTTCTCAAATGCTGCTCAGCCGCGCTAGGCGGTCATATGACAGTGGGCCCCCGACCCCGCCATCACCGACTTTTGGCGCTGATGACGGCGATGACGAGCAAAACGACAGCAGTTGTCTAAAGCGCAGGCATAGTGATCACCACAGGTCTGCATCCTCTAGTGATGCAACACCGCGTCCGAAACCATCCGTTTTCCGCTCGGGTCCCTTCTTAGCCCTGCCCACTTTTCACCACGAGCATGATCGCCGCCGGCAGCAGCATGAAGCATTACTTGATAATCGCTCTGATTTTGATGGTTCTGCACCGCATGCACGTCACGATCTGAACATTAATATCCTTAGCTCCGATCCGTTCCTCGCCGCGCCTCCGCAACAATCATCAAGACGACTGGGCTTCTTTACTGCGTCGAACAGTATCAGCAACCCCAGGAATACAAGTCCATCTCCTTCGCAGCATCTCAAGCACAGCGACCTGTCGCATTATTATCCTCGCGCTGAAGCTGCAGCCTCCCAGTCCTCGATAATGGCTTCTGTCGCATCTTCGAATACCCTCAAATCACATACATCTCCCTCGAAAGTATGCCTCCCATTCATCACGCAATCCAATATTTGACGTTCGCTACCTTAGCCCTCCTCTACCCGGACTTACGATGCGAAGCTTGTTTCACGAGAAATGCACCGCCTCGGGACTCTCGCAGGTCTTAATCCCAGCATTGCCCCCTCTCTATCCACAGGTCCTGTTGCTCCCCCTCTTACACTCACACCATCAACCTCGCCGTCCAGCAGTGGTATTGTAGGTACTCCTACGCTTCATTCCAGCGCGTCAAGTGTGGGTATAACAGACAAGGACAATCCCTGGCGCACACTACATGTGCATGTCCTCCCCCTTTTCAATGAGGAGCCATTACGTGTACCCATGTACGTTCGTTGCGCGATCACCTATTCTGCAGAGTTTAAGTATACACAGAGAAGATCTCAACGCCCTTGTACGGCGGCATATCCAAACGGTGCTAGCTGTGTCCCCTTCGAAAACCCTGGCAACTCTCGAAACGGACGCGCGCGAGCTCATCGCAGCAGGCATGGTCACTCTCAACGCCAAGCTCTCTAATATTTCAGACGAAATATTACTGGGCCGTGTCATTGAGATCTGGGCCTTTTTCTGGGACCAAATACTCCCGTATATCGAAGGGGTTAGTTGTCTTTCCCAATAATGCCTCGTGCTTCTGTTCTAAGATCATCTTTTAGGTCCTATTACCATTGCAAACAGATTCCTTACTGACCTCACTACATCGTACTCAAAAACAACATCGGTCCTCCTCGCCCACGCGACAAGGCAGTAAACTAAGTGGTTCATCAGCGCTATCTTCGTTATATCCGACCATTGACGTTCGCAGCGTTGCCTTATGTGCGTTCCGCGATCGCGTCGTGCTTCCTATCCATGGTCGTCTACAGAATTTGCTGTCCGCTCCTTTTGGGAAAGACATGCTCGCACGGTTAAGTCCCTTCCGCCAACCGAGATTGCAGCAGATGTGTGTGCCCTATTAAATTTTAAATCTAACTCCTCGTGACGCCTTCGCTAGGTTACTGGTCCTTACATCTGAGCGGCGCGTCCGTTCACCCTCTCCACCCCTTTCACTACACACACCTGTTATCCAGCCTTCGGCAGGCGAGGCAGCAATCGAGTCTCTACTCCGGCTGGTCTCGAACCCACAGCGGCTTTCGCATGGACATGGTCTAGCGCCTCGGGCAGCCACGCCCAGTTTCCTGTCAGCTGGGCGCCCACGTGATCGACGAGGGCGAATTGGCTCCTCCGGGGCGGCGAGTGTACTTGGGATTGTTGGCGGGTGGGCAACGATGCCCGCACTGACGGATGAACGGGAGGAAGAAGAAGAGGGTGGGGAGACTCCAAAAATTGGGGGGATCGATAAAGGGCTGGCGAAGCCGTACCACCAGCGTGGGGGTGGGTGGGGTCTTGGAGCTGGGAACGAAGACATTATCAGGCCAGTTGAGGAAGACGACGACGATGAAGCGTTAGACTGGGATCAAGCTCAGGTTAGTTGGAGCTATCCAGCTGAAGCGATCTCAAATTGATGGTTTTAGGCTGTGGTCGAGAGGATGGTAGGGATAAAACCCATTGAAGCCGTTGCTGATTCGCGCAGAAGGGCAACTTAGCTGATATAACTGATGGATGGTGTTGATTATCTGTGTAATTGATACTGTACCTTGCCACGGGTATGACCGCTTCTCGGATTTTGTGTTTCTATTTGCTCCAAAGCTGATATTCCGCATGAAGAACACCTAGAAAGGAGTACTAGTTGGACCTTCATCGACACGACACGACACGACAGTCCGGAGTTTAGTCGGCTGTTCCGGTCAATCTTAGGATTGTTGTGTCGATGAAGGTCCATATCAGCAACATCCGCTCGCTCTCAAACATAGTGGCCAGTGGTACAAAAGATGTTAGTTACTGTTGATATCTGTGCACTCCTCGAGAGGATGAATTGCGAGGAAGCGATTCCTTCATTGATGAAAGGCGACAAACCTTCACCGGTCACCAACCGATATCGTGACTACGAACCCATCTTCCTCGTTCAGTATCATCATGGTGCCGCCAGTGCTAATCACGAAAGCCTCCCTCGAACTACTTTCAAAGGCATCCTCGTATGCCGTCATGTCCTCTATAACTTTGTTGTCAACTCACTTCCAAACTCAACTGATGAAGTTACTGAAGTTATTGAGAGTCACGTGAAGGAAATTCGCCGTCACCTTGCGGAGTAACCGGGAGTATCTCCTAACATCGACGTGGGTCGGGTCGGACAGATATCAGCGAAATTATCCCGGAACCACTACAAGATGAGAGGTCAAGGGGAGGCCTACATCAGACGGGAGCTATTAAATGCTTGGATTGCATTGAAGCAGAAGGAAATTGGAAGAACAATCTCCGCTGACGACGAGCTTCCAAGACTCTAATATGTCTTTCGTCATTGGCATGTCCCCTGGAATGACTTTAGCCTTGTGACATTTCTGATCAAGGCTGTGCTGGTACTTGATGTAGCCATGGTGTTCGTAACCTTTGCAAATGACCCAACTTCCGGGTACGTCAAGACGCAGGGGCAATGGATCAGGCATTCGGTTGCATGTGCCAATAGTCGATGTCCCGCTAACGGAGGCAAACTCCCAATTTCTTAACTACTATTACACTCTTTGAAACAGAAGAACCATCATGCAAGAAGAAAACGAGCTGCTAGCTCCTCTCAACCTCCCAATCCTCATACCACGCAGCAACACAATGGAGCGACCCAGAGTAATCTCACGGCATCCACGACGCTTCCTACAGTCACTGAGACTCCCGTGGCAACTGGAACAACCTCGCATCCTGACATCACCATAAGACGTGCTGGATGGTGGACTCGTTTTCTGCTCTGGGTTTGCTGCGTGCACATTCAGAACACAAACAGTCAACATTAAAGAAGAACTATGTCAAAACTATATCATTGACACGAAATTAAGGCTTCAGCTGACGAGCAAGGGGTCCTGCAGGAATTGTAAGATTGAAATACATGTCGTTCAACCATCTTTCTTGATGCTATCGAGTCCTTGCGCCAGTATGTCCAGCACCTTTTGCCTGTATCCCTGAGGAACTCCGATGGATATGTCGATTCTTCCCTCTGGAGCATGCCACGATCCATCATCTCCGCGCCATGGATTGGCGCCGAAGACGCGCAGATAAAGCAAGCCATGCCCACTCATGTGATGTCTATGCGACTCTGGTTGACCGAAATGTGCTGAACACCAGTCGATGCTGATCAGTACGTGAGTCGGAATCAAGACATGAAAGGCAACGGAAAACGCACATTGCCATAGAATTCACGGACATAATTTCAGTAGGAGGGTAGTAAAATAATTTCCTTGCCTTTGCAGCTGCGAGCATCAGGTGACTGGCTACGGACATCCATGTTGAGATGACTTCGTGTTGTCGATAGTGCGTGAGGGTCTCGCGGATGCTTGTGGCGATACCTGTGATGTCGGTCGGGTTCTCTGGCAGTGCTGTCAAAGCCTACAGAGAGCTCAGCAAGTAACGAAGATCCATGTGCCTAACATACTTCGATTATAGCATTGCCAGCAACATCAGGAAATGCGAAACTTGCTCCAGAGAAGCGATACTAAAACGACTGTCAGCAGGGTCTGTAAGCGGAACGATAAAAAGCTGGCAGACGCTGTCCATGAATTTGATCTTGCGTATTTGATTAGGCAAAATACGGTTTATCACGGTGACGATATATGCGGAGAGACTGTCATGGATTGACAGCCGGGTTGCTGCTGAAGGTGATCTTTGACGCAAAGAGTTACAGAGTGTCTCTAATTCATGTCTCTCAAAGAACCAATTGACACGTTCTGATGTGTGTACTCTCTGCGAGTACTTTTTACAAAGCACTTCCTCGCTACAAAGTTCGTGCAAGTAGCAGATTGATGGGCGTAGTTCTTCAATGGTGCACTCCGAAGGCTCAGGGAAAATGGGCTTCTCGAACGTAGGCGACGGATAGACGAGGTGTAAGCCTTGGTAAAATTGGGAAAATGCATGAGTGAAGCGGAAGAACGCAGTCGCATCACCTATAACCTGGTATGAAACGCGTGAAAATTACTTCTCGCAGATAATAGCCTACCCAATATATGATTCCAAGAAATGCCGAGTGTGGTTTCATCGCGAAAGGAGACGACTTTAAGTCTCAAAAGAGGGACTTCGAAGTCGAACGCACTGCGCTGATGAGGAGAGTTCAGCAAGCCCGAGAGGTCATTCTGAATGACGTGAGAATCAAGGACAACTGAAGACGTTGATTCATGAGGACGCTCTTCGAATTCAACTGGGACTCCATCATTTGTGAGGTAAATCTTGTAAGCTCAGAAATTTTGGTCTAAATTTTGGTACAGAGTTGAACTTGCCTTATATTTCCCGCCATCGTTTGTCAGTCTTCCGGCAGTATGAGGCCACAGTTGCAAAGTCCTGGAGAGCGCAGCACTGAACTTCTTTACATCCAGCGAACCCACAAGAACGTGAACGTTTTGGATCTGGATAGAATTCATGTTCAGGGATGTACAGGAAAATGCATGATACACACCATGGTTGCCCACAGTTCATAACCAGGTAGTTCCACTTCATATTTATCTGATAATGCAGTTGGCTGTGCGGGCTGCACAAAGAACGTCGGCATTGGCTTCTCAAACGAGCACTCGTGGAATCTATATCACGAGTCGGGCACATTGTAAGTAATGTCTTTGTTCGCTCAAGTTGGATCTCACTTAAACTTCTCAAGAACGAAGAGGCTCGGACTAGGAACGGGAACGGGACTAAGTAGGGTAATAGTCAGGAAAATGTTCGTAGAAGTGTGAATAAGAGAGCTCACCTCAGTCTTGGATCGAAAGACTGAGGGAGGATACTCGACGGGGAGAGGTATTAATACGCTGATTGAGACGGAGAATCAAAGGTGAACGTGTATGAGGCGTATAACGAGGAGTGATTGCGTATGTAAAGGAAAATGATGAGTACGTACGAGAGTGGTGCATCACTAAAATTCACTTAGCCTGATATGACCCGAGTTGCATTACCCTTTCAACCAATTTTGTTTAGGCATGACATACCCTCAGTGGGATACAGTCCGGCCATGAGATACAGTCAGCCATGGAATCAAGGGCTGGCCATCCAATCGAATCTCGGCCATCAAGTCGAGTTTCCTATGGGATCGCTCCTAGCCATGCTGTCAAAGCCAAGTTCCCTAGACAGACGAACTTCGAAGTCCGAGGGAAACGTAGACCAGGAGGGGACTTTCTAGACCGGGACTTGTCGATAAAGGAAGTAATGTTGATGAGTGAGTAGAGGTAAAGCAGGCGATTGTCTAGGGACAGAACCTCACGGGGGCGCAAAGAAAGTTCGATAACAAGTAAGCTATTTCTCATAAATGGAGCAAGGTTGCAGAGTAAGAATGCTGTGAGGTTCGGTGTCAGTTGCGGACAACAAACACGAACGGAGAACTGAACAGCTTAGCTTTGATCAGAGGGGAATTCAGTTCTCGATGTACTTACATACGTGAAATGAGACTGAACTCGCCTGGTAATCAAACCAGTATCTAGTAGTTTGACTCGGAATGTCAGTTCAGGACGAATGCAGTGCGGCTACTAAATCGAGTATCATAGTCCCAACCTTTGCCATGGTGGAGAATAAGGGAAAAGAGGCTGAAGAGCGGCTACATAACAATATGCATGATCAAACGGTATAACATTCGAATCAGTGGTCTCTCGCAGGGAATTGACAGGATCCGAGGATATACACAGACTGGCGATACAGTACGTCTCGGTGGGTGAGGCCAGATGCTTGACTGTTTCCGAGTCCTTGACGGAACACCGGTATAAGCTAGAAATCTGACATGGGGTGACTAGTAATGATTCATCACAAAGACTCGGAAAGTAAAAGAGAAAACAGACCAAAAACCAATGGTTTGATTTGTGTCTTAGATGCGCGATGTAGAACACTCGGAACTTGATAAGTTGTTGCCAGTGGGATATGCATCAGGAAGACCTCCCATGTAAAGGCTGCTTTCCTGTCGTGGGAGGTATGGCGGGGATGATGACTAAGCGCGTGTCCCGGGACACGGCGGCTGTGCGACAACCTCGGATAGCGCACGCTCGCTGTGTATGTCGATGAGCGGAGACTAATGTACGGGGAGGAAGCCGGCGTCAATGATGGCATGTAGTACAGGCAATATACAACCTGCGAGGCACATGCTGTAAACGCCTCGGGTAAGCAGAAATTTGACTTCGGCTGCCGAAAAAGGCTGCGTGTCCCATGGCGCGGCGGCCTGAACATTGAAGACGAAAAATCGAGTCTGGCTCTGGGACACGCTGCCCACCTGAGTTCCTGCCAAAAAATGCGTGCCCCAGAGCGAGGTGAAATGAAGATTCTTGCCTGGGACACGTCGTGGAGCTAGCGCCAGATGAAATGTCGTGATTTTGCAGTCCATTGTGCCGTCATCAATTGCAGCAGCTCAAAAACTCGAATTTTGCGGCCAAAAAACTATCCCTTGCATGGCGCAGTATATCACGTCTCTATGCTCGAACGCGCCTCCTCAATCATGTCGTCACTTCGGGATCTTCGACAGTCAGTCACGCAACCTGGAAATTGCCGGCGTGTTACCTCTAGCGTGTCCCAGAGGGATGTAAAAACTGTTCATTTACTAAGGGTTGGTCTGGGTTAGTCCGTCCGGAAAGGTATATATTCCAAATTTGTCAATTTTTCATGCCTTTGTCTTTTCTGTGTTCAAAAAGGTTGCTGACCACTACTCCGCTTCATCGCGAGCACACGCAGACTAGGGCAGATATTCGGTGATGTAACGCCACCAGCAGATGACGAAGAAGACGAAGGATGAACAAATCCACGCACCCCCCATAACCTATCGCCTTTAGCTGGCCTTGAACGTCCTCGCATAGCGCCTGGACCAATGATCGCACACTACAAAATCGAAAGAAGTAAATAGTTCACAACGGTAAAAATACTTCTATGTTTTGTCTACCATAGGGTATGGTCCCAACGGACAATAAACAATGATCAATCAAAAAACAAAAAGCGCCTCTCAACCTCCCAATCCTCATACCACGCAGCAACACAATGGAGCGACCCGGTCACCCAAAGCAATCTGGCATCATCACAACAACCACTTGCCGCTGCCACGGCATCCACGACGCTTCCTACAGTCACCGAGGCTCCTGGAACAACCTCGCATCCTGACATCACCATAAGACGTGCTGGATGGCGGACTCGCTTTCTGCTCTGGGTTTGCTGCGTGCCTACAAACAGTCAACATTAGAGAAGAACTATGTCAAAACTATATCAGTTTTGCAATTGCATGATCTTCGACGAGAAATCAAGGCTTCAGATGACGAGCAAGGGCTCCTGCCGGAATTACTAGATTGAAATACATGTCGTTCAACCATCTATCTTGATGCTATCGAGTCCTTGCGCTAGTATGTCCAGCACCTTTTGCCTGCATCCCTGAGGAACTCCGATGGATATGTCAATTCTTCCCTCTGGAGCATGCCACGATCCATCATCTCCGCGCAGTGGATTGGCGCCAAAGACGCGCAGATAAAGTAGGCCATGCCCACTCATGTGATGTCTATGCGACTTTGGTTGACCGTAATGTGCTGAACACCAGTCGATGCTGATCAGTACGTGAGTCGGAATCAAGACATGAAAGGCAACGGAAAACGCACGTTGCCATAGAATTCACGGGCATAATTTCGGTAGAAGGAGGGTAGTAGAATGATTTCCCTGCCTTTGCAGCTGCGAGCATCAGGTGACTGGCTACGGACATCCATGTTGAGATGACTTCGTGCTGTCGATAGTGCGTGAGGGTCTCGCGGATGCTTGTGGCGATACCTGTGATATCGGTCGGGTTCTCTGGCAGTGCTGTCAAAGCCTACAGAGAGATAAGCAAGTAACGAAGATCCGTGTGCCTAACATACGTCGATTACAGCATTGCCAGCAACATCAGGAAATGCGAAGCTTGCCCCAGAGAAGCGATACTAAAATGACTGTGTCAGCGGGGTCTGTAAGCGGAACGACAGAATGCTGGCAGACGCTGTCAGTGACTTTGATCTTGCGTATTTGATTAGGCAAGACACGGTTTATAACGGTGACGATGTATGCGGAGAGACTGTCGTGGATTGACAGCCGGGTTGCTGCTGAAGGTGATCTTTGACGCAAAGAGTTACAGAGTGTCTCTAATTCCTGCCTCTCAAAGAACCAATTGACCCGTTCTGAGGCGTGTACTCTCTGTGAGTACTTCTTAGGAAGCTCTTCCTCGCTACAAAGTTCGTGGAAGTAGTACATTAGTGGGCGTAGTTCTTCAATGGTGCACTGCGAAGGCTCAGGGAAAACGGGCTTCTCGAACGTAGGCGACGGGTAGACGAGGTGTAAGCCTTGGTAAAATTGGGAAAATGCATGAGTGAAGCGGAAGAACGCAGTCGCATCACCTATAACCTGGTATGAAACGCGTGAAAATTACTTCTCGCAGATAACAGCCTACCCAATATATGGTTCCAAGAAATGCCGACCGTGGTTTCATCGCGAAAGGAGACGACTTTAAGTCTCAAAAGAGGGGCTTCGAAGTCGAGCGCACTGCGCTGATGAGGGAAGTTCAGCAAACCCGAGAGGTCAGTCTGAATTACGTGAGAATCAAGGACAACTGAAGACGTTGATTCATGAGGGCGCTCTTCGAATTCAACTGGGACTCCATCATTTGTGAGGTAAATCTTGTAAGCTCATAAATTTTGGTCTGAATTTTGGTACAGAGTTGAACTTGCCTTATATTTCCCGCCATCGTTTGTCAGTCTTCCGGCAGTATGAGGCCACAGTTGCAAAGTCCTGGAGAGCGCAGCATTGAACTCCTTTACATCCAGCGAACCCACAAGAATGTGAACGTTCTGGATCTAGATCATGATAGAATCCAAGTTCGGGGATGTACAGGAAAATGCATAATACACACCATGGTTGCCCACAGTTCATAACCAGGTAGTTCCACTTCATATATATCTGACAATGCAGTTGGCTGTGCGGGCTGCACAAAGAATGTCGGCATTGGCTTCTCAAACGAGCACTTGTGGAATCTATGTCACGAGTCGGGCACATCGTAAGTAACGTCTTCGTTCGCTCAAGTTGGATCTCACTTAAACTCAAATCTCCAGTTAAGTACTAGGGCGTGCGACATGACATGTTTTTCATGTCATGGAGCTCAATAATATACTACATACTGCTGTCAAGTTTGCATGATAGGGTTCTCCGGACCGTCGTTTCTGGCTGCTTTGGTGGCTTCTGAGGTGAGCATTATTCCCAGATGACAGCACGGACTCCCGCAGACTCCCGCGCGTTCCTCCATCGTACAAGGCCTATGTCTTGGAACATTCCCACCACATGATTCCCAGAATTGACATTCCTGCGACCCCACGGGTCGAGATTAAATTGGTCGCAGTCTAAGTCAAAGCCTTCATAGTGTGTTCAGCAGTCATCAACTTCAGAGAATCACAAGCTGGCCTACTATTCCTTCTCAAGACGGTTGATTTCGACTATGGCATCTTCAAATTCAAAGGTGTGGTTTGGTAAGCGAGGAATACTTTGATGGCCCGAATATGCTAATCGTTGTTAGTGACTGGAGCGTCTTCGGGTTTTGGTCGAGCAGTTACCGAAGTCATGCTTCAAAAAGGAGACAATGTTGTTGCAACTCTGCGGAAACCTGCTATGCTAGATGACCTCGCGAATTTGTACTCAAAGAATCGGCTTCTCGTCTTGCCTCTGGACGTCACAGTTCCTTCTGAAATCACTACCCGCTTTTCTCAAAGCGCGTGAGGCCTTTGGCCGCATAGACGTTGTTTTCAACAATGCGGGACTATGCATAATCGGTGAAGCGGAAGGAATGCCTGATGACGACGCAAAGCTGCTGTTCGATACGTTGTTCTGGGGTGCCGCAAACGTCACGAAAGAAGCCGTGACAACGTTTAGAGATTTTAACCAACCCCGTGGGGGACGTCTCTTGCAAATGTCATCTCGTGGAGTCCTGCGAATTGTTCCAGGAGTAGCGCACTATGCCGCAGCGTACGTGACGCCATTTCGCTCATCGTTTTAACTGACATTTGCATAGTAAAGCAGGTATATATAGTTCACCTATCCTTGATTTGAAATAACTAGTCGCAAACAGCTCTTGAATCTCTTTCGGAAGGGTATGCTACTGAATTGGATCCAGCATGGAATATCAAGGTGAGTCCTACGCACAATACTAATTTCAAACTCGAATTCATCATCCACAGATCACTGTTCTTCAACCTGCTCGTTTCCGTACTGCCGCACCCTGGACCAATACTCTCGTGCCAATCCATCCTGCGTACTCTGATCCAAATTTACCTTCTAGACAGTACCGCAGCATATATCCAGGAGCTGAGCGTTTTTCAGATGGAGACATCTACAAGTTTGCACTGCAGATGTATAGGCTAGTGCAACTAGATGATCCTCCGTTTTATCTCCCGTTGCATAGAACGGCCTTGGAAGCGGCAAAGATCAAAGGCCAGAAGTTGTTACAAGCTGTCGAAGATTACGGTAGTTGGTCAGATGATGTATATCTTGACGAGGAAAATAGTCAGGGGCGAGCATAATTGTGCAAACTTCTTCAATGCGCTAATTTCCGACATGTACAATTCGCATGTGTCCTTGAGAGAAGCTTTTCAAAATACCGTTATCGTTTGAGTGAGGCGGTGCTAGGGTCCATAGTGTTGCCGTCGAAGTGAAGTGACTGAGGTAACTTCACTTCGTTTCGTCCACAATAAAGTCTACCGAAGTACATCCAATTTCCAATTCGATTCCGAAGCTTCAGTTCGCTTCGCGACAACACTAGAGCAGACTAGAGCCTCGGGTCCCACGATAACGACATTTTAGATTTGAGCGTCCAATTTTACCACCTGAGGTTGATGTTCTCATTGTAGTGGGGATTGATCATCGGATCACAAATGATGAGAGTCGAAAAGCAAGAACAATCTTTTATATCTAAGTGCGTCCCTGTAGCGGCATAACGGGAACTGCATAGCTGGTAGCGTAACGGCATCAGTACACTTTCTCATAATGTATAGCGACGGGAACTGCCTTTTCGCTATACAATATGAGAGATATACACTACCAAATAATTCCCATGGCAGAGGGGTCAACCAAGATTGGGGGTGTCAATGCGCGCTACTTGCGCATGGTCCAGAAATCAATACATTCAGCGAGTACATCGAAACGGTGTGTTACTTAGAATTCCATAATTGATCCAATGTAGCCTGCTTTGCATTCTGCAATTCCTCGCGCCGTAGTGTTGCTCGGAATGCATGAAGTTTGTGAATAAGATCAAGTGAAGAATCAGCGCCAGCTCACACAATACATGCAACTTCGAGCTTTTCACACAGCGGAATCAATTCAGCAACACAGACCTTGGGTTGATCATCCTCGTCTTCATCATCTGATTCTACTTCAACCAGCTCCCCGCTCCTAATTCCTTGCCGGCGCCGAATTTCTGCAACAATTGCATCATCATCTTCATAAACAGTTACTTCCCCAATGTTCTTCTCTTCTTGAGGGTCGAGAATCTCGTCAACAGACAGTGGCGTGCCAATGATCTGTCTTCGCGTTGTAAGCTCCTCTATGGACTTCATCAATCCATGTTCGAGAGTTTGGAGCTGAGGTGACTTGGTGAGAAGTGGAATTTTGATAGTGAGCCCAGTTCGTCAACATGCAACTGATGCAAGTTTCTCGACAGTCTCGGCCACTTTGATGTTGTCACCCTCTGCGTCCATAACAGCTTTGAGGGCATCCACCCAGTCCCCCTCAACATAATTATTGCCAAGGTGTTCTTTCAGGCAAGCTTCGGCCTGAGGCAAGGTCATGTCATCAGTATCTGCAAACTGGCGGATGATGCTCCATGCACCCGGGTCTGCATGGGGAGGGTGAGACGAAGGTGCTGGAGAGTTGGCTTGGATTCCTGCGTGATTCCAGCAATGCTGAATGGTGGATGACTCGACAGCATCCCAGGCCTCTTGCGCCATGACCATGGCTTCTCAAAGGTTTATTTTATAGATATCACGATTACTAGCTTCATCAAGTTCAATAGCACAGAGACAGAATGCTCGATGGTAGTGAGCCTTGAAGCAACGAATGACTCCGGCATCAAGAGGTTGAACAAATGAAGTTAAATTTGGCTCGAAAAATTCAAGCTGAATGTGAAGCGGTTTGTATGTGATTTTTTGCCCAGACAAATTGTCAATAAGAAGGCAGATGTGACGTTGTCGGATCCCCATCTTGATGTCGAGTGCCTCAATCCACCTTGAATTTTATTGCGTAAATTTTCATGTGATCCAACCTGATCTAGAGCGCTTACTCATTGAACAATTCACTTCTCATCCATGCTTTCTTGTTGTTTTGATAGTAAAACCCGGCACTCTGTGGTGACTTGCCACCAAAGCATCGGGGCTTTTGGGACTAACCAATGAAGAAAAGTGGAAGCTTCTTGCTTCCATCTGCATTTGTAGCAAAACCAAGGATCACCCTAAATTTCTCTTTTTTCTTCCCACTCATTTGATGTGTAGCAAGGCCACGATCAGGAGGTGCCCTAATTCATTTTAGTTCCTCTTTGAACTGAACACTGATGAGTGACTTACATTGCAAACAGACTTGATTCATCAAAGTTCCAGTGGTCTCGCACTGGGAAAGTTGATAGGAGACGTCCCACTTGCAACCATTCGTGTTTCACTGCTTCTATATCCACTGATCTGGCCTCACCATGACGCCGGTATTCTTTGATATTGTATGCTTTGCAGAAAGGGGCTATCCAGCCATCACCAATTAGCCGTTCTGTTTCTGGAACGCCAAACTTCTCTTCGAGCTTCCGCCGCTTCTCCCAGAGCATTGCTCCAGTGTAACTCTCACCCTTCTATTCCATGCTTGTGGTCCATTCCACAAGTGCTTCTTCAACATCAGGGCGGGTAACGACAAGCGGCCGTTTACTCGAGAGAGCGCTGGGGTATGATTCAATACATTGCTCAAGGTGCGTGCGGTCCTTTAATTTTCGTGATAGGGTTGCCTGGGTGAATTCAAGCACCCCCTCTTTTCGTGTCTTGAAATGCTGAACAATACGATCTTGGGGTAAGTCTGGATGTTCATTGATGTATGCAAACACCATCAGCCAGTCATTCAAGGTAAGATTCTTGCGTTCGCTAGTATCGGAATGCTTTGTAGATGTTGCAGGACCATCTTTCTGGTGAGGTGTCTTTGGTTTCCGCTTGTATGGGGCAGGTTTTGGATGTGACTGGCGTTTCTTAGGGCTGCGCACCATTGGGACTAGATTGACTATAAAATTTTCCATCTTACTACATTGTTATGCATCAGTTTTTGGCAACTCCGCAGTAGTCCTACTTGGTACAAACCATATCTCATAGTGTATATCGGACCTCCGAAGGCTATACATTATACATTATACAATTTTTCGGGCGTCTACCCGCATACCACGATGGGAGCTGCCAAAACTCGATACAAGATGAGATTTATACATTACTAATGTATGCATTATGAAAAAGTGTACTGTACAAGGTCTGTAACCGGTAGTAAGATAGACCTCACTCATACACTGGTTTATCACGTGATTTGAGGACAGAATACTTACATGATTTTGGCTTGTTACTCTGTTGCAAATTAGAATGAGCTAAATCTGTTCCAAGATCTTGTGGACATGTACTATAATGTCAAAATGGTCTACTCAGAATCCTTATTTTCGGCCAACTGAAGGAGGAGTAGGCATTTTTGTAGCAAATTTACCCTTGTGACTCATTCGTGACTGCTGCCAGTGCATCTGTCATGTTGGTGGTGCTTGCTCGACAACATAATACCTACTTGTCTCTCAGTTTTCCACATTAGATTATAAAAATTACATGCCCAGCTTGCTACAGACTACCCGCACATAATCTTGGAACAGATTTTGCTGGCATTTTGTATACAATGACTTATATGCAATTTTGTTGAAATGTCACGCTAGGGCACGTGATGAACCGGTGTATGAGTGAGGTCTATCTGTAGATGCACTTAGGTTTGTCACACCGTCACACATCTAGCTATTTCGTGTGACAGTCACACCAAGGTTGAGGTCAATGAACTAAAAGTGTGACACATAATCAAAACATGGAAAAAACATATAGAGGAGACAACATATGGCTAGATGGAAGCAAAATTAAAGACATAGCTCTGTTTCATAAGCATCTCTGGGTGAGTACGAGCATCATATCTGCACTACATGAGGAAATTACATCTACAGCACAAACCTACATCAGGAAACCCACTGCCAAGTGAAGTGACTTGTAGCAGCACATAGCACAGCACTTCTTTCGAAATGGCTGTGGCCACTGGCAGCGGGTAGCAGCTGGAAGAACTAAAACCTCCATACTGGCTCCAGGACTTTCAAACATGCCACAATGTCTGTAACCTTCAGTAAGCTGATCATGATTAAGAGTTTATGATCATGATCTTTGTGGCAAGATAAGATGATAATACTCAAGCCTGAGTGATCAAGATCACTGCTTGCCATTCAATGACTTTGCCAGGCTGGGCAGGAATCTTGGGATTGAGGGAAAATAGTGGTAGTACAGGCTCAAGAAACTACTGGTAACTAAGAATAGCATGAAAGGTCTCTTTATCTGCAAAGTTATTCACATAAAACTCATGCACCAGTTGCAAACTATTACTAGTCCAACACCTGTTGTGCCTTTGGCACAGGAAGCAAAAGGAGCGCAAAGTGCTCCTTTTTAGCTTCCTGGCCTTGGCTTCATCCTAAATACTCACTGTGCCTTCAGCACAGGAAGCCAAAGGAGCACTTTGCACTCCTTTGGGAGGTGCCTGTGGCACCTTGACTTACTAATAATAATCATAGTGGATTTTGAAAAAATTACATTTTTGAGCAGCATTTTCACAAAACTAAAAGTACAATCTACTACACTATGTAAAAGTACACAATACATAAGCATCAGTCATTTCTCTATATAAAAGTACATGATATGTACATCAATCATCAATGGGATCTGTAAGGCCTCTGAGCACTTCTTTATACACTGCATCTGTTGTTTTCGAGCCTTCTTCATGCTCTGGAAAGATAGCATGCACTCTGTCTGGGTGAGTGCAGCGAGACAAAGCCACATAGAGTTGTCCATGACTAAAGACAGGAGTGCTCAAATTAAGGCCAACATGCTTGACACTCTGACCTTGCGCCTTGTTGATTGTCATAGCAAATGCCAGATGAACGGGGAATTGTCGACACTTGAGAGGAATAGGGTTGTCCTTAGATGTGGCATCCAGGGTCATGTGAGGGATCAGCACTGTGTCCTGATCATTTTGGTGAGCTGCATTGACTCCATCCCTAAGAATGCAACACCTAAGGACACACATGGTCCAAGACAGGAGGATCATGCGAGTTCCATTATAGAGGCCCTCAGAGGGGTTCAAGTTGCGCAACAGCATCAGAGGAACACCTGTTTTGACCTCCAATTTGTGCAAAGGGAAGCCTGATGGCACACCCAAATCTTCCTCGAGATTAATCATGGGGAAGTTCAACCATATTAATGGACTTCTGGGCATCAATACCTACCCAAGTTGGAGATGGGCTGTCAGGCTCGCACTTGCAGGCGAAGGACTTTAGAATCACTGCAGTAGTGGTGCAGATCCCAATGACATAGCCGAATATGCAAGCACTATGCCTAAGCCTGCCACAGCAGGACAACCAATGGCGGATGAGTTAAAACTCATGAAAGAATGGATTAAAGAAGACGTCCAAGTGAAGGCAATCATTGGCTGTAAGCTTTCCCTGGTTGTGCAGAACATTCTCGACGAAGGACTCTCTGCTTGCGAGCAATGGGAGATGCTCGTGAAAATATTCGCACGTCTTGATGTGACCTCGCAATATGAATTATGTTCTCAGCTTTTCACAGAGAAGCTCAAGGATGCTGAAGACGCCACTCAGTATCTTGGTGTCTTTGAGAATGGCCGTTGTCGCTTCGCAGAAATGCGGATCACCTTCACTGACGAGGAAGCCATCTTCATGTTGCTGAATGGTCTTCCTGACACTCCTCAATGGGTTGTATTTCATAGTCTTACCATTGGGCTGTACAATTCTGCCAATGTCATGGCACCATCTTCATCCACATCCACATCCATCTCATTTGAACAAGTTGCCACGTTGTGGGTAACACAACAAAGGTGACTGCAAGTCAGATGACAAGCAAACACTCTCTATGTTGGGTCTTGATATGCCGTGCGATATGTTCGACCCTTAAGGGAAGCAAAGAAAGCAAGGATCCACAAAATGATGCTGATCAACCCTGATCAAAGGCGACAAAAGGGCGATGTAAGCGCGAGAAACGCGCTCAAGGCACGCGCAGGAAAGTGAAACGCGAAAAAATGCGCGAAGTGCGGGAAGGCGAAAGTGCGAAAGGCGAAAATGCGCAGAGAACTGGGATGGTAGTGCAAGCAGTGCACAAGTGTAGAGAGACGATAATATGGTGAAAAGCGCGGATATAGATGGATACTGATACTGCCACTAGCTTTAGACTGATGCTAGGGCCTTAAGACGACGACGGACGCATGCATTGCATGGAACTAACTGCCAAGTACATGGTGGTAGAAAGATGTGGTAGTGTAAAACGAACATGAAAGTATGTAAGTTCTACCTAAGCGCTCTCCCAGGGCTCGGAGCCGAATAGGGAGCGCTCTAAGTATGTAAGTGAGGTAAAGTGATGTAAAGTAAGGGTGCATAACGAAATACAAAGTGTAATAGGCTAAATATGGTCTGATAACGAAAAGGGACACACCTAGGAACTGGTTGGATGATGGATGGATGCTCCTGGATGATGCGCGATGGAGTGCGCTTGAGCGCGAGAAACGCGCTAAGCGCGCGCGCGGGAATGCGAAACGCGAAAGCGTGAGAAAGTGTTGCGCCTATGGTGCGCTTTGCAGGAGAGCTGTGCATTGTATGTGCAAATGACTGGAGACATAGCAGAAGTTGCGTATGGAGTAGGGCGACAAGTGCGAGAGAAACGCGCTAAGCGCGCGGGGGAATGCTGCGCGTTATGTGTAAAACAACTAGAGACATGATAGAAGTCGAATATAGCTGATGGTGCAAGTTGTGCATTGAAGGCCAATTGTCATGAGTTGTGAAAAGGTGCGAAATGTGCCCATATGTGCCTGCAGAAACAGCGATGTAGAGACTCGCGTTTCTGCAGGCTCATATGGGCTCATATTACGAATTCTGATGACTGGCCTTCATGGCACGACTCACACTATCATCCACTATGACTTCCCTATAGAGTGCACCACTTCCCGCGAAATGCGCCATAGGCGCGACACTTTCCCGCACAACGCGCAGTATTCCCGCGTGCGCGCCTTGCGCGCTTTCTTGCGCTTAAGCGCACTATGTCGCACAGCATCCAGGAGCATCCATCCATCGTCCAACCAGTCCCTCGGTATGTCCCTTTTCGTTATCTGACCATATTTAGCATATTACACTTCCCATTTCGTTATGCACCCTTACTTTACATCACCTTACCTCATTTACATACTTAGAGCGCTCCCTATTCGGCTCCGAGCCCTGGGAGAGCGCTTAGGTAGAACTTACATACACTTCATGTTCGTTTTACACCCCACTAATTCCACCTTACCTTCCTACCACTCAGTATCTATCATCAGTTAGTTCCATGCAATGCATGTGTCCATCATTGTTTTGAGGCCCTAGCATCAGTCTATAGCTAGTGGCACTATCAGTATCCGTCTAGATCCGCGCTTTCCCTCTTATCAGTCTCAGTATATATCTTTTACACCTGTGCACTGCTTGCACTACCTTCCCGCGCTCCGCGCACTTTCGCACTTCGCTTTCCCGCGCGCGCTTTCTCGCGCTTTCACACCGCCATTCACCAGGGTTGTTCAGCATCATTCCGTGGATCCTTGCTTTCCTTGCTTCCCCTTTAGGGTCGAAACGTTCTTGCATTCTGCGAGTATAGCAGCTAGGCAGAGCTGAGACTCACTTATACTGGCTGAGCACTTTTCTTATATGTGCCTGCCAGGTTGTGATACCCACAGCGAGTCTCTACATCGCGTTCTCCTGTTGTTTTCTGGACTTGCTTCCATATCTGGTGTAGTCTCTGTTGTTCTCGTTGTTTCGGGCTCGCGATGTTCGGTTTCCATTGTCCCATGGGTGTGTATGATGAGTGCCTCATAAGTCTTGTCATGTCGTTACGAGCTTCTTGTTGCTTAACGTCTTGGGTCAGGCCGATTCCATGTTCTGCTTGTTGTAGTGCTCGAGGGTGTGCTACTTGGTTGTAAATGGTTATCGATTGGGAGCTGTTGAATATCTTGATTGAATCTGACTTGTAGTCGTGCTCTGCTTTGAATGATTGTAGTAGGGGTTTTCTGAATAGAAATGCCCATCCGCCTCCACTATTGAAGACTTCGAAGTTTCCCTTTGCTCGTACTCCGTCGATCTCTATTGTCCCTGACCACTTTCGCATCCGCGTTAACAATGCTCCCATTTGCCATTCTCAGCTTCCTTTCCGATGGTCCCCAGTTGGTGAGATAGTGTTTGACTTTGTTGAATATTGACGTGCACATGGCCACTACCATGGCACCATCGTCAAACAGTGCTCGCACCCTAACTGCTTCTCCTTTTGGTCCTTCGAGTGTGATTTGATGGATGAATGGTACTGCCTCCTTCGCTTCCAGTTGTTCCTTAGTTATTTCGGTGTGTCCCACTGAGTACAAGTCAACGATGTCGATTGCGTCAAATGGTGTTGGTACACAGGTAACTATTGGGGTAGCTGGGAACTCGGGGCATATAGATGGGTCTACATCCTTGCGTGTTGCCTCCTTACACGCGAGGACCGTTTCTGTAGTGTGAGTCTTTGCATTATCCCAGGTCAGCGTAGTATTGTTCCTTACGCTGACCCTTCCGCTTTTCCCTCATCTTGTTCCTTGAGTTCTTCGATCCATGCAGCATTGTATTGTGGGGTGTGATTGACGACGAGTGAGATTGGCGTGGTTAAGTTGCGGTTGAATGCTCCTAACACTTTGCTTGTGATTGCTCTCCACGCTGCTTCCTTGCATGATAACCTTTCTGCATGGTCTCCTGGTAGGGGACAGTTGCGTCCGTTGTGTCCGTGAGTTCTGCAACCGAAGCATTCTCCTGAGCTGATGGCTGCTGTACCTGGTTTGAGTGGATATCCCATCTCGTGTGTGACACGTTTACTCTCGCCCCACTTCGCGTTCCATTGTGCTAATTGGTTCGCGTATGCTGCTTTGCCGCTTGGGCTGTCTGGCTGCTGGGGTATAGCGTTGACAAATTGTCTAACAATTGTCTTTACGTCTTCCGTAATGATGAACTGCTGCTGGGATGTGGCTGGTTGGCGAACTACATGTGTTCTGTGGGTTTTGGCTGGTGGGTGTTGTTGCTACTCGTGAGTATGAGCTGTTGCTCAGAGATGCTGTTGGGCTAAGCGTCAACTTATTAAGTTGGCTTTGGAGAGCAGTGATTGGGTTCTGTTGTGGTGTTTGCAGTTGGACTCTGGCTAAGTCTGCAGTGTAGCGCCTTGAGCTCCTGGGTTTGTTTGAGTTGTTGTTCCTGTTTTTCTGCGAGCCTGCTCCCTTTCAGCTCCGTTACTGCCTTCATAAAGTCAGCCCACGCTTTATACTCTTCGTCCTTGAGTAGATCCTTCACTACGTCTGGCAGCTTGCTGCGGACTTGCCAGATCATTGATGTACCTTGGTCTATGCCTGCATTGGTAGCGAGCTGTAGTGCCTTTACAGCCCAGGCGATGTGAGTCCAGCATTCTCTGTCATAGAGCATCGTCTTCTTTCCTACATCTCCCTCTCGTAGCGCATGGTCTAATAACTCTCTCTCATACTCTGCTTTCGTCTTCTCCGCAATCATAACTGGTGGCCAGTGTTTTTCAAATGCTGTTACAAACGTGGACCATGTGGCTTTGTCTATGGAGGTAAGGGCCTTGAACCATCTTTCCACTTGAGAACCAGTTCCTATGTAATCTCCGAATGTGTCTAGCTTGTCTCCGCTAACTGTTACTGCTGGTTGGTGCATTGCCCAGTTGATGGACTTTAAGAAGTCGGCTGGTGTCCTGCATGATTTGGGAATCATGCATGGACATGACTACTAGGTATCCCCCTAAAAAGACAAAGTCTGTTAGCTTAGTCCTCAGACTAGTCAACCCATACCTTGGTATCAAACCTTGGTCCAATAGTTTCAGTTTTCCCTCAGTGATTCATGAATCCACCATGTTTTGAAGAAAAGTCATATGTGAGATGGGAATCACATAATGACCTAGTTGATATGAGAAGCAAAATGAAGGTTAAGGTATTGCCTTTCCTTTGGCTTATTCACTTTGGCTAGAGAAATCCATAGAGAAAAGTTCAAAGCCTAACAAAAACCTATCTAAAAGCCCGCATATTGTGTACTATTATTTGTTCCATTATTTCTGAGTTGTTTTCTCTAGTGTTTCTTTACTTTACTTTTCTATTAGGATGCTCTGACTAATCAGATGCTTCATAAAATTGTACCTACAGGGTATGATGTCATAATGATGTCATAGGACTTCACCTACACTCCTGCAGGTATTTTGTTGAAAGATATGATATCATAGTGATGTCATAATGATGTCATGTTCCATGGAATTTGCTAGAACATTCCAATGACTCATAATGACTCAGAGTGACTCAGAATGATGTCATTATCCCACCATGAATATTCTGGAATGTTCTTTTGCAGCTGCTAGAACATTCTGCTCCAGTTTTTGGAATATTCTTCTCACATTCTGAAGTCATTACATCACCTTTTTACTTACATAATATTCCCACACAAAATGTATATAAGGAGAGCCCATTCTCCCCCAAAAAAATAGATCTCCCACTTGTTGCATTCAAGAACTCCCACTTGAGCAAATTGAACTCTCACCTAAGAAGCTTCAGTCTGAACAAATTGCTGCTTACAAAGCCCATTTCCTTTGTAAGAACTGTCCAGACAAGTGCAGGGAAAGTGTTTCCCTTGAGATTACGTAAGTTTCTCGCGATAGAAACCCAGTTTTGTGAGACCAGTGTTCTCACCATGTAGTGTTTACTGACCAACACGAGCTTTGGTCACCGTTGTTATTTGTGAGACCAGCGTTCTCACCAGGTATTTGTATACTGACCAACACGAGCTTTGGTCATTGTTGTTATTTGTCATTGTTTTTTTTTTCTATTTGTCATTTGATTGTTATTTGTGAGACCAGTGTTCTCACCAGGTATTTGTATATTGACCAACACGAGCTTTGGTCAACGTAGTCACATTTGAGACCAGCTTCTCAACAGTTATTCATATCTTCAGGAAACCAGTTCAAGTGTCTAGACGGTATATCCTAGACAATCCCATAGTTTCAATCAGAGATAATAAAGCTCCAGCTAAGTTAATCTAACCTGATTGGTTTAGCGAGCCTCCCAAGAACTCACATGTTATCTACCACGAAAGAAGAAAAGTCGTAGACCGTGTTAATCGAGGACTGGCAAGAAGTCTTATCCAGTGTAATTGTGGTGTCATTACATTCTTACATGTATTTATATAAGACCCTTGGTTATTAAGACACTGGATTTTCTGATGCACGACCATCACCATGGAAGATCTGTGGGGTCTCTGTGGGCATGATAGCTCTGATTTGTGCCAGTTCGAAGAATTCGGCTAGTTCATAGTCAGGTATTGCAGAAGCTGCTGTGAGTGGTTCTGTCTTTGTGCGACATCGTGCTGGTTGGAATTTGATTGGTGGTAGGTAGAGGTCTAACTCTGGGACGTCTAGTTCCGGGAATGGGAAGTGTTCGTCTTGTTCTTCACTTTCTGCAAGGCTACTAAGTGATGAGGTGCTAGAGCGGTTTGGTGTGTTATGCGAAGACGGTTCTGGTGTGTCGAGTGGGGAGGAAGTGGTGGATGTTCCTTCTGACCAGATTGACCAGTTCGTCTTTAAATGGACGTTAGTTACTGCTTGCCCTGTTTTTGTTCTGGGTCTGAGGCTGTTAGTATTCGACATTCAGTGTTTCACGTAAAAAGATAGGAAGGACACAGCTCTTTTTTGTAATATGTGCAGGCCTTTTAAGACGTGGTGCGACGTAATAGGCTGCGGGTTTTTTGTAATTGGTTTGTCATTCTGAATCGAGGGTTTTCTAAGTTCTGTTTGGGTAGCTAACCAAGACTGCGAGCTGAAACTATAAGCAAAGGCTAAGTGCTGAATGCAAAGTTGAATTGGATCGAATTCGCTCTGTTCACCACGATGGAGTAGTGCTGGGTGTCTCGACCGTGACTCTAGTGTATAGTGTGGTCTATGTACTCGTATGCTGTGCTATATGCTTCGTTCTGGCTGACTAAGCCTTCGGAATCGCCCCTTGGGGAACCTTCTGCTCCTTCCTGACCCTATGACCCCCTACTCCACCGACGAGACCAGCCTCTATGCTGTTCCCTCTGAGATTGCTACGTTTGCATGCGTTGCCCTGACTTGGGACCTGTGGCATGCCCGGCTGGGGCACATTGGTGGTAAAGCTGTTAAGCAAGCTCCACTCATTGCCACTGGTGTCCAGGTCAACAAAGATGCACCTCTACGACACTGTGAACCTTGCATCATTGCAAAACACCCAAGGAAGCCTTTTCACCCTTCTGAAGAACCATGCGCAGCTCACCCACTTGACATCATCCACTCTGACCTATGTGGACCTTTCCCTATCATCACTCCTCACAGCAAGCTCCATTTTGTCATTTTTCTGGACAACCATTCACACCTCCTGAACCTTCAACTGCTTGCTACAAAGGACCAAGCTCTTGAGGCCTGGTGTACTGTGAAGAATCACTGGGAAAACCATCTTGAGCGCAAAGTGAAGATATTTAGGTCAGACAACAGAGGTGAATTTGTCAATGCGGCATTCAGCAGAGCTCTCCAGGATGCTGGAATTGAGCATCAGCTATCTGTGCCCTATGCCCATCAACAGAATGGGAAGGCCAAGCAGGCCATGCATACCATCAAAGGCCGTTTGTTCACCTTGCTAGAAACGGCTCAACTCCCGGCCAATCTTTGGGGCGAGGCAGCACTCACCATTTGCTACCTGTGGAACAGGAGCGAATCACAGGCATTGCCGTCTGGTACAACCCCCTATGAAATCATCAATGGGAAGCAACCAGATCTCTCACATCTCCGAGTCTTCAGCTCGCACTGCTTTGCACAGATACCCATTGAACTTCAGTCCAAACTGGGGCCACACTCTCGCGAAGCCATTTTCATGGGATATCCAGAAGGCACTAAGGGTTATTGCCTATGCGACAGGCACACTGGTGCATTTTTTGTGGCCCAAGATGTCATCTTTGACGAGAACCTACCCTCCATCACATTCTCTGATTCTGAAGACTCCAATGACAAGGAAACCACACCTCCCCCTACTCCTTCCATTACTGCACCTTCTGTTACTCTCCCTGTGTCTCTCCCTCCGTCTGCTGCCCGTCCTGCACCTTCCATCCAACAGGCCATCCCTTGTAGGTCTACTCGCACACGCGTTCCAACAGAGGGTGGGAAGGCATATGTGGAGGATGTCACAATTGCAAAGGCACAACTTTTGGAGCTGCAGGAGGCACGAGCAGAGTGCGTCACTCTGCCTGTACTCACTAAAGGGGTGTCTGAGGCCATCAACTCACCCATAGAATGACACCATGGAGAGTTTGGAAGAGATCAAGCCCAATGTTGATGTTCCAGAGGCATTTGCCAACCTGGTAATCGAGGAGCATGCCCACATTGCAATTTGGAGTGACCGCAAATGAGACCCATCCAGTGTTGACTACGACATGAGAGTACCCCCAGCTACTTACGCAGAGGCTGTACTGTGCCCCAATCGTGATGAATGGCTGCTGGCGATGCATTGAGAACTGGGCATCATGGAGGAAATGAAAGTCTTCACCTTGATGACCCTTCCTGCTGGTCACAAAGCCATTGGAAATCGGTGGGTTCTTGAATTCAAAGAGGACAATAAAGGAGGTCCTGTCCACAATGCCCGCTTGGTAGCTCAAGGCTTCTCCCAAATTCCTGGAATCGACTATGGAGCGACTTTTGCACCTGTTCTCAAGACTGCTTCTCTTCACATCATCACCGCTATTGCCTGCAAGAATAATTGGGACCTTGACACCTTCGATGTGACACATGTGTTTCTTTGGGGGGTGCTGAAGGAAGAGATCTATATGCGACAACCAATGGGCTTCGAAGAGGGTGATTGGAGGGTTATGGTGTGGAAGATGTAGCACACAATTTACGGGGTGTGGAAGATGTTGCACACAATTTATGGCCTTAAACAGTCTGTGATGGAATGGTATGAGGAGGTGAAAGCTATAATGGAGGAGTTAGGCTTCACGCGCTGTGGTGTGGACTATGTGGTTTTCATTTTTGACCGTCTCAATAATGCTGGAAACCGTATGTTCTGCATCATTGGGTGGCACATTGACAACAGCTTAGGCACCTCAAATTCCTCTCATTTTCTTGCGCATGTCAAAGCCAAGATCAACACACGCTTTGGAATCAAAGACCTGAGCCCAGTCGAGAAGTTTCTTGGCATCCCAGTTTGAGTGTGATCGTGCCTCACGTCGTCTATGGATGCACCAAGCAGAGTACATTACTTACCTGCTGGAAGAATATGGCCTACTTGAATGCAATCCCGTTCTTCTCCCTCTCAATGCCAATCATCCCTTTGGACGTCCCTCTGACACTCATCCCATCATCCCAAATCTTACCACCAACTATCACAAGCTTGTCAGCGAGCTTCTTTACCTTGCCATTTGCACCAGGCCCGACATCTCCTACACCGTCAACTCACTTGCACAGCATAATGCCAATCCCACGCTGTCTCATTTTGCAGCGGCCAAGCATCTCTTGCACTATCTTGCTGGTACCATCAATCTTCGACTGCATTATGGCAGCGAGTGTGTCAATGAAGCATTACATGGGTATTGTGATGCTGACTGGGCTAGTTCTCCAGAGGACCGCTGTCATGAATGGTATGTGATCCATACCATGACATATACACAACAGCAGTGACAGGGAAGGTAGAAGACACCTGACTGATTCCCATCACCAAGTTACCTTATCATTTTTCATTCATTTCTTAGCTAGTATTTTCACTTTCAAACTTCACTCCTATTTTTTCTATGTATTTCTATTTTGTTCCATGAGATTCTATCTCTTTCTATTTTTATAGGCACATTTAGCCACCAGACTTTTCCTCAAGCCACCAAACATGTTAGTAATCATGTCATGTGACTGGGAAATACTCTGATTTGTAAGGATTCAACTTGACTCATCATGTTTGGTCATGATTCGTCATGCTTTGTAAAACTTGCAACTGTATTTGTAATCCACTTTGTCATAAGGCTGATTCAGCACACCTAAGGACTTGGTTTGTAAGCACATTCTTACCAATCCATGTGATGACTCATGCTTTTCATTTTTCATTCTTTGTAATACTACACTTCATTTTGTATGTACATTAGTAAACAAGCTGACTCAATACAAGTTTGTAAGCACATTCTTACCAATCTATGTGATGAATCATGCTTAGTAAGATGGCCTCCCAAAAGGTATATAAGGAGCCCATTTTCACCCATGCAATTTAAGCTTCCCACTTTAACTCTTTTCTCAAACCATGTGAGAACCAGTAAGATCTAAGTGCAGGCCATTCAGCAGCCTTGAAGTTAAGAATAAGAAACATATATTCAAGTTATATACTACCTTACAGGGGTTGACTATATAACAAAGTACAGCTACCTAGCTAAAGTTCATCAGCACTACTTTCCTCTCTCTTTTTCAGGAAAAGAGACACGAATCACAAGACACACTTCACGAATCCACAGGCACACACTTGCCAAAACACATACAAACTCCACACTCAGAATTTCGAGACTACGAGGTTTAAACTAACCAAGGAACAGGAAGGAGAATATTGAAAGACATTCCTCCCAAGAACTCAGCACATTATCTACCATGAAAACTAGAAAAGTCGTAGACCGTGTACTTAAGGACTGGCAAGAAGTCTTATCCTGTATAGTTGTGTTGTCACTATATACGCATCGTATATAAGACCCTTAAGTAACAAGACACCGTATGTCCATATCTGGATATGCCTGGTTCTATGCAGGTGGCATAATTGCGCACGTCTCGAAGAAACAGGCCACTGTTGCATTGTTGTCCACCGAGGCTGAATACATGGCCATCATGCATGTTATTCAAGAGGGCCTTTGGCTGAAATCGTTATTCATTGCCCTTCATATCTCATCTCCCTTGCCTCTAGTCATTCACATGGACAACACTGGCGCTATAGCATTGTCCAAAGAAGCACGAAACCACATATGTTCGAAGCATATCGATGTATGGTATCATTTCATTCACAGTCACATCGCATAGGGCACGTTTGTCCTCACTTGGCTCCCCTCCCACAGTAATACCGCCGACATCTTTACAAAGGCACTCACACGGCCGTTGTTCTTGAAGCACCTCACAGGCCTGCACCTGGTGTCTCAGTGAGGGGGTGTATTGGTGTATTGGTAGTTCTACTACCCATCTTGTCACTTCTTGCTTCTCTTGCTTCCTGGTACTATACAGTGATTCACCTTCAACACTCAGCCACATGCTTACATAACAACCCCGTATGGTATTAGTAGTGATGCACCTGTGTTTGTTTTCCCTCAGCGTTTGTTCTACTCTTGCTGAGGTATGTTATTATCTTGTAGTTCATTTACACTCGTACTTACAGAGCATTAGTCTGACTTGCTCTAGGTACTGCAATATAGTGTTTGTTCTACTCTCACTGAGTCTGACTTGCTCTAGCCTTTATTCAGCACCAGACGTCACTACCTAATATAGTAGGGAATATTGAGCTCAAAAATCCCCCAAGTCAGTGCCGATGTGCTGATATTATTGCTGGTATAGGGTGTGGTATGTAGGTGTTACTAACAAGTAACAGGAATAGGTACCTCATCTAATTACTAATTAGTAATATTAATCAGTCTACACTTAGGATAGGTCTCATGTTTGTAGGCAAGCGGAGTCCCCCAGTTCCATACTTGGAGGACTCGGTCACATTTTATTGCAATCAGAGAGTCACAGAATACAATAGTGAGAGCTGTGAATAATCGGGGACTCAGGAAAGAGATAGAAGAAACTAATATGAGAGATGGAGGCTCGAGAGATTGAAGACCAGAGATGGAGACTCGAACAGAATGCTAAAGGGCTATTTTTCCTTTTTCTTTTCTTTTTTCTTTTTTTTGGGATTGGTAGTCTTTATCTTGTTTTTTTTTAATGGTGTGGAGATTAATTTGTGAGTCCGAGAGTGTGTGATACAAGTACATTTGCATGAATCGAGTGACATATGCCAACAAGTTGAATGAGAGACCGAAGGAAAACATGATGTGATGCTAAGATGGCGCGTGTGCTGTGCTGTGCATGAGTGCATGTAGCAAGAAAGGATGTTGATGAATATACTTGTTAAATTCGTCAGAAGACCAACGCCCTGTGGCGCGAATGAGATCCAAAGACATCCCCGCTGTTGTGAGAGCAGTGGCACCACCTGCCCTCATGGAATGTCCTGAAAACTCTGCCCCACAGAAATGATGGAGATGTCGAAGGAACCAGCAGTGTGTGGGAACACAGCCTGTACTAGTCACCCAAAGGGCTGGGTAATGTAGGAATTGAGCATCACAAATGCTGATGTATTTCTGCATATGCTGCCATGGGTCAATATGAGATGCTGGATCAGCAATTAGCAGGATGGTAGATCCGGTTCCGAGACTGTTGTTCTTTTGGTGAGGCAGGAGATAAGACACTGTGGTTGTGTTAAAGGTCAATGTGTGTTGAAGGGAGACTTTCCTGTAAGATTGGAGTTTTGTAGCATCAGGCCACATGAGCTCACCTAAGCGCTGTAGGCTTGTAAAGCTGGTGATGAGCATAGCGAGGAAGAGAGAGTCGTCATAGTGTGGGTGTGCACCAATTTCATGCATAATTTGTACAAGGTCATCCTGGCACAGCGGCAACTTCCTCCAAACTGGCTTTGATAGATGATGCTTGCACCCTTTCAAGGTGCAAGTGATGAGTGGTGAACGGCGTGCTGCACACACATTCGGAAACATGAATTCAAGTCGATTTGCGATTCCTGGGAGGTAGTTATTGATGGAGCGAGGTTCTATATGGTGTGATAGCCAGACAACATAGTATGATAAGGTGTCCTCCGTGGGGTTGACTGTATGATGGTGCAATTGGCAGAAGGAAATATAAGAATTCAGATGCAAGTTGTAAGCAGAGGACATGGATGGTTCAATAGCAAATCCGAGTGCGATAGAGCATTCATGAAAGAGCCGCTCTTCAGACCAGGCCTCCCGAGTGGGTTGCCTGGACTGTTGGGAAAGTGGGATCATTTTTGCTACCCCCAGCACATCCTGAGGGGGCTCAAAGTCATAAATCTGCGCATTGGGTGCAAATTGCAAGGCACGCTCGTTGTTAAAATGAGATAGTGCATCAGCCACAATGTTATCACAGCCACTCACGTGCTCCACACGTAGGTCAACATGATGCTCAAGCAGAACATTCACAGCCGAGACCAAGATGGAGTTATAAGGAGGATGGGCTCAAAGAGAGTTAAACATTGCCACCGTGTTTGTGTTGTCGGTGTAAATCAACATTTTGTCAGGCACCTCGGGCATATTCTGTATCGCATGAATCACTGAACAGACTGCCAAGGCTTCCGCAAAAAAGATTGTGTCTTTAGGCCTGTTCTCGGGAAGGTAACATTGGCATGCAAAGTCTTCATCAGGGAACCAAAGGCCTAAACCAATGCCTGAAGCATCGGTATATGCAACCACGACATCCTCGGAGCTGGGATTAAAGTCAAGTGACTTGTAGAACAAAAGCCCAGGAGAACATTCTATATGATCTGCCAACCAATGTAACTCATGGATTATGGTGTTGTTGACATGGAGACTGTTAAGAATGTGCTCAAAGGTATCATATCCAAAGGGCTTGGCCTCAGCTTGTACGCTATGCCCCTTACCTGAGTACTGCCCTTGATTTCGGAAGGCTAAAGTACCGTGTTTGGAAGAGCGGACGAGTACTGTAGAGTCAATCCGGATGACTTCCGGATATCGGATGAGTAGCATAAAGGCTAGTCCAGACGAAGTCTGAGACTAGAAGCGGAACAGGGAAAGACTACCCTAAGGTAGAGTCAGAGATAAGTCAAAGGAATCAATCCTAAGACCGGAGGTGAACAAGAGAGAACTCAGGTTTGGACGGAGGCAAGAATGAGCAGAATCTAAGATGATATTCAAACTGAGGTTCTACAGAGTTTGTACACGAGTTTATATACTGCAGGTAGCATAATGGAATGGTCAGTCAGCATGGAACAAAGCTATGTATGAAGCATGTGGAAAGTCTAATGGTAAGTCTAATGGATCAAAGGAAATGAAGTTCAGACATGAATGCACAGGGTAGATCAATAAGCAAAGCGGAAGGGAAGATAGCTGGTGTACTGGAGAAGGTAACACCCAAAAGGAGATAGACGCTGAGTTAAGGTTCTGGGCTCGGGAATGAGTTGTGGACTGGTAAACCGTGTTGTGGACTGGATAGCGAATTAGTGGTCTGGATTGGACTAGTAGACCGGATCTGATCAGCGGACTGGATCTATGGACCAGATATCGGATCGGTGGATCAGATCTGGATCTGATCTAAGATCCGAATGCATGGATATGACAGAGACGTGCAAAAGGCTGTGACTTCTCGCTGATCTTGTCATAGACCGCAGATAGACCGGGCTTAAGCAGGGGGAAGACATTAAAACTCCACTCGCACCATCCAGTGAGCTGTTGGAATTCCCATAGCAACTATCTGTAACCCTTCCTTGTGAATTTGCGCAAATGCACCACCAGCTCATTTTTCTTGTGAGTAGGGAGTGTCGTGGACATTTCATTAGGATCAACATCAAATCCTATGACCGTTAATGGGCTACCAAACAGTTGTTTGGGTTTGTCGTGAGGCAAGCCTATATCGTCCCAAAGTTGTAGCAGGCATGTTTGCTTCACAGGAAAATAACACTGATATGGAGCATAATAGAGTTGCCGTTTTGCAAGCTCGAAGGAGAAGGAATCATCCATGTAAGTTTTGAGTGCATCAACAAGGATCTGATGGATCGTGATCCAAGCCACTAAAGACATGAATGATATCCATACCTTGGGTGATCCTCGTCCACCGAAGTTATTGTTTCGATCAACATGACACTGGCCATTAACAGTCAGAATCTGTTTGGTTTGCCAGAGTGGGTGCATTGGAAGCCTTCAAAAGGCTTGTGAGACATCTGATTTCCACATGACGAGTTCATCATGTGGATGTTCCTTTCAGAACTCAAGAAGCGAGGCCCTGAGGGAATGCAGTCCATCAAGCTTTGTACCTTTGATGGAGTCAGAGTCAATCATAGAGTTGAGGGAAAAATCACCAGCAGTATAGTCGACAACGAGTTGTAACTTGTCAGTGTTGGGCTTCAGCACAGTGTGCACGGGAACACTGTACATTCCCAGCAAAAGTTTTTGTCCAAAACTTCCTGAAACTCAACTGAGTCGTATTTCTTCCTCAAGTTGCTCTTGAATAAAAGTCAATTGTTCATCTGACTTTTTGCAAGTGCGCATAGAATTGTCATTAACAGAGGGATAAGAGTCTCCAGGCACTTCCGCTCAGGGCCAGAACCCTTCGCGTAGTGCTCGGCATACTGAGTTAACAAACAACTGATTAGGGTGATCCGCTAACAGTGCTTCAAAATGGTCAACATTGATGGGTGTGATAATCTTGAACAGGTCTGGTCTGCTGGCCACTGTTCAAGCTGAGTCTGAGTGTAAGAGGGGTTCTGGGGCATTAGGTACCGGTTCAGCATATTCCATAGAACATGCAGTGGGACTGAATGAAACGTCCAATGGTGACCATATAAGGCCACAGTGGTAACGAGGACACTTTAGCTCAGACTCAGACTGATTTGGACTTAGTGTCTTTGATATGCTTCGTTTTAACGTGCTTGCGCCCACAGAAATGTCCATCTTGATCAAAGGAGCAGATGTGTGCATAGCGGCATGAGGATGCACTGCGGGAACACTCCCCACTGTTCCACTTGTGACAGGGGTCGCATTTATTGGATGTGTTGGAATCTCGTGCAGCTACCACTGGGCTTTGAATCTCCATTATCATTCCACTGTCTTCTGTCTGAGTTGAAATGTGTGAAGACAAGGTCTTCAAATTCATGATGGTCGGTGAGCTTCAAGTCTGTGTGAAGTGCCGACTCTGTTCCTGACAGCTTTATCGAAGCATATGACTCTTCTGTGGGCAGAAGGATTGGCTTGTGAGAAGTAGGTGGAAATGTAGGTGAAGTAGCTGTTGAGCTCAGCCTCCCAATGAGGGAATGCAAATTTGATGGCATCTGCTGCTTTGTTCCATGCCGAAAACCAATTGGAGTCTGTGGAAATTTTCTTAGAAGCTGACTCTGATGCTCCATACCTGATCTCAACTTCCCCGAGGGTTTCCATCTGCTTGTCAACCGTTCAAGAAGAGGAGATGATGGTATGGACAACGTCGAGGTTGATATATTTGCCTGCGAAGATTTCAGCCCATCTGGACTCATGGAATTCTGGGCCATATTTGTGGTACATGAGGTATCGTCGAACCTCCTTCTGATCTTGCAACCAGTTGGCAAGAATCTCATTGGTCCTTTCAAGGTTTGCGGAGAGAGGTTTGTACTGTCTGGTTCTAACCGAGTGAGCAATGGAGGAATAGTTGAGCTTGGGACGTTTACGAGCAGGTTCTCCTGGCTCATTACTGCCTTCTCTGCTCCTAATCTCTGTATTAGGGGTCTTCTCAGGTTGAGGTGCTGGTTCAACCGAGCGCTCTCTGCATTCCCTGGATGAGTTGTTTCCAGCTCAAGTGAGTTCACTCTCGATTTGAGCGAGCATGGAAATATATGGTCCTGCGACAGTGATGACCTTTGAGGATGTGTTGAAACACTCTGCGCTGATAATTTCGATGAGTATGATGTTGGCTTCAAGTTTGGTGATCTGAGAGCATCTGTAGTCCTCAATGTAGTCAAAGCATTTCTTCGCCAGACTTTGTTGGGATGCAGCCAGTCCATTAGCGTCAGTCTGGGACATATTCCCTGGCCCTCCTGACCCTGTAATCGATCCAGAAGACTGGGCTTGTGACGATGTACTGGCATTGTTATTGATTTCAGTAGTCATATAGATGAAGGATGATTAATTGTAGATTTATTGTAGTTCAAATTGAGGTGCAGATGTGCATGGAGCAGAAGTGCTCTGTGAGGGCAAGTGAATAGAGACGGAAGAACGACTTTTGTCTGTAACCCCCGTATATACCTAAACAAAGAGGGGCCTCGCATGCGTAAGCCCATGACTCAAGAGCTGAGTCACGAATGATTTGACTGGCGTCGCGAACTGATTCAACTCGGTCAAACAAGTTAAACCACGATTAATATTGGTGTCACTCGGCCGCAGCCTGCGAGGTTAGCGAATCCCGACTAAAAAAGGTAATTGATCGAAGTCACGTGCCATCGCGTGGCCTTTTGGCTGAGCGCCACCGTAAATTTCTCGACATAAGTTGCGAAAGTAAGTTCAAGTTAAATTTGCAAAATGTGCGTATCTGACAAGACTCTAAAAGTGTGTATCTCTACAGTACCGTGACAAATGGAATTCCGTAGCTAGCGCAGGGGCGTTCCTTACATCGTGGTTGACGTCGTGACCGATATCCACTAGAGCTCTATCAGTGATAGCCAGTTTATCCCTTCTTCATAAGGCTCAGTTTTTGTTATCACCGTGAGTATCTACTATGATATCCATCTTCCGCAGATTAATCCCAAGCCCAGAATGGGCCAAAGCTTGGGGATACGCCGTCAGACAATACTCAACAATGACCTCCCCGAAAGTTTGGTTTAGTTAATTTGTTTCTACTGCTAACTAGGAACGAAGCTAACAAATTTCTCTGCATTCAGTCACCGGCGCATCGACTGGTCTAGGGCGAGAGGTTGCTGAATATGCTTTGAGCAAAGGAGACAACGTACTTGCCGCTCTGCGCAAGCCCTCGATGTTGGAAGACCTCACTGCTAGATATCCTTCCTCCCGCCTCGTTACTTTCCTGCTCGACGTAACAGATACACCCTCGATTGCCGCGGCATTCAATGAGGCCATCTCGCACTTTAATCGTATCGACGTCGTGCTGAACAATGCAGGATACTATATAGTATCAGAAGCTGAAGGCATGCCTCACAAGGCAGCACGAGAGATGTTCGATGTGCTGCTCTGGGGTGCAGAAAATGTCATGCGTGAGGCCATACGATGCTTCAGGGACGTGAATCGTCCAGTAGGCGGGCGATTATTAAATGTTTCTTCCCGGACAGCCATTATTCCACAGCCTGGAGCTGTACATTATGCTTCGGCGTGAGTTCGCATATTCTGCACAGTTTACCTTGTAAACTGACATTCGAATGGTAGTAAAGCTGGTAGGCAGGCTCTTAATTTCATTTTGTGGTTTTGAAGTCTAACTGGGCATCGTTAGCTTTGGAGTGTTTGTCAGAAGGGTATATCAGCGAACTTGACCCAGAGTGGAACATCAAAGTAGGTCGCTTGTATTTTCCGGTATTGGAAAGTAATTCATCTCGACAAAGATCACTCTCGTTGAGCCTGGTCTGTTCCGTACATCGGCAATCCAAAACTGTGTGACAGAACCTGTTCACCCTGCTTATGCATCCAATGCATCCCTCCCTACGCGCACGTACCGAGCTCTCTACCCTGATATCGAGCAGACGCATTTTGACGGCGATCCGGCCAAGTTTGCAGAAATGGTCTACAAGTTGTCTCGTTTGGATGAACCCCCAGTGCGCCTCCCTTTGCATAGGGTTGCCTTGGAATCTACAAGACAGAAGGGGGAATTGTTGCTCGAAACTGCCGAGAAGTGGTCCAGTTGGTCGGACGATGTGTACTTTCGTAAATGAACGAAAACCAGATATTGCAGTTAAGTGCCATATGTCGGGATACATTGATTCCAAGTATATATACACTATTGAGAATGTTATAGGATGTAACATATCAGTCTGAAGTGCGTTAGTATCGATATATGCTTTTTTGTCCTGGGTAACCGTAGCCCTTGTTAGGACCACCATAGAAACCACCCACACCGCCCCCCATAGGACTAGACGCGCCGATTGAGGCGCCTCCCATAACTCCTCTTGCGAAACCGCCCATCGTACCTCGTGCCAGACCTCCTACTGCCTTAACATGGTTGGAGGTAGGACCACCCATCGCGTCAGTGTATACAATTACCAGCCTGGCTTATATAACCACGGACAAGTCGAGTGGCGTAGCCACTCGACTTTCAAGATTTCCCACTCTCAAAGGACGTACATCAGACTGGTCACGAGTCTACAAAGACGCGCCGTAAATGGATGGCGCATGTATCTCTTGCTGCTTTGGTGGCTTCTGAGGTGAGCATTATTCCCAGATGACAGCACGGACTCCCGCAGACTCCCGCGCGTTCCTCCATCATACAAGCCCCAGGTCTTTGAATATTCCCACCTCATGATTCCCAGAATTGACATTCCTACGACCCACGGGTCGAGATTAAATTGGTCGCAGTCTAAGTCAAAGCCTTGATAGTGTGTTCAGTAGTAATCAACTTCAGAGAATCACAAGCTGGCCTACTGTTCCTTCTCAAGACGGTTGATTTCCACTATGGCATCTTCAAATTCAAAGGTGTGGTTTGGTAAGCGAGGAATACCTTGATGGCCTAAAAATGCTAATCGTTGTTGCTAGTGACTGGAGCGTCTTCGGGTTTTGGTCGAGCAGTTACCGAAGTCATGCTCCAAAAAGGAGACAATGTTGTTGCGACTCTGCGGAAACCTGCTATGCTAGATGACCTCGCGAATCTGTACTCAAAGAATCGGCTTCTCGTCTTGCCTCTGGACGTCACAGTTCCTTCTGATATCACTACCGCTTTTCTCAAAGCACGTGAGGCCTTTGGCCGCATCGACGTTGTTTTCAACAATGCGGGACTATGCACAATCGGTGAAGCGGAAGGAATGCCTGATGACGACGCAAAGCTCCTGTTCGATACATTGTTTTGGGGTGCCGCAAACGTCACGAAAGAAGCTGTGGCAACGTTTAGAGATTTCAACCAACCCCGTGGGGGGCGTCTCTTGCAAATGTCATCTCGTGCAGTCCTGCGAGTTGCTCCAGGAGTAGCGCACTATGCCGCAGCGTACGTGACACCATTTCGCTCATCGTTTTAACTGACATTTGCATAGTAAAGCAGGTATATATAGTTCACCTATCTTTGATTTCAAATAATTAATCGCAAACAGCTCTTGAATCTCTTTCGGAAGGGTATGCTACTGAATTGGATCAAGCATGGAATATTAAGGTGAGTCCTACGCACGATACTGATCTCAAACTCGAATTCATCATCTACAGATCACTGTTCTTCAACCTGCTCGTTTCCGTACTGCCGCACCCTGGACCAATACTCTCGTGCCAATCCATCCTGCGTACTCTGATCCAAATTTGCCTTCTAGACAGTTACGCAGCATGTATCCAGGAGCTGAGCGTTTTTCAGACGGAGACATCTACAAATTTTCACTGCAGATGTATAGGCTCGTGCAACTAGATGATCCTCCGTTTTATCTCCCGTTGCACAGAACGGCCTTGGAAGCGGCAAAGATCAAAGGCCAGAAGTTGTTACAAGCTGTCGAAGATTACGGTAGTTGGTCAGATGATGTATATCTTGACGAGGAAAATAGTCAGGGGCGAGCATAATTGTGCAAACTTCTTCAATGCGCTAATTTCCGACATGTAGAGTTCGCATGTGCCCTTGAGGGAAGCTCAATTCTAAAATATCGTTATCGTTTGAGTGAGGGTCAGCGCTGCTCGGGTCCATAGTGTTGCCGTCGAAGTGAAGTGACTGAGGTAACTTCACTTCGTTTCGTCCACAACAAAGTCTACCCAAACTGCATCCAATTTCCAATTCAATTTCGGCTTCAGTTTGCTTCACGGCAACACTAGAGCAGACTAGAGCCTCGGGTCCCAGGCGGCCCGGGCCCACGACAACGATATTTTAGAATTGAGCATCCGGGCCTTTGTCCAATTTTACCACCTGAAGTTGATATTCTCATGGTTGACGTCGTGACCGATATCCACTAGAGCTCTATCAGCTCTATCAGTGATAGCCAGTTTATCCCTTCTTCATAAGGCTCAGCTTTTGTGATCACCGTGAGTGTCCACATATCCATGTTCCGCAGATTGATCCCAAGCAGAACTTGGGGATACGCCGTCAGACAATACTCAACAATGACCTCCCCGAAAGTTTGGTTTAGTTAATTTGTTTCTACTGCTAACTAGGAAACGAAGCTAACAAATTTCTCTGCATTCAGTCACCGGCGCATCGACTGGTCTAGGGCGAGAGGTTGCTGAATATGCTTTGAGCAAAGGAGACAACGTACTTGCCGCTCTGCGCAAGCCCTCGATGTTGGAAGACCTCACTGCTAATATCCCTCCTCCCGCCTCGTTACTTTCCTGCTCGATGTAACAGATACACCCTCGATTGCCGCGGCATTCAATGAGGCCATCTCGCACTTTAATCGCATCGACGTCGTGCTGAATAATGCAGGATACTGTGTTGTATCAGAAGCCGAAGGCATGTCTCACAAGGCAGCACGAGAGATGTTCGATGTGCTGCTCTGGGGTGCAGAAAATGTCATGCGTGAAGCCATACGATGCTTCAGGGACGTGAATCGTCCAGTAGGCGGGCGATTATTAAACTGTTTCTTCCCGGACAGCCATTATTCCACAGCCCGGAACTGTACATTATGCTTCGGCGTGAGTTCGCATATTCTGCACAGTTTACCTTGTAGGCTGACATTCGAATGATAGTAAAGCTGGTAAGTAGGCTCTTGATTTCATTTTGTGGTTTTGAAGTTCGACTGGGCCTCATTAGCTTTGGAGTGTTTATCGGAAGGATATATCAGCGAACTTGACCCAGAGTGGAACATCAAAGTAGGTCGCTTGTATTTTCCGGTATTGGAAAGCAATTCATTTCGACAAAGATCACTCTCGTTGAGCCTGGCCTGTTCCGTACATCGGTAATCCAAAACTGTGTGACAGAACCTGTTCACCCTGCTTATGCATCCAATGCATCCCTCCCTACGCGCACGTACCGAGCTCTCTACCCTGGTATCGAGCAGACGCACTTTGACGGCGATCCGGCCAAGTTTGCAGAAATGGTCTATAACTTGTCTCGTTTGGATGAACCCCCGGTGCGCCTCCCTCTGCATAGGGTCGCCTTGGAATCTGCAAGACAGAAGGGGGAATTATTGCTCGAAGCCGCCGAGAAGTGGTCCAGTTGGTCGGACGATGTGTACTTTCGTAAATGAACGAAAACCAGATACGTATTGCGGTTAAGTGCCATGTGTCGGGATACATTGATTCCTAAGTATATATACACTATTGAGAATGTTAAAGGTAACATATCACAGTCTGAAGCGCGTTAGTATCGATATATGCTTTTGTGTCCCGGGTAACCGTAGCCCTTGTTAGGACCACCATAGAAACCACCCACACCGCCCCCCATAGGACTAGACGCACCGATTGAGGCGCCTCCCATAGCTCCTCTTGTGAAACCGCCCACTGCACCTCGTGTCAGTCCTCCTACTGCCATAGCATGGTTGGAGGTAGGACCACCCATCGCGTCAGTGTATGCAATCATACCGGGCTCGGCACTCCGCGCACGCCTGTTATAGTGTGTGCTAGATGACCTGTGGCGTCTTCGGGGCAACTGGATGACAGTCGTCGTGCCTGGATAGGCGGACACCGTTGTGATGTTTGGGGGTGCCGGTGTAAGGCGAAGACGCGCCGTAAATGGGTGGCGCATGTACCGGAGATGCTCCTCCATACACAGAGGACCCAGCACCATAAGCAGGGTAAACACCTCCATGCGTTCCTGTAATTCCCATTCCATTTCCGCCCACCAGGGGGCTCCCACCACCATAAATTGTAGGGTTCGCCCCCATGCCCATGCTAGGTGCAGTGCCCAAGTAAGGCGAGCTCCCAATCCCACCCATAACCGATCTCGCTCTAGGGCTATATGCTCCTGCAGCGCTATGTGGGGCTGACATCGAGAGCCGCCTGTGTCTCCCAGTCTTCTGGCGTAAATATGGTGCATCATAGTCAATGGCATGTGGGTCAATCACGCCAGCCATGCCAGAACCTGTCCATCCCGGGCGTTCCGAATCCTGAATCATATGCGCCAACGTCCATTCCGGTATCGTACCCCATCCCAGCACCTATATCACCTCTGGAGGAACCCGACGAATTCTATGATAGCATTGCATTAGTATTGGTGCGATGAGTCAACAGCCCATAGAATAGCTGTCCAGATGATCAAATATACGAATACTAACTTCGTCGAATATATGCAATGCAGTCGCTGCAGCAGCTTCGCACGCTGGTATATAATAGTCCGTATCAGCCGGGTTTGAGATCATATACATCTTGATGGCTGAATGTCAAATATTGTGAGTCGCGAGGAAGTAAATAGTAGCTAGAGTTGGTACCTTCTGCAATGGCAAGTCCTGTGAATGCTTCTTTCTGGCGCTCAATTTCTGCGCCGAAAGGCTCATAGAGCGCGATATTATGGATCCAGAACCGGTATGCTTCGTAGGCCGAGGCATATCCAATTTCCTGAGGAGACAACGCACTAATCGCACACTAGTGATGCATTTATCTCGTTCAATGTTACCGGACTCGATAGAAAATATGCCTTACAAGACCACCATATCCCCGTCGGTGCCATACACGAGCCTCATTGATACCTACACCCACGGGGGCCACATCTGCATTAAACATTCTGCCATAGACCTGATTGAAGATCGTACTGAGACACAGTGTAAATGACCATGCTATGGAGCGAGATGTGGTTGCTCTTACGGGTCTATATGTGGTGCGTGGGCTCTGAAATAATCATTATCCACCCCCTACGCTCGACCAGTGAGTTCCTACGAAAAAGATATCGGTACACGCCGTAGCTACTTACATGAAGGCTGTGGTTGAAACTGAATCGGGGGAGGACGGCCAAATTGTAACTGTTCTCTCTGGTCGATAGGATCCCCAGTGCTCAGGCAGTCGACTTACTTGGTTGCTTCCCCATCCATTTAGAGTTGACTGGTAATAAGGGTAGGACATTGGTGAAAAGCGCGAAGTGATTGCAAGGCAAGGGGCGTGCAGCTCCGCAGCATACTCGCAGCTATTAAGGTGCATCACGAGTATGACATCATATTGGTGGCCGTGGAGTGTGCACCACAGTACTTGATCTTGTGGAGTACTTGGAGGTTCGACCTCTGATAAAGGTATTAGTAAGCGGAACAGTGAATAACGTAACACTGGTACTGCCTTCGAGTTTATCCACAGCATGTTCTATAGATATCCAGCTTGCAGGGTACTACGATTGGTGAGTGAATGATTTCCATATATAAAGTCTACCAAAAAAAAGGTTTAGTTTCTGACCCAGACGGTGCGCTCATGCTAGTGTCAGTATGTTTCTAACTTAGTTGTCACACATTTGATTGCTGATCTTCATTGGTACATAAGGTCAACGTTACCCCAACCGTGCTGATGAGAATCCACGCGAGCCTGTTAGATCACAATGGGCCAGTCCAGAGACGAAAAGTCGTTTTTGGGCGACGTACATGCATGAAGCAGCTGAGCATGATGGTCAAATTCTCGATAAGTACAAAAGCGACATGGATATCGTTCTAATATTCGTGCGTCTTTTACCTTAGCATCACCTCTTTTCTTATTCATTCACTCGGTCCGCATACCTATTGTTATAGGCTGGTCTTTTTTCCGCTGTTACCACATCCTTCATTGTCAATATGCACAAAACTTAGCTCCCGATCCGACCACAGAGACCAACATGCTTATCAAGAAGCTGATTCACATATTCGACAATTCAACATTTCCGGGCGACTATTTCGACACGTCACCCCTGGACTGGTCCTAGCTCCACCGAAATATGGGTTCAGTCGCTCATATATGCAAGTCTATCCGCGAGCCTTCTAGCAGCACTTGGAGCAATGCTGGGCAAGCAATGGCTCAACCATTTCAAACACTTTGGTCACGGAACGGTTTGATGGTCGTGGAAGGCAACGGCAACGGAAGCTTGATGCTTTATATGCCTGGCATTTCAACGCTGTTCTGGAAGGTCTCCCCGTCCTGTTGCAGTTGTCCTTGCTGTTGTTTGGGGTTGCGCTCGGTGCAAATCTATGGACAGAACAAACACATTGTCGCCTGCATTGTCATTGGCACAACGACATTTGGGGCCGTTTTCTATGCGCTAATTGTTGTTGCCGCATTGATATCTGATGTGTGTCCATTCCAAACACCGGCATCTAATCGACTTCGCAGCATCGGTCAGTGCGTTGTCCGCTTCCACAACCTTCTTCAGAAGGGAAATCAGACCATCTTTTCATCACTCTTGCGCTTCGTCAGCTATATCCCTTATATCACAATAACTTTACTCCACTCATTCGCATCATGCATTTCTCGCCGGCTTTCTTCACAATACGCCATCGAAAATACGGATGCCCCTTGTATCCGATGGTTGCTTGAGACCTCCGATGACCCAAATGTGATTACCACTGCTGCCAGCTGGTTCCTGAGGTCGAGTGGCCACCAGATTTGGATGTATCTTGCGCCTTGCTCAGGCTGCGAGACACTTTCCTGGATTGCTTCGAGAACACACAGTATGGTCAACCGAAACTTTCTGACTTTGGCCGAGATTGTGCGATTGCATGTGGAAAGGCCTTCTTGCATCTCTACATCGAAAGACGGTCATTGGATGCCAGACCCGTCTTTCTGCGTGCCACTCATGATCCAGAATTCGCACTTACCAGCTCCTCTCGTCTGCATGATGCCCATTGGCTAATGTGGACTCGTCAAAATGACCCCGAACTCTCTTTCATCTGCGACCTTATTCTCGAGATAGTACTGGATGTTGGCGTCAGCATACCCATTTCGCTTGGAAACCCGAAAATTCCGAATACCCTTCTGATGTGGATGTCTCATCCCCTACTTCACTGTCTCAGCGCAAACCAGTATGCAAGGTTTTGGAGGCGGCGTGCGTTGGATGTAGTAGAGAGGCTGCTTGTGTCGCCCTTACCTCCGACGAATGTCTTAGCGAACTGCCTTATGGCGGGCAGGTTTGCTTTTGGATCAATCCGTTGATCCAAATCAACTGACCAGCACAAAACAAGGGGTAAGGAAACCTTTTGACGTCATGTGGAGCTTGAAAAGTAACCCATGATTGTACAGGTCATCGATCAAAACACTGCTTGTAATCTGTCCTCGAGAGCATGCAGCAAGCCATCGGTATCGACATCCATCTAGAGCTACGCGACCGGCTCGTCTCTTTATGCCCTGAAACTTCTACAACCTTTGGCGGTTGTTTTAGAAGTTGAGCAGTTTCGCCAGGTGGCGTACGATTTGGGAATGTCCGACTGGGGTGTTCGACTATGCCAAAGCCTTGTCAACATAGTACTTCATCATCCGGAACTCTGTAGACCAGAAGCACGTGAGAAGGCCTGGGTGGCCGCTCGCGATGCGCTGCATTTCAGCGTGATCACTGCTGGGAGTGGTGATAGCGGCCCAACTGATGATCGAATCGCTTGTAAGGAAGAGATTTCTCGTCTCCGCACGACCAGGAACGTTGGTTGCGGCTGGCTCCTCGATTATATCATGCATCATCATTCGATCTCTCATCAGTCAGCGCTCACTGATGCATTCCTCACGATTAGCGAAATGATATCGACGTTGCATGCAGAGAGAAGATGCCGACCTATATTAATGCGATGATTTCTGCAATGGCAACGGACAAGCCTCCACGGCTTCGCAAGGCTGCGTTTTGCGCTGCGTATTCATCAAGGAACTATCTTGCCTCGTTGGACACCGATTCTCTCTCCCCAGATCTCTGCACTCAATTTTCAGCAGCGCTTTCTGGCGTTGTTGCTGACAGTCTATCCTTTGGTCAGGGCGAGGATGGTATCCTTTCTGAACACTCCAGTATGTGCGGCAAGCAAAACCTTCGTTATTTGCACATATTGTTCTCGTGGACTCAAAGTGAACTATGGTCCCGTCACCTCTATGATGGTGGACACCTCGAGGCATGCCTATTCATCGCGAACAACCTTCGTTACTTCGAAATCTACCCTCTCACAGAACATCTTGCCTTATACATCATTGCAATTATGGCACGACTGAAGGGAGAACACAACAACCTCATCCCGAACGATCTTTGTGGCCTTCTTGTACACAAGGCTTGGGCATTCGCCGCCCTTCGTTCTCTTAAACCACTCGAGATCTCGGAGTGCGTCATACATGAAGTTCTCGAACCATTTGCAAAGTTCACAATCCAGCTACTGAAACGTGATGCGGAGCTTGTCGATGTCACCAACGAATTCAAGTCATGTGTAATGCAGACACTGTACCACTTGGAGCAAGGTTCCGCGGACAATGTAGTGATATCGCTGGTCAAGGATGTTGTCTCATTGGTCACTACATGAGCCACCTGTGGCCGAGTGGGTGTTTTAGTGCCTGTTCCCCTTGGCTTAATTGTTGATGGATGTTGTTTACCGGTGTAACTGTATGTAATCTCAGTGCGAGAACAGATAGTATAAGGCAGTTCTATTGCTTCGTACAGCTCCGCTTAGAGCCCCAAAGATAGTCACCCAGGCACATCAGTGGCCAATTGGTAGTGACACATCTTTATTTCAACAAGGACATCCACGAACGTCACGGTTGTTCCTGGTGTCTTCTGTGCAAGAGTTTCCCTCAAATATTTGGGTACACGATGCCTTTTTCGTGTTCAAGATGTTCACCGCAGCTTACTTCTCTAGCATTGGCTGTGGCACAACGACTAGTGACTCAGGCGTGTCATCCTGATTCCTGACTGTTAATGTGCAGTTGATGATATTTGGGGCGCTTTCATCAAGGTCCCACAGTGGCGTCCGCGACCGTTATTCGGGACTGATATGGCACAGCTCATTCATATGAGGATCTTTCCAGTCAGTATTGACCGCCGCCCTTTGTTGTAACTGGTTAACGTTCACACACTGAGCGCTTCTGGTATTTCTATAAGAGCAATGATCCCATAATCCCCATTCCAACCAAGACGGTCAACCTATAGCCTCACTTGCCACCGTGACAAGATGCCGAGTCCAAAATGTGGTATCCAATTACCAGAAAATGGCAATGGCGCAAAGTATGTACCCTCCGAAATAGTTCTGCTTGTCGACTCAATAAAATTCGATCCTTCAGGCCTCCAAAGCTTCCTCAGAACTTGAAATCATTCGTAGAGACTATGCAGTCCCCCCGTCCATCACAGTCCCAGGGCGACGAGAAAGACGCCAAAATCCCGCTTCTGGGCCACCTACACACGGGAAGCTACGGATTATGACGGAGAGTTTCTTGAAAAGTATCAGTCAGACATGGATATCGTCCTCATATTCGTCAGAACCTTTTCTTTGCTCCTCGCTCTGTCATCTGACCTTGAATCACAGGCCGGTCTGTTTTCAGCCGTCAATACGTCGTTTATTGTAAACATGCAGGCGAACCTCAACCCTGATCCAATGGGCACTACGAATGCATTGCTTGGAATGCTGCTCCAGACTGCCAACTCCTCCTTTATCTCACAGTCTGGTCTACCCTACGCGCAGTGGCAGGGACCTAGTGCCACAGTAATCTGGGTCCAGTCGTTGACTTACGCCAGTCTTTGCGCAAGCCTACTTGCCGCCCTTGGAGCCGTGCTAGGGAAGCAATGGTTGAGCAACTTCAAACGCTCTAGCCGTGGTACCGTTGACGATCGGGGCCGACAAAGGCAGATGAAACTCGATGGTCTTCGGACTTGGCATTTCGATGCTGTGTTGCAGTTCTTGCCCTCGCTCTTGCAGATCTCTCTCCTCCTTTTTTGGGGTCGCACTGTCCGCTAGCATGCGGACAATGTCACACACAATTTCTATCATCATCATCACATCCACAATGCTTGGCTTCACATTCTATCTAACGATCATCCTGGCATCACTCATGGCTGCAGATTGCCCTTTCCAGACACCAGGATCAATCACCCTTCGTGCTTTGGGCCGGTCTGTCCTCCGCTACTATCCATCGTTGGAAAAACATCGTCGGAATTTCAGTACAGTCTGTTTAAGTTTCGTGCTTTACATCCCATTCAAGATCATTTACACCCTGAACACTATCTCGCAACAACTTACACCTTCCGTCTCTGCTGTACCGCAAACAGATGCTCCGTGTATCAGGTGGATCATCGAATCATCCAGCGACCCCGATATCGTCACAACTGCGGCGAGCTTTGTTCCTGAGGTGGAATGGCCACCCGAGCTTGACATATCCACTCTTCTTCTGCAACTTTTCGACACATTTCTCGGTTGTTTCGAAAACACACACCACGAGCAACTGATGCTAGTTCCACCTAGACGGGAACGTGCAATCGCTTGCGGAAAGGCGTTCTTGCACCTGTACATAGAGAGAAAGTCTTTCCTGAATTCTGAAGAGACTCCATTCCAGGTCGCTGTCTGCGAAAAGGACATCCGCAAGCTCATATGGGTACATCACAGCGACCAAGAGATAGCATTCATTTGCTATCTTGTTTTCGAGGTGGTCTTGGATGGGGATTCTCCAGCGCGCCTTTCTCAACCCAACATACCGGACGCTTTTCTTTCCTGGATGTCACATCCACTCCTTCATCGCCTCAACGATTCGCGCTACTCGTCCTTCTGGCACGAGCGAGCCCTGGATGCCATCGCAAGAATTCTCGTAAACCCACTTCCTCCAAAAATGTTCTCGCCAATTGCTTTATAGCTGGCAGAATGCTCCTTGGTCAATTTACCGCGCGGGATGCGATTTTGAAGGTCACCAAAAGGTCCGTCCAGTTCTTTTCAAGTCTATGCATGTACTAACAACCCGTGATACAAAGCTCCACCGCTGCACTTGACATCTTGCTAGAGCATATGATGAAACAAGAGTCTCCTGAACAGTCCGCAATCGTGCGGAGACTGCTAGAACCATTAGGTGTGGTCCTTGAATTAGAAGAGTACCGTCAAATCGCACAACAACGCGGTGTCGCGGAGTGGGGACTCGAAGCATGCAAAACCTTGGTTCTGACCAGCAGTCAGAACCAAGATGATCAGGACGCAATTTGGAACGACGCTCGTACCATACTACACTTCACCGTCATCGTGGCCGGTGATGGTCACATCAACCAGAGCGATACAGGATCAGCGTGGCAGCAGGGGCCATCTCGGTTATCGATTCAAGAGCCCGCTAATTGCGGTTGGCTCATCGACTACATCATCCATTATCACAATTCTGATCACATCGCTGTCACTGATGCTATGATGGCACTGAGCCGGTTATTTCATGTCAAGTTCAACTCAGCCAGGGCCCCAGCGCTGGTGGAAGTTATAGTGTCTTCCCTAGCTTCAGAACAGCAGCCCGCCCTTCGACATGCCGCTCTCGGTGCTGCTTATACCTGCAGGAAAATCGTCTTTAGTGACATTTATATGCCGGCCCATCTGTTTCCAGATTTTTCCGCCGCTCTTCATTCCACTCTCACCAACAGCGACTCACCACGGCAACACCTGCTTTGTCTGAAAATCTTGTATTCTTGTGCCAAAAGTGAAGCGTGGAAGGCTCACATATTCGGGCACGAACATCATAGCAGCCATCTTCATATCGCCAACACTTTCCCTTACCCCGGTGCTGATCCTCTGTCATCCGAACACCTTGCGCTCTACATCATTGCAAATCTGCAAGTCATGCAAGAATTATCTGACCATCCACTTGACCTCCCGGACGCCAATTCTTGCCGAATGCTTGTCCAAAAAGCTTGGCATTCTCTGGCTGTTCGACAACCCGGAATCTTAAAGGAGACCATCGAGCACCTTAGTGCCTTTACTAAGGATTGCTTAAACGAAGGCACGATCCTTGGCACCGAGGTTTTGATTTCTTCCATAGGGCAGACTCTCGGTCAATTAAGACAGGGTGGTTCTGACATTCGATTGACAAGTGCGGTGAATGATCTGTTGCTAAATATTACGGGTTCCAATAGTTGACGCTTGTTAGTGGACTGATCCGATATATTTATGTAGCTGTGTAATAGTTTCTTTGTATGTATGTAAGTCACGGGCGGACTGTGAGCTCTGGGAAGGGAAATTGATGCTGTATCATCTACTATGCATGTGGTTTTGTAAGCCACAATGGTGTTTGAATGAGGTGACCGGTGACGGGGAAGCCCTGCGGTTATTAGAAGAGCTGACACAGCTTCACTTGCGTGCGGTATAAAACTTGTCGAGATCGGTAACGACGACCGTGTTGCGCTGCTTTTACGGCGCAGGATTGATAGACTTGGAAAGTCAAGTTAGGTGAAAAGGGCCAAAATCGGTTGGGCGCTGGCAGGCGAAGTTTAACGCCTGTGATAACACCACCTCACACAACTCAGTTGATGCCAACTCGAAGATGCTTATATATGCATCTGATGCGGTGAACATTCTGGGGCCACTGTAACAGATGGTCATAGATACGGTACACGGTGGTCGTGCAGGCGACAAATGGGGTGGGAGGTGCTGTGAATTAGCCTGAGGTATGCACCGTGCATGTGGAGCAGGCTTCATGCAATTCTGCATTTTAATTTTAGAGAAAGACACTCACGAAGCAGCCTTCGTCGCATTTACAGAGTCGTTCTAAGTATCTATTTTGCCCGGTAAAATCCCAGGTCAGGTATCCTCTAGTACATTTCATCTGCATCAGTGGAACCGCTGCATAAGGCTCATTACAAACCCACGTCGTCTGCAGCCGAACTCCCTGCCAATCTGTCGTATGGTATAATGTGTTGTCCAATTCTATGAGGGAGTAGCATCAAAAGATCAACTTTACGGGCTATTTTAGACCTCCGGAACACCATTATACTGCCCAGGACGCGACTGCTGTGAAAAGTTTTGGTTGACCGACGATGTGTTGGTTTGTATGGTAGAGGACAATGGCAGCGGGAAAGTGCTCGGGTCGGCGGGATCCTGCGCAAGATGATGAGTATGATGCGTCACAAACGTTGTGGGAAACATACATAGAAACGCGGAGGCTGCGTCATTTGGGGTTGGCTGAAAGTGGGTAAGGGTGCTCTGCGAGAGCGACGACGCCTGATGAAGAACCATGCTGCAAGACCTGCGATGGCTCCAACTCCAACAATTCCTCCGACAACACCCCCAGCTGTAGCCCCAACGTCCGAGCTCTTGGAAGTAGGCGTTGAAGATCCTGTGCTCGTGGTCGAAGCGGGTAAGCTAGCGGATATCAATATAGTCGAAGTGACGCTAGCCAATGGCGACACGATCACGGTCGAAATAATGGATAGTGACGAGGTCGCTTTGGATTCCGGCAAATCTACAAGAAAGTGAGTGACGCGTTTGTACCACTGAAAAGTTATGCGTGTGAGCTGACCTCCATCCAGCTGCGCTGCGGTGGCATTGAAAATATTACTAGTTACCTTCAAAGAAATTTAGGATATGACAGTCGTGATGTTTCATGTACTTACGACATCCAAGTAAGCCCAATTCGGAACTGCAGTGCCAGTCGGAATGTTCATTGGATATCTGCAAATCAAGTAAAAGAAGTTCAAGAACACAACCTCGCAGACTGACGATTGTGTAAAAGCCGTTGTGCAATAGGTTTTCCAGGAACTCCAGCTGTGAGGGAATAAGTACTTCGTCCGTCGAGCATACTTGATGCAACTTACGTCACAGGAATGAGGCCCTGGCAAACACCACACGCGCTCGTCAGTGAGTAGATTACTGAATTGCATTGGCAAGGGTTTGCTCCACTGAGCGGGGGACCTGAATATTGAGTACCCGCAGGGATAGCAACGATCTCAGCGCCTGCCAAAAATGAGTCATGCAAGATCAAAGCCTGCCGAGAAACGAAAAGCCATACTTCCACCAGCGCAGGGGCTCCCGAGGTAGGCAGTAACTAAGCAAGGGGTCTGGCCAAGACTGTTGTTCATCTGATATCACCCAATCATACCATCAGAACTTGCAAGTTTAAGGTAAAGCAAAGAAATGATGTACCCAGCCAAAGGAGGAGAGGCACGTTATATTTGCCACTATCTGCGCAAATGCACCTTGGGGTGCAGTGGCTGCCACCAAGGCCACTATCGACGGCCATACCTTCAAGTTGAGTAGCGACATGACGGATAAAAGAGAGAAGGAACAAAGCCGGTGCCTAGCAGACCCTGCCAGTTATATACTGTTAGGTAGTCCCTGGTAGCTCTGCATCAAAAAGTTCTCCGTAACAACCACTGTGCAGTCGCCAGTGGAAGCAGCGGGGCTTGACTCGTTGTGCCATCACTGATCAAAGAGCTGGACAACTGCACAGCATGTACATCAGATCCGGGACAATCAACATGTTTGTCTCATAGCCCATGATGCTGCCAAGCAAGAAACACAGCAGGCGCACAAAAAAAATTGTCGCGCGCTCATCAATGTGATTTGTCTTGGGCTACTAGTTGATTTGTTAGTTCTATCATCAGATTCATCACAGCCTTCTATACTTGCCCGTTGGCCTCCGTTGGCTTACCTGAGCTCACATAATTAATCTCCGCGATAATATCTCCGAGTCTCATCTGAAGACGTAATAGTTAGTAGTACAGCATGCACAGCAGCTTCTGCAATCAGACAAGTACCAGTACTCGTCCCAGATAAATATCTCCCAGATGATTCCTAACCGCACCCAGCTAGTACTTTCAATTTGTCCATTCCATCACACATATCATGACCTTCGTGAATGAGTGAGGAACAATGTCGGTTTTTCTCGATCTTGTCCCTCTCTCGGTTTCTGACCTTTTTGACAGTTCTTCCATCGTTTGAAGGAACTTGGGCGAGGCCATCCCAAGTTGCTGTCAACGGTGCTGAATACAATTCCCGAGAACGTCAGCCCCACCCGAAATGTTTGGAAGGGACCCGGGTGGATCTCCTCACTTATATATACGAATTGCTAGACGACCCAGAGAAGAATCGACTTATTTGGCTGCATGGCACGGCAGGCGTCGGAAAGTCTGCCGTTGCGTTTACTGTAGCTGAGAGGATGAGAGGTCTAAAAGTGACAAAGCAGACTAATGTCGAAAAGCGGCTCGGAGGAACATTCTTTTTCGCGCACAAGCACACCAAACGTTGCATGGCTGGATATTTTTTCGTGACTCTTGTCTATCAGCTTGCCACTGATTTTCCCAGCATCCGGAAGGATGTGGATAGAGCTATCCGTGACAATCCCGCTCTATTAAACCCAGACAAGTCTCTCTGCGACCAGATGGAGGCTCTCTTTCTCCAACCTCTCCGAAATCTTCAACTCATATTGCGCGGGTGTCCGCCTTTGACGTTTATCATCGATGCCCTTGATGAATGCACATCCGAACCCGAGCTTACCGATCTTATCCTTGGGGGTGAATTAGGGGTTTGCCAATCAGGCGTCTCCATGATGGTGAATCTGTGAATCTCGCAAAATATCTACACTGGCTAAAATCTCCCCGAAACCATTCCTTATGCGGACCCTTCGATCACGCAGTACGGCTTCGACTTCTTTGCCTTCCTAGTACTTGTCCTTCAACTGCATTCCATCCAGCGATTTTTCCATAGATATTTTAGCGAAGTAGATTGAAATATCCATCACATCTTCGTCACGCTTCGCACTCTCCATCAATCGACAGCTTGATCGTTCTGCGACCCAAGTCTTGTCACAACAAACAAGCTTCAATTCAGATCTTCGTACGTCGTCCCTCCAGATAACTACAGCCCAGATTATTTCTAAACACACCCTCGAACCCAGCCAGTACTTTCAGTTGGTTCATTGCATCTCGCCACATAACACAACTTTCGTCAATGAGTGACGATCAATGTCAGTACTTCCATTTCTTATCTTTCGCATGCTCTCTAACCTCTTTGACAGTTCTTGAAGGAACCTGGACGAAGCTGGCCCAGGTCGCTGTCAAGGGTGCTCAATATAACTCCCGTGAACGTCAGCCCCACCCGAAATGTTTGGATGGGACTCGGGTTGATCTCCTTAAATACATCCACGAATTACTGGACGACCCAAAGAAAAATCAACTCATTTGGCTGCATGGCACTGCTGGTGTCGGAAAGTCTGCCGTCGCGTTTACAGTTGCTGAAAAGATGAGGGGTCTAAAAGTGACAGAAGAGACGACCGTCGAAATGCGGCTAGCGGGAACATTCTTTTTCTCGCGCAAGCACACAACGCTGCACAGCTGGATATTTCTTTGCGACGCTTGCTTACCAGCTTATTACCAATTTTCCAAGTATCCATAAGGATGTGAACAGAGCGATCCGCAAAAATCCTGCCCTACTAGACCCAGACACACCTCTCCGTGACCAGGTGGAGGCTCTCTTTGTCCAACCCCTCCGGAAACTTCGACTCAGATTGCGCGGATGTCCGCCTTTGTCGTTTGTTGTCGATGCGCTTGATGAATGCACGTCTGAACCCGAGCTTACCGATCTTATCCTTTCCCTTGCACGGGCCCTTCGTGAGCCTGACCTACCCGTGACCCACATTCTACTCACGAGTCGCTCGGAATCGCACATCTGCAAAGCCTTTCAGAACAAGGAGGTGCAGCCGTTGTTGTGCGAAATACCCGTCAAAACTTCTGGGGAGGGTGTTTGCTGCTATCATCTCGCTCGATGGCGCCGATGTTGACAAGGACATCTATATTTTCTTGCAGCATTCCTTCGCAGAGCTGGCAAGTCGCCATACCGATTTCCCTCAGCCATCGAAGGATGATCTTGCGAAGCTGGCGAGCCGAGCGGGCAGACGTTTTATCGTGGCGTCCACAATGATGAAGTTCATTATCGACAACGAAGACGATGATCCCCGCGATCGGTTACAGCTGATGCTCAAGCTAACGAGCGAGCTGCTGCCAGGAACGGAGGTGTATAAGTTATACGATTGTATCCTCTCCACATGTGCAAACCCTAAGCGGGCTTACATGCACTTGTCCATCGTCGCCGCCCTCGCAGACCCTCTTTCCATCTCGCAAATCTCGTCACTTCTTGGCCCTGGTTTGGGCCGGGATATACAGACAACGCTGATACAGCTACGGTCTGTCATGGATATCCCTACAGACAGCACTCTCCCCGTGAATATCTATCACTCATCTGTTCGCGACTACGTTTCTGACCCCTCAAACTGTGGCCTCCCTCAAGTATGCGATATCGCATCACCCCACTCCCTACTCGCACATTCGTCTCTCCGCTTGATGACGGAGATTACGGAAAGCACGGCTCTCTTGGATGCACTCTCAGAACTGGGGAAACAGAGCCAAGTTATGCAACCTGAGGAGCACCATCGATTAAAAGCTTCGCTATCCTTCCTTGTTCGTCCACCAGAGCCACTGTCTGTTCTCATCTGTATGCTATGGCTTCGGGGAGATCGTACTTCAGATTTACAATATTGGCTGGAAACGATGGACGGGTGTACCTGGGTGCAGACCACGAATGGGCGGGACTGGCTGCAGACCAAGGGAGGACGAGACTGGGTGCGGGCCCAGGGAGGACGAGAGTGGCTGCGGACCGAGGGAGGACGAGACTGGGTGCAGACCGAGGGAGGACGAGACTGGGTGCAGACCGAGGAAGGACGAGACTGGCTGCAGACAGATGGTGGACGAGACTGGCTGCAGGCCGAGAGGAGGACGAGAGTGGCTGCAGACCTGGAGAGGAGAAAACTGGCTGCATACCGAGAGAGGACGAGAGTGGCTGCAGAGCTGGAGAGGAGAAAACTGGCTGGAGACCTGGGGAGGACAAGACTGGCTGGAGACCGAGGGAGGACGAGACTGGCTGGAGACCTGGGGAGGACGAAGCTGGTTAAAGACCAGGAGAGGACGGAACAGACTGGAGACCTGGAGAGGACGAGAGTTGCTGCAGAGCGCTGAGGAGCAGTTGCTGGAGATCAAAGAAGGACGAGAATGGCTGCATACCGAGGAAGGACGAAAGTGGCTGAAGACCGAGGAAGGACTAAGTGGCTGAAGACCCAGGGAGGGCGGAGAGTGGCTGCATACCTGGGGAGGACGAGAGTGGCTGCAGACTAATCAAGGACGAAAGTGGCTGCAGATCCAGGGAGGACGAGACTGGCTGCAGATAGAGGAAGGACGAGACTGGGTGCAGACCGAGGGTGGACGAGATTGGCTGCAGACCGAGGTTGGACAAGAGTGGCTGCAGACCGAAGGTGCACGAGAGTGGCTGCAGACCTGGAGAGGAGGAAACTGGCTGAAGACCTGGGAAGGACTAGAGTGGCTGGAGACCGAGGGAGGACGAGACTGGCTGCAGTCCTGGAGAGGGCAAAACTGGCTGCAGTCCTGGGGAGGACGAAACTGGCTGCAGACCGGGAGAGGACGAGAGTGGCTGCAGAACTGGGGAGGACGAAACTGGCTCCAGACCGAGGAAGAACGAAACTGGCTCCAGACCCCGGCGGGTGGGCGACACTGGCTTCAGACCGTGGGCAGGCGAAACTGGCTTCAGACCCTGGATGGGCGAAATTGGCTCCAGACGCCTCATGGTCAAGCGTGGCAATCCACTCCTGCGGGGTCTGTATGGGCGACTATGGAAGAATTCTCGAGTACATTGGAAACAATCAGCAACTATATCATTTTCCCAGAATTGGCTTTACTGCCAACCTTCAAAGTAGTCCAGCAGCTCAAAAGCTTACCGGATTTCTTGATGTTTCCAATGTTCCTGGCGTTGATACCCGAGACCATTCACTTCTGTATCACCAGAAGTTCCTGACAGGAAGATCATCCGTGCTATGAATCTCTTTGTAGCTTTCGCAAACGAGGCGCAGGAGCGAAGTCAATTCATCTTCCGACGCTCTCAAGTATGCATCTCAAAACTGGGTTGTTCACCTGTCGCGTGCTCCAAATCTATGGGACGACACTCTCAACCATATATTCCAGGTTTTCTGGAATCGTCATCTCTCTCCTGGCTCGAACGGCAGTGGTTGTTTGAAGGGACTGCGGTCTTGTCTTGATATTTTATCCGAGGGGCAGAAACTTGCAAAGTTTATTGCGTTGCTTCAGGTTTGACGGTTTCTGTTTTGATTTTGTGAAACCTCTTCAATTCTCTCTCGTTTTCAGTTGGAACCTTCAACGCACAGCCTAATGAACGGTTGTCAGCCATCGGTCCCAATTCCCGGCACTCAACAACGGAAGCTTCGGCCGCCCTTGCCCTCCCTGAGGTCCAACACCGCTGTAGGAGGGATAGAGGATGCAGGCGCAGGTTTCTTGGACTTTGAGGAAGGAAAAGCAGAGAACCTGCGTGGAGAGGCGAGACGGTTTGTTGTAGGAAGGGAACCGTGAAGACGGACGATTGAGGGCGCCTGGAGGAGCGAAAACTGCGCAGTTGATTTTATTTGGTCTTGTACTGGTCTCCTCAGTAGATTCTTGTCATCTTTGCCATCACTCTTGTCTCCGTCAGACCCAGCATGGCTCAGCACGTTCACTGTCCAAATCTGCCAGGCGACAAGCGAATTAGTTCCTCCAAAGGTCCTTGATACCATTCTCGATTTACTAGATAATTCCGTCGTCCTCGGCAGACATATCCAACTTGAAGGGTAGTCGCCAAGTGGTGGATAAATCCCTTTTACCAGTCGTCAGACATGCGTGCTGTAGGCGCCACCATGCCGCGGGGTGTTTGAGCAAGAGGTGACCGGTGATGAGGAAGCCCTGCAGTTATAGATGGCATAGCTTCACTTGCGTGCGATATAAACCTGTCGAGATCAGTACCGCGACGACCGTGTTGTGCTGGGGGCCTCTGTAACAAACAGGGTAGGGCTGTGAATTAGCCTGAGCCCTGCGCAATGCATGTGGAGCAGGCCTCGTGCACTTCAGCATCTTAATCTTAGAGCAAGACACTCACGAAGTAAACCTGCGGCCTTTGTCGCATTCATAGAGTTGTTCTAAGTATTTTATTTTTCTCGGTAACATCCTAGGTCAGATATCCTCTAGTACAATTAAATCTGCATCAATGAAACCGCTTACATAAAGCTCATTACCAAACCCACACCGTTTGCAGCCGAACTCCCTGCCAATCTGTCGTATGGTATAATGTGTTGTCCAATTCTATAGGGAATGGCCATCCAGAGATCATCTTTGCGAGCTATTTTAGAACTCCGGAACACCATTATACTGCCCGGGACGCGACCTGCTGTGAAAAGTTTGGTTGAAGGACGATGTGGTGGTTTGTAACGTAGAGAACAATGGCGGCGGGAAAAGTGCTCGGGTCGGCGGGATCCTGCGCAACATGAGTATGGATGCTTCACAAACGTCGTGGGAAACATACATAGAAACGTGGAGGCTGCGTCATTTGGGGTTGGCTGAAAGCGGCTGAGGACGCCTCTGCGAAAACGACGGCGCCTGATGAAGAACCATGCTGCAAGACCTGCGATGGCTCCAAACTCCGACAATTCCTCCGACAACGCCCCCAGCTGTAGCCCCAATGTCCCGAGCTCTTCGAAGTGGGCGTTGAAGACCCTGTACTCGTGGCCGAGGCGGGTGAGCCACGGATAGCGGTGTAGTCGAAGTGTTGTGCGCTAGTGGAATAGCGACGCGGTCGTGCTAATGGATAGTGGGCGAAGGTTGCATTAGATTCCGGTAAATCTACAAGAAAGTGAGTGATGCGTTTGCACCACTGAAAAGTTATGCATGTGAGCTGACCTCCATCCCAGCTGCGCTGCGGTAGCATTGAAAATATTACCGGTTACCTTCCAAGGAATTTAGGGTATGACAGTTGTGATACTTCGTGTACTACGACATCCAAATAAGCCCAATTCGGAACCGCAGTGCCAGTCGGAATGGTCGTTGGATATCTGCAAATCAAGTAAAAGAAGTTCAAGAACATGATAACCTCGCAGACTGACAATTGTGTAAAAGCCGTTGTGCAATAGGTTTTTCCAGGAACTCCAGCTGTGAGGGAATAAGTACTTTCGTCAGTCGAGCATACTCGATGTAACTTACGTCACCAGGAATAGGCCCTGGCAAACACCACACGCGCTCGTCAGTGAGTAGATTACTGAATTGGCATTGGCAAGGGTTTGCTCCATTGAGCGGGGGACCTGAATATTGAGTACCCGCGGGATAGCAACAATCTCATAGCCTGCCAAAAATGAGTCATTCAAGATCAAAGCCTGCCGAGAAAACGAAAAGCCATACTTCCATCACGCGCAGGGGGCTCCCGAGGTAGGCAGTAACTAAGCACGGGTTCTGGCCAAGACTATTGTTCATCTGATATCACCCAATCATACCATCAGAACTTGCAAGTTTAAGGTAAAGCAAAGAAACGATGTACCCAACCAAAGGAGGAGAGGGCACGTTATATTGGCCACTATCTGCGCCAAATGCAACCTTGGAGTGCAGCGGCCTGCTACTAGGGCCACTATCGACGGCCATGCCTTCAAGGTGAGAAGTGACATGACAGATAAAGAGAAGGAACAAAGCCTGTGCTTAGCAGAACCTGGTTATGTATAAGGTAGTCCCTGGTAGCCCTGCATCAAAAAAGTTCTCAAGAAGTGTGACAACCACTGCAGCCGCCAGCGGAAGGAGTGGAGCTTGACTTGTGGAGCGCATCATTGATCAAAGAGCTGGACAACTGTACGGGCATGTACAGCACATCCGAGACAATCGATTGAAATATGCCAGGCGAACGAGCGAATTAGCTCCTCCAAAGGTCCTTAAGGATGCCATTCTAGACAAATTCCGGTCGTCCTCGGCAGACATATCCAACTTGAAGGGCAGTCGTCAAGTGGTGGCATAAATCCCTTTTACCAGTCGTCAGATATGCGTGCTGTCACGGTGGGCGCCACCGATTGAAACTTAAAGATTCTGAGGATGTAATTGATGGGAAGTTTGATCTGCGCTAAGCTTACACGCGTTCTTGCACGTGACATTCGACAATCAAGAAATTCCGGACCAGTGCCGAGCTCGTCTTGATCCATGTCTCGATGACGGGTAAGTACTTTCCTCTTACATCTTGTGTCACTTAACCCTAAATCATTAGACTACTCATTATTCACTATCCCCGACTTTGATGCTAATGACTACGCCAAACGCCATTCTTGCTGGCGAGCCGTATCCACAAGTTCACCAAACGCAGTACGCAAAGCCTCGAACGGGTACAGCTTTAGAATCGGCCAAGGAGGATATATCAGTCGCAATATCCAAGCTGGACTTGAGCATTGAGGACGTGAGCAAGCAAATCAAAAGTCTGGTACAAAGATATATCATCACATTGAGATGCTATTGATGACGCAATGTCTGCAGGTTACCGCCCACCATGAAGAGCTACTCCAGCGAGCAGCGGGCGTCAATAACCTCTCTGGATCACTGACCTCAGTTCGACGTGGCTTGAACGACGTTGATGCCTCCTTGGAGAAGTACGTAGCTAGTTCCTGTCGTTACGTCGTAACTTGACGTGACCTAATCAGACTTCGCCAGAAAATTCGTGTTCCATACCAAACTTTGGAAACGAGCGCCATCAGACTTCAGCGTATTCGTCAAGCCTCAGATGCGTTGCGACGTATTTCACGTTTCGTTGTGCTCTCGCGGCGTCTGGAAACTCAGATGTCCGAGCTTGCTACGTTTGACAAGCCGGGCACTACTGAAAAGAAAAAACCTAACAATTCAGAAGGCTTGTCTGCGGATCAGCAAGATGACAAGGAGCGCACCATTGCTAAGGCAGCATTGACAATTGCAGAGCTAGGTTCGCTTGTACATTACTTCGCAAGTAGCTCCTAATTGTTCATTCGTATCAAGGCGCCTTATTGGATGGACCTGAAGAGACCGAAGATACCCCAGGAAAAGACTCACCAGAAACTGACGATGGGACTGCCCCAGCAATGGATACCCTGGTCCCCCTCCGATCTGTGAAGGCGGCAGCAGCACACATACCATTTATCGAAGAAGCGCAATCCAAGGTCACGCATGAGATGGAATCAATGATCATGACTGGTCTTTCTACTTTGGTTTGTTATTCTGCATTCCAGCGTAAACCATTAACTTAAACTTCAATGTTGAGGATCAATCACTGTTGGCATCCTCGTTACAAACAGCGTACAACTTACGTGCACTCCCGAAGCTCATACAGGGCCTATCAAGAGACCTTTGTGACGCCGTTGAGGAACGAATACGAACTGCATTTGATCTCTCACGTATTTCCAAGGAAGTTATTTCGAAGGGTATGTCGCACAGATATTATTCTTCCTTTACTGATGTTCTTGTTCTTAAGAAAGCGTGCCTTCTTCTCAAGGTCTCTTATATAAGTCGCGTGTGCGAACAGAACCAACGAACATCACGGCACCGCAATGGACAGCTGCGCTTTGGGCCCGCCTTGAGTCTCTTATCGAGGAGATGGCTGCATGCTGTATCAAGGTGGCAACTTAATAAATTGTTCTACATTGTGTCTACTTACTGCCAGTCGTCCTAGGTGTATACCCTCGAGAAGGTCCTGAAATTGAAGAAGGATCCGATAACCCAAAGATCATTCCTTGATGATGTAATGAGGTGCCTTCCTTGCACATCAATGCATCGAATCCATGACTAATAAGTACTTGAAGGTTCTAGAGAACAAACCTAGTTCGACGTTCTGGACTTCGCTGGGACGCTCGCTTGAGAAGTATGCTCGTGACGCTGCCAAAGGTTTGTTTAAGTCATTAGTGCCATGTACATCACCACTGAAGTGTCATGATTAGGATCGACCTTCCTTCAACAGACTCTTAGCTCTGGTTACCCGAGGCTCTTACGTCTTTTCCACGAATTCTTCGCCAAAATTGCAGTACATACCGACACAGTCTACACACAATCCCAGCAATCGTAGGTCTTCCCCTGCTCATCAAATAGAACACCATACATAATTTTTTAGACCAGAAACTGTCCTCGTCCTCCGCGCTCTTTCTACGTTTGAGGCTCTTTACCTCTCTCGTTCGACAACCCGCTTGAATGAAGCCGTTTCCCAGGCTTTCGCTGGTGGCTCTCGCGCACCTCCAGGCGCTAACGAAGAGTTGCAATTGCGCGGGCGGTGATGAATGAGCTTGATTCCGCTAGGTTTGATCCTTTGTTAATGCTTGCGGTGGCGAGAAACGTTGGCGCAGCTCTCGATGGTGCGACGATGAGGGCCGAGGGTCTAGTGAGTATTTTTGGGGCTCTGAATAGGTACCACGTAGCTCATGCGTTGAACCCAGATCTCTTCAGATCGCTCAGTGGTTACGCTTCTTGGGCCGATGGCGACTCCACAACAAATTTTGAACGGCCAGGTTGCGACGTGCCTTTATTATTGCTGGACGAATTTGGAGAAGATAGCTGAAGAACACACCGAGAGCGCTGCTTCGCTTGTAAGACCTGGTGTAAAGGTATTGATTTTCCCAAGTATAGAGAGTACCAAATCTTGAAGTTACTCCACTGCACAGAAATTGCATGTCACTTACGATAGCATTGTTGACCCGCTCCTGACGGCAATACGAAGGGAGCTCGCTTCCATCGTCTCGAAGCTTCATAGGGTTGACCTGCAGAAGGTCATGGACCCGATGGCAGGCATGGCAGGGCCAAGCCTGTACATGAAAGATCTCGCTGATAAACTCAACTACGTGAAGACGCAGATCTTTACTAATTTTTCGAGTGATGTGACGCAGTCCTGGTATGCCCTTCACGCACTCGCTATTGACCTGACGTGCTAAAGAGAACAACCAGGGTACTCTCTATTGTGAAGTACGTCATCCGAATCTTTGTGCTCCATTCCAGTATCGCGAAACCGTTAGGGGAGGGGGGGAAGCTGCAGCTCACAACGGATATGACGGAGCTCGAATTTGCGCTGGGTGCATTCCTTGGGCCTTCAAGCAAGCGTGGTCTTGAAGTAGCTGGGGAAGAGTACAAAATGCTCAGAGCAATGCGGTCTGTTCTATTCCTCACACTAACTGATACCCGCTTACTCGCTTATGATAGACCCCTCCTCTTCCTCGACACAGCTTCACTTGCAAGTCCAACGCACGCCGCGAACCTGCCTCCGCTCGTGGTGCTGCACCATATTCTTGTACGGTCCCCGCTGCCGCTGCCGCATATAATCCATGGATGGCAGGAGGCGGAGTATGTGCGATGGGTGGAAGAGCATAGAAATGAGGATGCGTGGAGTCTGGTTGAGGCTGCGCTGGTTGGGAAGGAGGGAGAGTTTGTAGAACTTGCGAGGAGGGTGCTGAGGCAGGCGAGGGGTGAGTGAGTGAGGCAAAAATTAACATGCTCGCGACAGGGTATTCAGCTCTTGCTCACGGTTATTTATATGTGGACTTTGATAGTGTAGTATCTTTCTACATCGACTCAATGACTGTATTTTTGTTGTCAATTTGGTCCTTGTTTGCGAGTGTTATAAACGCAAGGTCTTGCCAAACAATATTACGCCTAATTTGGTTTTCACCCTGTTTCCAACTCAGCATAGGAAATCGACCTACTGACAGGAATCAAGCGACATACGGATAAGTGGTAACGGATGCCACCACTTCCAGAACCCGCTACGGTGATGATGCTGGACTGCATTACTGATGACGATGTGGGGCGGAAACTCCGTGTTGCAGGACGGTAAGTCCATTGTCTCCTCTTCCTCGTTCTCAATTATTCACGCGTGAAAATGTACTCATATTCACTGTAGGATGCTCACGTACGACCCTTCCACCGCACTTGTGCTTCTCTCATTTTCCTTCCCATGGACTTCTGGTAGACGTTTCTCTCGTAATCGATCCCGATGCGGTGCTTTCTACTGTAAAATGGGGCGGAACACTTGATCCAAATGTGGACTATAACTGGATGCACGAACGTAAAGCATGGGTGTGGGTTATGGGATGGTTGGAAAGGTCTGAGGTGGGTCACGTCAGTGCACATTCCTTTAGCTGATTCGTGAGACGCTACATCGACGTGTTCATGGAAAACGCTGTTGTTGTACATGCTAACATATCATACCAGGACCTCCAAATACCAGAGCCCCCACCCTACACATCACCACCAGTCGTTGACCCGTCGATCGTGCTTAAGGCGCTGAACGTCACTCCTGCACGAGATCTGGATATTGTCGGGCTACGGTCGGCGCTTGCGGGGATAGGAGAGATACCACCTACGACGTATCCAGTGTGAAGGATGTATAGGCGCCATGTCATGTCACCGATGTTGTGACGTGAGTGGTTAATGATATAATGCTCTACTGCAGGCTGATTTTCCTTTTCGCAGCTATATTGGGTCGTCGATTCAGCTGGGCGATTGCAGTGCCTTTTTTGGGCTACGTGTCTGTGCCCGCGCATCTTGCAGGGCATCTGTGCATATTCATTTGGTCAGATGGGCATATACGCACAGGGGAACCGTCCCGATGAAACTTGTGGATTTGTGAGCTGAAATCTACTCTAATATCAACGATTTTACATATTTGAGCTGTTTATTTCACATTGGAGCTTCCGAGATAAATCGGAATTATACTGGAATGATACGTACGGAGGAACAGACTTCTCATTACATGTACTATACTTACAAAGACCTATAGGAAATGAATATGCTATCGTCCTGCCTTGGCACCCAACACTCCATCCCATCAGTGAATTGGTGAGTCCGTGATATCATTGGTAGCCGTGAGAAATATAGGATGATTCCTGCCTATGTACAGTGTTGTTACTAACCCGTTAAATCAGTTATAACCCGGTTATAACCGGTTAAGAGGTTAGTTAAATGGATCTGTGATTTTGGGAGGGTTAGTAGGGTTAATGTACTAGGAGTTAATTGGGTTAATACTAGGAGTTAATTGGGTTAATTGGGGGTCACCAAACTTTAATCGTTATCATCAATCTCTCCGATTCTTTCTGTGCCAGCGTCCTGGGACTGTATTACCTCTCCAAGCCGCTCCGATGGGTAGGGAGAAGTCCTGGCTGTGGGATCATTTTCATCAGGGGACTGCGAAGGTTGACAAAGTGCACTGGCAAGCACGCTGTAAATATTGTGTCAATGTGAAGGCTAAAGATCTCGCAAATGCTGATCAACAGGCTGTCAGAACTTTCACAATTTTGACGCAGGAAGGTGAGTTTTTGTCAATTGATGCCATGTAACATAAATGATTAATGTATACCGTATAACGGACTCAAACAGCATGCGATAATGTCCCTTATATTGCCGGAAAGGTCGAAATCATGGCAAAAGGAATACATATCGGGGTTAGGACAAGTAGTTGAGGTTGAGGATGACATCTCAGGCATTTCGGATTTGGAAAGTAGCAGGCAGTGACAAATTCGTTGCTTCTTCAGTCAGAAGAGAATGTTTCGCATCCGCGACATGTTCAATTGGTCTGTTGAGGTTGGATGGGACGAGTTTTGGTTCCAGGGTGTGAAAAACATGGAGAGTGAGGCTTTATTCTACGAGCTAATGTCACGCCTGCCCGAGGATGAAAAAAGTACTAGTAGGAATGTCCCAGGGGAGTCACCAGGCATGGGAAATAGTCCATCGAGTTCAATCGTTATTGACGACTCAGAGTAGCTAGCACTTTGAAGTAATTAACTGTTTTTAACCCCATTAACCCCAGCTATTTCGCGGTTAATTCAAATCAAGACGCACCAGTTATAACCTATTCAGTTATAACCCGGGTTAATAACAACACTGCCTATGTATACTGCGAGGAATTTGCAACCGGAGTCCTTCCTTGACCCTCGCAGCATCGGTCTGCATTTAATTTCATGAACATGTTCATTTTTTCTTAAGTCCATCTAAACGACAAAGGTCAGACTGGTGTGCTTGTAACGTCATTCCTCGACAATGCCAAATATTCCCATGTCAAAGCGAAGATTGTTGCGATGCTCTACAATATATTGCTTTAAGTTTAAACAACTTTCTGCATCTGTTCACCGGTTCACATCACTGATGTCATGTCGCAAAAAGTCGTTCTAGTAACTGGCTGTTCAAAAGGCGGGATTGGCTTCCATTTGTAAGTCTGCTGTCTTCAACGATCTCCCTTCAAGCTGCTTCAACTTATGATAACAGATGTGAGCGATTTGCGGAGCAGGGATGCACTGTGTATGCCACATCTCGTAGGCTGGAGACAATGGACGGCTTCAAGCATTCAGTAGAAAAGCGTGCCATGGATGTGACCCGCGATGACAATGTGAAACTCGTCGTACAATCCATTCTGGAAGAGCAGGGAAAAATCGACATCGTTGTGAATAATGCTGGTGCTCTAGCCATCGGTTCGTTAAAACCTTTCAAGCTACTGTGAAACGATTGTCATGTTCGTTTTCTTGCAGGGCCATTGCTCGATGTATCTTTAGATCAGGCTAGAAAGGCTTTTGAGACCAACACGTTCTCGGTTTTGCGAGTTGCACAGGCAGTCGCACCCTCCATGGTGGAACGCAAGCAAGGACTTATCGTCAATATTGGGTCAATTGCAGGAAACATGTGAGTACGGTGCTATGATGCCATCTTTCAGCTAACCCCGTCTTCATACTAGCCCTGGCCCATGGGTTGGATTATACTGCGCATCTAAGGCGGCAGTTCACGCGCTCAGTGATACTCTGGCGATGGAATGTAAACCCTTCGGCGTTAAAGTGATGCTAGTAGCACCAGGCGGCATTCGGTCAAATATCAGTACCAACCAGGCGGCCACCCTTGAATTATCCCCCACGTCCATCTACAAACCTTACTTCGATCGGGTGTACGAAAGCGTGCATGCCAGTCAAGCCAAAGGGAGCATGCCTACTGATGAATTTGCGCGGCATGTGGTTGCAAAGGTGCTGAGTCCCAACCCTCCAACTTATATGTCACTTGGGAGCAACTCGCGTATTGTCGCATTCCTCCACTGGCTCCCTCATTGGCTTGTCCTCTGGATCGTTGGATCGAACACGGTGTGGAGGAAGACCTGAACTATCTACGTAGCCACCACCCAACACCTCATGCCATGGACAGGAAGGAATGATGGGGACGACTCAGGTGACTAGTAATGAAGGGACGTTCTGTAGGAAGAACCGATCATGTGACAATTGCTAGTCTGTGCTTTCTCTCTATTTCCCCTATCTTCTTTCTTCCAGCTCGTCCTCTGTATAAGCAGCTTCTCTGATTGTTTTTGTTGGCATGTTTGTTTGTTGTTAATTCGAGACTGGTTTCGTCGAAAATCTCCCCTGGGGATCACAGAGGGCTGATCGAAGCAGTGCTAAAGTTGGGTTGGGAGATGATCGAGGTGAAATTTCACGTCATCACACATGCCCTCCCCTTCATCCTTCGTCAACTGTGCGGGAGGCGCTGCCTGAGTAGCTTTCGGAGGACCGGAACAACCAATTTGAGTTCTAATAGGACGGCTCAATAGGTTTTGCTGTCCTTACTGTTGGTGAGAATTTTTTTTGAAGTAGCTCTACGTGCACCTACGTGACGATTTGGGCACAGGAAGTGAAAATGTCGCGGAGATTGTTGAGGGTCGTCGGCAGGAGACCAATCGCATCGTAAGGCTCGACAAGGACTCGGAGGCGTTGCGTTGAGGTTATGCAATTCACGGAGAAGTAGAGTTGATGACGAGCGAAGTGTGCATATTAGTACGTGCTGTTTAAATCGTAGACCTGAGTAGCGGCAATTGACAACGTTCGCCGCGTTCGTCAATCCTCGAATATATGCCTACCCTATTATCGACTGATAGACGCGTTGGTTCGTGAAGCACGCGATATGGTCGCACACTGCAGGACCTCCCAATACCAGAGCCTCCACGCTACACATCACCACCAGACGTTGACCCGTCGATCGTGCTTATTAATAAGGCGCTGGCCCCGGCTGAACTTCACTCCTGCACGAGATCTGGATGTTGTTGGGCTATGGTCGGCGTTGGCAGAGATACCACCTACGACGTATCCAGCGTGAAGATTGTATAGGCGCCAAGTTATGTCACTGATGTTGTGATGTAAGTGGTTATGTAATAGGGAGGCTCAAAGTATTAGCCGCCTAACTTCGAGTTCTCATTACATGTACTAAATTAGGTGTATCCATAAGCTATAGGAAGCAATCATGCTATCGCCCTGCCTCACCTAACACTCATGTCGCGAAAAGTCGTTCTAGTAACTGGCTGTTCAACAGGCGGGATTGGCTTCCATTTGTAAGTTCGCTGTCTTCAATGATCTCCCTTCAAGCTATTTCAACTTATGATCACAGATGTGAACGTTTTGCGGAGCAAGGATGCACTGTGTATGCCACATCTCGTAGACTGGAGACAATGGACGGCTTCAAGCATTCCGTGGAAAAGCGCGCCATGGATGTGACCAGCGATGAAGATGTCAAACTCGTCGTACAGTCCATTCTGGAAGAGCAGGGAAAAATCGACATCGTTGTGAATAATGCTGGTGC